GAAGAGTAGAAGTCAGATGAGGAGGAGCACAGGAATTGCAGGATCGGGCCAATCAAGGGTTACAACAGAGTTCATCAAGATCTGTAGTAGAGAGGCTCTATGACAGATCTTGTCCAAATCAGCACAAGTGGGTTCATATCACAAATTCTGCTGGAATTGGAAGTACCTCAATTGTATGATAGATCTTGTGGAAGCTGACAAGAGGATGCCAATTCCCACAGGTCTCACAGCAGGCCAAACATCGAAGACATTGGGTCCACCACCCTGACGAAGCAGGGGGCCGACCCGAAGATGAACTCGGAGCAGGAGGGTGGGTGAGATGAGCGAGGGGTGTGAGTCACCACTTGTCAGAGGTTGCGTGCCCAAAACCTGATATCTGTAATAGAAACATGTCTATTACAAATCCTGTTGAGATATGTGACAATGCTTGATGTATTACTGTTCTTGTTGAGATATGTAGTAGAGGAGTCTCTATCACTTTTCTTGCCCAAAGATGTAGTAGTGGTTTTGCTATTGCAGGTTTCGACTAACTGCTGTGGACACTCCATCCAGAGGTAGCTTGGCACAATCAATAACTTGTATGAACTTTACACTGACACCAAGGTCTGGTGTGAATGAGTTTGTTGGTGGCACTGACATGAGTGTCCAGTGTGTTGACTGAATGCTTGAGGTGATCCCCAGACTGCAGTGGATGACTGCCTTCAGTTCTATTGTTATCCAGACCACTGGTTTGCTATGAACTGCCTTCAGATGTCAGTGAGCAGTGATACAACACACACACTATGATGGAAGCAATCTACTTGTGATTGCTACTTTGCTGACTGAAACTAATGTATACTTGACTAGAAGTGATAACTAGTTTGTATGGTGTAGAGTGGATGGAGATCCACTCACTTGTTATGATGAAGAGCATGGTTATATACCCACTCCTGCAATGTTGCCTGCAATGCTGCTCCTGCTCTGGAAGGCCTCCTTGACACTGATCCTTGTCAGGGGTCTCTTCAACTCTGCTCCTCCCCCTCATCCTTCCTATCCTTCCCATCCACTGTGTGATGCTGCTCTCTGGTCCCACTTCTCTCATGCCCTGTGGATGGACAGTCTTCGTGCTGCTTCATCATAGTCAGGAGCCACTCCCACTTCATCTGGGTGGTGACTTGCACCCCTTCATCTCCCTCCTGTTGTTGGCACCCATCTGCTTGCACCAACTTCATCATTGTGTCAGGCCCCTACTTCATCTGGTGGCAACCTCTCCCTTGTTTGTTGTCCTCCCTGTCCTATTGGCAATAGAGGCTTCCCTCGAACTGGTTCCTGTGAGGTCTGTCATACTTAGCATGGTATTACGATTCCCACTGAGTTCTGTAGTAATGATGTCATTCCTACTGATCTGGACAAGTTATGCCATAGAGTCATTTCTACTATGGATCTTGGTGGACTCTGCCTTAAGCTCTCGCTTTGCCCAATTCCTCGATTCCTGCACTCCTCTTCATATGACTTCAACCCTTCTTGTCTCCTGCGCATCTGGTCCCATGACACCACTCCAATGAAGTGGGAAAGGCCCCTGTCGATTATGAAGCAGCACAAGGACTGACCCGTCCACAGGAAGCAAGGGAAGCGGTGCCAACAAGCAGCATCGTAAGGGAGACAAGACCGATGTCAGAGGTCTCGCACCTGAAACCTGATATCTGTAGTAGGAATGCATCTATTATGAATCCTGTTGAGATATGTGACAACATGTTGTGTATTACTGTTCCTGTCAAGATATGTAGTAGAGAAGCCTCTATGACTTTTCTCACCTGAAGATGTAGTAGTGGGTTTGCTATTGCAGGTTTTGACTGACTGCTGTGGACACTCCATCCAGAGGTAGCTTGGCACAATCAATAACTTATATGAACTTTGCACTGACACCAAGATATGGTGTGAGTATGATTACTGGTGGTGCTGACACAAGTGTCCAGTGTGTTGACTGAGTGCTTGAGATGATCCCCAGACCACAGTGGATGACTGCCTTCGGTTCTATGATCGAGAGAGCCAGACTGCAGTATGAACCACCTTCGGTGTTGATTGATGTCAATGAGTGGTGATACAACACATGTGCTATGTAGAAGCAATGCTCTGCAATTGCTACTGTTGATGGAATACTAATGTATACCTATTGTGAAAGCTATAACTAGTACTGTATGGTGTAGAGTGGATGGGGATCCACTCATTAGCTACAACGAGGAGCATGGTTATATACCATTTGTCAGGGGTCTCGCGCCTGAAACCCAGGTCGGTCTGTCGAGATACTTGGTGACTATCAAACTGTGCGACAGCTATTGTCTCGGTATCTGTCTCAGCGAGCTAGTCATTCAGTGACTATCAAGTTGCACAGTGACAGCAGGTGGCATTCGTTGTATATACTATTGTAGGTTTCGGCTGACCTCTGTGGACACTCCATTCAGGGGTAGCTCAGCATGATCAATATCAATGTGTAGGTTATGTTGACACCAAGGTCTGGTGTGAATGTTGATGATGATGAGGTTGATGGTGTTGGTGATAAGGTTGGTGAATGTTGATGATAATGAGGTTGATGGTGTTGGTGATAAGGTTGGTGGTGTCAACATGAGTGTCCAGTGTGTTGACTGATGCTTGAGGTGATCCCCAGACCACAGTGGACTACTGCCTTCAGTTCTATCTATATCCAGACCGCTAACCTGCTATGGGGCGCCTTCGGACATCAGGTAGTGGTGATACAACACACACACTACAATGAGGAGCAACCTTGATAGATTGCTGCTATTCTGATTGAAAACTAATGAGTACTTATGTTTCTAAAGTATTGACTAGTTGTATGGTGAGTAGAGTGGATGAGGATCCACTCAACCTTTGATGATGAGAAAGCATGGTTATATACCTCTTCACAGCATCGCCAGCAATGCTGCTCCTGCTCTCTCTCCAGAGAGTACCTTCTTCATCGAGTACTGTTCAGGGGCCTCTCCTGCTTGGCACCCCTGTGCCTCTTGAGCTGTGTCGACTCCTTCGACACTGCTCCTCCTCCTTGCTATCCTGCTGCTTGTTTGGCACCCCTGTGCCTCCTGAGTGGTGTCGACTCCTTCAACACTGCTCCTCCTCCTCATGACCTGGTGTCGACTCCTTCGACACTGCTCCTCCTCCTTAGGACCTGCTTGCCAGTGTCCTATACACTGCTCCTTCTCCTTTGACTGGTGACAGTTCCTTTGACTCTTGTCTCTCAAGCCCCTGAGTGGTAACCATCTGCATGCTCCTTGAGCTTGGTCCCCTTTGTGGCTGTGCCTGCTCCTTGAGCTTGGTCCTCCTCATGGCTGTGCCTGGCCTTCCTCACATATGGCTCAGTGCTCCTTTGCATGTGAGTCCATAGGAGTCCATGGTCTCCATGGAGACTGCACTATGACCATGCTCTCTACTGGTATCGACTAGATCTCTACCTGTGCCCCTCTCATATGAACCAGTGACCCTCCTGCTTCCTGAGCATTTAGGCCCATGACACCATTATTGCAGCATCACCTGCGACACTGCTCCTGTTCTGGGAGGCCTCCTCAATCCTGCTCCTCCTCCCTGTCTCTCCTATCCTCTTGGTGATGCCGCTTGTTGGCACTACCTCCCTTGCCTCTTGTGGATGGATGGTCCTCCTGCTATCTCATCATTGTCAGGGGCCAGCCCCACTTCATCTGGGTGGCAACTTGCGCCCCTTTCATCATATCCTCCTCTTGCCATATCGGTGATAGAGGCATCTCTTAAACTGATCCTCATTAGGTCTGTCATATGAGCATGGTATTACCATTCCCACTGAACTCTGTGGTAATGACCTCATTCCTACTGATCCTGGTGAGTTCTGCCATAGAGCCATTTCTACTACTGATCTCAGTGAACTCTGCCTTAAGCTCTCGCTTAGCCCAATCCCATGATTTCTGCACTCCTCTTCATATGACTTCGGATCTTCTTGCTTCCTGCACATCTGGTCCCATGACATAGATCCCCATCCACTCTACACCTTACATTACTAGCTATAACTTCACAATAAGTATACTTAGTAGATTTGTCATCAGTAGCAATTGCAGAGCATTGCTACTACCATAGTGTGTGTGTTGTATCACCACTTGACACCATCCAAAGGCAGTTCATTCTGCAGTCTGGATATCAATTGACACCAAAGGTGGGTTCATACTGCAGTCTGGCTCTCTTGATCTTATACTGAAGGCAGTTGTCCACTGCAGTCTGGGGATCAATCAACTAAATCAACCATCAACACACTGGACACTTGTGTCAAGACAAACATATTCACACCAGACCTTGATGTCATCTAAAAGAAACTATTGGATATTGATCATGCTGAGCCACCTCTGGACAGAGTGTCCCCAGCAGTTAGTCAAAATCTGTGATAACCCTTAATTACAAGTTATTCAAGCAAAAAAGGTCCTAGAAGGCTTCTACAGCTGATTCCAGCAAGAATAATTATAGAAGGCTGTTACAATTGATCTTGCCAAAATTGATTGTAATCAACCTTTACCATAGATTTCGGGTTTCAGGTGCGCGACCGCTGACAATTGCCACAGACCATGTTGGTGTTTGAAGTGTTCTTGCTTAGTATGATGGTAGTGCTATTGCTCAATGACGACAACAACCCAAATGAGGGGTATCCGGCTAAATTAGGAAATTACCCGACTGTCCTCAAACTTGCATACAGGGTCTGTACAGTATCTGTACTGCTCTGTGACGCTCTTAAAGGCATGCTGGCCTTCTTTACACTGTGGCGCTATTCTGCTGAATCACTCAGCGACTTGGAGGCCAGATTTGGACTTTCCTGTCTTGGCTGCGACAATAGACACAAGCAGATCCTCTCGCATGACAGGGAACTCGGCCCGTCCTCCTTCTTCCTAGTGTTTTACCTTCGTCGCTTCTTTCTTCTTCCCGACCAGCCATCCTTCCTGTCGCAAACGCTTCGAGAAACTATCATCATCTCGTCGTGTTGACAGCTGAACAACATGTCCGAACCCAAACCAGCTCCAGTCCTTGATCCGGACCAGGCTGCTGCTGTTGGCGCTACTCCAGCTTCGACTCTTTCTGCAGCACAGCCCACCGATCCAAAGATGCCAGCTGCTGAAGACCCCGCCAAACTCAAGGCTACTCACCAAGAGACGCAGGAAGCTGCCAAGTTTGCAAACAAGGAAAACGTCTCTGCTCCTGCTGCAGCACTTGACCATGAGGCCCATCTTCACGAGGTTCCCAAGGCCGAGGTCGCACCTAGGCGCGTCACCGATCTCACAGGTACTCAAAATCACGTTCCCGCACCTGCGCCTGGCGATTCCAAGCGACCCATCGAGCCCGAACTCGAAGACCTGGGCTGGAGCGAAGAGCCCACTGTGCCCATTCCTGTCTTGCACGGCATGAAGAATGAGTCGCTCTGGCTTCTTGTTCGTCGATTCAACAAGCAGACCTACCGTGTCAAAGCACTTGAAGACGACGCCAAGGTCTCCAAAAGGGACTTTGACATGTACATATCCAACCAGGAGGAGTTTCAGCCCGATAAGCTCAAGGCTACTTTTGAACGTTTTTACATCACTGTCGTGGTCGGCACCGTGGCTTTCATCCAGCACATTGCTCGTCTTCGTTCCTGGTCCGAGCCTAAGCGTACAGGTGGATTCATGGTGGTCTATATCGCTGCTTGGGTGTTGGACCTGCTGGTACCCACCTCGTTGATTCTGATTCTAGTTCTCATCCTCTCGCCTCGTGCGAGAACCGTTCTTTTCCCCTCTGCTCCGCTCGCCGCCATCGATCCCAAAACAGGACAAGCCAAGGCACCCAAAGCAGGCCATCTCGGTAGCAAGAGCAGTCTGACAGGTGCTGCTGAAACTTTCGAGGGTGAAGCCGTCGAGCAGGAAGCGTCCAACTTCGTTGGTGCCCTTGGCAGTGTCGCACTGAGCACTGCTGCTGGCAAGTCTTCCAACCAGGGCGCTGAGGCCTTCCGTGACGAAGACGAAGAGGGCTCGGACGACAGCGACGACGATACTTCTTCCGTCAAGAAAAGCAACTCGACTACCAAGAAGTCCAAAAAAGACGCAGAAGACAAGATCCCTGACCCAACCAACGTAGCAGCTGTATCGCACTCTGCACAGAGCAAAGCTGCCGGCGAAAAGGCGGGTCATCCAGACAAGGGCGATCACACCAAAAAGCCCACGGAGCAAGCCATCTTTGCCAGCCTCGCACCCTTCATGCACATCCTCAACAACGTTTGCGACGACTACGAGCGATTTGGCAACGCGCTTTCCCCGACACCACCTTTCTCCCGCTGGGTGCCTCGATACCGATTGGCTGGTGCCATCGTCCCCGTTCTGTTGGCTTCCTTCTTCATCAACGAGACCATGATCTACAAGGGCTCTACTTTCGGTATGGGTTTCGCGCTGTTCGGGCAACCTCTGATCGATCGAGTCAAGTTCCCAGAAGTCATTGCTTTTCTCGACCGCAATGTTCCGGACTGGAGAGAGTACCTCGAGTTGCGATTCATGTTGCTGCGTGGTGTTCCCACCAATGCCCAGCTTACCGTTACTTTGCTTAGGATTGGAGAGGCCAACAAGTCACCCCTTCCTCCTCCCCCGCCTACTGTTGTCTCTCCACCACCCAAGGCATTGCACGGATCCGACATGGCTGATCACCCCGACCTACCCCCTGAGTATGCTGAGCAACTCGCGGAAGCACAGGCAGAAGACGTAGCTAGCCTTTCAGATGGCGAAGACGAATCAGCCACCGATCCCAAAACGGGCAAGAAAGGCAGTAAAGTACTTAGCATCCTCAAAGGCGTCACCAAAGCAGGTGTTGAAACTGCTCTCGGAGTCAATCGTGTCAAAGCAACCACCATCCAATCTATGCACGCTAAAGCCAAGCTCGGCGTGGTTCAATCCGAAGCAGCTGCCAAGAAATACGCAGCCGACGGCCCAGTCAAATTTCAAGCCCGTTACAAGGGAAAGAAAGGTCACGTGTACATTCTTACCACCGCCGCCACACCCTCCGTTGCTTTCGAACGAAAGGGCAATGCAAGCCCAATCGCTGCCGCTGCAGCTGCTAGCAAGGAAAGCTCAGCAAGTTCGGCTGCAGAAACAGCACAAAGGTTGGTACAGCAAAAAGGCGCGACGTTCACTATTGCGATTGATGAGATCAAGGAGATTCACAAGGTGGGAGGTTTGGGCTGGAAGGGGAAGCTCGTTGTGGGTTGGGCGTTGGGTGGGGAAGTTGCGGATGGCATTGAGATTGTGGATAAGCAGGGTAAGGTGTATAAGTTGACAGCGATGGGAAGGAGGGATGAAGTCTTTAACAGATTGATTTCGCTTGGTAATCAGAAGTGGGAGGCTTTCTAAGCCTTCGATTCACGCAGAAGGCACTCTTTTTAACGTGGCAGTTCTGTTCCGCTCTCACTATATCCTAGCCTCACTCTTGTGTTCAATCCACGATCCTGGACCACTCTATGCAAGACACGTATGAGGAATGTGTGACATTCCTATTCCGCTATGATCACATGCTGTTGACTCCACCAGCACCCCAATCCCAGAGCCATTCATCCAATTCAAACTTGACCCGTTTCGCCAGAACTGCTACGACGCTATAACTGACATTCGTCCTGAAGTTGATGCTTGTACCCAACTTGTCCTGTGCACTCGTCCTCACTAGCATCCTCCTCGCCACCAGTCCGTTGATCTGCGAATACACGGACAAGCTTTTACTTCTGTATTCCCACAGAGTTGATCTGTCATTCTCTTTTTCCTTCTCTCCGCCACCACCACTGCTGGACGAAAGATCGTTGTCCGGGTTAAGAGAGCTATAGACCATGGACATCTCTGGCGCAGCCTCTGTGATCAGCGCTTGAAATATGGAAAGAAGGCGGTCGATAGGAAAAGGTTTAGGTCCCAAAAGCTGTTGTCGATTGAGATTTTCGGTTTGACCATCTTCATTTGTCGCCCTCGGCGCGCTTTTTGATGATCTACCCCTTCGACCACTAGCAGCATTTCGACCTCTACCAGGACCTAACTTCCTCCCGCCCTTCAGTAACTTTCCTTTCCCACTTCCGGAACTTAGACTCAGCAGCGAATCGTCCCTCAAGAAATACCTTACATCTAACCGGCTTGGATTGTAAGACGCGAGGAAACTCGCAATGACCAAGAAAGTCGGAATGAGCGCCAAAGAGGGTAGAAGGGAGATTGTCGCTTGAGAGGAAGCTGAACGCATACGTTCAAGGGAAGCTGTCTCGCGTTCGAGCCATTCTTCTTCGTCCAGCTTGCGTTCTTCGTCTATCATTTCTACTCCTTCCATTTCCAACGCTGGATCGAGGGATGGGTTGGAGGGTGTTGAAGAGGCCGAAAGACGTGCAGAGCTAGCTTGAATACTTTTTATGCGTGATTCTTGCGTCCATTCTCTTGGACCCATTTCTCGGGTCTGCAGTCGAACGATAACGTCTTTGAACAGGTGCGAGGAGGAGAGAAGTAACGTTTGAACGTCGTTCGTCATACATTCCCTTGTTTGGACGGGAACGACAAAGCTGTGCCAAACAGCAGCACTCATCGTCCTCAACTCTTCAATGTCGCGGACGTTGGACCGCACAGAGTCGTAAAACACGCCGACGAATTGTTCGTACAGCCCTCGAAGTGTCTGTTCGGTGACCTGCGCTCCTGAGTTCGCCTTGCGCAGTTTGAGAAGGGTGGAACGTTTGCACAGTGCAGGAGACGTTTTGGCGTGCATTTGCGCCGACTGTACAGACGAGCCGTAGGATTGCCAGAGTAAGGGAAAATCCTGCGCGAGAATCGAGAGAATGTCTGTTCGAGTGAGACGCGGAAAGCGAACAGTGATCGGTGCATGCGCTACAGTCAATCCACTCGGCGTCCTATACTGAGACCAAGCCAGAGTGGAGATGAAAACTGTACTTAACCTCCCCGCCTTCCCTATAAGAGAGGGAAGTCGACAAAAAGCAGTCCAGACATGTTCAGGCCACAAATCTCGAATCCTTTCCGCATCCTTGATCACCAGCACCACTCTACACTTCGACTGAGCATCGATAAGGGTGCCAATACGCCAGAGAAAGTAGTCTAACGAAGGTTCAGGACGGCGGTGATTGACTTTGGATCCGCTGGCTACTGTTTGGTCGGTTGGAATGGTGGAGATTTGTGATTCGAGCGAAGTGAGGATGGTGCGGAAGAGTGTTGTAGGGTTGATCGAGGTGAGAGGCGAGACGCTACACCATAGTAGCGGTGTTTTGGATTGGGAAGGGGAATGGGCGAAGTTGGTGAGAAGGTCCGAGACGAGTCGTGCGGCGGTGTTTGGGCTGCATGCGTCTTGTAGTAGGAGTGAAGGTGGGAGTGGCTGGGAGGACTGGCCGAGAAGGCTTGTGAGAGATGCAAGCTGGTGTTGCCTCCCAGCGTGGGATTGGTGAGGTGCCATCTTGAACACCAGCGAACAAGAGGCGGAGATAACATGGTGTGATAGGAAGGATCGATGGTGTCGGTGTTGGTCTCGAGATGAAAGCACGGACGACCCTGAATCGTGAATCGCGTTTGGTAGACCTGTGGATCGGGGAGTGGAGGTCCGCTTCGGGAATTTTTCATCTGCGAAGTCACCTTTTGAGCTTGGTCCCTTTCTGACTTCCCCCCTTCCTTTCGCTTTCATCACATCGATTGATCAGCCAGGTCGACAAAGGCAACATGGAGCTTCTCATCTTATCGTCAATATCATAGAGACGATGCTTGATCATCTACAGCGGAGAAGCTGGCGGTCGCTGCTGGTGACAGCTCACACGAGCTCAGCAGGGGCCCGTGTCGCTTCCAGCACCACCAGGACACCAGCTCGAGCGCTGTCATCAAGTAGCGCCAGAAAGGAACCTCTCGCTAGACCATTAAAGTGTCGCTCGTCTCCACAGAACCAATCCAATCCTATGGGCCGCTCACAACGCCGAGGCTTGCACTTCAGCCACGACTTAACCAATCGACCAGGCCCCGGCACTCTCTCGGCGCACAAAGCCACACCCTTGGACGAAGTCACCAGACTCCGCGAGCTCATCAATCGAGCCAACGCAACCAACTCCAAACTCTCCAAAGAGCGCATCCTTTCCGAGTTCGACGACCTGATCCCACTGCTCGCATTTCTCTACGACCCATACTGTCGGCTTCACGTCACTTCTTCAGCCGTGCACAACTATCTCCAGCAAAGAAAGAGGGACGAAGATCGGCAGAGCAACCAGGCTCCACTCCTCAACAGGCCCTCAAATAGGTCGAGGGACAAAACTCGTGCGGCTGCTTTGAGGGCTAAACAGGAGGACCAGGCCACAGAGCGAATACCGGCTACCCTGCTCGAACTGTTTCATTTGCTAGCTTCTCGAAAAGTCACAGGTCATGAAGCGCTGGCGGTGATACGTGTCTTCTTGGAACAGCATGGGATAATTGAACAACATGAATATGCACTGGGCGGATATGATGATCCCAAAATGTCAACGACGGAGCTGTTTCGGAAAGGTCTGTTGCGTCCGACGTCTTTGGAGATCTTTTATAGATGCCTGGATCGCAATCTCAAAGGCGGGTTTGGGGAGCGGATCCTGCAGCAAGCGTTTGCCGCCAACTCTGATGCATCAGCCAGCACGAACGGAAAGGGAAAGAATGCAGCAAAACAAGGCCGTGCAGCCGAAGCGCCAATCCCCTTCCGTGGTTCGTTCGAAGTATCTCTAGGCAGAACAGTGACGCGTGAGGAGCTACCCAGCTTGTTTGCCAGTAAGGACACGTCAAAGTGGTACGCCAGCAGGAAGCTTGATGGTGTTCGCTGTCTCTTTGTGGTGCGTCTTCAGAAAGAATTCGATGGGAATGGGTCAGCTTGGTGGAAAGTTGCGTCGATTCAAGCGCTGTCGCGTGGCGGAAGGCCTTTCTCAACGCTAGCTGTGCTGGAGAAGGAGCTTGCGAGCTTGCTGCCTTCCTGGCCTGGACTGACGGACTTGCTGGACGACTCTTCAGGCTCAACATCCTCTGAAAGTTCTGCGATGTCGGGCATGGCAACCCTCATCCTCGATGGTGAAGTATGCATTCTTCGACCTCCAGAACAAGCATCTCCGTCTGCGGCAAAGCAACTCGACGCTACCATATCATCCGCAGAAGGCGACCCAGCCAAGACAGAGCAGCCCGTGGTTGAAGACTTTGCGGCCGTTGTCGGCCTGATCAAGCGTAAGAACTACACAATACCCGAACCAGCCTTCTTCCCGTTCGATCTCCTAACCCTGGACGAGTTTACTCAATGGCGGTCTAACTCCCCTTCCAAACCCACTTTCTCAAAACGACTCGCATCCCTCGAATCCCTCGTCATCTCCTTCGAGGCGAATGCACGAGCACGGCACAAGCAGAGTTTGATCCGCAAGCTCTCACAGCACGTAGTTTCGAGCACAGAAGACGTCGGAGAGATGCTAGCCACGGCCTCTCAATGCGGGTGGGAAGGTCTGGTGCTGCGCCAAGACGTGCCGTATGAAGGCAAACGTAGTTCAGCCATTCGGAAGTTCAAAGAGTGGAAAGATGCCGAGTACACAGTCCAGGGAATCACCGTCGCTACTATGCGGCTGCCGATCAATGGGCGATTCGAAGAAAGGGAGGCGATGGCAGCGATTCAGATCGAGCATAAAGGGGCAAAAGTCTCGGTTGGATCTGGTTTCACACCGGAGCAAAGGGTTGAGTTTGCAAAGGATCCGAGGAAGATTGCGGGGAAGGTGGTGACTGTGGAGTACTTTGATGAGAGCACGACGATGCCGAATGGGTCAGCCAGAAGCAATGCCTCGGCCGAGGGGAATAGCGAAGGCCAAGGCGACAAAAAGGTCTACAGTCTTCGCTTCCCACGAATCAAGCAGATCTGGGGCGAAGAGCGCGACATCTAATCAACTACTCTGGAACGACAATCACATCATCATCGCCATTCCAGCCTTCAGATCAAAAGCACAAACAATGAGTACATGATAAGCAACAAGGAGACAACTTGCGATTCATGAAGCATATGTGAGAGCTAGCAATCCAAGTCTGCAAATTTAACTCCGGTATAACAGCAAAACCCGATCCTTTGTTGAGTGGAGGCTTTAGATCTTGGCCATAGCGGCGACGTCCGAGGACTGGACGTAGTCCTCGCATTCGTCGGCGATGCGCTCTTGAAGTTCGTCAAGAGAGACCTTAGCGTCTTCGACGACGAGCGACATCTGAAGCTTGCTAACACCGTAACCGATAGCGACGAGTTTGGAGGAACCCCAAATGAGACCGTCCATCTCGATAGCACGAACTGCGCCTTCGAGAGCCTTCATGTCGGTCTCGTCATCCCAAGGCTTAACGTCGAGGGTGACAAGGGACTTGGCGGCGGCAGCGGGACCCTTGGCGGCCTTCTTCTTGTTGTACTCGGCGACACGCTCGGCCTTGATACGCTCGGCCTCCTCGTCGACCTCGTCGTCGGAACCGAAGAGGTCGACATCGTCATCGTCGTCACCACCGGCAGCGGCAGCGGCAGGGGCGGCGAAGACGCCGGAGAGGAGGGAGGCAGCCTTAGACTTGTCACCAGTCAAGTCCTTGTGCTCCTGCTCGTAAGAGGTGATGTGCTCGTACCAGCGGGCGACGTGAGAGTACTTGTCAGCTCCAGGGGCCTTGCCGAGAGCCTCGTAGACGGCAACATCGGCCTGCGAGGGCGAGTGGCTGTATAGCAGCAATTGTGTAGGCAGAGATGGAGAAGAGAGTGTCAGAATCACTGTCAACTTCGGACGAGAAAGTCCACCTCGAGTGTGGTTTCTCTCTCGAATCTCCACAGCTCCGGCCAAGTTGTCCTTGCAAATATCCTTGGACCCTTCAATGAGGCGAGATGTACGTGTGCAATTGCATGGAACAAGATCAGATAGCTCGGAAAAAGTTGGGTTTCGTCAATGCAAAAAGGTCGCGGGGTCTTAAGCCGCTGGGCTCGGAAACACGGACCAAAGCAAAATATTCATCATGTTGTTCCACTGCACATAATCTATATCCCATAAAGTATCACATCTTATCAAGAAAGCAAACTTGGTTCTCCAGCTGGTCGTCTGGGTGGCGTTGTAGCTGATAGAGACTCGGGAAGAGAACCGTAGAAGAAATGGATGCTTACCCGTCAACGTAGGACTTGTCAGCGAGGAAGTCGTCGAGCTTGGAAAGGTTGGAAGCCTGGGAGAAGTCGGGAAGAGACATTGTGTAAGATGTGTGATGTGTGTGGTGGATCAGAGACGATGGTAGATGAGAAGAAGTATATTGGATAGTATCGCTCCCTCGCTGCTTCGGTGAGAAGAAAAATGGATCAAAGCGGCAAAAAAAAAAAAAAAAAAAAAAAAAAAAAAAAAAAAAAAAAAAAAAAAAAAAAAAAGAGAAAGGAAAAAAAAAACAAAAAACAAAAAAAAACAAATCCCACCAACACAGAGGACAAAAAAACAAACAGACAGCACTTCACAGAGCTGTGGCCATCCTTCCATCTTCTTCCTGGTTGGCGGACCGTGCTTGTTAGGGCTCAAAGGGCGCGAATTTCCATTTTTGTGCCAGACTGCAGCTGGTGGTGAGGGAGAGCAACACGCTTGGGCCAATGGAAATGCCGCGCTGGTGGCAAACACCCGATCACAGTCCAGCCAGATTCTGGCACGTGCAGAATTTGCCCATCTTGAAAACTGTTGTATACGACGCTCTGACATCTTGAGGAAAATAATTTGTACCCGAGTTCCGGCCTCGTTTCCACAGACGCGGAGAACAAAGAAGGGTCGTGCCTTTGGCAGCTGATGGTGAAAGGGCGACAGAATGACCGGTTTGAGCAGCGGTGAGAAGCAAGCAAACTCACACAGCATGCAGCAAGCCGCAACTGCAATCAGTCAAGAAGCCTCTCTTGTCGAATTGAGCTCTCTAAGTGTGTGGGATGACAATCGCCTTCCTCTCTTCCAACTATCCGGACGCTTTACTTCCTTACCACCGCTACTACCCTTCTTGCACGGAGCACCGCGCTGTTGAACTCCCTCCATCATCCTCCTAGCTCGTCATCCTCCTAGCTCGTCATCTCACCTTCCGCGTCAGTAATCTGCTGAGCCCTCAGCAGCCATCAGCCTGATCCCACCATCACCCCATCCCAGGCCTCCTTTGCTCCCGCCCTCTCGATCCCTGCATATTCCATTCTACCAACATCACTACGATCTCCGTACGCGTACGTGTAGTCGCCGCTGCTCTCCACCATGAAGCAGCAGTCCGTAGCCGGGGCATCCGCCGTGGGCCCATCTCGCGGTCTCCAATCCACCAGCACCCACAAGAATGGCACCAAAAACGCTAGTACCGGCATCGGCGGTCTCCCCGGAGGAGTAGTTGGCCCCGAAGCAGCTGGTCTCGATCCATCCGGTCCTGAACACTTCTTCGTCACCCTCGCCGCCTACGCAGATGCGCTTGACGCTTTACCTCTCGACCTCACCCGCAGCTTCTCCGACCTTCGCGAGCTCGACGCCGTCCTCGGCTCACACCTCAACAGCCTCACCGCGCGTCTCAACCATCTCACTGCGCTGATTGAAGATCCCGGTGTTGGCCAAGGTCAGCGTCTTCTCGCGCTCAAAGAAGTTGCAGAGGAGGCACGCGCCTACAAGATGGGAGGCGAGGACAAAATCCGCGTAGCTCTCAACACTGCCGAAACCATCATCAGCCATACTGACTACATTGACGCGTTGGATGCTCAGCTTGATCGCTTCCCTGAGATTTCGGCGTTGCTCAATCCGACCAAACATCTCAAGCTCGACCAGTACTACGTGCCTGGTTCGCTCAAGGATCGGAAGCTCATCACATCGCTCGACAGCCACGCGGGTGCAATCGGCAGCTCGGGTACAGCAGATGTCAACGGTGCGGGCGGATCGAAGAAGAAAAAGGTTGGCACTCATGTTGCTGCTGCGAGTGCTGCAGGTGGGAAGAGCCACAAAGCTTCCGATACAGCCTCTGTTGCAGGTTCGACAGCTGGTGGGGCGAGCTCGAACAGCAAGAAGCGTAAAGCTATCTCTGGTACTGCTGTTGGTGGTTCTTCTACAAGTGCTGGTTCTAAGGTCGCCAAGTCTTCCGGCTCAGGCAAAGGAGACGAGGATGTCAAGTCCGCCGCCAACGGGGCCAGTACGCACAAGAAGAAGACTGATGGTAGCTCTCATACTGCCGGAAGCGGAAGCAAGTCGAGCAGTCATGCGGCGAACAGCAACACACGTCTTCCGCGCGCAGCACATGCGCATGGCATCTATACGGAGGACGACGAAGAGGGTCCCAATGGTCGCAAAGATGGTGCTTCGCGAAGAGGTGCTGCTGGCGACGCGGATGAATCTTCTGCCAGTCGCAGCAGGAACAGCCGCGCAGTACGCACCGCCACCACAACCCAACGCAGCGATGACGACGACGAAGAGCTCGACGATCCCGACGCAGACGAAGAAGAAGAGGCCATGCGATCTTCAACCTCCAAATCTCGCAGTCGAGCCGGTCGTTCCGGTGCCGCCAACTCTTCCACCTCCCGCGCTAGAGGCGGTGCAGCCAGTGCAGCAGCTAACTCCCCCCACACCGGCTCCACTTCCGCTTCTCGTGCAGGCAGTCCAGCTTCGGCTGCAGACGGAGGCGATGATGCGGACGAAGCACGTTACTGCTTCTGCAACAATGTCTCGTACGGTGATATGATCGGATGTGATGACGACGATTGTGAGAGGGAATGGTTCCATTTGGGTTGTGTGGGGTTGACGAAGCCTCCTCAGGGTACTTGGTATTGTGAAGCTTGTTTGGAGAGAAGAGCGGCTAATGGTAGGGGAGGAAAGAGTAAGAAGGCTAAAAACGGCGGTGGGAGCAAGTCCAAGGTTCGTCGTTAGAGAGCATTCCCAGACGAGCAGAGTTTCTGCACCGTCGTTACCACTACCATATACCATCTGTCACCTTCGATTCCGGTTTGTGTTCCTTTTGTTCGCTGTATTCCGTATGCTGTGACTTGCTTTCAATATCTTGTTAGTCATAGTCTGTGACCGAGTCTGTGGAGAGAAGGTGTAAGGTGAATAAAGTGCGAGTGTTATTGTCGAATCGGGGAATAGGATCGACGATAAACGAGACAAGCGTCTGGAGCCAAGTTGCGGCGAATTTTCGGAAGATTTCGATTCTTTCGAAGCCGCATGGCGTCACAAAACGTTCAAATGTGCCGAATTCACCAATCTTTCGTGTCGGTCTCTTTGCTTGCTTGCTTGCTGGCTTGCTGGCTTGCTGGCTGGCTGGCTGGCTGGCTGGCTGGCTGGCTGGCTGGCTGGCTGGCTGGTCGTGCAGTGACGCCATCGTCCCTCGTAAACTTTGATTGGTTCTCGATCTTTCGCTCGCACATCTGACCCTGTAGATCTTCTCCATTCTATATAAACACTTACCTTGCTCCTTGGTCTTCCTATTCCTTTTCCCTTAGCATCAGACTCTATCACACCGACATCACCTGAACGCAAACGCAAAGATGACATCTCCAGCCAATTCCCCACCCTCCTCAGTCCCCTCCTCACCCCGTCGTAGCCTCTTCTCCCTGCCCGGACTATCCAAGAAGAACCACCACCCTTCCTCCACCGACGGCAGCACCACTCCCGGAGGTCAAATCACCCAAATCGCCCAGACGCCCATCCTCGAATCCTCCAACCCGCTCGAAAAGTCTTCTATCCCCGCCGAAGCCCGCGAACAACAAATTGTCGGTGTTCCGGGTGCAAAACTCTCTTCCGAATCCGCTAAGATCCTTATCGCACTCGATGGAACCGAGGCTGGCGACAAAGCCTACAAGTACCTCCTCGAGAATAAAGTCCTCAATACCGACAGCCACGTCTTTTTGTGCACTGTTTTGCCGGCAAATATCATTTCGACGCCCTGGGTTGCGGGCCCGCTAACTATCGATACAGAGAAACACAACGAGCTGTTGAAGCAGATTCGAGCACAGGCGGTCGAGAAGTTGGAGCCCTACAAACAGCAACTCAAGCAGAAAGGGTTTAATGTAACAATTCACGTATTGCACGGTGACGCAAGAGCAAGTTTGGTAAGGGTAGCAAACTATCACCACGTCGATTTGGTATTGGTGGGTAAGAGAGAGAGGAACTGGAAGAAAGGTTTGACTACGTCGGGGACTGTCAGTAGTTATTTGGTTAGTCATTCAAGTGCGCCGGTGCTTGTTATCAAGTAGAATGCAACCAGCATCAGCATGGTTTTGAATCTGTTCTAGTCACCCAGCATACGTGAAATGCAAATGGTAGACACGATACGCTGTAATATGCACGACAGTCGATCCGATGTGTGAATGAATTAGAGTTGCGAGAATGACCAAATAAGAGAACCGTACGAAGCTATAATTTGCGATGATGAGTGTAGTAGAGTGAGATTGAGAGTCTGATACCTGTTTGTCTCAAAAAGAGACCAGCTATGCTCCCGAACGAACAGCAACAAAGTCCATTGCTATTTAGTGCTCCCTCCCAATCTGCAACCACCTAGTATCAGGAATAATCCTCCCCTTGTTATTCTTCTTCACCGCCAGTGCCCCCCTCCCCCACCCGGTCCCAATCACCCTTGCATCCCAAGGCAAGTTTTCCGGATACAGCCCTTGCAATCCCGAATTCGGGGCAGGACACCAATTCAGCAGATCCGCAATTTCCGGAGCCGAACTCATATATGGATGAAACCTTCTCGTCGGATTCCTTTCAATCCTCTTCTCCTTCAATCTACCATGACAACCGTACATATCCTTATCGTACAGCACATACGCTTTCACTTTCTCCCCCCTGTACTGGACACTCGCTTCGGCATCGGATAGCTCATCGTCGATGCCGACGTACTGGAAGGTTCGTTCGCCGTTTTTGAGAAATCCTTGCGTGTTCCATCGGACTGCTTTTGCGTGGAGTTCTTCGAAGCGGGCCTTTTTGAAACCGTAACCGACAACAGTGATCCGTCCGGGATAGTGGCCAGTGTATTCGCGGAAACGGGCAATGGAGAAGAGGAGGTTTTCGAAGCTGTCCAGTGCGAAGTTTTCGGTTGTCATTCGGGCATCTTGCAGTCCGTGACGGGTGGCTACAGCTGCGTTGGCATGTGCGAGACCTCCTATCGAGGACGATGAGGAAGATGAGGAAGATGTTGAGTTGCTGAGACTTCCCGCAATCATCGGCAATTCGAGATTAGCAGCAATAGCAAGAGAGAAATACGACTCAGCCTCCGTCTGAAGCGAATTAGGTCTAGTCTGACCACCCGAGAAAACCAGAAGCGCACTAGGATCTTCATTTGTAACCTGGACACCCTTTTCGATGTGCTTATAGAAAGACTTTACGCTTCCACCTTTCTGATAGTCTTCGAGGATCCAATTTGCGTCGTTGTCCTTGCCGTTGACGTCGCAACCAGCCCAGATGGCGTGGCCTGTGACGATCACGAGGTGGTTGAGATGGTCGGTACCGTTGCGAGGTGGTGGTACAGAGGCACTGAGCTGGTCGGGGGTATAACCGTGGAAGGATTGCCAAGAGGAGAGACCTAGTGGTGGAGAGTCCCTGGCGCGAGAGAAGAGCATGTATCGGAGATTGAGGAGCGCGGAAAAGCCGGCAAAGCCAAGAAGTAGAAGGATGCCGAGATTTGTGACTCTTGATCTTGCAGAGAGACGGTCGTGGAGAGAAACACCGCCTGGTTGGCCTGAGGCGCCATTCAAGGCGAGGGAGATGCCGGACTTACGAGCTCCGGAGAGGAGCCCTCCGGATGGTTTCGGTACCATCTTCGGTGTATGTGTAGGGTGTTGAGCAGAGGTGTGCTATGTCGACTTGCTGAGAGTAGATGGCGTGAAGAACGGTCTTTGAAGGCCTCCGGTAGAAGTAAAAGCTGTCCGCGACGACCGGGCCGATGAAAGTAAGACGCTTACGAGCCTGCTCGAGGCCAGTGCGCTGGCCTTGCGTGTGAGTGGACGAGTGCACCGTCTAATTGTGGGTCTTGTGTTCGAACGGAGAAGGATACAGAAAGCTGAAGAGGTGCGCTGCGCAGGAGAATTGAGATGGTCAAGAAGGAACAGAATGCTCATGTGGTTCTCGATGTGGACCCCGGAAAGCGGTGCAGTCTCAGGCCGTGTGGTTCGAAGCTATTCACACCATCTTGGAAGCGAACCTCGTGAAGGCGCAGAGCAGCCGCCGCACTTTGTCCAACAATTCGCACACACGCAGCTTCGATTTTGGCAGCCATCTTCCAGAGTTGCCAGAGTCAGGATTGCCGTGCTGTGTTAGAGCCCGAGCGTTTGATGCGATTTCGCAGATCGGGCAGCTGAACCGCAGATTTGTCCCTCGAACTTGATGGACCAGCGAATCGAAGCAACCTCTTTTTCCGATCCCTCGATGCTCTTCTGCACTTTTCTCACGCTGTTTCTTTGCTCATGGACTGACTATCAAAGTGTCGTGAGCAGCTTAACAGTCATGTTGGCGGTTTTCGGATGTCCTTCTCCGCGTGTCAAGAAGCTGTAGTGCCTGCATAGGTAGGTTTGAGTTGCTGCCTTTAGTGTTGGCCAAACGCTCAGAATTACGTAGAAAAAATGGTTCGAAAAATTCGAAAAATTCGGGCGGGATTGAAAGATGTTAGAGAAAAACTATCTGACATTTCGAGATTAGCGAAAACCTCCACACACATGCACGGTGTCCTCAGTCAGCTTTCTCCTTGACGTTGATCCGGTGCTTCCCTTTTTCCACTCCTTCCTTGCTTGTTCTAGCCAAACTACCAACAAGAAGATCGAGCCATGTCAGATATACGCTCAAAAAGCGCCAGCTTCCTCAGCGACGCAATCGCAGCCGCAACAGGCGGTCAAAATGCCAGCTCGGCAGCAACACAGCTCGAGCAAGCACTGTTCGAAAAGCACCGACAGTCCACCTCGAACGACTACCGCGGCGACATCCGAAACATCGGCTTGACACTCAAGAAGGACAATCCACAACTTGCGAGCGATCTAGCAGAGGGAAAGCTAGCGCCTGGGCAACTGGTCAACATGTCGTACGAGGTGAGCGTGGATGTACCTTTTGCGCGCGTGAAGTTCAGCAATGTTACTGACTTGAAACATCTTTGATCCACTTGCGCCAAACACAGGAAATGAAAACGGAGCAACAAGCAAAACAAGACGATCAACTTCGTCAGCAAAACCTACAAGAATCCGTCGGAGTGGACGAGCTCGATCCGGACCAAAACAACATGATCACTTCAGAACATGGTATATCTCGGATGCAAGAAGGCGACATGGAAACATATGGTGAAGCCGACAAGGCTTCCGAAGGCGAGTTCAAAGCAAGAGCACAACCCAAGGTCGGCGAAGCAATGCGCGATATCGAGTTCGAGACAGGTGTATGAAGCGTCTGATCACAATAAGCACACAAACTTCTCCGCAATCATAGGTGTGGCTGTGATAATAGTACACTGAACAGCTGTGACGTCCAAAAGATGCAAAAGTATAGGTACAAATACAGGTGATTAGAATGCAAGAGAAGGAGAGAGTATGTGCGACGACAAAGCGAAGAGCAGGGATCACATGGGACGACCAGCAGCAGCCTGAGCGGCGTCTCTGCGTGCCTCTGCTTCCTTTGCTTGCTCCTCAGCACGACGCTTCTTACCCTCTTCGGCCATCTGCGCCAAACGGTCGTGATCCAGTTTAGGTTCGACGTGTGTTTCGTAGTTGCCTGCGCTGAGGCTTCGGTCGTATGCTTCACCGATAGCGGCAAAGAGCTGGTCTAAGTTCTCGATGGCGTCACGGAGCGCCTCCAATGCCGAGGCCTTGTCTGTTGTCCAGCGAAAAGCAGAAGAGAAGCGAAGAGCGGTCAGGATGCTGCGCTGCGAGAGTATCATAGAGGAAGAGACATCCGCAACTTGACGACAGTGACCATGGCAAACAGACTTGCGCTTCTAAAGGCTCAGTAGGAACGATTGTACAAGAATCTAAAAAAAAAAAATAACTTTCGTCAAGCTCCAAACAACCTGGCAGGTTGAAGGGCACATACGATCCCTTTTTCTCATCTCCGCCAGCGAGGATGCAAGTCTGTTCTGTTGCGATGGTGCATCTGTCTGTCGTCGTTGCCGATGCTGTGTTTGAGGGTATCAACTTACCATACATCTGAATGCGAAGGTGGATCTTGTTCTCGGAAGGATGAGGGTTGCTGTAACCGCAGAACTCGACTCGAGGGCTGAACGAACGACAAGACAAAAGAGGTAGCGTGTCAGCATGACTGCCGCTGAAGCAGTGAGGTAGATAGATACGTTTGCTACTGTCTTGCCAACCAGAGATGCCTCAGCAACGAAGAATTCCATTATTGTATTTCCCCCACCACTACTATGAACCAATGCGACTTGGCCAATTCGTGTAAAGCACAATAGTTTACAATATCATCTCGGGACCATCTCCAGAAGTTGATGACGTTGTAGCAAGTGCGATGGGAAAGACTTACTCTTTCATGATAATGTATCGAAGCGAGTTGCCGAGAGTGTGGTCCTCCTCTTTGAGGCAGAAGGTGACGGCGGAGAAGTCGGGTTCGTAGCCTGGCAGCAAGGTGAGCTTGTCGGATATTGAGGCAGGGCCGTCGCCCATGACCTCTGCGAGGTTTGGGTTCGACATGGTGCCAGTGTCGAACGCAGCGGAGCGGATAAGAAGGAGGAAGAGGGAGATGTAGGGGTGGTGAGAAGCAAGGCTAAGGTGGAGCATGGAAAGCATTTGACACTTTTTTTCTTCTGTTTTGGCGCCTTAAAATTTTTGAGTGTGGAGAAGAAGCCTTGACCTTTTTTTTTTTTTTTTTTTTTTTTTTTTTTTTATCGCACGAAATAAGCCCCGATTTGGCTAGAACTGCCAGACGGAAATTTGTTTGCAACTTGAACGGGCGACTCGATTTCGAGGCAGCACCTGAGCAGTGTAGCCGACACTCGATCCAGATGAGCAGCGACTCAGCGCGCCGTTGGTCAGGCAGAAGGGCAGAGACGTGTCGTGATTCAAGGCAATTCAAAGCAGTTGAGCTGAGCGTGAGAAAAGGGCGAATTCAGCCTCATTTCTTCACACTCGTCGCCCTTTTTCTACCTCTCTCAGCTCTTGGAGAAGGCAGTGGCCTGAATATCGTCGTATCGCTTCGCGACCCCACCCAACCGAGCGTCCGCCATTCACTCACACAGTCTGCAACGGCCAAACGGCCAACGGCCAACCGTCAATCCGCATCCGCATCCACCTTCCCTCAATCTCAACCTCAACCCTGATCAAAGACCGATTCAATATTCCTTCCTGTTGGTTCGGTTTGATTGTTTTTTTTTTGACACCGTCGTCCCGTCGCCCTCAACACCGTCGCGTATATCCGCAGACGTCATCCAACACCGGTGGTCGCTATCGTTGCGCCTCCGTTCCCTTCCCATCCACCTTCTCGGCACCGCTCGTCGGCGCGCGCGCCCTTTTTGTCGCGTCTATCAGGTCGACACCATCCCAGGACCCGTAGCATTCGACTTCTTCGTCGACGTGGCCTTCTGCACGCCATCCATCACGCTCCCTTGTCCCCTGAACCGATCTGTCTTCACAGGTTGCTATCTGTCGTGGTCACTCACTCCGGCGCACCACCTTGGACACTTTGTCTTGCATTGACGTCAAGCTTGATCACGCATACAATCGAGGCCATCTAGAACAACGCGACATTCGCCAAAAGCAGCGGACCCCAGTCGACTTTGTCTAGCCGCCGTCTGTCGCCACATCCATTCATCACAATGTCGGCCACCGTCAACGGTGCCAGCAATGGCGCGCCAGCAGATGGTCAGCCACCTGCGCTCAGCGTTCAAGCGCAACAGATGTTGACCGGCATGACCAAGGAAAGGCTCCACAGCATGATTGCTCGCATGCAACAGCTCAAGGCCAGCGGTGTCGACGAGTCTACCAGCCAGGAATACGCTACCCTCGTCAACACCCTCAAGATGTTTCAGCAATATCAGGCTATGCGTCAGCAACAGGCCGTCGCAATGCAGGCAAGAGCAGCACAGCAGCCCGCTTCTCGATCTTGGTCCACTGCATCAGCACCCTCGGCACCATCACCGTCACAGCCCGCCAATACTTCGACACCTGCTGCCGCAAACGGCGCGCCATCTACCAACGGCGTGCCCGTCAAGACCGAAGAGGACATCACTCGCTCCTTGAGTCCGGCAAACTTCACTCCTGATCAGCTCAATGCTCTTAAGACCCAGATCATCGCGTTCAAGCTCATCTCACACAACCAGCCATTGCCGTCGCATTTGCAAGAGGCCATCCTCGCTGCAGACCGCGAAGCTGAGACTCAGGACTCGAAAAAGGGCGAGCCACTCAGGACAGCGACACTAATTGCCGCTGCTGCTGTCTCGTCTGCAGAGAAGAGTGCATCGGAGGAGGCAACAAAAGCAGGCACGTCAAAGGAAGGTGCCACCGCCACCACAACCTCATCAGAGACTATTGCCGAGATCCCAAGACCGCCAAGTCCAAAAAACGACCCAAGCAGCTCTATCTACCCTTACAATGCCTACGTCCATCCCTTCTCGTACATCTCCAAGCCTTTGCTCGAAGACGATGACTACACAGTCACAAAGCAGCAACGCCTCTTGATACCAAGTCTCATGCCCGCCGGTCTCGAGCCTAAGCTCTTGCTAGAGGAACGTGACCGATTCGTTCAGGCTCGTATTCGTCAACGCATCCGAGAACTCGAGTCGTTCCCTGCCGACATGTCGCAGAACCCTACGATGGCAGGCCTCAAAGACAAGGAGAATGCACACGACCTCACATCTCAGCTTCACGGCAGCGGTCTCCAAGGTGACAATGCTAAGCTGAAGGCACTCATCGAGCTCAAGTCGCTGCACCTCCTCGAGAAGCAGAAGCAGCTTCGCGAGCAGGTCGTGCAGAGTCTCAACCTCGCCACCACGCTTGGTCTTGATCGTGTTGCTTTCCGACGTGTCAAGAAGCAGACGTTGCGAGATGCACGCATGACCGAACAGCTCGAGCGCAAGCAGCGTGTCGAGCGAGAGAAGCGTGCCAGGCAGAAGCACATCGACTACCTCAGCACCATCTGCAACCACGGTCGAGACCTCGTGGCTGCGCATACCAAGGCCAACGATCAGGCACGCAGATTCGGCCGTGCCATGCTCAAGTTCCATGCCGACACAGAGAGGGAGGAGCAGAAGCGCGTTGAGAGGATCGCCAAGGAGCGTCTCAATGCGCTCAAGGCCGACGACGAAGAGGCTTACCTCAAGCTCATCGACACTGCCAAGGATACGCGTATCACCCATCTTTTGCGACAGACCGACGCCTATCTCGACAGTTTGGCACAAGCAGTCCAGGCACAGCAGAACGACGACGTCCACGCCGAAGCCATCGCTGCTGAGCGAGTCGTCGAGGACACATCGAACCAGGAGGTTGGTGTCGCTGTCGACGAGACCATGTTCGGTGCCACACGTCAGGACGACCCGAGCGAGGACCGTGGCAAGGTCGACTACTACTCGGTGGCACATCGCATCACTGAGCGTATCACTCAGCAGCCAACAATTCTCTCGGGAGGTACACTGAAGGATTACCAGATGAAGGGTCTGCAGTGGATGATCTCGTTGTACAACAACAGGCTCAATGGTATCCTGGCCGACGAGATGGGTCTCGGAAAGACAATTCAGACCATCTCGCTCATCACCTACTTGATGGAGTTCAAGAAGCAGAATGGACCATTCTTGGTCATTGTGCCCTTGTCGACGCTCACCAACTGGGTCAACGAGTTCAACAAGTGGGCGCCTACTGTGTCGACGCTCATCTATAAGGGTACGCCCAACGTGCGTAAGCAGCTTACGGGTCGTCTCCGCTCTATGAACTTCCAGGTGCTGCTCACCACTTACGAGTACATTATCAAGGACAAGCATCTGCTCGGAAAGATCAAATGGGTGCACATGATCATTGACGAAGGTCATCGTATGAAGAACACCCAGTCCAAGCTCACCATCACCTTGACACAGTTCTACACAAGTCGATATCGACTCTTGCTCACCGGTACCCCTTTGCAGAACAACCTTCCAGAGTTGTGGGCCTTGCTCAACTTCGTCTTGCCAAGAATCTTCAACTCGGTCAAGAGTTTCGACGAGTGGTTCAATGCTCCTTTCAGTAACACCGGTAACGAAGGTGGAATGATGCTCAACGAAGAAGAGGCGTTGCTGGTCATCAAGCGTCTTCACAAGGTGTTGCGACCTTTCTTGCTGCGTCGTCTCAAGAAGGATGTGGCTTCGGAGCTTCCAGACAAGGTGGAGAAGGTAATCAAGTGCAAGATGAGTTCGCTCCAGTCCAAGCTTTACCAGCAGATGAAGAAGCACAAGATGATTTTGTCCGGAGAGGATCATGGTACGAAGAAGGGCAAGCCGCAGGGGATTCGTGGTCTGCAGAACGCCATCATGCAGCTGCGAAAGATCTGCAACCATCCTTACGTTTTCGAACAGGTCGAGGTAGCTATCAACCCGACCAAGGAGACCGGACCGGATCTGTACCGAGTATCAGGAAAGTTTGAGCTGCTCGACAGGCTGCTTCCTAAGCTTTTTGCGACAAAGCATCGTGTGCTCATCTTCTTCCAGATGACTGCCATTATGGACATTATGGAGGACTTCCTGCGATACCGTGGCTTCAAGTACCTGCGTCTTGATGGTGGTACCAAGCCCGACGACCGTTCGGAGCTGCTCAAACTCTTCAATGCACCTGGATCGGACTACTTTGTCTTCATCCTGTCGACGCGTGCCGGTGGTCTTGGTCTTAACTTGCAGTCCGCCGATACTGTCATCATCTACGATTCCGATTGGAATCCTCATCAAGATTTGCAGGCTCAGGATCGTGCCCATCGTATCGGTCAGAAGATGGAGGTTCGTATCTTGCGTCTTGTTACGGAAAAGTCGGTGGAAGAAACGATCTTGGCGCGAGCGCAAGACAAGCTCGAGATTGAAGGCAAGGTCATCCAAGCCGGTAAATTCGATAACCAGGCCACTGCTGACGAGCGAGAGCTGTTGCTGCGTGCCATGTTGGAAGCCGACAACGATGACGAGGATGAAGATGATGGCGACTTTAACGATGACGAGCTCAACCAGCTGCTTGCGCGTGGTGAACACGAGGTTCCAATCTTCCAGCAGATCGATAAGGAGCGGCAACAGGCCGATGCCGAGTTCTGGAAGTCGTTGGGTTACAAAGGCAAGCTTCCTGAGCGTCTTATGCAGGAGAATGAGCTGCCGGCTGTCTATCAGCAAGACTTTGACGCCGACAATGTCCTAGCGGAGGTTGTTGAAGAGGAGCCTGCGACGCGAAAGAGGAACGTCGTTCACTACGATGATGGTCTTACGGAAGATCAGTTTTTGCGAGCTCTCGAGGACGATGATGTCGACCTTAACGATATTGTTGAGCGCAAAAGGGAGAGGATCGAGAAGCGCAGAGCCAAGACTATGCTGCAGTCAATGGACTCTACTGAAGGCACACCTGAAGCAGAAGGCGGTAGGAGGAAGAAGGGTGGTCGAGGTCGTGGTCTAGGTGGTGCCAGCGAGACACCCGACCCTTCGCCTGGTCCTTCTGCCCGGAAGCGTAAGCGATTCGGAAACGCCTCCATGGACGGCTCACCCGACTACGAGGAAAGTCCATCTGCCGCACGCATCGTTCAACCCAAACGACGCAAGACTGGAGGAGAGGACGATGTCCGCGATCGAATCAAGTACGCGCTCAACCAGTGCTACCGTGCTGTCGAAACATGCTTGGAACCTGAAACAGGTCGTAAACGCTGCCTACTCTTCCTGGACGTACCCAAGAAGAGCGACTATCCGGACTATCACGTGATTATTGAAAAGCCCATTGCGATGCGACAAATTAAGCGCAGGATCGATAATAGGACGTTTAGACGCGTCGACACGTGTCGCGATGAATTTCATCTTATGGTTAGGAACGCAAAGACGTACAACCAGGAGGGTAGTTGGGTTTATAACGATGCAGTGGAGCTGCAGAAGGCGTTTGATACGACCTATGGTATGTTGTGTCGGTTTAGTGGGTTGCCTGGGTCCGAGAATGAGGGTGAAATGCCAGTAGGGGGTAACGGGGAAGGTGTGGATACGAGTATCGGTGGTGGTGGGGATGGAGGGGAGGATGAGGAAGATGAGGATGAGGAGGAGGTGGAGGAGGAGGAGGAGGAGGAAGAGGAGGAGGAGAAACCCGTTGCTCCTGCACCGAGAGGCATTAAGATTAAGTTAGGGAAGAGGAAACCTAAGAAGGGTGGCAAGAAGGAGGATTCGGATAATGAGGAGTGAAGTGGGGTTTCGCTTACCCCGTTCGTCACGTCTGACCTCGGACTCTACGGGCGACTCACGGTCAAAACATTCGGTATCTAAACACACAAAGGGGGGTCTTTCCTGACAAATTTCTAACAGCTTTGATCATCTCATAATGTACCATACGCTCTCCGTTGCTTCCTCCACCGACAAGGAGGAGGAGCGACGGGAGCTCGTCGATTCAGTGAATTGCGAGTCTTTCTATTCATTCTGATGTCTTGTGATACGTGAGAGAGAGTGTGTGCAGGATGGAGCTGCGAGCGGGGAATGGGTCCCTTCAGGGATGGGGAGTGGGCGGTGTTGTCGAGACGTCGAAGAAATGTGGTGGCGATGCAGAGGTAGGACAACGACGTTGATGTCGACGATGTCGACGCCAGCCAGGCCAAGACACAGGTACGGTGGCGGGGAAAGCTTCCGTACCAAGCGAGTGCAGCAGTGCGGGATGGTGGGCAGAATTTCTCTATCTGTTAGATTTGACAAAAAATGCGCGACAAAGCTTGGCAACTAGTCGTCACGATCATCGCTCCTTCATCTCATTTCTACCATCGTCACACTCATACCATGCACAGTCTCACACTTTGTCCCGTTATCACGCCTGAAGCCCATATGGTCACCGTCGAAAGTATTTGAAGTCCATTTTGTTGCTTCTCTTGCCGTCTAGAACGGAATGAAATCCGAATTTGAAGGACTAGACCGAGACCGAAACCCAGGGGCAGGATCCGATTCAGACCTTTGCGTACGCATATCACCCCTGACACCGGGCTCTCTATCTTTTTGCCAACCGAACCGTAGCCATCTACTGTGCATGAAGACGCCTTGGATGGAAAGTGTACAGATTGCACTCGCGGCCTGTTCGTGACTGGTTAATTTGATGAAACCGTATCCTCTCCCGGACGGGATTCGGGCTTCGAGCGGCTGTCCGTGATTGAAAGGGGCGAACATCCTCAAGAGGTCTTGACGGGAGGTGAGAGGGGATAGATTGCCGACGTAGACGCTGGTGAGGTCGGGTGAAGGAGCGGAGGATAGGACTTGGGAATAGGTTTTGTGGGTCAAAGAAGGGTTGGTGGGTTGGGTGGAGGAATCGAAGCCGGCGGTGTGACGTCGAGGGAGGCCGGGGAAACGAGGACGGTCGGTGATAGAGTTGGAAGGGGTGGATGTGTAGGAGGATAAGACTAGTTTGGTTGAGAATGGGGCGGGTCGTTGTTGTGATTGGGAAGGATACGCTGTTGGATAATCACCTGAGATTGTTGTAATCGCCGTGAGTGGTGGCTGGTTCTGGTTCTTCTGATTAGCCCAGTTAACACGAATCTGTCGGCCACCTAACCACTGTCCTTGCATAGTAGTTATACAGGTCTCCGCATCGTTTCTGCTACGAAAGTTGATAAACCCAAACCCTCTCGACTTCCCTGTTTCCGCATCATACATTACCCTCACATCCGCCAAAGAGGGGACTCTCGAAAAGAGTGCATGCAACGAAGCATCATCCACTTCGGGAGAAAGATCCCCAACAAAGAGATGAGAGTGACCAGCATTGCTATGCATCGCAACTTGACCTCCTCGTTCTGCGGGATCTACTTCTCCCATTGCTGCTGGCGATGTTGCTGCGTCAGGATGCATACTATGTTTAGCCCAAGTGACTTTGATCGGAGTGCCAAACCATAACCATCCATCCATTGTACGGATAGCTCGCTCGGCAGATGCTGCATCGACATACTCGACAAAGCCATACACTAGACCTCCAACAGGACGACTAGTGACCACTTTGGCAGATTGGATTTGACCCAATGAACCAAACATCTCGCACAAATCGCGCTCAGTCGTCGTCGCTGGTAGATTAGCGACGTGGACGAGAGGTCGGATGGGAGGCATAGACTTGTCGACACGTCGAGACTGGGTTGAGCTTGGCCCCGGTAAGACTGACATGTGAGGCATCGTCATAGTTGGGAGATTGATGATGACGAGAGGACTGTTGACGATGATGGCAGGAATGACTCTACGTATCGCGTCGCAAGAATACAAGGAGCAATGCGAGGGAGATGGGGGAGCAAAGGAAGGAGAAGGGGGAGGGGCAATTCAATAAAGAAGGAGATACAACAGAGCAATGGCTGGTGATGCGGGTCAGCTGCTGATGTTGCTGATGACAAATGAGGTGTGGACGGATGATGACGAGTGGAAGGCAAGATGCAAGCGACGGAACACTGTCGATACAGGTTGTAGCGAGATGTAGATTGATACAAACACTTGTTACCTGTTTGCTCGCCGGCCACCTCCCAGCTCTTAGGGGTCGATAGAAGCTCAACAACGGATGGTGATGGACGAGGAGCTTCGATTGGAGGCTTTGGTCGATGCCAGTGCTATTTCTAACGACTCACAGAATCGAAGAGAGGGGCTATTGACTTACTATGCTTCAAAATTATGGGACGGGACAGGGCGGAAAGTCGAACATACAACTTTGCATGCTACTCAAGTCGACGATGATGATGATGACGGCGACGACGGCGAGGATGATGGTCAAAGTTGTCGTCGATGCTATACAGGAGTAGGCATGTTCTATTGGAGTTTGTTGATACTGAGCGTGCTGCAGCGAGATGAAAAGAGTCGATGATCGGTCGCAGTGAGAACAACAAGAGCAAGGCTTTAGAAGTATATGGGAGTATTCACCGATGCTCCCACACCTAACGTCGAATCAGTGCAACAACGAAAGGGGGTTGCGATGGACGTTCAGTCCCTCCTCCGGGTAGGAAAGAGGGCGAGACGTTCCCTCTGTAAGAGGGCGGTGAGTGGCTACAAGTCTGGTCAAGCCGATACATGGAAGAGTGAACGGAAGGTAGTATTCACATCGCGGAGCGAACAAGAGACAGACCGTAGTCAGAAAGTATGTATTAGAGTCAGGGGAGGGGGAAACGCACGACCATTCGGAACTGCAATTCGGCAAACACATGCATGGAAGTCTAGGCAGAAGAACAGCGGATCTTACTTGACACAGCAAAGGATGAAAACAACTTTCGCATCCGAAGTCAAGATGAGTGTACAGTAGGATCATGCTCAAAGCAAAGACAACGAGAAGAATGATTGACCAGAGACAGACGAGCTGCAATCTTCTGCAAATGTACATGAACCCCGTCAAACACGAAGGACCGAAAGAACAGTACAAGGCGCTGGTGAAGGGTGGTTATACATGTATCCTCGTTCCGAGACCGTTTGATTTGCTGTGCACGAGTGCCAAGTTCGGCTGCAAGATAAAGAAGCCACCAACCAGTACCATTTTGTTCTTGATCTTCTTCTGCTCTCCGCTCGGCCCATGCAACGCTTCGAAGCAACCATCGGTACCAGAAGCTCACCGCCGCACAGACTTTTCTGCCTGAGCCCGTGTTTCGGGAGTACCGCAAGGATGCCACGTCTGGTGACTTTGAGAAGGACGTCGTTCGATTAGCCAACGACAACTAGGCCCGTCGTTTCGGCTTCTTCACCTCCTCCGCCTAAGCCTCAAAATCAAATATCACACAGGTATGGCGTTGAAGAGAGAGAAGGCGAAGAATAACCTTTGGCACGCAAACCAATGGGTCCTGAAGCATCGCTCTCGTTGGGCGTCCTGGATCGGAGAAAGAACTTCTTGCGAACCAAAGGAAACAATGGCTTCGACAACCAGCACAAGAGGAGAGGCGAAAGGAGGGTACGTTTTTCGCGAATGTCTTCGGCAATCATAGTGGAATCAGTCAGCTTGTGAAACGCTCAGGCCTGCATGCACGTTGTACCACTATATCTCATCACACTCGTTCTACACCGCAGGAATGAAGGAGGAGCCAGCGAATCAGCTGGACTAAGAGAGGGAGGGAGAGAGGAGTGGATAGTCCAAACTGGCGAGAGACATCGGTTCGCACGCCGCTGTCGAAAGCTCACAGGCGAGGAGGAAGAGATGCAGCTGCTCATGTGCCTCTGTGATTACCTGTTCACTCATGCTCTCCCTGGTCGACGATGATGAGGAGCTGCATGGAAGGAAGGACGGAGTGGAAAAATCAGGAGGGGAAGCGGAAACGGAGAGCTCAGTTACTGAGAGGCTTGCATACGTCACACCAAGATTTTGGAGAGAATGGCTTTTCTGTACTCTGTCGTCAAACGGCAGCAGGAAGAAAGAGAAGGAAGAAGACCGAGGTTGAGGGGGAGCCAGAAGCTTCTATGCGCTAAACGAGCCAGATCCGCCCGGAGAGCGCGGACACTTTTTCTTCTCTTTTGGCCGCAGAAGGTCAGATCCAGAAAAGGCGGCCGGCTCGAAGGGGGAACAAATCGAGTGGTGAGGGAGTTGCGGATGGGCAGGCTGTGTATTTTGGGCAGACTGTGTGATTTGGGGGTTGGGAGTGTGACAGCATGGGCCCAGGCCAGAAAACGAGCTTTAATTTTTTTTTAGCTTCATGTCAACAAGACAACGGCCAAATGCCGTGCAACGCGCTGTAAATTCAATTTTTTTCTATTTCTTTTTTCTCTTCTCTATTTTCTTCTTCGCCTTTTGCTGCTGCTGCTTGAGGTAAATTATTCTTTCTTCCATGACGGCATTTGAGTGAGAAGCAGATCAGAGAGGCGCTTTAAATTTAAGGTAGAAGACCTTGCTTTTGAGCTTGCATTCTTCCAGCGCCCTTGCATCCATGCGAGAGTCCTGTCGTGTTTCGCTTCTTTGTCTCTCGTGGCTTTTCGTTGCTGCTCAACTCATCGCTTATATCTCTCACACTATTACCTTTTGGGCGAGTGCTCGAGCCATGCGTTCCGCATTCACTCGGACCTGTCTCTCACTCTGTCTCCACTTGGAATCATATTCGTCCCCTTTCTGCCTTGTGTAACCCTCTGTCTCAGTGAGAGTGTGGGCACAGACCAGTATACAGGCTCGTATGGACGCATCACACTCGTGACTCTTCTACATTGGTGCCGAGCTTGCCTGTTTCATGAAGCGAGTATAGAGTTTCGGTTTATTCATTCTTTTGGTCCCAACAACTGCAATTTCAGATGGTGGACTCTGCCTTTGTGAACCGTCTGATTCTTGTTACATCTGAAGCCATGTTGTCGACTCCTCTGATTCGACTCCCCGTTGGAAAACCAGCAGGTATCTTGTCGTCATCACTCGGAACTTGGTTCACCGAGGCAAGCTGGACTTCACATTTACATTCGAATGGCTCGCTCTCTGTCCTCTCTCCAGCCCAGATACCTTTGTCTATGGACACAGTGAGCAGAAATGGAACCGGTCAACAAACTTTTCAAGGACACGGACGAGATGGGAGCGATCATCGACCAGTTACAAAGGAATACAAGTTGCAAGACCGCCGCTGCTTGCTCGCTTCAATCAGACCTCTTTACTCAACCTCGCTAAGCGAATATCTTTCTTCCCATCCGAATCACGTCTTGCATCCTCCAAGACCACTTTGTACCTGCGCCGAATCTCCGCCGATAGCGTTAGCTGAGTTCTTGAATGACTGCGCGAGACTCGAGTTGGGATGAAAGATGGCCCATCCGCATTCGGTTGAAACGATCTTGCCGAAGGGACGCGATCCAATTATACAAACAAACTCTCAGCCTGAAGGAAAGCTCGGCATTCTGTTCGGACAAGTTATTCTGCTTCAGTATCTTGTCTGCGTTCACCTCAAGATGCTCCTCGTAGCCGGTGAGTCGATGTTCTTATGCTTTCCTACGACCATCGAACCCCCCAGATAACGGCCCATCCGCATCCACGTCATTGTGACTACACCAACTCAACCGCCTGTTCCAGCCCGAGCACGGCAGATACTCATGTCCTTTGACCTGCTACCACACAATTACGGGCCTCTTCACTGTATCACTCTTCTCACGGCTGAAATATGACATGCGAGAAGGAAACAAACGCCCAATTGCGATTAGAGGCAACATCTAGATAGCATACCAAGTCATTACGATAATCCATTCCACACCCTTCCATCCAAGTCTTTGGCTACGTCTCAGCCTTCCTTCTCATGATTCGCATCACGCGATATTGCCGCACTGGGCTCTTCAGTGATCCTCCTCTCCAGCAAGTGGCTGAGCTGGTAACCTGAACTCACCTTCTCATTCTGCGCAGCCGCAAACCCGGAGTCTCCAGCTTGCACCATCTCCTGATCATCTGAAGACCCAGCCGAATGGCTATGCAGCACCGTAACCTGCTGTTCCAGCGTCGTCACCGACCCTTCCACTGCACTAGCCTCACCCATCTCCGCGGCATCCACTACACCATGTTCCACCTTCCACTGCGCGAAATCTTCACTACCTCCAAACGGCTGCCAAATTTCCAACTCGGGATAGCATCTCCTAACCGATGATTCGGCTCCCATAGCCATCAGTGCCATGATCGGATTCGTCAGCAGCGAAAGAATGCCGCCGAAAAGCAACTTGATGATCATCGGAATCCAGGTCCCTGCCAGTTCGCGGCCTCCGTAGATCGGCGCAACGATCGCAATCGCTAAGGGCCAGTACCACCAAAAAGTAAGACAGCAGAGGAAGAACCCTTGTGCAGCCGTCCACACCAATCGCTCTAGCCGTTGTCGCCATGAAATACCGGCTGCAAGCAAATCATTCCTCTCCGACCCAGTCAGTACTGCTCGGACGAACCACCACCACCAACCGTTCAGCTTGGACTTTCCTTCCGCTCTACCCATTCTGCAATTCTTCTCTTCCCGCTGTACATCCTCTGGCATGCGAACACCCAGCCAGCGTCCCTCCGGTCCAGGAGTAGAAGGCAAGTGCAAAAGGGGAGGCCAGGGACGCCTTAATGGTCCAATCGGACCCGCGTACAAATCATGATGTACCAGCGAAGAAGTAATGATAAAAGAAACAATCTGTTGAATAATCACCGTCACCCCCATGTCCCCTGCCACTGTCTGCCTGTTAAACGTCCAAACATCAATAGTAGGTTGAGTCCTGTACAATGCTACCGCAACACCAAAGTTGATCGCCCCTGAAATGAGCATCGCAATAACACCCTGTGCGAAGACCAAATACCACCATTGACCATATCCAAACGTTAACGGACCCGGAACCATCCAATCCCTCAAGGTGGCAGGTTGGTCAATGACGACACCAGACCGCTCGTACGGAGCGGCAAAAGGGATTGCTCTTCGTTTATGTTTCCACCACTTCCCTTGATATGAGGGTTTGTGCGGATCGCGGTCGGATAAGTGTAGCTCGTCGGGTCGTTTGGCTATTGATCGGCGTGGTTCTTGCATCGGATCGACAGGACCGGATTCGGAGGGGCGGATGAGGGAGATAGATCGACGGAATGCGCCTGAGGTTTGAGGTGCGGTGCTGGCTTCCATGCTGGCTCTGCGTTGGTTGAGGCCACGCCGTGCACCCGACTGTGAGCGTCGGTGAGCAGATCGTACAGCAGCATCAACGGGGTTTGTGGCTGAAGAGGAAACGTTTTCGCTTCGATCCCGTCTTGGTTGGTCGGCGTAAGAGAGTGAGACCCGCGATCGAGTTGAGCTTTCAGATGCGCCGGTCGAAGGCTGGTTGGGGATGGGCGTACTCGCGGATGGCTGAGCAATATCGGTGGTGGGATACGCCGGGATCGCTGTCGAGCTTGTTGAGCCGGAGATAGCAGCTACCCCCTCAACCATGCCCTGTTGCTCTGATGTATCATCCTCCATCTCCCCCAAAGCTGTATAGTGGATACGATGATATCGATGGTGATGGTAGTAACGAGGAGAACAACAGGGGTCGATCCGCGTGCAATCCACCTCCCATCCATCTGTCATCTGACAAAAGCGGAGAAGAGTAAGCGTCTGTCTGTGTTTGGCGACGGCGTTTGAACCCTTTCGCTATTTTCGCATCAACGCCAAAAAACGACTCTCGCTGTAGAACCGGCAAAATTGATATTCGAGAGCAAAACGTGCCGTGCGGTTATGGCAATTGCAGATCCCCTCGCAAGGGCGGAATTTTTGGTCACTTGTGCAACACTACGCGCCTTTGCATCCCGGGGGAAAATCATAGCAGAAGATGCCGAAGGAAGCGATCCAATAGGATGATATATGCTGACATAAACGTAATCAGGGATCTGATGGAACCGATCTGTCAAGAAATTGGGTACAACACAGTCCCACTCATTGTCAAGCTAGATCATGAAGTAGGATACTCCCACATTCAGCATGTACCTCATAGATGTATATACAGCACACACATAAACTGTCCCATAATTTTACATGTCACCATACATCACTCTAATGCTCAATAGCTATAAGTTGTATTGCCACACTGTCTGATATCATCTGAAAGCCCTGCTTCTTCTCTCCAAGACTGTGTAATTGATATTGACATTGACTAAAAAAATTGTGCTATGAAGAAGAGCTGAATTTTTTTTTTATTGTGGGACAGTTTATGGAGTGCTCCTCAACAACACCTTAGTACTTTGTATTCCCTCCTTTGGCCTTCAGAACCACCTTGATGTGGTCTGGCATGCTCACTATTAGCATCCTACATGTCTCTGGAGTGATTGCTGTCCATTCAGCTTCACATCTCTTGAGCAGTTCACCCCTGGACTTTGCAATCATACTATACTGTGAAAGTCGCATTTTGAGATGGTGCCAGAGGTGTTCAATCAGGTTTAAGTCCAGCAACTGCACTGGCCATTGCATAACCTTAATGCTATTGCTTTCCAACCATGTTATTGTCTTCTTTGACATGTGTTTTGGGTCATTGTCTTGCTGAAACATGATGTTGGTGTATGCATGCTGAAGCTGCAAATCTGAGATTGTTTTCAAAAGCTTGTCATTCAAGATATCAATGTATTGGTCTGAATTCATTGAACCCAGCACCAAGCACATACCTCCCACCCCTTCCCATGTCATACAGCCCCAGATCATGATGGAGCCACTGCCAAACTTGACCATCAGCCTGACAAGCTTGCTGTTGAAGCTGGCATTCTTAATCCAACAGAACTGCTTACCATCTGGTCCAAAGAAGTTGATCTTCATCTCATCAGACCATACCACATTCTTCCAATCCTCAACAGTCATGTCCTTGTGCTCATTAGCAAATTTGAAACTGGCTTTGTAATGTCTCTTGAGTAGCTGCAGTTTTTTCACTAACCTTTGTGCTTTGTAACGTCAGTAATGAAGTGCTTTTCTTACTGTGGTTGAGCATGCTTTGATTTGAAACATCTCCTGCAGTGCATGACATGCTTTCCTGACTGTGGAGGTTGAATTGAGCTCAAAATAGTGATCCAGTAAGTGAACATGATGAGGCTGGAGTTTTCTTGGCCAGCCCCCCTTTGACTTTGGAACATCAGTGGAGGTGCTTTTGCTGATGCAATTCACAGTAGACTTGCTCAAACCAAGTTGTTCTGCAACTGAACAGATAGATTCCCCATTTTGGATGTGAAAGAGTGCCACTCAGTGCCTCTCTGGGGTGGTTTCTGGCATGATGGTATAGATATGATGGTGTCAGACTGGAAGTGCTGCTGGATCACTCACAGTCATCTGATTGAGCTGAAACTTTCCATGTCACTACTTTCAATGTGTATGAAGGTGCCCACCAAGTTACATTGCAAGTTTCATTGTAGTCAAAAGCCCACAAGGTCAGGAATGGAGTGGTGTCACTATTTGGGAGCATGCTCCATAAACTGTCCCACAATTAAAAAAATAAAAATTGGCTCTTCTTCATAGCACAATTTTTTTTAGTCAATGTCAATATCAATTACACAGTCTTGGAGAGAAGAAGCAGGGCTTTCAGATGATATCAGACAGTGTGGCAATACAACTTATAGCTATTGAGCATTAGAGTGATGTATGGTGACATGTAAAATTATGGGACAGTTTATGTGTGCTGTATATATCAAGCTGAGAACACTAGGTTCTCACCACATTCACTCAGTCAATTGAGTATATATGTTTCTGTCTAAAACAGCAGTGACATCATACTCAGACTCTCCCCGATCGCCAGTTATCGGGACAGAACTTCTTCACTTTCTAACAGAACACAGCAGATACCTTTTCGCTCCGATGCAAAATGAGTTCACTCAACTGGTTGCGATCAGATCCTCCCCTCATACCGTCGTTCGTCGTTTCTGTTGGACGCGCAAGGTTACAGCTTTGACCAGGCAAACTTCAAAAGCCCACCTCTGAGCCCTACTCTGTAGGACAGCACACAAAGCATCTCATCGTTGACCGGAACATCACGTCTCATCTTCAAAGCGCACCTTTCGTTGACCTGTTCAGCGTTCAAAAACCTTGACCAAAAGAACATGTATTTACTAAATGAGATGTGAAAGGGGATAAACAACATTATGCAGCCGCTGCAGCATGGGCTGCCTGATGAGCCTCCAACCTCCATAGTTACTCGAGCCCAACCTCAGTACTTGCGCCACTCTCCAGTGCGCCCTGCGCCCAAGCTGGTAATGAACTCTTCCACTCAAGTTCACTTTTGCCAAACCAAGCCACCTACTCCAGCCCAGCCTAGTCTAGCTAGCAACAACCTCCCCTCTTGCAGCAGCAGCCCGCACCGGCTCGAAATACGCATGATCCTGAGCCTCCTTCGCGGTCAATCTTTCCTGATGATCATACCTCAGCAACTTGTCCAAAAAGTCGATCGCATCATTCGAAATATACCTCTGGTTCTCGCTCGTAATGAATCTGCTCCAGGGTTTCCTCTGATATCTACCCAAAATATCGTCATATTGAGGGTCAAGATCGATATCGTACTTCTCCAAATACACGTACAGCTCGTCTGTGCCTAGAACTTTGCAAATCTTGACGAGTTGATCATAGTTGTCGTGACCATGGAAGAAAGGTTCTTTGCGGAAGATCATGCTTGCGAACATGCAGCCTAGACTCCACATGTCCAGTGAGTAGTCGTACTCTTGGAAATCTACCAAAAGTTCGGGACCTTTGAAGTATCGTGAGGCTACCCTAACGTTGTACTCTGTATAAGGGTGGTAGAACTCCGCAAGACCCCAATCGATGAGTCGAAGTTTACGCTTTTCATGATCAATCATAACATTATGCGGCTTCACATCCCTATGCATAATCCCTCTCGAATGACAGAAATCCAACGCCTTCAACAACTCGAAGATGTAAAACCTCACATCGAAATCGGTAAACTTCGGATAGAGGATCTTGAAATCGGTATTGTTGATATACTCGGTGATGATCGATGGTGTTTTAGACTGTGGGTCTCGTACGACGTCGAGCAGTCCAACGACGTTGGGCCCTCCAGCGAGGTTTTGAAGGATCTTGATCTCTCGTTTGATCTTTTTCTTTTTGACGGGTTTGAGCACTTTGATGATGCATTTCTCGGGAACACCAGAGGCGGAGGCAATGTTGACTCCTTCGAACACTTCAGAGTATTTACCACGTCCAACTTTGCGGAGGATCTCGTAGTTGTCTTGTGTGCCCCATTGAACTGCGAGGTTGTCGTAATCCCACCAGGGACGACCAAACTTTTCGTTGGCGCCGGGGTAGACCCTTGCGCAGCTGCGTCCTCCGGACATGATTGTGATGTGGGACGCTGATCAGCGGATGTAGCTCCTAGGAGACGATTTGACCGTGTGCAGATGAAAGCGATGCAGGTGGTGACGAATGCGGATGACGGTGGATCAACAAGCTTCGGTAGAACTTGCTTCGACTCGGTTTCCGGGGACTAGTACTAAGTCGTGCGGAACTCCTGAAAAGCCGTGGCAAGTATGATGTGTGGCCTACGCGATGATGCGGGATGCGAACGAGCCTGCAAGAGATCAACGTGGGGTCTAGAAAAGCCGAGTATGCTCGAAGATGCGGAGTAAGAGCCGGAGTGCGGGATGTATGACCCTTTGTCGAGATGTTCCCGTTGGATGAAGGGATAGTCGAGCAGCAACCTGTAGACTGATGCGGGACAGGTTCGGATGCCTTGCTGGTAGCTTTCTTTGGGCTACGTCGTTGCAAGCAAGCAAGAGGCGGAGAAGGGGTAAAGTGCGGGATGGTGGTAGTGAAGAGAAGGATTTGATGATGAAGCGTTGGCATAGCGATCTTCTCTCCGACCTGCCGATTTTGCCAAAGAGAGATGGGCTCAGCAGTCAGTCGCTGTGGACAGGCCAACTCCAACGTCAAAAAACGTGACTGAAATCGAACCGCTGCTGGCTAACCGAACCCAGATCAGCTTCAGATCGGCGGAAGGCGAGAGCTGCAAATTTCGACGCGAGAGCCTTTGTCCAAGGCCACATTGTGATCGTCCTCGAATGCTGCAACACATGACGTGGTATATATACGCAAAACCCGGGGCGAGAGTTTATGTACATCTATCCCGGCTAGCTCAGTCGGTAGAGCGTCAGACTCTTAATTACAAGGGTTTCCGAGTACTTTCTCGGAGTTCATCTGAATGTCGTGGGTTCGAGCCCCACGTTGGGAGGCTTTTTTTTCGCTGCTTTTTGTTCTTCATTAGGGATGTTTAAGCCGTCGCGCGAGGCTAAAGAAATTAGAGTAAAGCAGCAGGTGTGTTCAGCCAGAAAAGCTCATCTGGGTTGAAGGGTGATTATATAATGATGATGTAAAAGCTAGCATACAGAGGAGAAAATTTTAAAATTCAGTTTTCTGCTGGAGGTCTGGTGGTGCGCCTGATTTCAACTGAGCTAACCTCCACACAGAGTTGAAAACACAGAAATTCCAACCCTAGGGGGTTTCAGTTTTTTTTTGCCCTCGAAAACTAGAGTCTTCCAATAGTGAAAAAAGGCCAGAAAATTGATGCCCCCAAATGTAAGCTGTGTTTTTAGAGGGTTAATTTTTGAAGCCAACAAAGGGAGGGTAGTGTTGGCTGGAACATGAAGTGTCAGCCAGAAAATGAAGCAGTTCTGAAATCCAAACCACCTGTTCCAGAATTCAAACAACCTTGTAGCTCCACCATCTTTGACACTCTCATTGCACAATCAAAGTATATACAGTCATTATTGACACTGTGGGTTCATGCAAAACAAGCTGTGCAGGAAAAGTGGAGGCATTTGCACAAGTAGATCATGTGCAACTTCATGTGCAACATCATGTGAGTGAAAATTCAAGTCCAATTCTGAAAACTCTGCCACATTGGTACTGCTGAGGCAGCATTTTCAAAAACTAGGGTATTTTCCAAAATGGCAGAGCTTACATAAGTAATGAATCTTCAATGCAAGTGAAAACTCAAAAAAAAAACTTGAGTTTCCGAAAAAAAAAAAAAAAAAAAAAAAACTGAAACCCCCTAGGAATTTTGCAGGCTAACATATTCACATAGGTCTCGGATTGGAAGTGGCCAATTTTGCTCTCAAAAATGGAGAGGGGGACTTGGGAGTTTCTGGACTCAAAATTGCTGAAACAGCCAAGTCCCCTCTCAATTTCAAAATTTTGAGGCAGCAGCTCTGCTATGATTCTCACACTTTTCTTTTCTTGTCTTGAACTTGTCCTGATCTCATCTCCATACACTCCTTTCTTGTCAGCACTGCTCAACATACACCACTTTGACATCAATGGTCAACATCTCACCTAGGAAGAGGGTTGCAAAAGCCCAGCTGCAGACTGATAGGGACCAGAAGGAGCATGAGATCCAGGAAGCTCTTAGTGCATTCCAGAAGGTCAATTCAAATACTTGAAGGCTGCTGCTGAGCATCACAATGTCCCTTACAACACTCTCTGGGATCACAGCAAAGGGTGCAAGAGCTGCACTGCTGCCTTTCAACATCTGCAGGCTATACCACCAGAGGCCAAAGAGCTCTTAGTCTGACATATACAGAAGCAGGCTCACTATGGTTTCCCAGTAACACCACAGAATCTCAGACAGTTGGCCAAACAACTTCTCAGGCAGAGGACCAACAACAATGATGCTACTCTTGGACCTAATTGGGTGTCTGATTTCAGGCAGCAACATCCAAAACTCAGAAGCTACTACTCTCGCAAGATGGATGCTGCAAGGGTATGTCATAGGACCGGATGCGCAGAAGCAGAAGTCATATGAGGTGGAGTGCAGGAATTGAGGATCAGGCAAATCAAGGGGCTTACAACAAAGTTCATCAAGATCTGTAGTAGAGAGGCTCTATGACAGATCTTGCCCAGATTGCCACAAGTGGAGATTGTACAACAAATCCTGCCAGGATCTGTAGTATCATGATCATATGATAGATCTTGCAGAAACCAGTGGAGAGGTGCTGGGCCTACAGACCTCACAACAGGACAGGTGGCAAGGACATCTGGGTCTGCCACTCTAATGAAACAGGGGCCTGCTCGATGATGAACTTGGGGGCAGGAGAATGGGTGAGATGGAAAGGGGGTGAGAGTTGCCACTCAGATGAAGTGGGCAAGCCCCTATCGAGAATGAAGCAGCATGAGGACCCTCCATCTGCAAGGAGTAAAGGAAGCCATGCTAACAAGTGACATCATAAGGCAAGCAGGCCTGCTAGGAGGGAGAGTCGGGAGCGGGAGGAGCAGTGTGTCATGGGCCTGGATGCTCAAGAAGCAGGAGGGTCATGGGTTCATATGGAAGGAGCACAGGTATCGAAGATCTAGTCGAGATCAGTAGAGAGCGTAGTGCAGTCTCCATGGAGACCATGGACTCCTATGGACTCACATGCAAAGGAGGGCCAAGCACAGCCACGAGGAGGACCAAGCTCAAGGAGCAGGCACAGCCACGAAGAGGACCAAGCTCAAGGAGCATGCAGATGGTTACCACTCAGGGGCTCGAGAGACAAGAGCCAAAGGAACTGTCACTGATCAAAGGAGGAGGAGCAGTGTCGAAGGAGTCGACACCAGGTCATGAGGAGGAGGAGCAGTGTCGAAGGAGTTGACACCAGGTCATGAGGAGGAGGAGCAGTGTCGAAGGGTTGACATCAGGTCATGAGGAGGAGGAGCAGTGTTGAAGGAGTCGACACAGCTCAAGAGGCACAGGGGTGCCAAGCAGGAGAGGCCCCTGAGCAGTACTCGATGAAGAAGGTACTCTCTGGAGAGAGAGCAGGAGCAGCATCGCTGGCGATGCTGAGAAGAGGTATATAACCATGCTTTCTCATCATCAATAGGTCGAGTGGATCCTCATCCACTCTACTCACCATACAACTAGTCAATACTTTAGAAACACAAGTACTCATTAGTTACAGTCAGCATAGCAGCAATCTATCAAGGTTGCTCCTCATTGTAGTGTGTGTGTTGTATCACCACTACCTGACGTCCGAAGGCGCCCATAGCAGGTTAGCAGTCCGGATATAGATAGAACCGAAGGCAGTAGTCCACCGCGGTCCAGGGATCACTTCAAGCATCAAGTCAACACACTGGACACTCGTGTTGATGCCACCAACCTTATCACCAACACCATCAACCTCATTATCATCGACATCACCAATCTCATCACCAACACCATCAACCTCATCATCATCAACACTCACACCAGACCTTGGTGTCATCATAACATTGATATTGATCATGCCGAGCTACCCCTGAACGGAGTGTCCACAGAGGTCAGCCAAAACCTACGATAGTATATACAACAAACACCACCTGCTGTCACCGCACAACTCGATAGTCACCGATACCGAGACAATAGCTGTCGCACAGTTTGATAGTCACCGAGTATCTCGACAGACCAACCTGGGTTTCAGGCGCGAGACCCCTGACAAGGCCCCTGAGCAGTACTCGATGAAGAAGGTACTCTCTGGAGAGAGAGCAGGAGCAGCATCGCTGGCGATGCTGTGAAGAGGTATATAACCATGCTTTCTCATCATCATAGGTCGAGTGGATCCTCATCCACTCTACTCACCATATAACTAGTTATCACTTCAGCATAAGTATACATTAGTTTCAGTCAGCATAGCAGCAATCTATCAAGGTTGCTCCTCATCGTAGTGTGTGTGTTGTATCACCACTACCTGACATCCGAAGGCACCCATAGCAGGTTAGCAGTCCAGATTAAGATAGAACCGAAGGCAGTAGTCCACTGCAGTCTGGGGATCACTTCAAGCATCAAGTCAACACACTGGACACTCATGTTGATGCCACCAACCTTATCACCAACACCATCAACCTCATTATCATCAACACCCACCAACCTTATCACCAACGTCATCAACCTCATCATCATCAACACTCACACCAGACCTTGGTGTCATCATAACCGAAGCATTGATATTGATCGTGCCGAGCTACCCCTGAATGGAGTGTCCACAGAGGTCAGCCGAAACCTATGATAGTATATACAACAAACACCACCTGCTGTCACTGTGCAACTTGATAGTCACTGATACCGAGACAATAGCTGTCGCACAGTTTGATAGTCACCAAGTATCTCGACAGACCGACCTGGGTTTCAGGCGCGAGACCCCTGACACAGAGTTTGTCACTGCATCTGAAGCAACCTGAGAAGCACTTTTCTTCTCATACCTGTTGTGAGACTTGGGTGTCGACAACACCAAGCTGATCCTCTGCACAGACAGCCAAGGGTGCATACAGGTAAGTAAGGATCCTGCCAAACATTGGAAACTGAAACATATCAACATGTGATATCACTTCTTTAGAGATCATGTACAAGAGAATGATTTAAGGATTGAACATGTTAGGACCACTGACAACATAGCAGACATCCTTACAAAACCATTATGTGGAGTGGAAACCTCTAGGATAGCTCAATCAATGGGATTGGTGATGCCAGCAAAGGGGGGAGTTGAAGAGTCACCAGAATAACCAATATGCAGGAAGGCCAAGTGACTGACAGGCCAATTCATTGCATGCAGGGCAAATTGTGTGGCAACCAATTAGGAGATGCACACAAAAGGAAAATGCCAAGGCACCACATGGTAAACACAACCCAGAGGAGAATGATAAATGATCACATAGACAGGATGAAGGTATATATACATGCAATCCTGTAGCAATAGTCCATTGAAAATCTCAAGCATTTGCACCTACTACACACCTGTACAAAAGGAGCTAAGCAGTAGCCCTGACGAAGTGGTGTCGAGCATATACTTCAACTAAAACCCTCGATTTGCCCGATCCTAGCTCTGATCACCTTGGGACCCCAATGGACAATTCAACATCTCAACAGGAACAGGAGTGTTGAGCAGATTGGTCATCCTTTGATTGCAGACAGAGCCTGCATGGTTCAAGGTACGACTGCGGGTGGACATGGCCAGGCTTGAAGTCTGGACATGCACTGAAGGTGTTACTGGCGATGTAGTGCCAAGATGGATTGTGCTTGATGTAAGGCCAGCATCCAATTTAGAGGTAGTTTTTAATGGACCAGTCTCACCTTGAATGGAAGCAGATGAAGGCAAAGGGAGAGGGTCATATTCACCCAAGTACGACAGCAAAGGACTGATACGGCCATTCTCATCGCTTTGTTCAGGCCTACCTCCCCGTAAAGAACGATGGAAGGGGACAACAGGAGAGGTAGACCCATTGCGTGTAACACCGGGACTGGACGGACCTGACGAGGACGAGGATAGTGTCCTAGCATGGCGAGACGACAATGGCGTCGGCGTGTCTCGTCTCAAATCCAATGACCGTGAACTCCTATCGCGTAAAGTGCTTCCTTGGGTTTCCCATGCGGTTTCGCTTCGTCGGCCGACCCTGTGCAGCAAATCATTCGCCGTAGGAATTCACATCCTTTCACCCTCTACACGCGGTCCATCTGCTACTCAAAAAGCAATGTTTGCTCACACATCCGACCTTCTCACTCGATCAGGCCAAAGGCGGACACTCACTTTATTCAGCTCAGCTGGTTTCTGAAGGGAAGGATTGAAGGATTATTGCATTCACTAAAGTACAAATGTAACTGTGACATATTGACATCAAGCTAAGAGTTGGAACCTTTCCTTCGACCAACACCGCCCATGAACTTGCTCAATCGGTGTCCTGGACCCGATCCTGAACCATGCTTGCTAGCACTCTGACCATTGTTGCTTCCGCCCTTCATCGAGACCATATCCGCAATAGAGTAGCTTGAATCTTGTCTTGAGATCGATTGCTTACTGTAAACTGCGTTGTCAGCTGTTCGACGATCGGCATACACGGCGGGAGCGGCTGTGGGCACGTCGGCGATTCCGCCTAGCATATCCTCGGTGATAGGAGGGAGCACTTTAGCCGCTTGTGCTAAAGAGGTGCGGTCGGCGTATGCATTGCTGATGCCTGTGGCCATGGATGCCGTCGAGTCAGATCGATTCAGGGCGGCATTGTTGCTCGGCATTGCTGCTACTGCCGCAGGTTCCGCTTGGCTTTGTGCCAGTGGGTCGGCTTGCCTGGTCAGGAAGGCGATGTGTCGCTGAAGTGGAGATTGCGCAGCACCACTACCACGTCGACGGTAGCCAGTCTGTAGACTTGGCTGCAGATCCTGTCGTCCTTCATCAGCGTTCGAGAAACTGGGCCCTGCGTTAGCACGATCCATGGCACCCATGCCTAAGGTGAACCCTCTGCTCATCGTGCGCTCGGGTGATCTCCTGGCATCCTCCTCGAGACCGCCAGTTGCACTGGTGCGTTCAAGCGATGCAGATCCTGCTTCGCCCAACATGCGGAGATCCAGATCGAGACGCTGAATCTCTTCGCTGAAGTTTTGGATGAAGAAGCGCTCCAGCGTGTCGTGGAACGGCTTCATCTCGGGAGGGCAGAGCTGGGCATGTAAGCGAATGCAACGGAATAGCACCATCGCTTGAGCGTTGATCGCCTCTCTCAATCCATCAGCGACTTCCTGTTGATCCGCGTGAGAGGCCAGGTACTCTTCAGTGAAGAAGGTACGCTTGTACATCGGCACACCTTCGTTCGCTGGTGCATCCACGGCACCGTTCAGCGCCATCGAAAGTCTGTTCGTGTTGATCTTGCCAGTCGAAACCTTGCGGGTCGAAACGTACTTCTTCTCCAACGTTTCGAGCTCGATCGTCTTCGCCTTGACATCCTCCAGAGCTTTCTCGAGGGGACTGATCTCGACGACATAGACTTCTGCCACCTCACTTCGGCGCAACACGGTTGGGAAAGCATCTTCGCATCGCAAGTACGTCTTCTCCACCCACTGCTCCGTAGACGAGGCGCCAGCCTTCTCGAAAGGTCGCACAAACGAAAACAAGTCGGTGCCGCTGTTCTCGTAGTAGGCTCGGACGGTAGGAGGCACTTCGGCGTTGGTGAAGATGTCTTTGGAGCGATCTGGTTCTGGCTGAACAGCGGTAACCTGCAGGAACTGCCCTTCCGACAGACGCACCTCCTCGTCTGGCACCGCAGCGCTTTTGATCAGGGTCGCTTTGGGGTGCTTGGCGTGAAGTCGATCGCAGAAGGCGGCAAACTTCTCCCATTCCTGACCGCGGTAGACGAACATCTTGTGCTGCAGCGCAGGTGGCCATTCCTGTCCGTAATACGCAACACGGAAGTAGGCCGGGAATGAGCGCTCTTCGGTGGCAATCTTCTGGTACAGCTTGGCCTGGTGATGCAATACCTCAGCAAGACGCACGTAGTTGACCGAAATATACTCGTACTGCTGCGCCAGCTCGCGACAGACATCGATCGAAATCTCCCATGCCTGACCCTTGCCCAGATAGTCGAGGATGAGCATGTACAGAGTCTCCTTGCGAGCAAAGTGAGACTGGCGAGGAAGGTCGAGTTCGGAGATAGGCTCGACAAAGCTGTCCATGTCCCACGAGTGCAGGTCAGCATGCAACTTCAGTGTCAGAGCAGCTTCGACGTAGTTGTGATTCTCGAGATGCAGGTTGACGAGGCGCAGCACGTGCGTCGAAAAAGCAGTGACTCGATTCGCCTGTCGCAAGAATCCAAGCAACTTGAGGGTACCAGCGATGCGGTCGTCTTCGTAGCCTTCCTCGAGCGGCAAGCTTCGAACGCTGAGCAAAAGGTCGAGGAAGCGGTTCACGGAAATGAGGCATGCATTGACCTGCTCGCGCAGACCTGCATCGACGTTGGGGTTGTCGAAGAGCGCCCGCAACTGACCAATGAAGAAGGCACGCGAGATCTCGTCGCCTTTGGTATGCGTCATGAAGAGGATGTCGAGCTTGTCGATGATCTCGGCTTCGATGACTGTAAAGTCGCCATTGAGGTGCCACTCGGAGGTGATCATAGTGGCCAAGACGCGGACAGCGCATGTCCTGAGCTCGTCGTGGTGCGAGAGACACAGCTCGAGGACCGGCTCCACGAGTGACGGAACAAACTGGACCTGGAAGCCACCCGTGTTCATTCGCTCGTCCGATTGGCTTGCCTGATCGTCAGTCGACTCTTCGCCTGACTTCTCTGGCCAGCCTATCGAGGTCCACAGCTTTGCAAAGATTCGAGCGCCCTCGCCACGAATGTCGCCAGCCAGCCTCCAAACAGCTCTGCGCCTCTGTGGCTTGAACTGCTCGATGACGAGTTGGTCGCTTGAGAGCAATGTCAACAGCATCGTAAGGCTCGAACGCCAGAGGTTCGTGTTAAATGTCTCGCTCCTCTCTGCAGAGGGGATGAAGTGGCGCACCATCACCGAGGCCAGTGGGTCCGCCATCTTGAGCACCATCTGATGGCTGAAGATGTTGAGGTTGAGCCAAGTGCTAGGGAAGGTCTCGTACGATAGAATCGACGTAGCAACTTCGAAGAAGTCGAACAAGATCTTGGACATTCGCTCATCTCCGCCAAGATCTCGCTCCTCTTCCAAGAAGCTCGAGAGATGCTTTCTTGGACTGAGCACGATGAGGACCATCAGCACGGCGCTGATCTCAACAAGACCGCAGTTAAGGAACTCTGTGCGGTCGCGTCGACGGTTTCGGCGAGACGAAGGTCCATGCACGACGGAGGCATTGCCTTGAGGCCGCCTGGCCACCAGTGGAAATGGATAGCTGGAAGGGAAGATGACTGGAACTGGCGAAGGTGTAGTTGATGGAGCACGATGGCGTTCAAGCGCTCTGATAGTGGCTCGACTGGACAGCTCGCGATAGGTCTCAAGGAGTTTGGGCATCATGCTGAGCAAGTAATCGACGTCGTCTCGCTCCTGGCGGACCTTTGTTCGGGCAGCTCGAGCAGCCGTCAAGCCCTCATCTGGTCCCCCAGTAGCCAGACTGACCTGTAAGCGGTCGAGGATCACTGCCAAGATAGTGATGGCGAGTCGCGCTGCCTCGATCCAGGATACTCGAGCGGCGTCACGAGCGTTTTCGTGTGCTTTTGGTGGAGCATGGGCAGCCTCGTCGTACGGACCGAGATGGGGGCCGATCCATCGCACAATGCTCGGGATCATCTGCGAGCGGGAAGCCTGCTCGTCAAAGAGCGGGCCTTGAGTGAGCTGAAGGATGTGCAACAGCTTCCAGATGGCCATCTTGCCCTTTGTGATAAAGACGCTGTCAGCAAAAGCAGTGGCAGTGCGAACCAGCTCGTCGGTGGTGAAGACGCGAGCAAGGTCAGGCAGGATCCCCGCGAAGTGTTGCAGCGCAAGTGTCTGTGTGCCGATGATGGAAGACGGCTTGGTTGCGCTCATGAGCTGATTGATGCTGCGGAGTAGACCTTCGAGCTCGCGTTTGAAGCCAGCTTCGAGATGATCAAGCACCGCACCTCCGCCAACATCGCGATCACCTCGTTGATTCTCTCGACTCTGGATGATGAACTTGAACAGGTACGGCCAAACTTTGATGGCAGCACGCAGGTCCTTGGAGGTATCGGGTCGCGATGGGTCTGCCATCAACTTGGACATGGACGCGATCAGCTTGTTGTGAGCCGTTGTAAATTTGAAGTGGCGCTCTATGTAGACGTCGAGCGTAGCGCGAAAGTTGTTGAAACGGCGATCCTGCACAATGCCAAGCACGGTGACGAGACTGTTAAAGACGAGCTCGTCCAGCTCGCCTCGGCTGTTCCTACTGCTTGTAGCAATGCCAAAGAGCGAGTCGAAGATGTCGCGCAAGAACTTGACGATCTCGACCTCACCAACAAAGGTGAACTTGTTGAGCACGCTCCTGAGCTCCTCAAAATCTTCAGCAAGGAGGCGCTCCCAGTTGAGAAGCTTGAGCAGCACATCGTTCTGCGAGTACTTTGTAGAGACCAGGAAGGTACGCAGCGTGAGAATGTCGCGCAATGGCTGCACTGTGGAAGCTAGACTGGGAGGGACCACGTCGTTCAGGTTGCGTCCAGCGGGGGTGACAGGTGGCAAGTTGAAGTAGAGATCAGGTCCGATCTGAGACGGAGGCCTGTTAGTGCGCCAGAGGAAGAGTGTATGGCTGCCGTCTGGAATGAAGGCTCGATTCGACTCGAACAGGGGGAGATATCCGTGAGCGAACGGCTTTGGCATGGACGCAGACGGTGAAGCCGAGGTCGCATTTATACCAGCAGCAGCGCCGTTGCTGGCTGCGACGGAGCCACGCTCTTCCTTGGTACTGCGATGACGAAAGGAGAAGAAGATGTGGCAGTCCTCCATAATGTCGTATGGTAGCTGCAACTTGATCAGTTCACCCCAGGTAGGTGCGTTCTGATGGTAGAAGACAAGACTATCGAATTGCGTCAACAAAGCCTCGCCGGCACCACGAGAGATGACATCCTCAACTACACGACCGTCTCGCGTGCGCACTTCGGCAGAAACTTGAATGTTACGTAACGATCCTCCTGCCATCTTGTTGCCTGGAGGATAAAACTCTCCACTCCAGAGCTTGATGTACGCTTCGTTCCTGAGATCACCTGGGAAGACGACATCGGGAAAGCCAAGACGGGCAGTAGGTGGTGTGTCCTGCAGCAAGGAAGGGTTCTCCCGAATGATGGATGCGGTATCGCCGTAGAAGACTTTGACATTGACGGCCAGCATGTCAGCGCGCGGCGACTTTTCGAATCCTCGTGTTCGCGAAGCAATGATTTCCTGATGAAGTGTGCTGAATGCAGCCTCGTTGACTGGTATAAAGATGGGCATGGTGTGCTCTCGCATTGTGGATGAGGAAGCGACGTCGGTCTGGAAGTGATGGTGCTGGCCGAGCTCGAGCACGGCGCATCCAAAAGGTCGGCGGAAGGAATGGTCGCCGGTCATACGTTTGGCTCGGTAGGATGGAGTATTGCCGATGGATGGATCGGCAAAGCTGTCGGGGCGATCGTACAGCTGATCCTGACCTGCGGCTCCCAGAGGCGTTGCTTTGATGTCCCCAACGCGCATGCCACCGTTTCGAACAATGCGACAAACAATGTTGAGGCCTTGCATGTCGCTAGCACTAAGCTCTGTGAAGAGAGCGCGCATCTTGCCGAGCTGACCGCCCGAGTCTTTGACGGGAACACCACGGTGATTGAGAATGACGCAGAACTCTTCTGTCAAGAATCGTGACTCGGCACGATTGTAGAGCGAAAAGTAGAGTTCTACAGTCTCGCCGGCGGTGCATGGTGTTGCAACAAAGGCGCGAAGATCGAGAAAGACATGGAAGTACTTGGCCGCCGCAAGCTGATCTGCACCATGGGCATTCGTCGAGACAATAGAGTTGAGTCGACCACGCCCCTTCGTCGAGACCGAACCTTGTCTGCCTGCCAAGCCGCCTGGGCGTGTGTAGTCATTAGAGATGCCTGCAAGCACTCCGGCACTATTGGTGGTTGGCGAGGTGATGCCGAATGCGTTCGAGGCGTACAGATCCATGCCTCCTGGCGCTGGTGCTGCGGAGGTCTGGTCTTGCTGATCGACGTATGCGAGCTCTGTCTGAAGAGCAAAGAGTCGGATGCCACTGATCCAGCTGTCCAGGTCGGCATCCTTGCCATTGATGTCAAAGTCAACCAGCCCACCGCGACCAGGGTGTCGGACGATGACGTCGAGACCCTGCGCAACATTGCCCTTGACGAGGCGCGCAACGCATTCCCTCCTCAACTTGCTGACTTCCTCTGCAGATAGTGTTTGAGCGAGGAGCTGCTTTCGAGCCATGAAAAGCACCTCGATCTGTTCTCTGACTGTATTGAGGAGATCATAGTCGCGCTGACTCATGTAGCTGTACATGAGCGCGGACCATTCGCGTATGGCACAAGCAATCTCGTCGATCAAAGGCTCATGTACACCTGACAGCGTCTCGTCGCCGCATTTGAGGCTTGGTAGCGGTGGCGGCGGTCGTTCGACAATCTGTCCGTTTATCCCAATCTCCTGACTCGTTGCCTCGATGGAAGGAAGTTGCGCGGTGTTGCGCTGATTCGGAGTGGATGGCTGTGAGCTAGACTCGTCAACTTCGGGCAAGGTCTCCATATGTGATCTCTGTCGAGGCAGTGGGCCTGTTGCACCGACGACACCAAGCTTCTTTGCATGTTCATACACTGTAGCCAGTCGCATCTCTGCATCATCGAGCTGTTCGCGAATGTGGACGTGTGTGGAGGGGAAGACTCCTACGTAAACTTGAGGCTCCTCGTTGACAGAGGTATTCGCCTCCTGGCCAACGACGTGGAAGGTGCTGTAGTCGCTGAGACTACTAGCGCTTGCTGCTGCAGTTGCTAGACGGTTGGTAGAGACAACATAGCCGCGATACCAGCTGACGTCGGAGTGACCAAGCTGCTCAAAAACGTAAATTTCGTCTCCAAGCTCGAGCGCGATGAGGTTATCTTGAAGGTTTTGGACGACATCTGCGGGGAGTGATTCTAGTGGCACGGTAAACGATTCTAGCAGGTCAGTGTCTGGTGAAAATGGATGCGTGGCGAGACCACACAGGATCTTTGGGAGCGGCTCCCACCTGCGATAGGCCGAGGTGCTTGCCATCTTGAACGTTGACAGCAGTGCCGAAGCCGTTGATCGTATTTGTTAGTGTCGGTAGGCAATCGATCAATCCGATCCTGATGGAATGAAGAGAAGCGCTTCTTGAGAGAACGTCGAGAGCGACCGGATAGCAAAGAGAGCCGAGCAAGGGAGAGTTAGGGTATCGGATGACAAGCCGAAGCTGAGTCGTGACCAAGACAAGTCAAAAAGGAGCGTGATAAGGTTGATTCGGAAGCGTTGCGACGAGTTGCGATGAGCGAATGACAATGGCGAGCACCGAGCAAAGGTTGATGGGCGGGTGAAAGATAAGTGAGAAGATGCTTGCAACCCAAACCATCACGTCCCCAAGCTAGGGAGCTTTGTTCGAAGCACAATTGTAGCGTTGACAAGAGTAGCTCGACCGCTGCATGGACCCATAAGCGACTTGCTCGCTTTCGAAATTCGGTGAGGCAGATGGGTGGAACTATTATTATTACTGTATCAACCCCTTATAGAAGAGCGGGTCGGTGGGGGGGGGGGATGAAGCGTAATGCAGGCCTCGGTGATGTGATACAAGTATTGAAGTGTGCACGATGTGGTGTTGAGCTGCGCCGAGGTTATTGAGTGAAGAGCTTGATGGGTCTCCCTTTCTCTCTTCTCTCACCAGCATTCGTGCTTCTCGCTTCCAGCAGGCAGCGGCGTTGCAACTTTCGCTACGTCAACACTTGTGCGCTACGTCTTGGAAGAAAGGCCGAACAAAGGCTTGCAAAATGCTTTTCTCAGGTTTCTCCGTGAAAATAGGGTTGCATCACGTGATCAGTAATGAAGGCGTCCAATCGTCTAGGCTGGACTTAACAATCGAGTTGTTCCGCTTCTCCACTCCTCTCTTCACTACCTTTATCTCCACCAAAGCCAGGCGTACTATTAGCAGCCTGGTTCGACGAGCACGCATCAAATGTTGACCAAGTTACAAGTGTCCAAGGAAGGGTGAATTTTTGTAGATACACTGTTGCTACAATGGCTTATGTTCCGTCGACTATCGGATCTCGATCGCAAGCTCGTCCACAAGTCTAGAGAGAACATCCGAATGAAGCTGATTCACCTCGTCGTTTTCCAATGACCGGTCCATTGATCGATAGTTGATGCGATAGCACATACTCTGCTTCTTTGTCTTTGGGTGAACAAAGTCATCGATCTTAACAACGTCTTCCACCAGATCACCCACCCTGTCACGAACGGTCTCCATCAGATCGTTCTCGTGGAACTTTCGGTCCTGAGACAGCCAGAACGAGACGTCCTTGTAGCACGGTGGGTACTTGGAGTATGGCTTGAACGTCAACAGCTTTGGCTTTTGAGCTGCTTTGCTCGACTTGGGCTGACCTCCTGCTGCTGAGACCTCGTTGCTACTTGCGCTCGCAAACTGGCCGAGGAAGCGAGGATCTTGTGTCCAGAAGAGACGAATGTCTGGAATCGAGTACAGCACCATTGCGATGCGTTCTAAGCCCAAACCAAAGGCCCATCCGAGTCGGTCCGGAACATCTGCCTTGTCCAATGTCCTCTGCTGAACAACACCGCATCCGAGAATCTCGAGCCATTTGCCTCGGAACCATACCTCCACCTCATACGAGGGAGACGTGAAGGGAAAGAAAGCAGGGATCCACCGCACACGCAACGGATCCGCAGCCGAGCCACCTTTCTGCGCCGTCTCGAAAGCATGTCGCTCGCCAAAGAGCTCATAAGTCAGGCTGTTGAGTGTAGCTTTCAGATGTCGAACCGCCAACGCAGCTTCCCGCTCATCGTGATGCGCCTGATACCCACCTGCTTCTGATAGCCCAACCACGTCCTCGATCTCGAAGTTTGCTTTTGCGAGCTTGGCCTCCATCTCCGAGCACTCTTGTTCCACCTTCCCGCCTGAAGCATAGTCCTCATGCTTGAAGATGGCTGCACCTTCGACCTGATGGAAGATGGGATAGTGCGATGCGTCAATCTCGTCTCGACGATAGACGTCGGCGGTGTAAAGCCATCTCTCGTGTCCATTCCGGAACGTTTCGACTTCGTGTGCGGATGTGTGAGTGCGGAGACAGGTGTTGCGGTTCACATAGTAGGTATCGGTGGGACTTCTTCCAGGGTGATCAGCGGCGATGCCGAGGTCTTCAAAGTTGAGTTCGGTTGTGACCACCGGTGATGTGGCTTGTATAGATGTAAAGTTCGGGCCAATGGATGCTTCGATCTGGTCGCGAAGCAGTGCTAGCGGATGGTTTTTGGTGTATGGGAGAGTGGGCGTTGGAGAGAGCCGTGACAGGATTGAGGCAGGAATGTTGGTGTAGTCGTCCGTGCGGTACTCTTTGCCCAGGATAATGATGGTAGTCGGAGGAGGCAATCGGACAACGATGGTGGTGCTAATCTCAGCAGCTCTCGAAGTTGAGAATGACCTTGAGCCAAATTGGCGGTAGAAAGTTGCGCTTGAGCGTGCGAGCGAAGCTGTTTGTTCAGTGCGAGCCCGAGTGTGCAGATGCAAGGCGAGATTCTGAATTCGTGCATGGATCTGAGCCGGTCGAGCGGTCTGACGAGCTCCAAGACAGGCTCTACACGCCGACTGTGACAGAAGCCTCATCTTAGAAGCGATGATGGAGTTTGAGGAGAAGATTATGGATGCAGCAAAGGGTTTCCGGTTAGAAGAGAGGTTTCAAGGCGTTGACTTCTGTTCTCCCGACATTTTTTTGGCTGCTGGATTCGGGACTCGGCGAAAGCTCGCACGCACGCATGCGCTCACCACGATCCTAGACCTGCTCTCCATCATCCACATTGCGATAGTCAAGCCTTAATAGCAAGGCAGTGCTTTGATCTACACCAGAATCTCACGATGGATATCTACGACCCAGGACTGATGGGTGCTGCTGGCCGTGTCGACGGCACAAGCACACCAACCGGCACCATCTCAAACGATGGACCCAAAACCGAACTCGATCAGAACGTTGAGAAGCTCGTCGGTAACATCTCCAATTGGTGGTCAGGCTTTGCGAAGAAGTCACAAGACTCGATCAACCAGGCACGAAAGGAGGTGGAGACACGCGGAGGCATTGTCAACTATGCAAAGCGCGAATACGCCAAGCTCGAGTCTTCGATAGGCGAAGCACAGAAGAAGACCAGAGATCAGAGCCAGACTCCATCACAACCACAGGAAACTTCTGAGGAAGGTGAAATTGGCGCTGCTACTAAGGTGTCAGAGTCGGAGGAGGTTCCTGTTCGATCCGAGACCAGCAAGGGAAAGCAAAGAGTTGTTGATGACCAAGTTGCACCCTCATCAGCAGAAGCTGGGACTGTCACAAATCAAGGACCAACTCTGGGCGCATCGGTCTCATCACTCTTCTCCAAGCTCACTTCTGACCCAAGGATTGCTCAACTCCAGCAATCGCTCACAGACACTCTGCAAACTGTTGCGACACCCCAAGGTCAACCCTTGGACAAAGAAGGCGGCGATGCGGAGAAGAAATCTGGAGCAAACCTTATCAACATTCAAGAGTCGCTCTCCAAGCTTTCTTTTACGATTCAATCGCATCTACCGCATCTAGACTTGAAAGAGTCGCAACAGCTGGCAACACGATATCTTCGTGCAACGGAAAGCTTTGCACGAGAGGTTCAATCGGATATGAAGGACTTTGTTGGCGAGCTGGTGCAGATCGTCCCGCCTGAAGGCGAAGGTGCCGAGAAGAGGGAAGTGCAGGCAAGCAAGGCGATCGATGCTGAGGCAAAGATAGTCGAGGCAGTTGACGAGACACCATCAGCGACCATTGCGGCGACGAAGTCGGCACCGAAATCATCCGCTGCAGCCAAAGCCGGTCCCACAACCACATCTGCTACTACAGTACCCTCGGAAGACGAAGAGGATTTTGCATGGGATGAAGACGATGAAGAGGCAGCTGCAAGTGTAGAAACTAAAGCTGTCGCAGCAAAAGAGAAGGAAGCGATTCCGGCTGCCAGCACTGTTGCAGCGACCGATAAGGACGCCAAATCAGTCGAGAGTAAGAAAGAGGAGACGGATGAAGACTCTGACTGGGAATAAATACTGAGTGGACACTTCCGTATGAGACCGATGGCACACGTCTCTGTGTACTCAGTCTCACCGTACATCTCGATAGCGTAATTAGACGGTCTCTCTAGTCCCGAATCAGTCACGCCAGACAAGCGATTGTGTCGTACATGTTCACATTGAGTGCCGACTGAGCAATGATGATTTGTACAGTATGTACAGAAAGATCACTCTGAATCGCTATCGTGAATCTCGATTGGCGGCGGTGAGATCGAAGGCTTTTTCGGGCCGCTGTCGACACCTTTCGAAGTCCAGAAGTCGTTCTTGGTGCGAGAAGAGATGCGCGTCATACCTCTCGCACTGCTCGACGGCTTTGGCGATGACTTGGCGCTGCTCGCGTCTGAGAGCGTAGGCAATTGAATTTGATCATCGCTCCGTGCAATCTCTTCGTCACTGTCTTCTGAGACAAAGGTGGAAGGTGCCGATTGCGACAAGTCTTCCAGGTCAGCCTGAGTGATTTCTGTTTGTGCTTTTCGAGCACGCTTATTGCCATACGCGGCAGCGTTGCCTTTGGTAGAACGACTTGCGCTGTACCGTGAATATTCTTCCTCTTCGTCATCCTCTGACTCTGCAGAAGTGGGCACGTTCTGCGCTCTGCGTTTTGTAGCTGCATCACGTACATTCTGCGTCGCAGCAGCGGCACCGCGGATTGAGAAAGACGGCATTTCGCCACGTTTGGCCTTGCTCTGTGTGTCGCTGATGGAGACGATACCACTGTCGCCACGAGACTTGGTCTGACTTAAGCTTTGTGTGCGGGACGATAAAGAAGCAGAAGCTGATGCACGTGGCTGAGCACGGTCTGTCTGAGAACACGAGGATCGTGCAGGAGGAGGGCTGCTAGGCGGTGCCGGCCTGCCAAGCTTGAACTGCAATGACCCAGAGAAGTACAGCTCTTCCATCTCGTTCCTTTGACGGACAACCGGATTCGAGATGCCGAGGATGGTGCCGAGCAGGCTGCGTGGATCCTTGTCATCTTTACCTCCTTCTGCTGTGGAGTCACGCACAAGTGCACGCCTAGCTTCAGCGTCGGAATCAGAGTCGGAATCGACCGAGAAACGACGATGCTTTGCACGATCGTTGCGTGCCGCACGATTGGAAGCTGCTCCGTATCTGCCAGAGATACCTTTGTTAGCCTGCTGGCAGATTGCTGCTGTTAGAATGTCGAATGCACCGGCTAATGTGGATCTTACGTTGATGATACCGAATGAGCCCTTGGAGATGTCATTTGATGGATCGTGCGGGTCCTCGATGCACAGCATGAATGGACGTCTTTCGTCTTTCCAGCCTCGTCTGGCTTTGCTGAAGTATCCACCTCGACCTCTGATAGAAATACCGCAGTTGTCGTAGCCAAAGTTCTTGCCATACAGCTCCAGGAATTCGAGGAGAAGGACACCGAGGCTTCTGCCGGGCTCGATCTCACCTCGCTGCAATTTAGGATGGAGCTGAAGGAAGCTGATGACCATGATAATGACACTATAACTACCAAGGCCTCCCGAAAAGACTTCACTCATGCCTCGTTGCATGAGAAGGTGCTTTATGACAAGGATGAGGGGTCGGATGTGAGGCCATTTGCGCAACCAGCCATTGACATAGCTTGCGGTGGTCAGGCCATTCGTGTGATTGAGCGAGATGTCGACCTTGAGACGCGCATAGGTTGTGACGAACTTGATGATGGGCACTTTGGCCTTGGCAATAACTTGGACATCTGTGGCGAGGTTGTGTCGTCTAAGGCAGGCGGCCATGGTGCGAAGTGCCGACTGCGTGCGAAGGTTGGCCATAGACCGACTGACGACGACCAGATCGAGATCGCCCTGCGGAAGATAGAGCTTGGTTTCTTGACTACCAAAGGGACGTACTTCTGCATCACGAAACTGAGACTTGATGGCGCGAGCAATGAGCTCGATGACCATGCAACGAGTTTCATGTTCAGCCCCTGTCGGCGCCATCCACTGGTCAAATGCAATAAGCTCGCGATGCAACGCTTCTGCGCCATTCTGACATTTGCTCCATTCCACATCGGCTGACCAAGGGGTGTGACGTGACCTTGCCATCTCTCGTTCCTTTTTGGTGCGTCCGTCATCCTCACGTTCGTCGGACTTGCGCTTCTTGCCTTTCCGTACTGCACTCAAGTCATCATTCTCGCGGGCCTTTGATCCACGCGCTCCTCTTGCCTGAGTCGAGTACTGTGGTGCATCGTCCTCATGGTCGGTGCCAAAGTCGAAAGCGATGAAATCCTGGGCGCCGAACGCCTTCTCCTGTGTCGGAACAGGCATGTTTGCTTGTGAGGCAAAGCGTTTGTGCGGTGGCGCTATGCTAAAAGGCGGCGATGCTTTTAAACGCTACAGCACGAGAGCCAGACGGCGAGTGCTGAATCTGAGCTGCTTGTCTTGTCGATGCTTGGATTACGATGCTATATTGCAATCGGAAGGGCCGTGGCCTCGAGCCTGCCTGAAACGAATGGGTCCATCCGATAATCAAAGCTCAGGGCGCGTTCCGCTAAGCTTGGCCGAAGCTAATTGGCCAGAATTTGCGACGCTGAGCGTGAGGCGTGGGAAAGACCACCAAGCCACGCTTGCGTGTCAATGTGTAAGATATGGTGATGATAGGGGAAGAAGAAGGCGAAGTAAAGCACTCTCGCAACTGGTTTGAATGCTGTTCGGGTGAGCCGACAGGCATGTCAGCAGCCTCGCACACTCGGTTTGGAGCCCATAATTTTTCCTTGATTTTTTTTAGAAAAGCTTTCTTCTCAACAGCAAAACCAAGTGAAGAACGAGCCGTCAATTCGCAGGCGCAGATAGAGGCTGCTGAGCTGCAGCGATTTGACTTCCGTTTTCCGTTTTCCGATGTCTCTACTACTCACCTCTCACCTGCAACTGCTTGTGCGGGGACAAGCAACCTTTGTCCAACACCATACTACCTTCTTCCTCTCCTCACTCAAGAGCTCTGCTCGCTCCCACTTTCCAAGATGAGTGGCTACGGTAGACGCGACGACTATCGCCGCTCCGGCTCATCCCATCATCGATCCCGCACTAGTAAGCATGATTCCTCGCATTCGTACAGAAGTCACGGACACGAGCCAACCAGACGACGTTCTCGTTCTCCTTCCTCGTATCACCACTCCTCTTCACGCAGCCACCATGATCGCTCTCAAGATCCCTACCTGAACGAGCCTGACCACAGCAGACGGCGTGACTATGGACGCGATCGCGACTGGGACAGACGTGACTACGATGCACGCTCCGGACCCGATCCATATCACGACAACAGGTATGCTAATGACGGTTTATTACGGAGCAGCCGTCGACGATGGGATGAAGGACCATCTGCTCCTCCACCTGTTCCTCCCACATTCCCCGTGCCTGACGCAGCGAGATTGACCTCACATAGCCAGTTGCCGCCGAGACCACTAGCACCACCGGCAGCACCACCGGCAGCACCACCGGCAGCACCATCAGGAGCCCCACCAGGAGTAGCCCCAGGACCACCGCCCGCCTTCTGGCCGCCACCTACAGCTTCTACTGCTTTGTCCACGGCACCAAACCCCAATGCACCGCTTTCGCCTGAAGAGCAGGCAAAGCTGGCCAAGAAAGCTCGTCTTGAAGCATGGCGCAAGGAGCAGGCCGCAAAGAAGGCGCTAGAAGAAGCAAAACAGCGCGCACAGTCGATCGCAAGTGCTGTTGCGCCTGCGTCTCAGAAAACACAAGCGACCGTCCCTTCCTCTACATCGCAGACAGCACCGACTTCCATCAATGCCACCGGTCTCCGCACACTGTCCCTGCGAACAGATCCTTCCCGCATCAATGCACAGAACCGATCTCGTTCCATGATGGAAGACGCTTCCGAGCCCTCCACAAGAAAGCAGATCAACCGCTTCGACGATCTTCCTCCTTTAGACCCTACTGTCCAATCGAGCGCACTCAAAGGCTTCCTTGCAAACGACGACGACGACGACGATGACGATTCAACACCGCCTACGCCGTCATCGAAACGAGCCGACGCCAACAATGACATGGATGTGGATGAGCAAGAGGATCCTCTCGACGCCTTCATGTCTACCGTCAAGAGTCAGGTAGCCCAGGTCAATGCAGAAGATCGACGCAAAGCAGGCACCAGTGGAGATGCCAGCTCGAAAACAAACAAGCCAAAAGCTGTCATTCTTGGTCAAGATGACAGCGACGACGAGGCTGAAGACCCAGACGAGGAGCTTGACGAACTCGACCGTGTGGGTGTAGCAACTGAGGATCTCCTGGCCATCGCTGCCAAGAAGGTCAAGAAGAAAGAGCTTGCTACCGTCGACCATGCCAGCGTCGACTACGAGCCCTTTTGCAAAGTTTTCTACCATCCTCCTGCCGAGATCGAAGATATGTCTGAGGAGCTTGCCAATCAGATCAGGCTCGAGATGGACGCCATCGCCGTGCGCGGCAAAGACTGCCCGAAGCCGCTCATCAAATGGTCGCACTGTGGTCTCCCTGCAAGCGCCCTGGATGTTATCAAAAAACTTGGTTATGCTGCACCTACACCCATCCAGAGTCAGGCGGTCCCTGCTATCATGTCTGGAAGAGACATCATTGGAGTAGCAAAGACCGGTTCGGGCAAGACCATGGCCTTCTTGCTGCCCATGTTCCGACATATCAAGGATCAACGTCCTGTCGAGCCTTCCGAAGGTCCCATAGGCATCATCATGACACCTACACGAGAGCTGGCCGTCCAGATCTATCGAGAGATGAGACCTTTCATCAAAGCTCTTGGTCTACGTGCTGCCTGCGTCTACGGTGGCGCTCCCATCTCGGAACAGATTGCCGAGATGAAGAAGACAGCGGATATTGTTGTCGCAACACCTGGTCGACTCATCGACCTTTTGACCGCAAATTCTGGTCGTGTAACGAATCTGCGACGAGTCACCTACCTCGTTCTCGACGAGGCCGATCGCATGTTCGATATGGGTTTCGAGCCCCAAGTCATGAAAATTGTCAACAATATCCGCCCAGACCGGCAAACAGTGTTGTTCTCCGCCACCTTCCCGAAGCAGATGGAGTCGCTGGCACGCAAAGTGCTCAAGAACAAGCCTCTGGAGATCACCGTTGGTGGTCGCAGTGTGGTGGCAGCTGAAATCGAGCAGATTGTCGAGGTGCGTCCCGAGAATACGAAGTTCCACCGCTTGTTGGAAATCCTTGGCGAGCTCTACAATCGAGACAAGGACGCACGTACCCTCATCTTTGTCGATCGTCAGGAGGCAGCCGATGACTTGCTCAAGGATCTCATGCGCAAAGGCTACGTCACTATGTCGCTGCATGGTGGCAAGGATCAGGTCGACCGCGACGAGACCATTTCCGACTTCAAGGCTGGCAATGTGCCGATTGTGACTGCCACATCGGTCGCTGCTCGTGGTCTCGACGTCAAGCAGCTCAAGCTTGTCATCAACTACGATGTGCCCAACCACATGGAGGATTACGTCCATCGTGCAGGACGAACGGGTCGTGCTGGTCAGAAAGGAACTTGCATCACCTTCATCACGCCCGAACAGGACCGATATGCACGTGACATTATCGCAGCGCTCAAAGCCAGTTCGGCACACGTCCCAGCGGAGCTCGAGGCCATGGCGGAGTCGTTCAAGGAGAAGCTTGCAGCCGGCAAAGTCAAAGCTGCTGGGTCCGGATTCGGTGGAAAAGGTCTGGATCGACTCGAGACGGATCGCGAAAAGGTGCTCAAGGCGCAGAAGTCTGCTTATGGCGAAGCCGACGAAGAGGGCAAGGCAGCCAATGGAGGTGCCGGCGAGTCTACCGATGCTACTGGCAAGACAGGCGCGGCGGGTGGCTCGTCCAGCTCAGAGGATCAGCTGAGCAAGCTTCAGGGCATGAAGATTGAAATCATGCACGGTGCAGCTCCCGAATCGGTGCGCGAGAACAAGACCGTCTCGGCCAGCGACGAGGCCTCAGCCGCTGCAGCCAAGAGCAAGGCCGATGAGGAGCAAGAGGCTAAGGAGGCGGCACAGCTCAAGGCGCAAGAAGCTGCCTTGGAAGCAGCCAAGGCTCACGGTGCAGACACGACCAAGTTGGCAACTGTGCTCGAAAACATTCGAAAGCAAGCCAACGCACGAAAGGAGGCTTCCAAAAACTCGGATGCGGACAAGCACAAGGATCGAAAGGCTCGCGATCCAGATGCCACCGACTACCATGCGATTGTACCGATCAACGACTTCCCTCAGCGAGCGAGATGGCGTGTTACCAACAAGGAGACCATGAGTCACCTGATCGAGTCGACAGGAGCATCGATCACAAACAAGGGTGTGTTTTACAAGGAGGGTACGGAGCCGCAACCTGGCGAGCCACCCAAGCTGCAGCTGCTTATTGAGTCGAATAACAAGTCGATGGTGGAAGATGCGGTGCGAGAGATTCAGAGGTTGCTGGTGGAAGCAACCCAAGCGGCGCTGGAAGCTGAAGCACGGAATCCGGGAACAACAGGTCGTTATACTGTTGTGTGATCACGACTTGCTGCCCAAAAACAATTTCAATAGTCGTCCTACGTTCGAGACTAGAATGATTCGAAGTTGTCCTGTGTGAATGTGGTGTGTATTATTAGCTGAATGAGCAGGTACAAGTACAAATGCTGATGTGCTGGAATGAATCAGATAGAACCTTCAAGGAAGGCAAGGAAGCGAGAAGCGATAGCATATTCCGTCGAAGGTTGTTGGCCTGCATTCACGTTACCCGCTCTTTGATTACCCTTAGAAGCATGTGAGGTCAGGGAAAAGTGTACGCCTTCAGATCGTGCTGCGTTTCCAAGCTCATTGATCTGTGCTGAGCCAGAGCTATGCATCCGTACAAATTGACGTCGGATTCTTTGTAGAGACGCCATTGTTACTGGCTTGTCGCCTGGAAGGGTGAAAGAGAGTGGAAATGGCCCTGTAAGGCTGGGATGGTTGATTGGTAGGTCTGTCCCTGGTTGGAGGCCAAAAGACGATTGGTGTTGCAAGATGCACGAGACGACAGTTTGGGTGGACGATTCGAGAATGGAGAGGTAGTTGGCTGTTGTGGAGCGTGTTGGAGCAACAACTTCGGGTGCTTTGTTGACGGATCCTTTTGTGGATGCTTCCCAGATGTCATCGAACGGTATTGGTTCGAGGATGATCCTGCTTTCGTCGATTGTCTCTGACTGCTCCTGCAATCCTTCGGATGCTGCCGGGGTGAGAACAGTTGGCACAATGATGAGTGGTGAATCCCACCTGGTCATAGCATTTGGCTCCTCAAAACGCATGAGAAGACTGTCGAGCGTCTCGTCATCATAGCTTGCATCTTCACCACTCACCTTCCTCCTCTTACTATTCCAGAACTTGCAGACTTGCGGCGGTGCGTGGATGTGGATGGAAAGACAGCGCACACCTACTTCACGTGCCGCACACCAGAGCTGATATCGAAAGCCTTTGATATTTAGACCTGCACCGCCATCAGCAATAACGATCGTATCCTTGCCTAGCGCACGTGTCACGGCAGAGAGATAGGACGCTCTTGCCGGCTTCTCTGTTCGTTGTGAGGAATAGGCGGATCTTGCGACGTGAACATCGTGGTCAGAGACGATTACCACCCGGTTAGGAAGTTGAAGTGTCAAAGAGGAGGAGGAGGAGCCGGCTTCCTTGATTCTGCGTTCGATATCTTGCTTGATCAGTGCGGAGCGGATCGAGCGGCCGGAGCTGGCTAGGCCTGACACTATGATTAGCGCCATGACTGCTGTCTTGCTGATACTCTGATACTGTGTTGTATGGTAATGCCAGCAGCGAGGCACAGCGAGAGTATCCAGCCCAAGAGGTTTCTTCTTGGAGCTCCACAATAAATAGTGGACCCTGGCTGTGATTTGTAATCATCAGATCATCAAGCACAAAAAAATAAAAATAAATAAATAAATATAAATAAAAATAAAATCAAAAAAAATCTCAGATAGGTTTTTTTGTTGTTGCAGTCTAACACCAAAGCAAAATCGGTGCAAATCGGACGAAAACGCAGAGCTCCACGCGACTCTAAGCCGGAAATCAACGGAACTGCTAATTTCAATGCATTACCAAAGCAGCTGTCCTTTCCATACAATAAGAGCCTCGTTGTAAGCGCAACTTTCTTCCGCACTGCAGATGGCGAATACAGTTCTCTGCTTGCCACTTCCAAAAGCACAAGCGCGTGCAATAACAGGAAAATCATTGAATTGAAGCTTCGCCAGTGTCCCAGGCTGCAAAGATCCTTTTTTGTGGTTGGGCGACGAATGAGCGGTGTTGTATTGGTTACAGTTGAAGCGGATGTGAGAGCATGAGCGTGAGCGCGAGCGACGGTCACCAAGGCAAGCCTCATGTTCAGAAGCCAGCCAGCCAGTAATTAGCAGCAGCGAGCAGCAAGCTTATACGGCCGTCAGCGGGCCGTGTTTGCCCCGCAAGCTGAAAAGCGGTTCTGTCCGCGAGTGATAGCTGATTAGCCTTCAAGCTATGCTGTGGCCGAGTCTGTGTTGCCCAATCTCTCGCAAACTCAAAAGTCCCGCTCCAGAATCTGTACATCCATCATCTTGATTCTCTCCTACACCACCATCACGCCTCCTTCACCTGCACAGCATTGTATAGCTTTCCAGCTGCATACATAGTGCAGTCGAGACTTTCTCTTTACGCTTCATTCAGCTGATATAAGCAACCGCCTGATTGTTGTTGTCCGACCTGCAACACAATCAACCATGATCTTTGGAAGGTCGCTTTCGCGCGCCATCGCGCGTGCACCTTCGACCAGCTTGGTCGCACCATCACAGCGTCTTGCCGGCTTCCACTCCACCGCCAAGGCATCTCGTATCATCGCATCCCAGCCTTTGCGTGCCAAGGAGGCCGCTCGCCCTCTCGACGCCGCAAAGGGTTATCCTGTCATTGACCACGAATACGATGCTATCGTTGTTGGTGCCGGTGGTTCCGGTCTCCGCGCCGCTTTCGGTCTCGCTGAGGCCGGTCTCAACACTGCCTGTATCACCAAGCTTTTCCCGACCCGATCGCACACCGTCGCCGCCCAAGGTGGTATCAACGCAGCTCTTGGTAACATGACCGAGGACGACTGGCGATGGCACATGTACGACACCGTCAAGGGTTCCGACTGGCTCGGTGACCAGGACGCCATCCACTACATGTGCCGTGAGGCTCCTCGTACCGTCATTGAGCTCGAACACTTCGGTCTTCCCTTCTCCCGAACCAAGGACGGCAAGATCTACCAGCGTGCTTTCGGTGGTCAGTCGCTCAACTACGGCAAAGGTGGCCAGGCTTACCGATGTGCCGCCGCCGCCGACCGAACTGGACACGCCATGCTTCACACCCTCTACGGTCAGTCGCTTCGCCACAACACCAACTTCTTCATCGAGTACTTCGCTCTTGACTTGATCATGGAGGATGGCGAGTGTGTCGGTGTCACCGCCCTCAATATGGAGGACGGCACCATTCACCGCTTCCGCGCCCATAAGACCGTCCTTGCCACTGGTGGTTACGGTCGTGCCTACTTCTCCGCCACCTCGGCCCACACCTGCACTGGTGACGGTATGGCCATGGTTTCCCGTGCCGGTCTTCCCCTCCAGGATCTCGAGTTCGTTCAGTTCCACCCTACTGGTATCTACGGTGCTGGATGCTTGATCACCGAAGGTTCGCGTGGTGAAGGTGGATACCTCCTCAACTCGGAGGGTGAGCGATTTATGGAGCGATACGCCCCTACCGCCAAGGATCTTGCCTCGCGTGACGTCGTCTCGCGATCCATGACCATCGAGATTCGTGAGGGTCGTGGTGTCGGTCCCGAGAAGGACCACATCTACCTCCAGCTTTCGCACTTGCCACCTGAGGTTCTCCACGAGCGTCTTCCCGGTATCTCGGAGACCGCTGCCATTTTTGCCGGTGTTGATGTCACTAAGGAGCCCATCCCCGTTCTTCCCACTGTCCACTACAACATGGGTGGTATCCCCACCAAATACACCGGTGAAGTCTTGACCAAGGACCGCAACGGCGAGGACAAGGTCGTGCCCGGTCTCTACGCCGCCGGTGAGACCGCTTGTGTTTCGGTGCACGGTGCCAACCGTCTTGGTGCTAACTCGTTGCTCGACATTGTCGTCTTCGGTCGTGCTTGTGCCAACCACATCAAGGAAAACCTCTCGCCAGGTAAGCCTCACAAGGAGCTCAAGGGTGACGCCGGCGCTAAGTCGATCAACGACCTCGACTGGGCCCGAAACGCCAACGGCTCCAAGACCACCGCCGAGATCCGTAACGACATGCAGCGTGTCATGCAGTCCGACGCTGCCGTCTTCCGTACCCAGAAGACGCTCGACGAGGGCTGTCAGAAGATCGACAAGGTGTACGAGGACTTCCCCAATGTCTCGATCCAGGACCGCAGCATGATCTGGAACTCGGATCTCGTCGAAACTCTCGAGCTCAAAAACCTTCTTACCTGCGCCGCCCAAACCATGCACTCCGCAGCTGCTCGTAAGGAATCTAGGGGTGCTCATGCGCGAATCGATTTCCCTGATCGCCTGGATGATCAGTATATGAAGCATACTTTGTCTTGGCAGCACGAGAGCACCGGCGATAAGGTGAAGCTCGACTATCGAAACGTCATTTCAACTACCCTCGATGAAGCAGAGTGCAAGCCTGTCCCTCCATTCAAGCGCCAGTACTAATTTGGTAGTGTTGATCATCTTAGCGTCTTGAAATCCATGTTTTGACCCATTCTATCCTGTTTGTTCGAAGTGAGAGTGTGATGAGGAGAAGGTGCGATGTGGCCGGACCGCAACGCCGATCTCTCGCCGGCTAGACACGGCGCTGGAGTGAGTTGTTACATGCGTCAGACACCCCTCTATCGCTCGAATCTGTCCCGTGAGTTGCAGTGTCTCGTCATGTTTCGTTGCGAGACGGTTGTGCGAACGATATGACATGCGACCAGGAGGACGAGGTGGTGTCAACGAGTGCCGGAAAATAAAATACAAAGAAAATTAAAAATTGAATGTATTCTTTTCGATTTTTTGACGGCAGCACAGCGCGTCAACTCGGCGTTGGCAGAGCTGCAAGTTGAGCAGCTGGGTTTCACAATTTGAGCTCTCGCTGCAGATCATTCGACGCTTGACGCGAGCAGAGTCTCAACAAAACAAGTCTTGTGTGGGTCTTGTTTCAAATTGACCTCGACCTTCTTCTCGCAACGTCGTCACATCAACGACCATACAACCCGACAAAGCCTTTCTCTAACAGAGCAGAACTTTCGATCCATTCCTTTTAGCACGATTCCGCGTTAACTGGCCGGTCCAGCAGCGGCAACATTCTGATCGGCTGTCTTGCGCAACCAACTTCTGCGCCGTAGCCAAGTGCTGGATCCAACTGAGCCGCAATCCGACGAAACAAAGAGAAAGGGCTTCCCTCCGTTCAGCTGCGGATTGCACTTTGCAAGACAAGTCTCACATGTCGACATCTCGAGCAACACAACTTCTCCCGCCAGAATGAGCTCTGCACCGGCTCGCAGCGGCAACGCAGCTAGCAGAGATCGGTCTCTTCACCATCTTCTCGACCCAAACGATCTGCTGCCTGGTCATACAACCGCCGATCCCTACAGCCTTCGTCATTTCACTCTTCGCGCAGGTCTACCAGATTCACCGAGCTGGCTCAGAGCTCAAGCATGGAAGGTGCTGCTTGGCTACTTGCCGCCAGAAAAGAAGGAATGGTCATCAACACTAGCAAAGCGACGTAGGGATTACTATCAGTTTCTGAGCGACCTCTCACCACCCGCATCTTCTTCAGATCAGCTTTTACACGCCAGTCAGCTCACCAACAACGACCGACTCCTCGATCAGATCTACAAGGATCTCGTACGCTCGCGGAAGAATGGCTTCGCCTTTTACCAGGCCTCACCACGGCCAAGTGCATCATGTCCTATCGTACCGCTTCCTGATGCTAAAGTTTCATCAAGCCCGCAGGTCAGCAGGGCTCCAGTTGAGCGACTTCAAGGCAGAGATAGCCTCTTACATCGACTAGCTGCGGTCAGTCACGAGTACGCACAGCTGCTTTCGATCGAACGCCTTGCATCCGCTAGCACATCCACCGGCTCTCGACAACCACCAAAGATCCTCCACGTGCAGACAAGTAGCGATCTAAAGGCATTGCAGGGCCCGGCAGCAGCCAATAGTTATGCTGAAGTGGAAGACGCAATCAAGAGTCCACCCATCTTGCTCTCTCCGCCTTCACCTGGCGGCGTTTCTCAGGAGTCATCACAGCACCCATTTGCTTCTGCCGCCGATGCGCTTGAGGCATCAACCGACACGGAACCAAGCTCCAGACAGATCAAAGCTGAATACAGTACAATAGCAAAAGAAGCACAAAATGCAGCTCTTCCACAATGTAACTGGCATTCCTTGTTACGCATCCTCTACATGTTCGCTCTTCTCAACCCGAGCATTGGCTACGTTCAAGGTATGAATGAAGCACTCTTCACCTTGCTCTATGTCTTCGGCTCAGCACAGTACCCGACCGCCGCTCACGACACGCTGACGCCAAGCAGCTCTCAACAAAGCATCGCAACTGTATCTGACCGCTCGAATCAGAGGCCTTGGGACAATGATGTTGATCTCGCGGATCTCAATACACACGCAGAGGCTGATGCGTTCTGGTGCTTTTCAGCTCTGATTGGTGAAATGCGAGAGCTTTATGATTTCGAAAGAGTCGAACAGCAAAGTCGAGCTGGTGCCGCTTTGGTCGACCATCAACCTTCACAATCTGGAATGGCAGGAGCTCTTCGGCGATTCAGTCTTCGCATCAAGTGGCTCGATCCACCATTCTGGAGGGATTTACAGACAGCCTCTCTCGACCCACGGCTTCCGTACTTCTCGCTTCGCTGGCTCGCGTGTTTGCTCAGCACCGAGTTTTCCCTGCCGTCGGTGTTACGTATATGGGATGCCCTTTTGGCTGAGCAAGAGACTGCCGGTGTCTCGGGATCTGCCAAGATCGAGTTCCTCATTGACGTTTGTGCTTCGATGATGCTTACTATCAAGGACAGGCTGCCAAGCAGTAGCGACAAGGATGTCGATCTCCAGACTGAAGGCTTCTCGTTCGGCATGCGAGTGCTGCAGGAATATCCGGATGATGACATTGAACCGCTGATGGAGTCTGCCACGCTGATTCGTCAGCGTCGACTTGCTGCTGACCTCACGGGTGATGGGCCTCCGGATGATAACGAAGAGGAGGAGAGTAATCCGCGGCTGGCTGCAGTCAAGGCAAGGGCTGCACAGGCTTGGCGAGACTGGAAGACCCCACGGCAGAGCAGCACGAACACGGTTACGTCGTCTCGCACTGTTGACTCGCCTGATAAGGCAGCTGCGCCACTAGCGACGAAAGGAGGCTGGCTCGTATCCAGGGCGCGAGGCCGGCCTAGCTTGACTGCGACAGACGAGACTGACACGTCTATCGCAAGCAGCACTGGCGACAGTGCCGTCTCAGACATCTCCACACCTTCCAAAAGCTCTTTCGGCGGATTCTTAGCCAAGTACGCAGAAGCTGTACAAAGCAGCGACGCCGCAGCTAACTTCTCGAAAGCCAGCACAAATCTCACAGCAAAAGCAATGGCCCGCTTCAGTGATCGTGGAAGTCGAGAGTCCACACCTGATTCTGGAATGCCTTATCAAGGTCAGCCCTACGGGTCACTAGGGCGCGGCTTTCCTTCCAATCCCACCGCATCAGCGTACGGTGGTGCCGAACCTCGCATTGCCTCTTTTGGCTCGATTGGAGCTAGTTTTTTCAACAGACAAAAGCGGAATGCAAGCGAGAATCATTCGCAGTCTGTGGGTGGATATTCACCAAGGACACCCGACATGACTCGTTGGTCTCGTGATACGATGCCTGACTTCCCTCTTCCCAACGTCTCTGATAGCCCAGCAGGGCGAATGGAGTATACGGACACATTCGGAAGGCGAATCAGCATGGCTCAGCATGCTCGCGGTGCTTCTCCAGCTTCGTCCGTCACAGGTGATGACAGCGAGAGAAGAAGCGAGAACGGACTCAGCAACTTTCCTCTGCCGAGTATGCGGGCTGCTGCGAGGATGGGCATTTTGCCAGCGCGGTACCGCGAAGAGTCGATTAGTCCGGGAGGACGTGCGGTCGGACCCAAACCTCTCCTCCTCTCGCAATCAGCCCGACCGCCCCGTGAGGGAAGCAACAGTCCAGGATCGCTAGCTGTGGACGAACCCTCGCGCAAGATCTCGTCCGGTCCAATGGGTCACAGTATGAGCAGAGGTAACAGTCACCAAGATTCTAGAAGCATCAGCTCTTTCAGCGGCAGATCGTCTGCAACGGGAAGCCGACGCAGCTCAGTAGCTGATTTCGGCGAAACAAGCATGCCTGGACTTGCTGAGGAAGGTGCTTTGCCGCCACTGCCTAGTCTTATGGGTCAGAGTGTGTATACTTATCCCCTCGGCACAAATGCAGCGGACACGGGAGCAAGCTTGGCTTTGCAAGGTGCAATTTCGAAAGAAGGGACAGTATCTGCTGGTGCGTTTACTAGAGCTACTAAGATTGCAGATGCGGATCGAGAGAGGCCGGAGTTCGGACAGGTGGCAAGCTCGTCTGATATTCCACTAGTCGCTACAGGTGCCAACATTTCTCGACCAAGGGCGTCGCATAGGAAGAGAACATCGAGTTCAACAGTAGAGTCAAGAACAGTGTCAACTTCTGGGTCTATGACGGGGAATCAGCTGTCGAATCGTAGTAGTCAGACGACAAGTGTCGTTGACGGCGCTGCTATCGAAGAAGGGTGGGAGGCGGGAGAGGTTGTTACGGTCGAGGAACCTGCCTCTCTTGGAGACGAGGTGGTTCGAAAAGGACACCAAACGGGTCGGTCAGACGGTAGCTCCTCAACTTGGCATGCAGCGGAGGCCATTGTATTGACTGATGAACCTCTCCACGGCCGACTCGACACCGCTGCTTCTGCAGCAACAGCAGCTCCGTTCGAAAGCGGAGACACAACCCCTCTCCCACAAACGGTTCGCAAATACACCTTAACGGACGAACCTCTTCCGCAAGCCGACGCTCCTCTTACAGCAACCTCATCCATCATTCGCACAAAACGCTTCACGAAGAATCGACAAAGCTCTTCTTCCTCAACCACAAGTCGTAGATCATTAGCTGGGTTGCGTAGATCTAGTAGGAACTCGCTGACTGAACAAGCTCCTACTTCACCCGTGATTGCGTTGCCCGAGGTGATGGAGGCTGATGCTTACGGTGGGATCGCAGCTGACAGTGGGGTCAATGGAGAAGGAGAGCTGCCATTCGTTTCAGCCCGTGGTGTGAGTGGTACTGGTCATGAAGAATATCCCGGCAGTCCTTCTTTGGATGATAGCTTCAACATAGCCTCATTGAATATTGCAGATGGCGTGGAGAGCGGTAATCGGAGACCGTCCACTGACAGAAGCGGATTTATTTAGCATCACATGATCAATCGTACTCGCTGGTCAATGCGCAACTCTTGTTGCACAAACGCGTACACACAGTACAACGATTCTAAGGCAACTTTGTGCTGAGTGACACCGAACTCTCTGAGAGAGCAACTTCCTCGTTCTGGAGCTTGAATTGTGGCCCTCGGGAAGCGGAGAAGCTGGCAACGAACCAATCGCGCTTCGCACCGGTCAGAACGGCAACGGAAGAGTCCTTCAATCATTCGTGGTGGACTCGTCTATGAACACACACATACACACAAAGCTCTTTCATTGTCTTGATTGCATCATTCAATTCGTACAGATACATGCAGTGGCTAATCATACATTGCTTAACATCGTTCTTTCTGCGACTGTGCCGTTACTGACCAGAACCAAGCACACGACTGACCCTCCTAGCAGCTGTTCTGCCCAAACTCCTCACAACAGAGGATGCACCACTTCCCTCCACATCATCATATCGGTAAGCCTGACGATCGGTCGCGCGCGGAGTACCTACATCCCCACCCAGAGCCGCAGCAGCGGTCGGCGTAGAAGGCTCATTCCTCTGCCCAAGCTGCGTCTTTCTCGCAGGCGAATGAATGCTTTCTTCACTAGGTCTCGAAATATTCCTCGGCGGTCTAGGTGGACGAGTCAGCTTTGTTGGTTGCCTATTTGTATTCTCTCCATCAGCAAGAGAGGAAGAAGGAGAAGCATTGGTATTGTGGAAATTGATCGTGTGTCGACGATGAGTTGAAGCCGTTCTCGCAACTTGAGCTGTTTCTTCTGCTGCAAGATCTTGCTCTTCGGTGCTTGTTCGAAAGGTGTCAAGTTGAGCGGCTAGGGTGTCGGCTACACGGTGGGGGCCGTTCCCTCTGATGGTTGCTACTTGCCTTGTGCGTTGGCGGGAGGAAAGTCTCGCCATGTCTCCGGGAGGGAGGGACCTTGAGTTGCCAGCAATGACTCGTCCGAACTCATCCGTCTCTGAGAGTAGACTTCCATGCTGTCCGCCTCCTCCGATTGTACTACCTTCGCTTTCAACCTGATCCATCCCACTAACTCCGTTCTGAAGACTGTTCTCGGGACTCGAAGCGACGACGCTTGATGCAGCCGAGGTTGCAGAGGGCTGGAAAGATGCTGTTGCATTCGAGACCGACGGGTTGCTGAGTCTAGGTCGACGCGGTGTAAATGCTAGCGGAGGTCGAGCACTACCGGCTGAAGCGCTGTTGGCTCCAGCAGTGGAGGAAGCATCACTGGATGAAGGGAAAGGTCGGCCAATGACGCTACGGCGCGAAGACAGTGGCGAATCCTGCGAAGTCTCAGGTGGGAGTTGGAGAGCAGAACGGTCGAGTCGACGCTGAGCAGCGCTGGACGAGGGGGAAAGCTCGGACGCTGAGCGACCATGATTGCTGGTGTGACCAAGAGAGGTCATTGAGCGGATTTGGGAAGCGGTGAGGGTGCCGCCGCGTTCTCCACTGCCCAGGCCGCGGGTTGAACGGACGAACGGTGATGGCGAGTCAGCCTGCAGACTAGACCCACCTCGTACTGAAGAAGTTGCTCTGCGAAGCAAGTGGGCACTCCCTGCTTCAGCACCACCACCAGCTGCTTGATACGCATCGCCTGGAGTCAACCCCGCCGCTGAGACCCCACCCCCGATGCGTGAGAAAGGTCTAGGCGAGTGACCCATTTCAACAAGAGCCTGATTGAACTGTGCTTGTCTCTCCTTCTCGGTGCGGTCAAGGAGGAAGAGCAGATCCTGAATAGCTCGCGCTTGTTCCAGCACGAGCTTATTGACGAATGCAAGTCCTTCGTCTAGCTGGCCGAAAGCGTCGGTGAAAGCATCGCCTGGACGTCCCATCAGGTGTCCTTCCGTGGCAATCGGATGCATCGAAGAAAGCTCAGCCCACATGGTCGAAGTGCCTCTAACGATGGCACCCATCAGTTCTACTGTGCGAGCTGTGTGCGATCCCACTGCAGCAGACCCGTTGGGGTCACCAACAGGCGTCTTGCTGTACAGAGCTTCGTATTGGGTCAGACGGATGGCAAGGTTCCGGATCGGTGCGGGCTCTTCGCCGTTGGAAGCCATTCTCTCGCGACGCTCCGTTACGGGACTGGTGGTCATGTGCCCTGGAGAGGTGCCGAGGGATGTTGCGCTGCGTTGAGGTACAGACGCACGTCGACTGGGACCGCCTCGAAAGCCGACGAGCTCGTGAATGCGATTTGCCGCATCAGAAGAGTTGTTCGGATCAGGTGTCGGCAAGGCCCGGTCGTACCGAGATCGCTGTGGATCCGTTGAAGGGTACTGATGCATATGCTGCGGTCTGAAGCTATCGTTAGGCGACCTCTGCAAGCCCATCACAGATTGAGGCCGAGTCGAGCCCAATACAGGAGATTCGAGATCGAGTGAAGATCGAGTGGTGCCAAGTAGCGCTTGAGCACGAAGTGAAGGGAGATGCTGTTGACGTTTATCGTGCTCCGATCCGGCGCGTCCAACACGCAGATCCTCGATCTGGTTGCGAAGGTTATCCAAAGCAGCATCATCCATGCGACGAAGTCTATCGTTGTACTGTCGCGGACGGTCCGAAGAGTTGGTCAAAGAGGAGGAATGCTCTGTTCTGACAGAAGGGCTGTGCGGACGAGCGCTGGTAGTCGCAGGTGGAGGAACAGCATCAGCTGAAAAGAGACCAGAACCGTATTGCTTGCGCATGCTGACTCGTGAAGCAGCGCGGTGCAGTTCAGAAGCGCTACTAGATGACTTTTGAGATCGATTGGAAGACGTAGAAGAGATCTTTCGTGCGCGAGCTTCTTCGCTGGGAGAACCAATTTCGGAGGAGCGAGGGAAACGGCGAGTTGCACTGGAAGGCGTGCTATGCTGCGAGCCCCTCGAGAGATGTCGCTGAGCGAAAGAGACATCGACAGAGATGCGGCTACCTTGAGTGCCAAGACGACCTGCATAGTCCAGTGGCGCGGTATTCTCATCTGCAGCAGCATCCGATGCGTACCTGCGACGCTGGATGGGTGAGCGCGAGCTGCTAGACAGATTTTTTGCACCCTCCTCTTTGATCTCGTCCAGGCTGTCACGGTGAGTCGAGACGGGACTACGGATCTCGTTACTGTCACCACTGAGCTCCGATGATCTAGGCTTTGGAAGCATCTCTTCTCGACCATCGCTGCGATCAGATTCATCTGCACTGGGTCTCCGTTGATGCGCAGCTCTGTATGCGCGGCGGATCTCCTTGTCGGGGAGCCTGAACTCAGCTGGCATTGGGCTGCGAGTCGAGCTTGTGTTGTTGGAAGATGTTCGAGCGTCAAGCGAGTGTCGACCTGAAGATCTCCCCGTAGTACACACAAGTCGTCGCATGGAGCCTGAAGGCAGCTCATCGCCGCCCGTATACCTCGACGAACGAGCTGAGCTGTGTGTCATCGCTGTTCCAGAGTCCAGATCATGACTGCCTTGTCGCGTAGGTGATTGTACATCGCCTAATGACTCTTCTGCATCATATCGGGAAGAGCTGACGGACAAGGTAGTTGATTTGCGTGGAGAATATTTGTGCTGAGAGCCTGATCGTGGGAATGGATGCTGCTGCTGCTCATTCCCTACGTCGTCGTCGTCGTCGTCTTCGAAACCAAGTCGAGACTCGGAGCGAAGCTGAGTGACGTCGCGCTCGTGCAATTCGCTTCGACGTGGTCTTCGCCCTGAAGGTGACTGGGTGGAGCCAGCATGTGAGGAGAGAGATGAAGAGGCGCGTGCTCCTGCTGGAGACGCCTCAGCAGGCTTGGTCGGTGACTTGTCCATTCTGCTTGTGGAATTGACCTGGGTCAAAGATGGCCCGGCTGCTGATGTGTGATACTCTCTTCGGAAGCTGCTGTCGTGAGGCTGAACCAGACTTGATCCTCCGATGGTGTCGCTGCCGGTATTGGTGGAAGAGGAAGCAGCTGAAGAGGAGCGGGACAAGGCTGAGGCAGTGTCGTGATGTGCGGAGGGTAGCTCGAGTCGTTGTAACGACGGGCTTTTATGGCTGGAAGGAAAGGCGTCGTTTGAGTCCTTTCGAGAGCGTCCAACACTCCCACTGGCACTGCTGGTTGTCTCGCTGTAGGGAGGTGTGAGAAGGCCGTAGATTCTACTCTTCGCAGCTGAAGAGGCTTCTGTAGATGGACCAACGCTCAGTTCTTGGTCCATCTGATAGCGGAGCGCGTCGACAGAGCTGATTTTTGCTTTGTCTCGACCATGAGAAGCTGTGCTTAGCCAGTCCGTTCGTCGAGTAGAGGTGTAGGGTGTCTCTATTCCGTTCTGATAGTCTGGCATCGAAGAGACTTTGCTGGCTTCGTTGGCTTCTCCCTATGCTTTCGGCTCGGCAGTGACAGCGACTTTAAGCTTGAGCTGATCTAAACGCTATATGGTTAGAGTTCAGGTGGATCGCGCTCCCAGATGGAGCTGCTGAGTCGGCAAGCCTGCTTGCGAATGATCCGAGTCGACTGAAAGGAAGAAAGGCTTGCTGTGCATTCGCAATTTCGCCGGTCGTTGCTATGTGTGATGGCGGAGCTGTAGCAGCTTCAGCGATACTCTCGCTGCCCTGCACGAGACTCGGATGGTCTCTGAGTCCAAGACGAACAAGGTTAATAGTGAGGGGCATGGAGCTAAGTGGAGCCAAGCTGCCAACGCTTTAGTAAAACTATGTAAGCTCTAGTTCGATCTCACATTGCCGCCACCTTCGCTTACTCGGATTCACGTCATCTTGGTCCAGGCCGGCGGTCGCGATAGGCATCGATCGGCATACCAGCTTTACAATACCTGAGGAGGAGCAGATAGTTTCTCCCTTACGCTTCAGCTGTAGCATACCTCTGTATCGTACACGCATACACAGATTGCTGGGAGACAGATATATATACTATTCACTGTCTTGTACTTAGTTCTTACATATGATTGCAATCGATACTTGTGTTTAACGCCATTTGCCGCACACGTCCTTCCTGGGCGTACCCACCTAATGCGTTGATCGATACAGGTTCGTTGATCACTGGACAGTATCAGCCAAGACATTCATCTGTGGCAGAATTGTGGGCTGCTACCGATGCACAAAGCGATCCTGCACACTCGAAATTTGATACCCCCTATATGTCGGTCCTTTAACACTATAAACATGAATGATACGGACGTGATCTCTTCTCACATCTCATCATTGTTGAAGATTACGATCCAGTGCGACGCCAAAGGATGACGCGGGGCAGATCCGGTTAGATGACCGATCTGATCAGAGATCGGGTGCAACACAGTCCCGCTCGTTGTCATGGTAGATCATTAAGTTGGACTACTCCCACCTTCGGCATGTGCCGCTCACATGTATACATATCTCACAGAGAGCACTAGGCTCTCGCCATATTCCCTAGTCAATTGAGTATATTTGTTTCTGTCTTTTAACAGCAGTGACATTGTACTTAGACAGTTGAAGATGCGTCGGCATCTCAAGTAAGATGCACATGTTACGGCCGAGACATTGAGACACGGGAGGCTCACGTAAGCGAGAAGTACAATGAGGTACGTAATTGTTGTCATGGTGACAGCACAATGGCACCCGGTATCATAGCAACACAGGAGTACAAATGAAGAGACACATCCTGCCTCGAATAGGACCAGAGCAGTGAATGGAGTATATATATGTGTTTGTCATTCAGTCTCATATCATGAAAACCAAGCATTACATAGAACATACGGCTGTGGTAAAGGGAGTCTGATCGTGACCCCGATAACGCCGTATATTAATTGTTATCTTCATCTGATTAAGAGTCTGAAGAAGCTATCACCGAGCTAACCGAAACTCGCCGACAACCATGGTAGAAGACACCGAAACGAGGACCAAAGGAGGCAGAAAAGGCAAGAACACCCAGGTTCGGGTCGATAATAATGCCACGAGCGAGAACGAGCCGGAGGCCATCAATGATGAAGCCGACGAAGACACCGATTCCGACTCCGACTTTGATGATGGTGACAAGCGATATAACTTTCGCACCCTAGCAAAGCTCCTCGAACCCGTGCCAAAGCTCACGTCACGAAACTATCATAGCTGGAGCGCCCACGTGAAATCCTTCCTCCGATCCGTGCCTCATGCGATGAAACATCTCGAGGGAACGTACGACAAGAAACACCCGAAATGGAGCCACTCCCTCGACGATGCTTTAATCAACGCCCTGCGTGGAACAATCGACACTACCGGAGAACACAATGTAAATTACCTCGTTCTAGATGTAATCAAGGAGTACCTTACTTTCAACCAAGTGTGGAGAAAGATCGAAAACGGTCTCACGAATGAAGCCACCAAGACGTCTCACAGACTTGCGCTTATCTCGCAACTCAACGATACAAAGATGTTTAACTCGGACGCCAGAAAGCTAATTCAAGAGATCCGGTCCATACAAACCGAAAGCAGCCTCCTCGGCAAACCATTCGCCGATGATACATTGTTCTCGGCTCTGCAGAAATGCACGATCCGGCATCCGGTGTACAAGGAGATGGTTGCCACCGTCCATCAAATCGATTTCAACGCCCTTGCCACCGCACTAAGCATCCGGCAGACCGCTGTCGAGAGCGTCCCCGCACAAAGGATCGACCCTCGACAAGCCAGTGCTAGAACCGCCGGCAACGACGATCAAAACGAACGGGCCGGAGAGACCGAAGCCGAAGCCGACAACAGCCACGCGAGCTCGAGGAACGCAAGCAAGTCACGCCGAATCCGATGCTGGGTCTGCAAGCGACCGGGACATGGTATCAGTCAATGCGACGCCTTGGTTACCATTCCCAAGGACTCCCCCCTCGCTGAACCTAAATAGGAAGCGTGGTGCTCCCTCACCCTCCCAATGAAATGGCAGGACCCCTCGAACACAAAAGAAACAGCTCATTGGATCTTGGACTCGGGGGCGAGTTACCATATGGTGAACGACTACAGCATGCTCATCCACCCGAGAACTTGCCGAAAGCGGATAATTACCGCCGGAAGCGAGGTCTTGGAAGCGGCAGCTATAGGAGATGCAAGCATATCAACAGATTACGGGGAGATCTCTCTGCAAAATGTATTGTATGTAAGGCACCTTAATGTTAACCTTCTGTCAACAAATTCATTAACGGATGAAGGAGCACGAGTGATATTGGACACAACCGGCGGCCAAATTTTTCTAACAAACGGCATGACACTTAAGATTGCAAAGAATCGCGAGCGAGGACTTCTGGAGTTCCGAGGCGACACATGGCAAGAAAGCGCGATGGCCACATCAGCACCATTGTTTGAAGGTGTTGATGAGGAGTTCGAGCATATTGAGAATGAGCCGAAAGTTTCAAAACAACAACTATGGCATGAGCGTCTCGGGCACCCAGGAAGAGATAAAGCTAAGGCGATCACAACCAAGTTAAAGGATAAGCATACCATGAAATTGGATCCAAACACCGCTCTGACGTGTGAGCAGTGCGTACGATCCAAGAGCACAAGCGCTCGGATGGGGAAAGGTAGCGGCGAAAGAGCCGTAGGGCCCCTGGATCTTATCCACGTCGATCTAATAATAGACTCGTCCCACGTGACGGAGTACACATGCACGTTGGTGCTGGTCGACGATCATAGCAAGTATGTGTATGCACAGCCATTGACACGAAAGAGTCATGCCTTTATGCAACTCAAAAGGATTGTTTCGTTCCTGGAGACACAGACGGATCGGAAGCTAAAAGCGATCCGATCCGATCAAGGAACGGAATGGAAAAGCAATGATGCATTAGAATGGTCGTTAGAAAAGGGCATAGAGTGGCAAACCACCGTAGGGTACAACAGCAAACAAAATGGACGGGTAGAGAGAATGAACAGGACCCTTGGAGAGAAGATGAGAACGTTGCTAATGCAGAGGAGACTACCGAAGAAGTTCTGGCCATACGCGATCAGAGCTGCGGCGTTCAAAATAAACCTCACTCCGAGCGTTGATAATGAATTCCCTTATCAAGCGATGTTTGGCAAGTCGCCGGAACGAGCTTTAAAGCTCCTACGAGTGTTTGGTTGTCTGGCATGGGTAAACGTACCCAAAGTTAAACGGGACAACAAGAAACTGGACCAGCGAGCCGTCGCATCCATTTTCTTAGGGTACAGTCTAGAAAGGAAGGGCTGGCTCTTCTACAGCCCGGACTACAATCCGAACATCTTCTGGAGCAACTCAGCAAAATTCATGGAATCAAAGTGCTGGTCAGACAGAACAGAGTGGCGACCGGTTGACACCAGTAGCACCCATCCAATCCATTCGAGGGGTGATCGCTGTCGCAGCAGTACGAGATTGGGAAATGGATTCTATTGACGTAAAGCAAGCGTACCTGAACTCCACTATACACCATGATGTATACCTCAAGCCCCCAGTAGGAATCGAAATGCCACCCGGAAAAGTGTTGAAGGTAGTGAAAGGACTGTACGGTCTGAAACAATCGGGCCGAGAATGGAACATTGAGTTAGACTCACATCTCCGGACGATCGGATTCCATTGCATGCCGAGCGCACCATGCCTATACTCAAGAGGGACAGGCGACAAGATCACGATCATCACAGCATACGTGGACGACATGCTAATAACATCACCCAGTCGTGATGAAGTAGATCGCGCAAAGCGAGAGATCATGGACAAATGGGAGACGCAAGACAATGGAAGGGTCAAAGAATTTCTGGGTATCAAGATCACACGTGATAGAAGACGGAGGAGGATATCTCTGGGTCTAACGGCATACATCAAGGAAATGGTGAACAAATGGTTAGGAGGAGCAAACGAGAAATCTTGGGTACCCATGCTGAGTGTAGCGAACGTTGCCGGAGGCGAGCGATGTGAACCTCAGCGAGCAAAGAAGTATCAAGAATTGGTCGGCCAACTATTATGGGTCTCCAACACAGCCCGACCAGATATTGCCTTTGCCGTCGGCGTATTGGCGCGATATATGTCGATCCCGATCGACAGTGCATGGAAGGCAGCCATCCACGTGGTAAAGTACCTGAACCAAACGAACGAATATCAGTTGCACCTAGGAGGGGAGACAAACGAGCACTCGGATACACCGGTAACGACGTATACCGACGCAAACTGGGCATCCGACCCCACAAATGGACGAAGAAGCACCTCGGGGTCGATAACATATGTATATGGGTGTCCAGTGAGTTGGAAATCACACGTTCAGAAGTGTGTGGCATTGTCGGCAGTCGAAGCAGAGTTTGTCGCCGCTTCCGAAGCGGTACGAGAAACCTTATTCTTCTCATATTTGCTCCGGGATTTGGAGACCACGGACGTTCGGCCCGTACTATACACAGATAGCCAGGGGTGCATACAGGTGAGTAAAGATCCAGCCAAACATTGGAAGTTAAAGCACATCGACACACGGTATCATTTCGTTCGCGATCACGTACAAGAGGGCGATGTGGAAATCAAATATGTCGGAACGGCAAACAACGTTGCAGATGTCTTGACAAAACCCTTACAGGGTCTTAACACCTCACGATTGGCTAGGATGATAGGACTGGAGATCCCGCCGAAGGGGGGAGTTGAAGATGCGTCGGCATCTCAAGTAAGATGCACATGTTACGGCCGAGACATTGAGACACGGGAGGCTCACGTAAGCGAGAAGTACAATGAGGTACGTAATTGTTGTCATGGTGACAGCACAATGGCACCCGGTATCATAGCAACACAGGAGTACAAATGAAGAGACACATCCTGCCTCGAATAGGACCAGAGCAGTGAATGGAGTATATATATGTGTTTGTCATTCAGTCTCATATCATGAAAACCAAGCATTACATAGAACATACGGCTGTGGTAAAGGGAGTCTGATCGTGACCCCGATAACGCCGTATATTAATTGTTATCTTCATCTTAGACTCTCCCCGAACGCCAGTATCGGGACCGAAACGACTTCAGTTTCCAACAATCATCGGTACTTCGCTGTAAGAACGTCCCAACGCTTCTTCAAGACTCGCGCCAAGATGTTCTTGCCTCAGTCTCTCCTCTTTGCTGTCCTTTCCGTCTACGGCATCGCTGCCGCCGCCAAAAGCTCTAGGTCATCGAGCTCTGCCGGTAGAAGCCGCTCTAGCTCTAGCTCTGCACTTGACTTCTGGCTCACTGCCTATATAATCGACACTTCGTCCCTCAATTGGCCCAAGACGCCAATGACAAAGGAGGAATTCGGCATCCACAACGTCGCTACAATGTGGCAAAACCGTCCTGCTAAAGCTCATGCGGCGGTTTGCATCAATAGTCCTTGGAACGTCAAGAATTACGACAACGTCAGCCCTGCGATGTCAGTCGCTTACTTCAATCAAAAGTTCTGGACGAAAAAGGTTTTCATTTGGGATTGTGTGTACATTTGGGGCCCTGACCAGCAGTTCTACAGCTTCGATGACGTCAAGTCTGACCGAATGGCTTGGGCATTCGATGATACCAAGTGCTCCATGGACAACGTTACCATGGATCTCTCCTGTCTCTAGCATTCTCTTCGATATCTGATCTCTTAGTGATGCTGTGTCTCGAGAACCCATTCGATTAGATAAATTAGGTCTGATTGTGATCGGGTGCGGCAAATCAGACAGGGAATCGGGCTGAGCCGATACAAGACAGAGATCGGATGCAACCATGTCCCACTCGTTGCTACACACTGTCATTAGGTAGGATACGCCCATAGTCGGGCATGTGCCACACATTTGTATATAAGTCTAGCAGGGAGCTCGAGGCTCCCGCCACATTCACTTCTAAGGGGGTATCAAAGTTTTTGCGTTTTTAAAAACGCGGGTTTTTTGAAGAGCGCGTTTTTCAAAAAAAAACGCAATAGCTTACATAAGCTACGCCAAACGAAAAACAAAACCGCGTTTTTGAAAACACGGCTTTTTCGTGCGTTTTCAAAAACGCAAAACGAGTTCACTCCACAACAGTGAAAGTATGTGAGCACTAGTTCGATCTCACACCTTTGTCGCCTTTTCACACTCGGATCCGTAGCAAGTTGTCGAGGCCAGTCCCGCGTATCGGCATGCGTCAGGCCCGATCATCGCAATCGCCTTCGGCACACCGGCTATCTGATACCCGAGGTGAAGAAGATAGGTGCCACGTCATGTTTCATATGCTTATTGCTAAGTTACGTCTCTTATCGGCCGTATGAATCATGTTTCATATGCTTACTTTTAGGTTGCACCTCCTTTCGGCCGTATGATTCATGCTTCATATGCTTACTGTTAGGATACAAATTTTATCGGCCGTATGATGTTATCGCGTATTTGGAAACCGGCTTTTCCTTAAATGGGGGGTTCAACTTTGCTCCAAAAACGCGCTTTTCAAAAAACCCGCATTTTTAAAAAACGCAAAAACTTTGGTACCCCCTCTAGTTGATATAAGTAAAGAAGTTTTGGAGACGTTTAGGTCCCGATAACTGGTGATCGGGGAGAGTCCGAGTACGATGTCACTACTACTTTTAAGGCAGAAACATATATACTCGATTGACTAAAAAACGTGTGTGGCAGGAGCCTCGAGCCCCCCCGCTTGATGTATATACAAATGAGTGGCACTTGCCGAATGTGGGTAGATCCTACTTAATGACGAGCTATAACAACGAGCTGGACTTTGTTGTACCCGATTCTCGATTTCTGATCAGGTCGTCCCTCACCCGATCCTTTTTGTATCTGCTTACGTCAACCACTATTATCACGTTGGATCGTCATTCTCAATAGTTAGACCCTGGAAATATCGACGTATCTTCAACTTGCTGAAAGCATCATGCTACTCCAGGACCCACTCCTGAACTTAGTGCTATCACAAACCACCACCTCAAGACCCTCTCAAGCTTGAATGAAAGGATGCGGTGGGATGAACATGACCTTCTCAACCCAAGAGTGGTCTCTGTGCATGCATGGTGACATAATATCTTCACAATGCTATCTGTCATTCCTTTTGCATGAAATGTTCTTGACTGAAAATCAACAACATTTGAGGATGCTGATTTGATACTCAGCTTGATCCTCATGTGGAGCTTCTCTAATAAGCTACATATCGAATACTTCACTGAGCATGGAGACAAACCAATACCTATCACCATAGATCTCTTTGATTGGGCAGTGAATAAATGTAAAGTACATTCTACAGTCAAAGAGTTTGAGCTGTCTGCAGTGACCCTTGACCTATACTGGGACCAAGTAGGGAGCCACACATATGACTTTCTTGTCAAGTGGGAAGCTCATGTATCAGAGCTGCATGAGTATTTACAGGACCCCTGGAAGCCGGATTACCACTACAGGATCCTTAAACGAGCACTCCCTTCAGATCGAAATGCCTTATTCAACTCTGTGTTTATCCTACACGAGAAGATTCATGGCAGGGAGCAAACCACTGAAAGCATATCAGACATCCTATGTCAGTGTTATGAACTTGCTGCTGAAGTCACTCCCATGGGATGTCGCCATGTGACAGAGGAGTCTGAACTCACTGCACTGTGGGCCACCACCCTCATCAACTGTTGGGCATGTGGCGAACTAGGTCATGCAGCCAACCACTGTCCTGACAATGTAGCCCATGCATGATGGAAAGAAAGCAGGAGTAAGGTATCACCCAAAAGCCATGCCAAAACATGTGTAGTACTACTGCTTGCAGATTCTCAGGAAAAATAGGATGCAGTGCCAGTCTTGGCCTTCTTTACAGAGGTTGAGCTGGTGCCAATTGATTTACCACCTCAGCTTGTGCTGTTTGTGTTTGACTCTGGCACTTCCTGTGTCATGGTCAATTGCACTTGCTATGGGAAAGGTTGGCAAGAAATGAAACATAAAGTTAGTATTACTACTGCTGATGGTGGGCAACTCTCGGCATCTAAGATGGGAGGTACAGTTAGTCTACTAAGTTTTAGTCCCAAGATGTGGCAATGGGAGTGAATGACATACCAGGACTGCCTACTGGTTCCCAATCTGGTGACAAACCTTATTGGGACCAAATCTGTCATGTGTGCCAAAGGGAAAGTGACCTTTGAGGATGAACTTGTCACAGTCCAAGACAAGCATGGCCATGCCATTCGAGTGCCAATGACTGGAGACAGTTACCCCACTGCTGCCATGCTCATATGGAATGATACCATGCCTGAGCCAGCCATCTCCTTAGCTTTTGCCACAACAAGAATGGCAACCAGCACAGAGCATTCCCTTGGGGCCAGCAGCAAAGCCAGCATCTGGCACCAAAGACTGGGGCATGCAGGTCATGATGCAATCTTACAGATGAGAGCAGCTAAAAACCTCCATGACATACCCTCAACCCTGGCGATCCACCCTGACACTCTGTGTGATGTTTGCACACAAAGCAAGGTGATTGCACAGACTACTGCTCACCCTCAGCAGATTGATAAGCTGCTCAAACTGGTGTTGATGGATGTCATGGGTCCACTACACAGCACCACCCAATATTCATTTGTCCTCATCATTCATGATGCCCATTCTAGTATGATTTGGGTGCAAGGGCTAGCACACAAAGGGGCCACATATCAGGAAGCAGCCTGGTGGCTATCTGAAATTCATGCCACCAAGAATCAAAGACCATCTGAGGTCTGGGTGGACCAGGGTGAACTTTGGTCCACTGCCTTCCATGAGCTGTGCTCTTCAATGGGCATGAAGATCTCTGCTTCACCCACCCAACAACATACCAACAATGCATTTGCTGAACAGGCAATTCAGACAATTCAGAAGATTGCCCAAAGTCTCATCTATGACTCAGGTATACATGAATGATGGTGGCCACACACCATGCTACAAGCAGCATACATCCACAATCAACTCACAGGTACAACATGTGGAGGCATTATGCCCCTCAAACTCTTCTTTGGTCATTGCCCTGACTTATGCCACATCTGCTGGTTCAGCTGCATGGTGTCACAGGGACGGCTGGCCTGCGCAAGAGAGTGCGCCAAATGATCAGCAGCAGTTATGATAATGTCGCATAACGGAGCAGTATATGAAGGGTGCACAGAAGATCAACATATGAAGGGTGCACCAGATTGATCAGAGTCGACAACCATCAGGGATCAACGAGATTAATCGGGTTGGCAGCGCACATGATTTAGGAGATCGATCGAACCCTGGGAATCCAGATCGATCTCATGGGATTGGTCGGAGTCAGCTGGACCAGTATGCTTCAACGAGTCAGCCAATCCGAACAAGTACTTGGAGCTATGCCAACAACAGAGGCAGTCGGATCAGCACACCTCAACTAATCGGCCGATCCAAACAGGTATTTGGAGCTGTGCCAATGTTGGAATCAGTTGGATCAGCATGCTTCAACTAGTCGGCCAATCCAAACAGGTATTTGGAGCTGTGCCAATGACAGAGTCAGTCGGATCAGCATGCTTCAACTAGTCGGCCAATCCGAACAAGTATTCGGAGCTGTGCCAACATCAGAGTCAGTCGAATCAGCACACTTCAACTAGTCAGCCGATCTGAACAAGTTGAGACAGAACTGAGCTGATGTGACCACATGACCAGGGGGTATGGTCACAAGGTTCAAAAGGGGATTCACAAGATTAAGTCGAAAGGGGGCCATGCCGAAAGGGGGCATCACACATCAGACAGAAGGAGAGCATGAAGGCGAGAGGGCAGTGTTGCATAACCCTTATGCTGAGCAAAACGGTAGGAGCACAGTATTGAAGGGGATGATGCCAGCAGGGCAAGGCAGTGCCTAACAGGGGACAAAGGCCCCTCAAGAGGAGCAGGATAGGTGTCGAGGGAAAACACCGATCGAATGTATAAATACTCTCTTTCTACCATAGCATTCAAGTGGATTGGTATCCACACTGAACTCAACTTACTTACTCTATACTTATTTGGTTACATATCATTGCAATAGCAGTGCTCTTGCAACAACTCTCAATGTGTGTGTTGTATCACTGTTAGTCGACAACTGTAGGTGGTGTTCTTCAACACCAGTGGTCCAGTCCCTTGCTGTAGGTGGTGTTGCTCGACACCAGCAGTCCAGTTGGTTATTGCAGGTGGTGTTTCACACCAGCGGTCCAGTAACTCATGTCCTCTGTAGGCGATTGGCATATCACAGTCCAGACAACATCCAAGAGCATTATCAACAGTACTATGAACACTCGTACTGTAGGGGAGGGTGTATCATGCACTCACCAACAAACAATGTCCGTGCTGCGCAACCTCTGAATGGAGTGTTCAAGGCAGTCAGTCGAGACTTACTAGGCGATGACACTTGGTTACATTTTAGGCGAATCATATCGAGTAGTCCTTACTCAATCAACCCCAGCTAGTCTCTGGCGCGCGACCGCTTACACATGGCTTACGTCATACTCCGAGGAAGCACATGCTCAACATGGTGTCAGGGGTCTCGCGCCTGAAACCCAGGTCGGTCTGTCGAGATACTCGGTGACTATCAAACTGTGTGACAGCTATTGTCTCGGTATCGGTGACTATCAAGTTGTGCAGTGACAGCAGGTGGCATTCGTTGTATATACTATCGTAGGTTTCGGCTGACCTCTGTGGACACTCTGTTCAGGGGTAGCTCGGCATGATCAATATCAATGCTTCGGTTATGATGACACCAAGGTCTGGTGTGAGTGTTGATGATGATGAGGTTGATGTCGTTGGTGATAAGGTTGGTGAGTGTTGATGATAAGGAGGTTGATGGTGTTGGTGATAAGGTTGGTGGCATCAACACAAGTGTCCAGTGTGTTGACTTGATGCTTGAAGTGACCCCTGGACCACAGTGGACTACTGCCTTCGGTTCTATCTATATCCAGACCGCTAACCTGCTATGGGTGCCTTCGGACGTCAGGTAGTGGTGATACAACACACACACTACAATGAGGAGCAACCTTGATAGATTGCTGCTATGCTGACTGAAACTAATATATACTTATGCTGAAGTGATAACTAGTTATGATGATGTGTAGAGTGGATGAGGATCCACTCAACCTATGCTGATGAGAAAGCATGGTTATATACCTCTTCACAGCATTGCCAGCGATGCTGCTCCTGCTCTCTCTCCAGAGAGTACCTTCTTCATCGAGTACTGCTCAGGGGCCTCTCCTGCTTGGCACCCCTGTGCCTCTTGAGTGGTGTCGACTCCTTCGACACTGCTCCTCCTCCTCATGACCTGGTGTCGACTCCTTCGACACTGCTCCTCTTCCTCAGGACCTGCCTGCTAGTGTCCTATACACTGCTCCTTCTCCTTTGACCGGTGACAGTTCCTTTGACTCTTGTTTCTCAAGCCCCTGAGTGGTAACCATCTGCATGCTCCTTGAGCTTGGTCCTCCTCATGGCTGTGCCTGGCCCTCCTCGCATGTGGCTCATGTCCTCCTTTGCATGTGAGTCCATAGGAGTCCATGGTCTCCATGGAGACTGCACTACGACCATGCTCTCTACTGGTATCGACTAGATCTTCGATACCTGTGCTCCTTCCATATGAACCCGTGACCCTCCTGCTTCTTGAGCATCCAGGCCCATGACATGAAGTTTGGGATGGACAAAGCCTGGGCAGCATTGACACCAGCCACTGAAGCCATTAATACTCTTGGACCATGGGAAGGTGATCCAGCTAGTGCCGAAGAAATTCATCACTACACATCACTTGTAGGGTCATTATTATGGATCGCTCAAGGCAGCTGACCTGATATTGCATTCGCTGTTGGCCACTGTGCCCAATTTGTCGCGAACCCCCCTGGTGAACACCTCACTGCTGCCAAATGCATATTATGGTACCTCAAGGGAATGATAGGAATCAGCCTTTCTGTAGGAACACACACTGGTGGGCAAACACTCACTGGGTGGGCAGATAGTGATTGGGCAGGATCATGCAGTTGCAGGAGGTCGATGTCAGGATATGCCTTCATAATCAAGGGACTAGTGTGTAGTTGGTCATCATGCCTCCAACCAATGGTGGCAAATAGCTCAGTGGAAGCTGAATATGTAGCCCTAGCAGGAGCTGCTAGAGAGCTACTATGGACATCGATGTTCCTACACAAGCTGCAACAACAAACACCACTGACAACCGGAATATGTGTGAGCACTGGAACTACGACCATCTACTCATGAGAGGGTGAGCTAGCCTTCAATTGAAATGTTCCAATCCTGTACAGTGATTCATCAGGAGTGTGTGCCATTGCAAGCAACCCGCAACACTTCAAGAGGACAAAGCACATCGATATCGCTCACTTCTTCTTGTGGGATGAAGTGGCTAGTCAGCAACTCACGATTGCTCCAGTCCAGAGTTGCGAGAATATTGCTGACATATTGACAAAGCCACTCACAGCACCAATGCTGGTGCACATATGGGAGCTGTTCAGTCTGATAGTGTCAAAGAAGCATACTGGATTGAGAGGGGGTGCTGAAAGTAATGATCCAGTGATGACACTAGGGTGACAAGATTGGAGATCAGGGACAATCGAGCTTGTTGAGGATTGGGTACAACCAAGTCTTGCTCGTTGTCAGGCTAGATCATTAAGTAGGAGCAGTCCCACATTTGGCTTGTGCTGCTCACATGTATATATATCTCACAGAGAGCACTAGGCTCTCACCACATTCTGGTAGGTCAATTTAGTATATGTTTCTGCTGTAACAAAGTAGTGACATCATACTTAGACCATCCCTGATCACCAGTATCGGGACCTCATACGACCTCAAGTTCTTCACAACTGCGCATGAGCCCGGAGTTCCGCGACGCGTTACAAGTCTCAAAAAGGAAAATGTGCGTCACAGGGGTCTAACAATATGAAAGAAAAAGCGAAATGTGGAGAATGCACAGCCTGGACCCTGAATTGTGTGAATCACAAAGCCTTATCTCGATTGCTCAGCTGATGTATCCCTTCTCTAGCAACGAGGAAAGACGCCGCTGCTCATCATCTTGACAGAGAGCAACATACGATCCCATACAACAACGCTTGAGCGACTTGCAGGTCACCGCCAAAGCCGGATCATCGAGGTGGGGCCAACCCTACCAACCACCTCTCGCTCTTCCTCTTCACGAGCATGTCGACGTACCCTTCATTGCGCTTAGACTGCGCAAATCTGCCGACATAAGTACCGATTATGGCATCGTACTTCCTACCGTCCTTCTTGTCCGGCTGGGACCTTTCGACCGTCTCCGCATTCTCCCTCTCAGCCGGTCTTCAAAAGAGGATCCTATCCTACCTCTTCAAGAGAACACTCGGACACCTTGTCGATGGAGGTCAGCTCGATCTTGCTCAAATCGATGCTGGTATCGGCAGCGGTCGTATCGAAGTTCGCAATATTCAACTTAACTCAGACGCCATCAACAGCCGACTATCTTCGCTGCCAGTCACATTTGTCTCAGGTCAGATCGGAAAGGTTCTCATTCACTTGCCCGTGCCCAACCTCTGGAGCGGCGAGCTATCAATTACAATATCAGACATCTCGGCCATCATCAAGGTCTCTCCTGAACCCACGCCTCAACATTCAAACCCGACAGATGATCTCTCGGCATCCTTTGCAAGCGCAGCTAGTCAGATCTTCGTCGAGGACGAGGAAGCCAAGGAACTCGAGGAGTCCATCCACGAATCACTTGGTGCCGAAGAGCTTCCAGAAGCACAGCAGCAGGCCAATGAAGAGCCTGGATCTCTCATAGCCACATACGTGGAAGCTCTGTTGACGCGGCTGAGAGTCGCAATCGAAAATGTACACGTACAGCTCTTCTCCGACGCAGCTGGTCTCTCCGTCAAGTTGCGGAGCGTGGCTGTTCAAAGCTCGAACACACGTACCGAGGAGCAAGCTCAACAGCAACGCGATTCAGGAAGCAGTCCACACAAAAGGCTCTTTAGCGCAACAGTACGAAAACTTGAGCTTCAGGGACTCGAAGTATGGCTGGAAGACAAACGGGCCACCGCGGAACCTCACGCCTACTCCTCCTCTTCTTCCGAAGCATCGACTGATGGCGACGACTCCATAGAGCAAAGAGGAATCTCTCAAGACCTCGAGCAATCAGTTGTATCCTTGCAGGAGTCGTCAGCCAGTCTGTATGCAAGTGCAATTGCAGAGTCCGTCGACGAGAAATCATTCGACGATCAGAAGACAGGTGCGCCGCGGCATCCAAGTCCCCCGCCCGAGCAGCCACCAGCAATCAATACGAATCATCTTCTCTTGAGCTTCGGCCAGGAACCCGTCGTGGTGACATTCAAGACCCTGAAAGAGCGTCAGCAGGTGCCGAGCTCGCAACATGGTGCACGTCGCCCAGTCCAGCGACTCGTCAGCTTCAGCACCGATATTGATGTACAGATTGGCAATGGCGGCACCGTCTTGTTCATCGATCACGCCAGCTTGCTCTTGAACTTATCACGGAAACTTACCAACGGAATTCCTCGCAATGACATTGTGGAAAGCTCATCGGACAACAAAGCGCAGCCCGCTCCGCCATTCAAACGCTCCTATGCAAAGAGGAAGCTAGAACTGAGCTGCCACATCAGCAGCTTCAACCTCATCATCGGCTATGACGATCCCATGATCGACAGCAAGACTTTATCATCGATCGACGCTTTTTGGACTAAGCCTTCTCGATCACATCCGGACTTTGGCCACCTTCGATTGCGCTGTGACAAGCTGAGTGCAGTGTATCGCAGCTCTCCCGATACTGATGGCAGGAAGTCGACGCAGCCGAGCATAACACTCACAGTTGAGGATCTGAGCCTCTTTGAGTATTTATCTGCCAATCTCTACGAGCAGTGTCCACCTGATGCATCCCGAGTCCTCCCTGTTTTGATTTTGGACCCGAATCTCATCCAGTCCACTCGGCCGAACCTTGGAGCGACTAAGCATTCTCGGCACGACTACGCAAGCAGTACTGTCGATGTCTTCGACTGGCGCTTCAACGGTCCACATCACGCACCTGTTCAACGGCCATTCAAGCCAGGAGAGAGCAGCAAAGCTATGGACATGAGAGCTACGCGCTTCGGGTCGTCCGAGCGTCGACCCTCGTTCTCATCCGGTCAGAGCCCTTACTATCGAACTGCATACGGTGAGCGCGGCTGGAAGCTCAAACCTCAGTCCAAGCCCCAGAATGCGACGCAGTCCCACGATGCTGAGAATCTGCAACCCAACATCACTGTATCTGTCTCGTCGGCCAAGGATGAAGGATTGCAAGGTCGAGTCACAGTCGCAGTGGCGCCCATACATCTGTTTGTTGATGTCTCTCTCGTCACGCGCCTCATGCCTGCATTGCGCAAATTCGCAGCTGCTCAGCTCGCGGCTCTAAAGGAGAACGCACAAGCGAGCTATGAGCTATCTGGCTCTCTTGCAACCCTTGCCACCAGTGTGGCGACCATTCAAGCATCAGCTAGCGGTCTTCTTGACGACATCGGCACGGACGTCAACACTCCGAACAACAAGAGCACGTTTCGAGTCGACCTGAAGATTCACCTCGTCCGCCTAGAGATCAGAACCCCCAGAGTGAGCTACGATGCTGCAGCGTTGGTCGGATGCGATATCACTTCAGCAAGAAGAGTCGGGCTGGACAGGCGATCCGGCATTCTCGTCCTCCAGGTGCAAGGGCTAGATGTCCGTACGGGCATTACAGAGCCCCTGCGACCGACAGGAGTAGTGCGTTTCGCTGAATCCCGCGGAGCAGGCACACGTTCGCGAGTCACGGAATCCATTTTGACCTGCCAGGTCAGCGCGGAAAAGGTGTCTGCCTACTATGCTCTACCATCAGACTCACGAGCGTTGGTCTTGGCGTTGATTGAGGGAGTCCACGACAACGATGCCATGCAAGGGCCCTTCCAAAGCTCGCCTACTACGTTGCTCCCGCAGATTCGGCTGACTCGCTCTTCAGAGCCCAGACATGAACTTGGCAGCGGCCCATCGCCTGGTCTGCAGGCCAAAGATCGATGCAACATTTCAATACCGTCCGTCAAGGTAGAGCTAGGGAAGCAACAACTCGACTCGCTTCAGTACATGGCTGACGACTTGACGCAGTCAGTCAATCTTTGGAGCTCGGACGACCTGGATGATGCAGACAGTCTTGACACCGAAGGGCTCAAGATCCTCGGAAGCCGCTTCTTTGGCAGCCGAGCCGGCATGTCAATCATGTCTGCTAGTACAGACTCGACAGCGACTGCTCGAGCTAGCAGCAGGAGCTCGTCACTGCTAGTGACGGTCATGCAGGCATCCATTCGCCTTTGGCTCCCAAGCTTGAAGGCGAATGAGGAGGCATCCAGCGGAGGCAGAGAAGCTAGCTCAAAGAGTCTTCTACTATTGACCTCTGACTTCGAGCTGCTCTTCGACAGCGACAAGACCCGAAACATTACGCGGATCGAGGCGCGACTACCTCAAATGCAATTGAGCGTAGAAGCGGGAAGCACTTCTGACGCAACAACGAGCTCACTCTTGGCTTACAGAACTATGGAAAGGAGCCTGGATGATCGCGATCACCACGGGATGTTGCTGCTGGTGCTCGAGGCGTATGCCGACCCTGGCACTAGCTATCGCGAGCAGAATGTTGATTTGACGCTTTGCTCGATCACGCTTTCCCCATCTTTCGACGAGGAGCTCATTCCGCGTGTCAAGCGACTCTTCAAAGCGCCTGCCGGTGTCTTCGAGAACGTTGAGCCAAACGAGGTGACGCGAATCAGCTTCAAGGCGAAGAACTGGTCCATCTACGTAGCCCCTCCCGGCACCACCCATCGAGGATCTTTGGCAATTGGCGAAGCCTCAGTGAAGACAAAATTGACGTCGCATGCTCCCAAGACAGCCATCAAGCTGGCTATAGGCGATTTTGACCTGTACGTGATCGGGTCCGAAGCTACAAACACTTCTGCGACTCCTTTGACGGCGCGCTCGGCAGCCGAGTATTGGACCAAACGTGGGTTTGCTCGCATTATTCATGTCCCTGAAGGCAAGGGCAGCATCAACCTGAACACGCTCACGCGTCCGGAAGTGGACGTCAAGGTCACCAAGCTGCGTGCCAAGTTGCAGGCGACAGCTGATACGCTGGATGTCGTCACAAGTCTTGTCGGCGCGATCACGGCCGGCCAGTCTCCGACCCAGAGCAACCCTGGAGCGGAGAACTGTTCGCTGAGTTCATCTGGAGAAGCCGATACTCGCTTCAGGCAAGACCTCGCAGCTTCGCAAGCGCCGTCAGTCACAGGTTCAGTGAAGGTGGACAACTCAGACCGAATGGCAGAGCTGATGTCAGGCATCGAAGATAACGCATATCGACTCGCATCGCCGCTGCCCATTACGGCCGACCTGGTGGACGATGATGTGCCTTCTGACGCTGCCTTTCTGGGCGCAAAGGGTCGATACCATCCGGAGATCCTCGAGACAACGCTGGACTCTGATGAGTTCTTTGGTGGCGAGTCTGTGGCGTCGTTATCGCTGCTCGCTCCACGCACAGACACCGTCATCTTTGCTGATGAAGATGTGACGGTGCGACTCCTCGACCCAAAAGGCATCTGCCCTGTGCAGGAATACTTCACAAACTCTGACCTGGAGCCACAAAAGGAGTCTGCTCTAGGTCCAACAGCAAGCTCGGTGCGAGTGCGGGTGAGCAACTTCGATCTCTCAGTGCGCCTACACTCTGGCTACGACTGGGAAACCACACGTAAGGCTGTTCAGCAGGAAGCCAAGCTGGTCAGGAAGCGTTTACAAAAGATTAAGCAGCTGCTAGCGGAGGGACAGGTCCCTGACGACAGCGTTGAGGCTGCCACAAGCAACCTTCTCGACTCGATTCACATCAGCCTGCCGCAGAATCCTGACGAAATGGATGCCGACGCGATGATGCAAGCAGTTGAGGACGAGTTTGGTGATCATTTGGATGCCGCATCCACAGCTGACAGCAACGCGTCTGCATCCTGGCAAGCACTGCCGACACTTCGAAGCGGGCAACCTGCATCTCGCTCCGAGAAGACGATGTCAGAGCACACAAAGTTACATCGCTCAGCACGATCTCTGATCGACTTCAACTTCCGCGGACTCGAGGTGGAGTTTGACAGAGCTGACCCTCAACAACTGAGTCACGTCATGTCTAGGATTGCAGTCAATGCTCGAAGGTTCGAGATCATCGACAATATCAAGACATCGACATGGCGTACCTTCTTGACCGAGATGCAGGATCGCAACACAGCCCTACGTCACGATGTCGAGAACAAGATGGTCAAAGTTGAGATCCTCAATGTTCGACCACAAGGGGAGGCGCTGGGTGATGCCTCTCTGTCTGAGACGCCGGAGGTTCGTATGCGCGCCAAGATTTCGCCCCTTCGACTCCATGTTGATCAAGATGCTCTCGACTTCCTCAAAAAATTCTTCACCTTCAAGCCACCAGGTCAAAAGGCACCAGCGACGCCCACGCAGCAATCGGGCCCAACGCTACCTTTTGTTCAATTCGCCGAGGTGCTACCGATCAAGATCAAGTTGGACTACAAGCCGAAGCGGGTGGACTACAATCTGCTTCGACAGGGCAAGACCATCGAGCTAATGAACTTCTTTCACTTTGAAGGTTCCGAGATGGTGCTTCGTCACATCACGCTGCGGGGCATCAATGGCTGGGCTAGGCTCTTTGACACACTCAATGATATCTGGACGCCGGACGTCAAGGCGAATCAGCTAGCCGACTTCCTATCAGGCTTGGGTCCGATTCGCAGCCTCGTCAATGTCGGTGCAGGTCTAGCTAACTTGGTGCTGCTTCCCATCGAGCAGTATCACAAGGACGGTAGAGTATTGCGTGGCATGCAGAAAGGCGCTGCAAGCTTTGCCAAGAATACAGCGTTGGAGGCAGTGAGGTTCGGAGCCCGACTCGCCACAGGAACGCAAGTGATTCTGGAACAGGCGGAGCACATCTTGGGCGGCGAGATGCCAGCAGCAGTCACAGCTCGTGCCGTGGGACCGGATAGCTCTTCCGAGAGCTACGAATCGTTGAGCGAAAGCATCATGGTCTCTTCAGCTACATCGGAGACTGGCGCATCCTGGCTTCAGGACAAAGACGAGGGTTTGGTCAGTAAATACGCCTCACAACCGGACAACATGCGTGATGCGCTTTCGCAAGCTTACTCCGGGTTGACAGAGGGGCTAACTTCGGCGGCACAGACGATTTTGGCGATTCCGATGGAAGTTTATGAACCTGATGCAGGTGAAGGCAGTGGCACCGGTGGAAGTGCGGGAGGAGGAGGAGTGGGTAAGCCCGTGGTCAAAGCTGTACCAATTGCTATCTTGAGGAGCGCGAGGGGAGCTACGCAGGCCATTGCAAAGACTATGCAAGGTGTACAGGTCACGTTAGGAGACTTGGAGAACGTGAAAGAGGGGAAATACAAGCAGCCGCACAGTCGGCATCGATGATGGCGTTTACCAAGATTCAGCATCCTATTCATTCATTTTTTCGGTCGCATAAGCACGGAAAATCGCATTCCATCATTCTGACAGTTGTATTGCACATGAAAAGAACTGTTTTTGCTACCGTATCAAAGACCCATCTATCAGATCGAGCTACATTCTAAAAATCGGCGGAGGCACCATTAAGCCTTTTTCGAAAAGCTCGAAACGATGTTAGTGATAGCCCCTTCGGCAGCCTTGACACCAGCAGCGAACTGAGCGTTGTAAGCAGCCTGATCGCTCGCCTTGAAACGACCTGCATCGACGTAAGCTTGGAAAGTGTCAATCTGGTATTGAGTGCCGAATCCGAGACGAGAGAGAAAGTCGGTGGAAGCAGCGAGGATGCGCGATGTGTAGAAGCCGTCTGAAAATCCACGGCTTCCAACGGTTACGTTTGTTGCAGCTACGCGGTCTTGTTGAGCTTGTCGAGCCGCGAAAGTTGTATATCCTCCAATACCGCGTTCGACTACCTGTTGAGACTCGGCAGGGGTGAAGAGGGAACGACCGAAACCGTTGGGACCGACTTTGCTGATGTCATCGCCGTCGTCTTCCTCGTCCTCGTCGTCTATGGAAAGGAAGCTGTTGGCGGACTTCAGAGCAGAGCGAGCAGTTGGAAGACGAACACGACTGATTGAGGTTCGGATTGACGACAAAGCCGAAACCTTATCCACTGTCACGTTACCAGCATTAGCCGAGGAAAGCATAGACATCGGAATACCCCAGGACGAAAAGTTTCCAGCGAGGAACTTCTTAGAGGCACTTTGGAAACACCAACCTGAGTTCTGATCGCAGTTTTCCATCTTGTACGACCAGAAAGTCCAGCCGGATCCCTTGGACTACCAGATATCTTGTTGGGTCTGGCAGAATTCAGTCTGGTCTTGAACCGGGCTCTTGCTGTCCTGGATGGAGCTCCATGCGAGGTCGCAGGACCATTCACCAACGATGAGGTTACGACGAGCGATGGAAGATTGCTGTTCAAACTGGTTGGAGATAGAGCTGTCGAGTTTGGAGATGTGACCTTGAGCGGAAAGGGCTTGGTCCGAGGGAGTATAGACGTAGTATGCGTGGTGGTCCGAGATGACAAAGTCCTTACGCTTGGAGACGAAAGCTACGCCTTTCTCGAGGACGAATGCGTCGTGGAAGTAGAGCGGGATGGTTTTGGCATACGGGGAAGCGGCTCGCATGGCGTCCATGGCGGTGGGGAGCCACTTCCAGTAGCTATCACGGTTTTGGGGTTCGTTGAGGAGCTGGATACCAACAACGTTGGTTATATCCGAGGTCTCCTTAGCGATCCAGACGAGCAGCTCGGTAGTCAGATCCTGGTTCCAGGTGTTGTACCATTGAATATTACCATCGTTGAGACCGGAGTGGGCCTGACCATTCTGAGAGCCATACGCTCCGTGAAGGTCGACAATGACACCGATATCGTATTTTGCTGCCCAGTTGATGGCACGCGCGATGTACCTCCAGCTGAACTCGTACACCGATTTGTACTGATCAAAAGGGCTGTAATGAGTGAAGTAGGGGCCAGCTGACCAATAGCCGATGGGTATTCGAACAGTGTTGATGCCCATAGCAGCTAGATTGCGGAAGTCGTCTTCCGTGATCCAAGTGTCCCATCGCTGCTCCATGTAAGCTCGAGCAGACATGAGACCATCCTTGGAGGTGCCGAAACCATCAAGGATATCGAACTCAGCCTGCTTGGTTCCAGTAGCGCAGGACATGAAACCACCTTCCATCCAGCCTTCCTGCACGAACCAAGCACCAAGGTTGACACCCTGCTGCTGACGATAGCGCATGATGGTGGCTTTGACGGGATCGAAATTGGGGAAGGTAGGGGGAGGTAGCTTTTCCCATCCACCAACAGGGGTGTAGCCAGTGGAGAAAGGGCAACCGCCTGGGCCAACCTTTGGCAAGGAGGCGAGCTTTCGACCTGAATCGGTCTGGTTTTGAGACTCGACTGGAACGTAGAGTGTGGAGGGCACACCCCACTCAGATGACTCGTGTGTAGCATTCCAGTCAGTCGTCGAGTCTGAATCTTGGATCTGAAAAGTGTTGGGCTTGATGTTCATCGCATTTTGACCGTCCGTGGTGAAGTGGGAGATCGAACTGGTTTGTTTGGCAGTCGGGAGCTGCGGGATGGGCTTGTAGTTGGCCGCTGCGAGGGAAAGAACGCTTGCAACTGCATTGAGACTCGTGTCTCTAGGGATGAGCCTCATGACGACGGGTCCAAGAAACGGATTGGGTTGGGGAAAAGAGTGTGATACAAATAAATAAGTCTGAACCAGTCAGAGGAGCAAAGTTTGCAAAGAAATGAGGCACCAAGCCTGGTTGTAATGTGAAACTTTGGCGTCGAAAGAAGAAAGAAAGGACAGAAGAGACGCAAAAGGGGAGGACCAGCCTGGAAGAAGAAGATATGTGACGTTCGGAGGAGATGATGATGGAGGGACGGAAGAAAGGATAATATTTGACAACAACAAAAAGGGGGCGAGGTTTAAGAACCTCTATCCAGCTGAGGAGACTGAATCCCATCAGGACCACTAGGACGGGGAAGAAAGTTTGGGCAGCAACAGGGACAGAACATCTGAGCGAATCGAGAGTTGCTGAAGATTCGTGAGGAGCACAGTACTGACAATGCGACGGGATCCCGAGAAGCCTGGCCTTCAACTTCTCATGTCTAGAACGAAGACTTCCGCTTTTGGACTTGAAGGTCTTGGCAGCAAGCAAAATAGCTAAAGCATACTAAGCCAAGAGACTCGGCCATCCTACTCATTCGAGGTACTGCAGCGAATAAGCTTTTGGCAACTTTGATTGAGTATAACTGGCTCCACCACCACCTCTTTCAGTGAAGCAATCGAAGACTGCACGGTGGAGCGTGACAATTTCAGGACCGAAACGCTTGCGGCTAGAATCTCATTGCACCGGTTGGGAGGTGTAAACCTCGGCATACACCGCCAAGCCTGATGTCACCAGGCAAGAGGAAACATCAGAGTTATACGCTGCTCTTCAGGCTTGTCTCGGTCACAGGGGCGATGACAATGAGAGGGCAGAGACCCCAGCAAAAGTGCATTGCTTTCAACATCCACCATGCTACGAAGCTGCGCAGACATGTTTTCGGCTATGAAAGGTAGTCTATGACTTGGCTGCTATCAGACTTGGCCGAACTTCGCAGCCAGTTGTTAGGCAGAGAGTGAGCTCAGTGAATATTTCTGAGGAAGAGATTCGCAGAAAATGACATGTCGCGACCGTCGGCCTGAGATTTTCCGCTGGAAAATCCGCCCCGTCTGAACTCAATCGCACGAAACATAACCGAAATTGTATATACCATAACACGAAAAAATCAAGTGGATTGCAGTCAAAGAGCCGTGAGGTCCTCGAAGCTCCGCAAGGAGGCTCCTGACCAACCCTAACTGGGGGCTGGTCGAGCGCAGAGATGAGCGGAAAGGGAGGGCAAATTAACGACGAACCAGGCTGCTAATGGTATGCCTGGCTCCTGGTGAATATGATGTAGTGGAGAGTCGAGAGGAGAAGCGGAACAAGTCGATTGTTGAGTCCAGCCCCAGACGTGCACACCTTCTTGACAATCAGGTGATGCATTCACGTCAGATCGGAGTCGGCGAAGCATGGCGTTTGCAGTGTTGGTCTCAGATGACGATTAAGCACCAGCTTTGAAGGGCGATCTAGGCCATATCGGGCTCCGTGAAGGAGTCTCCCTTGAACCCACTTCTGAGGTCATGACAGGACGGGTGACACAGCGGTGGCCTTTGCTTGGTTCCTATATTACTCTACTCTACTGTGGAATGAGAGTCTGTATTCCTTGGCTTTCTTCCAGTTGAAGATGCGTCAGCATCCCAACGGGATTCACGGGGTCCACGGAATCATATGGGGTCCACAGAATTTAAGCAATCTAATAATTAGGTAAAGGTGCATACAGGTGGCGACACATGTGGGATGCATAGGAGTTGTTACAATAATGCACAAGAGGCGACAACACAGGAGTAACACAAGGAGTGACACATCGCACATTTGCACAGGCTGAAGGAGATTGCTAAGTATATATATGACCATGTATATAGTATCACATGAACATAAGACAAGCATTCAAGAAGTAATACGACTGCATATGAGAGCCTGCTAGTGGCTCTGATCAGTCGCATTTTATCTGCAATCTTCAATTGATTAAGAGTCTGAAGCTCTACCGACTAAGCCAACCGGGACCATCGACAACATGGTACAAGAGGCCGAAGCTCAAGCTGTCACAAGCAAAGCCAAAGGAGGAAGAAAAGGAAAGGCAACACAACCGCGAGCCATTGACAACGAGGCCACCAATGAGTCAGACACTGAGGTGATTGACGATGATGCTGAGGAAGAAACTGACTCCAACTCAGATCACGACAACAACAGAAAGCCATACAATTTTTGTACTCTAGCAAAACTACTTGAGCCTGTCCCAAAACTCACATTGCACAACTATTATAGTTGGAATGCCCATATCAAGTCCTTTCTACGATGTGTTCCTCACACCATGAAGCATCTTGATGGAGCATATGACAAGAAACATCCCAAATGGAACTGCACATTCGATGATGCTTTGACAAATGCATTATGCAGTACCATTGACACCACCGGAGAGTACAATATCAATTACTTGATTCTTGACATCATCAGGGAGCACCATACGTTCCATCATGTATGGAAGAAGATCGAAAAAGGACTCACCAATGAGGCCACTGCCATATCTCATCATATTGCATTGATTGCTCAGCTAGGCAAACTAAGGATGCACAACTCAGACGTACAAAAGCTTATCCAGGAAATAAGGACCATCCAAATGGAGAGCAGCTTACTGGGAAAGCCATTCGCTGATGATACTCTGTTCTCTAATCTACAAAAGTGCACTATCTGACATCCAATGTACAAGGAGACCATCGCCACCATCAGCCAGCTTAGTTTTAACACCCTCGCCACCACCCTATCTATTCAGCAGTCAGCGATCTAGAACAACCCCACCCCGAGAGTTGACCCCCATCAAGCAAGCACCAGAGTCGTCAGCAGCGATGACCAGGACGAGACACCCAGAAAGGAGGAGAAAGACGAAAAGGACGCTGACAGCACCAGTGCCAAAGTCACCACTAGACCTCGAAGGCTCAGATGTTGGATCTGCAAGAGGCCTGGACATGGGATCAGTCAATGTGATGCATCAGTGACCATACCAGAAAATTCCCCCTTTGCCAGGCCCAAATAGGAAGCCTGGTGCTCTTTCGCACCAAGTTGGCAGAGCCACCCAGATTCAAAAGGGAACCATCATTGGATCCTAGATTCGGGCGCCAGCTATCATATGGTAAACAACTATAGCATGCTCATTAGTCTGAGAACCTGCCGAAAGTGCATATTCACCACCGGAAGTGAGGTTCTGGAAGCAACTGCTATAGGGGATGCTAGCATATCAACAAGTCATGGAGATGTTTTTCTCCAAAATGTATTGTATGTTCAGCATCTCAATGTTAACCTATTGTCAACAAATTCTCTGACAGACGAAGGAGCACAAGTGACACTAGACTCAACCGGAGGGCAAATACACTTAGCAAATGGTATGCTACTCAAAATATCCAAGAATCGCGAGCAAGGACTGTTGGAGTTCCAAGGCAACACATGGAAGGAAAATGCAATGATCACATCAACAACATTATTTGAAGGTGTTGATGAAGATTTTGAGCATATTGAGAACAAAGCCAAAATATCTGAACAACAACTATGGCATGAACGTCTGGGACATCCAGGTTGAGATAAGATGAGGGCCATCATCAACCACTTAGGAGAAAATGATGCAGCAGACCTAAACCCAGGGACTGCTACAATGTGTGAGCCATGCATCTGATCCAAAAGCACGGCAGCCCGAATGGGGCAAGGTAGTGGAGAGAAATCTGTCTCTCCGCTTGATCTCATCCACATCGACTTGATAGTTGACTCATCGCACATGATGGAATACACGTGCACATTGGTACTGGTTGATAACTACAGCAAGTATGTATATGCGCAGCCTTTGCTATGAAAGAGTCACACATTTCCCAAGCTCAAAACAATCGTATTGTATCTTGAGACACAGATGGGAAAGAATCTGAAAGCAATATGATCTGACCAAGGTACAGAATGGAGAAGCAATGACACACTTCAGTGGGCATATGAAAAGGGCATTGAATGGCAAATGATGGTAGGGTACAATAGCAGACAGAACAGACATGTGGAGAGAATGAACAGAAGCTTGGGTGAGAAGATGTGAATGCTACTCATGCAAAGGAGGTTACCGAAGAGCTTCTGGCCCTATGCAATCCAGACTGCAGCCTTCAAAATGAACCTCATTCTGAGCGTTGACAGTGAGTTCCCATACCAAGTCATGTTTGGGAAGTCACCGGAGCGACTCATAAGACTCCTACACATCTTTGGATGTTTAGCATGGGTAAACGTCCCCAAGGTCAAAAGAGATAATAAAAAGTTAGATCAATGAGCAGTAGCATCTATCTTCTTGGGGTATAGTCTGGAAAGAAAAGGATGGCTCTTCTACAGCCTGGACTACAGCCCAAACATCTTTTGGAGCAACTCAGCTAGATTCATGGAGACAAAATGCTGGTCTGACAAAACAGAGTGGAAACCAGTAAACATACACCCACCACCAGCACTAGCAGATGAAGGAGACATAGACGATCTTGGATACACAGATATGAACCTCTTCGACGAATGAGAGGAGGAGCTGCTGAATGAGTACATGAATATGAAAGAAACAGATGGATTGAACAACAAAGAAGATCTGGGTGAAGATACAACAAAGGCAATAGAATGCGGGGCCAATACTGACACCAACACATTTGATGACACATGGACCAATAGCAATCACTATGGACTCACAGCAATAAACGATCGAAAGAGAAGAAATCTAGACCCAACAGTTAGCAAAGCATTGTCAGGAGAGGACAGGAAACATTGGGAGGAAGCAATGCATAAAGAACTGGATGGTTTGAAAGCCATGGATACATGGGAAATCATCGATCTCCCCAAAGGTATGCACGCCATCAACACACATTGGGTTTTAAAAATCAAAACAGATGCAAATCTCATCCCGACAAAGTTTAAAGCAAGACTGGTGGCAAGAGGTTTCACACAAAGAGAAGGTATAGACTACACTGAAGTGTTTGCACCTGTCGCACCCATTCAGTCAATCCAAGGAGTCTTAGCCATAGCAGTGGTTCATGACTGGGAAGTAGATAGTATTGATGTCAAGCAAGCATATCTAAACTCAATGCTACATCATGATGTATTCTTAAAACCACTGCTTGGAATGAGAATCCCACCTGGAAAGGCCTTGAAGCTAGTAAAAGGACTGTACGGACTGAAACAATCAGGGCAAGAATGGAACATAGAGTTGGATTTGTACCTACAGAGCATAGACTTTCACTGCATGCCGAGTGCACCTTGTCTGTATTCAAGAGGAACTGGAAGTAACCTAACTATTATCACAGCCTATGTCGACGACATGCTCATAGCCTTGCCCAGTCATAAGGAGGTGGATCGCACCAAAAGGGAGATAATGTCCAAGTGGGGAATGGAAGATAATGGCCCAGTGAAAGAGTTCCTCGGCATCAGCATCAAACGAAATAGGACAAGAAGGGAGATGTCAATTGATTTGACCACTTACACCAAGGCCATGGTGAGTAAGTGGTTACAGTCGATGGATCAGAAATCATGGGTACCAATGCCAGAAATACCTAATGCCATAGGGAACAATAAATGTGATTCCCTAGAGGCAAAACAATACCAAGAACTGGTGGGACAATTGTTATGGGTAGCAAATACCGCACGACCTGACATATCGTTCACAGTGGGAATACTGGCAAGATATATGTCGACACCAACCAACAGTGCATGGAAAGCTGCTATACACTTGATGAAGTATCTCAACCAAACCAGTGACTACCAACTGAACCTTGGGAGCAGATCAAGCGAACACTTGAAGCAACTGATTGTCATGTATAGTGATGCCAATTGGGCCTCAGACCCAACAAATGGACAGAGAAGCACATCGGGAGCAATGACGTATATATATGGGTGCCCAGTTAGCTGGAAGTCACATGTCCAGAAATGTGTGGCACTATCAGCAGTGGAAGCTGAGTTTGTTGCTGCCTCAGAAGCAGCAAGAGAGGCACTCTTCTTCTCATACCTCCTCAGGGACTTAGAAATCAATGCTGCTCATCCAGTCTTATGTTCAGATAGTCAGGGATGTATACAGGTGAGTAAGGATCTGGCAAAGCACTGGAAATTGAAACACATAGACACCAGATATCATTTCATTAGGGATCATGTTCAGGATGGGGAGATAGAGATAGAATTTGTTGGAATGGCAGACAATGTTGCAGACATTTTAACAAAACCATTGAAGGGTTTAGCAACATCCCGGCTATCTCAGTTGTTAGGGTTGGTAATGCCATCGAAGGGGGGAGTTGAAGATGCATCAGCATCCCAATGGGATTCATGGGGTCTGTGGAATCATATGGGGTCCACAGAATTTAAGCAATCTAATAATTAGGTAAAGGTGCATACAGGTGGTGACACATGTGGGATGCATAGGAGTTGTTACAATAATGCACAAGAGGCGACAACACAGGAGTAACACGAGGAGTGACACATTGCACATTTGCACAGGCTGAAGGAGATCGCTAAGTATATATATGACCATGTATATAGTATCACATGAACATAAGACAAGCATTCAAGAAGTAATATGACTGCATACGAGAGCCTGCTAGTGGCTCCGATCGGTCGCGTTTTATCTGCAATCTTCAATTCTCCCACATTATTATTTACGCCACTGTGCACTAGTCCACTAAGTTAAGTTACTGGTCCGCCTGACTGCTTGGGGGCCAGTCGGGAGGAGATCCACTTCGTGGGAGCATGTGAGCTTCATTGCATCCTTTGGGTGTCACCGTGTCCCCTTTTGAAAGCCACAAGCTCTAGGGAGTGGACATGTGATTTCCACATTTCGTATGCATGGTTGGAACAAAGGGCAGAGACACATATCAGCAGAAATGTCCATCGAATTTAGCTTGCCGAGCATCTCTGCATCTCTTACTACCCTAAGTCTCGGCCTTTGAGGTCTTCCGCGCAACAGCACGCCGCAACAGGAACAATTTGAGATCGACCAGACCCTGATTCGGAAGGTGCTCTCACCTTTCGCTTCCTTCTCATCACCAACAGCAGCCTGTAGGCCGTACAAGAGCATCAAGAGGCAATTTCGACCGATCATCTCGGTCGCTCTACCTAGCGAGGTGTCTATCCTCATTCTTGGTGGTACAACACATCTCTCGCGTCCTTTGCTAAAGTGGTTGCTAGACGCTCAGCATGACGCTGCTCGCGATGAGGTCAAGATCAAAGCACATTCGCCTCGCAGACAAGTACCTTGTGTTGAATGGCACAAGTACCATCTATATCGATCCAGACACCTGCACAGCCCTCAAGGATCCTCGAGTGGAGTACCGTCAGGTCAACCTCAACTTCGCCTCCAACCTCTCGAAAGTCTATTATCATCCTAGGGGTGTCTCGTACGACATTGTCTTCGACTTCACAAGAGAAGGTATCGGTCAGCCAGACGTACCTGAAGAGCTGCTTTTGGAGCGAACTGCCAAGCTGGCCAAGTCCATTGCATCCGTTTCACTTCGCAGAGGTGTCAAGGCCCACATCAGAGACACTGTCGCCTTCAACACAGTCGACTCCAACGCCCCGCCAGCCACAGAGTCGGATGCTATCAAGTCTAAAGGAGCTCGAGGCTACTGGTGGTACGAAGCAGAATGAGCAGCAGCCAGTGTTCAAGACCTTCCACTTGCCACCACAAGGTCTGCCGAGGTCGTTGGTCCCTTTGTCTTCTACGGCTCGATCCCCTCTCGCTACGCTCTCGGCAATGTCTACCACTATCTGGGCGAAACAATGAAGCTTTTGTGGGGCCCAGACCTTCGCATTAACACAATCTACGTTGATGACTGGTGTCCAGCAGCATGGAAGCTCGTCCAGTGGATCTCATCAAGACCTCGTTCCGAAGCAAATCAGCTGGCTGGAGAAGACCTTCCACCAGTCCGGATTAAGGACATAACCCAAGACTCCCCTCGAGAGAAAGTAGACCCAGAATGCTGTCCACGCTGTGACACTCCTCGAGCACCCGTCTTCAACCTCGTCGACGATACCGACCTGAATCAGGGCAAGCTTCTTCGGATGATTGGGGAGAGCTTCAAGATTGAAACAGGCTTTGTCAATGCTTTCATCAATGCGTATGCTCGGGTGGATCTTTCAGGCGCTGCAGACTATATTACCGAGAAGCACGCAAGAGCTATCGCAGAGATCGTCCAAAAAACGGGAATAGACAATGTTGCTTTGAAGGGTTGAATCGATACTGAGATGCTCGCCAACTGCTCGCTTGTATTGAGCAATGGGAAGATCAAGAGGGTCATCGGGTGGGCTCCACAGGTGGATCTCAATCGAGAAAGGCTGGATGATATTGTGGACAGACTCAGGGAGCTGAATCAGTTTCCGAAGCGGGATCCGGTATGAGACGCTGGCGTCAGAAATAGAATGTGCTCATGTACATACACTCATGCTTAACTCGATAGATACCTCTGAATCGCAAACGAGATGAGGAAGATGATGAATGTGGGTATATGGTTGAGAATGTAGTCGTGAGGTAGTGGTCAGATAGCAAGCGACTCCTTCCCAAGATCCCATTCTCTGACCTTTGTCTTCGGCTGCCTATCCTCGGCGTTGGATCTTGTGGAGCTTTCTTCCTTCAGCTCTTTCCTCCGCTCGTCCGATCGACAGCGAGAGCTTTTGCGTTCAATCGAGCAGTCTACGCTCCTGCGTCTTGATGAATTCCCCTTCTCCCGATCCCCTTCTTTGCGTCGCTTCCTCCTTTCCACGTCCCATTCTTCGCGCTTGTGGCCATGATCATCTGCATGTCGATGCTCCCTGGATTCTTTGTGGCTCGAAGGACGGTGCCTTGATTCATCTGCGTGATTCTTGCGCTCTGTTTTACCACTCAAATGTCTTTGAGACCCATGTTTCGAGTAATGCCCCTTATTGCGACGATCATCGCGAAGCTTGTCCTTCGAGTGTTCGTCGGAGTGTCGCTTTGACTCCGCTTTCTCACTTTTAGAGGCAGACTCGTCGAAGTAACGATCCATCTTGCCTGACAGCCCGGGAGACTCGCTTCGCCGTCTCGAAGCACCGTCTTCGAGTGTATGGCTCGGGCTCAGCGCGTCATTATCCTCGTCAGACCAGCCTCTAAGCTTCGAAGAGGGTCCGTCTCTAGTCGAAGCGGGTGAACGTGATCTTGACTTTGCGTCTCGACGAGCCGCCCGCTCCGCTTCTCTCGCCTGTTGCCGGAGCAGCCCCTGATTGTGACCCTCTACGTTCGTGATGACCGATGCTAGGAATTTCTTGTTTGTGTTGAGCACTCGAGATCTGCTCGGTCCGGCTGTTTCGGCATCGTCGTATGCGTTTGAATGCGTGCCTCCTTTGTTCGAACTTGCTTCTTTGGCTCGAGATCTTTGAACGATTTGGTCTGCGATGTATGCATCCAGCTCATCGTCTGGTACAGAAGTCAGACTCGACTGCGGGGCTACCGTGGCCCGCTTGCCGCTCATTGACATAGTGTCGGCATCATCTTCTGTTCTTGAGTAGGTGGGCGGAAAGGAGGGTGGAAGGCGAACGAATGTTGAACCTTTATCATGCAGTTCGGGTTCCGGAACGCGGTCGAGAAGATGTGGAGGATCTCCGAGCTTTTTTGGCTTCTGGAAACTTTCGATGCTTACTTCTTCCAGCGTCCTTCCACAAATCCAACAAGCAGCAATGACATATGACCAGAATGGCTAAAAATGGCATGTTGCTGCTCAATGGCCTTCCGACTGGATCTCAGTTCACGATAGATAGCCACACCGAAGCATACCTGACCAACGAGCAGTTCGCAGGCATCAAGGGTCTCCCTGCTGGCTGGCACTGCATCTCTTGGAGCATCGCATCCACCCAAAGCTCATTCCAGGCTGGTGCGGTTGGTGTTGAAGGCTCTGTTCGCAACGTGCTGCTCAGATGGTTCGATGAAGGCGAAGCCTCAGTACGAGAGCTCGACCGTGCGCAACAACGTCTCGTAGCGCCTGATCAGCTCGGCTCTGGTAGCAGCATTGGGCGATCCAAACAATTTCGCACCTCTCGGACTTTCGACCCGTCAAGCAAGGCCATATCTACCATCATCACTCTAGAAGTAATGAACAGCGTCGAACCTCGATTGCTGCCTTACCCATCAGCAGCACGCAAGCCATGGCAAGATGCACTACGGCATCTAAGTGTGGACAACGGGCGCGTCGGGAGGAAAGTTGTGGTACGGGTGCTCGGTGTGGACGTTCACAGCGGTGATTCTAATACGGATAGCCTAGCTACTGGACCGAGTCGCGCGAGAGACGGTCTCGAGCAAACATCGATACAGCACACCGGCAATCTGGGGAGAAGCGAAAACGGGAAGATCATTTGGGGCAAATCGAGGCCAGAGAGCGAGCGAGAGGCATTAGAGCTCTTTGGGGTTGTTGCTGCCGATGATGACGAGGAAAAATATGACTTTGCGGCGAAGGAAGAGACAGAATCGAAGAAGAGAAAGCGTTCGTCACCAACATCAAATGGCAAGACAAGTGGCATTTTGGACGACGAGGACAGTCTGTTGTTCACGACCTTTGACTTGCAGCGAAGCTGGCCACCGAACTCAATCGGAGCGGACATCACTCGATGGAGCGAAGATAAAAGCTGGCTGTTGCAAGACGTGGCTTGTCGAAGTCGTTCCAGCATCAGCGAAGACGACTGTTATCTTCCGGTTCTGTGCGAGTTCGAGCTTGCGTTCGTACTTTTCGTCAGTGCTAGCAACAGTTACGTTTGGGAACAGTGGAAAGATCTCGTGGCTCTGTTCTGCCGGTCCTCTACCCTCATCGGTGCCTCTTCAGCCTTCCAAGTCCACCCATCCCAGACTGGATCACCCTCTGTCGTACCCACTCAAATTCGACTTGATTCACACATAGCCTTCCTTTTCACCCTCCGATCTCAACTCGCCCTCCTACAGCCCGATTTCTGGTCAACCCAGACTTCTTTCGCCGAAGAACGAGCAGTACTCAAAGAACTCGATACCTTCCGATCTAATCTAGCACGCTCCCTCTCGGCAGCCAGCATCCAACACACCGACCCTGGGGCTCAGCTCGAGGAAAAAAGAGAACAAATGGTCACTGCTTGGAGGACGTTATCTCATCTCACGGCTAGCAGGTTCGGTTGGCAACTCGATCGAAGATTAGACGAGGAAGCAGAAGTAGAAGACGATATGCAGGCGGAAGAAGGCGAAGATGCACCCATTATTGTTGAGATCTAAATCAGTAGTATTCCATTTCACGTCTGAAGGCAGTCTAGGCCTGCGGCTCTGCTTGTGCTTGTTCGGCTGCTGGGGCAGCTGCTGCCACGGGCGGCGGGGGCGGTGGGAATACCTCCTCCACAAGACCGGGTAGGAACCGTTGCAACCGGTCATACGTCAAGTCGAACAACTGCGCTTGCGACGTTGTCCTCTCCCCAATAGGTGGTGCTAGGAGTTGGCTCGCTGACATGACCAACAAAACATTCTTGAGATTCTCCGGGATTGCTTCCGTCAGAGGATTGCGACGTCCAGCATTACCACCCGTCGAATTGATCATTCGGTCCATAAAATCCAGCACGTCCAACCAGAGTTTTTGGAACTCGTCTTGCTTCTCCTCTGCCGACGGAGCAAGATGCGGCATGAGATGAAGGAAGGTCTTGCAAATCAGTGCTGACGCTCGAATACGAATCTCTAGCATCCCGCCATTCTTGTTAGCCGCTGATGGAGGGTCGATCTGGTAGACCTGAGGTTTGAGCAAATCCTCGATCAGTGGGAAGAGCGTAGCTGAGAATACGACTCGGATCAACGACGTTCGAGACGGTGGCTCTGATACCAGCTCTGCAGAGAAGAGCACACGCTGTAACAACGTGACTGCTGCCGAGCGTACTGGAACGTAGGCGTTGATCCACTGTCGTGCGAGACCAGTAAGCAATGCGAGCCAGTACTTGCTCCAGACTTCATCGTTCTTAGCACTATCTGAGCCTCCGCTAGCCTCGGCGCTGATCAAGCGAGGAACTTCGGTCTTGAGCGCCTCGAGCAAGTCTACGGACTCTACACCTCGCTCTTGCATCACCTTTTCTGCCTCCGCCATCTCCTTCTTCTCGGTGATTGTCGTACGACGCTGTGGTGACTCGCGCAGGATCATGTTACGCCAAGCGGTGGTATCAGCACCGTAGGCAAAGTCAATCAGTTGCGAGACGACGGGCAGGAAGTTGTCAGGCGATAGCTTCGACGAGGTGACGCCGGCTTGTGTGTCCTTGCTGCCTTCTGTCGACGCAGGAACGGCGACGATCGCCTTGGTTGCCTCGAACGCCAAACGGGCGGAATCAGCGTTCCGCACGTTCGAGTTGTCCGCAATGAGCGCTAGCACTAGACTCCACTCGGTGTGAGAGCGTACGAACGTGGGATGAGAAGCAAGGATGCCAGTGAGACCGGCAAGAAGCTGCTTGGAGCCGGAGATGCAGATCTCAACAGGCAACTCGCGAAGCAAGTCCAACGCTAAGAAGATCTGATCACGGAGGGACTCTTCTGCAGCAGCAGCGCCGATGACACGCAAGAGAGCTGCGACCTCTCGCTCCACCATCATGGGATGGTATGCTTTGGCGTTACGAAGCACTGCCGTGATGTGCTCGGATACGCATGGCCAGGTCTCAGCGACAAGCTGACTTGGTGAAGAGGCCACGATCTGGGTCAGCAACTCGAGAAGGAAAGGCACTCGCGGATCGTAGCTCAACGGCAGACCATCGGCCATCGAGCGTCCTGACCCAGCTCCACCGGCTGTGAGACTATTCGACGAAGAAGCAGCGGCCAATTGGTGCTTCGAATCTTTGCCGTTTGCGTGGCTTCCTGCACCTTGGTGTGAGCTAGTTGGGGTCGAGGTGCCATCCGTGTTCCAGCCTGACGACTCGCGGAAGAGGACCTTCTCCACCGTGAGAGCCTCGATGAGGAAGCGCAAGTAGTGAACAGCACACATATGCGACTCGGTGCTGAGGCGCAGAACCTGGTGCCAAAGAGCCTCGAGACGACAGGAAGCGATGCAGTCGACTGAGCTCAGTGTAGCCTCGATGTCTTCGGAAGTAGCCTCGTACGGTGTGGGCTCGCTCGTGTTGGAGTAGGGCGACAGGAGGTAGGAAGATAGAGTGCTGAAGAGACCGCCTCCCTGTGCACGAGGATCCTGCGGCGAGGGTCCTGGGATCTTCTTTGGCTTGAACGGGATGGGCACGGGTCCATCGGCGAGGTCTTCCATCTGCACCATCGAAGCAGGCAGCATACCGTGCGCAAAGAGGTTCTTGAAGATCTCGAACAGGTCCGACCAGCCGGTACGAATAGCATCGACGTTGCCGTTGGCGATGGTGAAGAGCACGACTGCCGCAAGCTGACCCTTAAAGTTGACACCAAAGCGTGTTGAAAGCGGGCTAACGGTGACCTGCTGGTTCTCCACTTCGACCGTTGGATTGCTCGTCAAGGCCTGTGGCGCGGAGCTGTCCAGCAGCCCTGTTGCGCTGGCGAGAGTGTGAACCATAAGGTCAAAGACCTCGATGAGGTCAAACTCGGAGGCAAGGATGCCACACTGACGGATACCAGAGATAGCACGCTCCACCATGTACTCGTCTGCATACGTCGAGAACGCGAAAGCGATGCTTGACAAGATAGGCTTCCAGCTAGCTTCGAACATGTTGCGATCAAAGGCGGTGGTGTTGCAGGCAACCAGAGTCCCAGCGGTTCGCGAACGTCTGAGCAACTCCTTCCAGGTATACTCGAAGCCAAGCTGGCCAGCGTGTTCTTCGGGCATGACAATCTCGCGCTTCCTGATGCTGTCGTAGATAGCACCAGTCAGGTCGAGGTCAAAGTCATCGCCGCCGTTGACGCCGCGCAGGTTCTTGCGGTAGTCATCGACGGTCATTCGACGCTTGTTCTGTGGGTTGTGCTGATCAGTGTTGAGCATGATGACCGAGTATGAAAGAATGAAGACTGCATCCTCTGTAGCGATACCTTCAGGCTTGGCAGCAAAGTAGGTGGCAGCGAACGTCTGGGTGATGCGTTCGATCTGTTGCGACTCTCCGGGCAAGCGGAAGCTCTCGAGCATCTCACGTAGGGCCTCGGCGATGGGCTTGTCCATGAAGTCGAAGAGGCGGACGAAGGCCTCGAGCACCTTGACGTTGTCAGGCCGGCCGATGTAGTCTCCGACCAGCTTCTTGTCCAGTCGTGGGCACTCTTTCAGGAAACGAGCGATGCGCTCTTCTCGGGTAAGGCTTGCATCATCGTAGTCGAGGAGACTCTCATTCTCAAGAAAGGCCAAACCATCCTTTGGCTTGGCGTTGAAGCGGCTAGCACCGTCAAGGATGGTTGCTTTCTTGGCCTTTTGCATTGCTAAAGCTTCAACTGAAAGCCCGCCAGGCAGGAGGGACTCGCGCTCGGCATCACCAGTCTGCAAGGTCTCGTGACGCTCGGCGACAGCTGCAATGAAGGAGAGAAGAGCATCCAGAGCGAAGAGCTGCACGGGATCTTGCTGCGTGGGGCTCTGCGGGTTGGCTGCGTGAATGCTGCGGCAAAGGAAGTGAAGCACGCGTTCGTACATGTTGTCGCAATCCGTGTAGCAATCGTAGTTGAGGTAGAGATCGACAAGATATTCGGCCGGGCGCTCTGCATCAAAGTTGCGGAAGAGCAGCGCAAAGGTCTCGAGGTAGAGTTCTCGGGCTTCTCCGGTCGCTGGAGCACGGTCGGAAGTCTTTGGAAGCGGCGGAGCGGGTGGAGCGGGTGGTGGTGGCGGCTGAACCTGAACGGCGGGGGCGTTTAGCTCAAGTGCGCCAGTGCGAGCGGCAGTGCCAGAGCCCATAGCGCGCCTCGCAGCATTGTCGAACGTACGCTCGTTCCAGGGCTCGAGAGCGAGGGGAAAGGTGGGAGCAAGACGGTCCATGAGATAGTTGAGGAAGAGCTCATGCTGCAGCTTCAAGTGCTCGCGCATGGTCTCGAACATGGTGGAGAGAGCGCGAAGACTCAAAGAGAGCGGGATAATATCGTCGCTGCGGGCCAGAGTGAAGAGATGCTTGCAGGCGGTATCCTGCATGAGAGCTCGGAGGGAGGGAAAGTCGCCGATGGATCGACCGGACGTCTCGAGCACCGAGATAAGCATGGACATGCCAAGCCGACGCATGGTGTTGGTGTGCTGGAGGTTGCTGGGGTCCAATAGCGATACGATGACACGGCAGACTTCGAGGATTGCGGGAAGCCCAAAAGGCTCGATCTCGATCGGTGCTGCAGTGGGGGCTGCGTCTTTCTGTACAGCTTGAGGTGCGGAAGCTTGGTCTTGATCGACGTCGTTTGCAGAAAGCTGAGCTGCAGCTTCATCGGTACTTGCTTGTGGCGCTTCAGCGAAATCATTCGAAGGAGACGTGGATTCAGCAGAAGCTTGCTGCTCCTGCTGGTTGCGTTGGGCGCCATCCGCAGCTTGCTGAGATGCCTCTGCTTCTTGTCGCTCCTCGTCTTCGCCCATCTCTCTGAGCTGATCGAGCACTTGCGCCGCAGCTGCGGGAAAGGCGTTGCTTGTAGGATCTGGCATGGTCATTCTGCGGCGTCTGCGTTCATCCTGTTCAGCGTCCTCGCCCACAGGTTTCGCTGCAAGAGTAGCGTGCTCCGGTTCTGGCTCGGTACCATCTGGTCGAGCGGCGAAGAACTCGTCGGCGGTTTGGGGTAGAAGCGGAAGTCTACTGAAGAGTGTGCGAACCATGGCAGTCATGGAAAGCTCAGCCGTCCTGCGCAGAACCTCGGAAAGGCGAGTCTGACAACACATGGACAGACCAGTCTCCATCATCTCGCAAATGCTGTCGTCACCAAGGCAATCTGCGAGGGTGCGGGGACGTCTTGTGTTTGCTTCGTCGATAGAATCTTGAGCAGCTGGAGCGAGGTTGATGTCGGTGCGTTCGCAGATGAGCTCTCGCATGACGGAGAGGATGCGGACAAGGACGAGCTCGTCGGTGGTGGCTTCGGACGCCTCGAAGCGGCAGTGGCTGGTAGCGTGAGCGATCTCTGCGACTGCGATCTGAGCATCCGGAGCAGAAAGACATACGACCTTGTGTACGAGGAACTTGTGGACTGCTTGTAATGCTGCGGAAGTGACGGGAGCGGAAGTACGAGGGCTGAGGATGACTCGGAGGAAGGGTGCCAGAAGCGTAGGTAACGGGAAAGCGGAGAGGTTGTTGCTAGCGCGGAGCTGGGCTTTGAGTGTTGCAAAGCCGGTGAGGAGGCTGACGGGATCGTCAGACTTGCCGTCGATGCCAAGGGAGAGCCCAAGCCTTGTTGCGGCAGCAGTCGATGAGGAAGAGGTATCGACATTTGTACCCCTTTGCATGCCTCTCAGCGCTATCCGAGCACTAGAGCTGGAAGAAGCCGTAGCTGCGGCATGGCGATCGGTATGTTGTTGTTGTTGCTGCTGCTGCTGCTGCTGTTGTTGTTGTTGTTGCTGTGCTGGTACTTGCTGGATCTGAGCTGTGGAGTAGCTGTATGACGTGAGACGAGCAAGAGCGGCTGAACTGGTAGCATTCCATCGTGTTGCTTTGCGGACAGTTGATGTGACGGAAGCAATCTCGGACAGAATGAGGTGCAGCTTGTGCGATTGCAAGCTTGCAACAGCACCGTGTTGCTGCGCGGGCGCTTGCGGCCGACCTGGTGCGGCAACATCAGCAACGATGTGAGCGGACCGACGATGTTCCGCTGGTGTTTGTGATCGTGACGAGGCAGCCGTTCCGCCTAGAGAGTGTTGGTTCGGCGTCGCCATGTTGGATCGGTGTATCGATTCAACAACGACGATAATGAATGAGTGTTGAAACGGTAGGGAAGGTTGAGTTGCTTCCTCTGAGCGAGCAAGAAAGCAAAGAAGACCAACACGTCACACGGCCAGCGCACCGCGCACACGCCAGATTGCAATCTTCTCAAGAATTTTCTGATAGTGTTGTTACGCCGTCAACTTCGTGACATCCGGATATTTCTCGCCAAGCAGCAGCTGTGTTTGCCCCTGAGCCTTTTTTTCGGTTGGGAAATGACAGATGAGAGTCCGGCTGCCAGCTTCCGTGGAGATTGTGTGCTCCCTTGCGTGTGCCTCTTAGACGCGTGTGTGTGTCTGTGTGTGTCTGTGTGTGTCTGTGTGTGTCTGTGTGTGTCTGTGTGTGTCTGTGTTCCTATTTTCGCGGGCTTTATGCTGCACATTTCGCCTCGCTGTCTGTCTGGCTGGCTGGCTGGCTGGCTGGCTGGCTGCAGCTGAGACGGAGAATATCGCCGAGGCTGGGTAACATTGTGATTTGGCAGAGCTTCATCACCACATCAACTATCTCTCTTTTTCCACTACCTTTCTTCTTCTTGACCACATCAAGCTTTCGATCTTTCATCACCTGTCACTATCTCGCATCCCATTCGACTATCGACCGCGAACTGGTTTTGTAACGATAACAGGGCTCAATCGAGCCAGCCATTCTCATCTCGGCCTCTGCATTCGGACCACAACACACATAGCTCAACATGGCCATCTTCAAAAGAAATAACCGCGCAACGGACGCAGGCGATGCCGCCCGCAACGGCTCCGCCAACGACAACGACAGTGATGCCTCGTCCGCCAAGGGTCTGCGCAAGTATGCTCAACGCAAACCTGCCAACACTGCCTTCAAACAGCAGCGTTTGAAAGCATGGCAACCCATTCTCACACCAAGGACTGTTCTTCCCGCCTTCTTCCTTGTCGCCATCATCTTTGCTCCTATCGGTGCCGTCCTCTACTACTTTGCCGAGCAGGTCAACGAGTTCACCATCGATTACACCCAATGCTCTACAGCAGGAACTGAACAGGCTGTCATTCCTTCGTCCAAGTTCGACTACCAGCTCCACGAAAAGAACACCACCAATTTCCAGCCGCCCACCTGGTCCTGGGATGCTGGAACAAAAACATGCAGTCTCTACTTCAGCGTGCCTTCCAGACTCGAGAACAGCGTCTTCATGTACTACAAACTCACAAACTACTACCAGAACCACCGACGATACGTCAAGTCAATCGAATCCGACCAACTCAAAGGCAACGCCATCGCATATGGCACCGTTAAGGGTGGCACATGTAAGCCCGTCGACGTTGATCCTGCCACCAACAAGATCATCTACCCTTGCGGTCTCATTGCCAACTCGGTCTTCAACGACACTTTTAGCGACCCCGTGCTTCTCAACGTCGCTGGCTCCGATTCAGCCAATCAGACTTATGTCATGAGCGAAAAGAACATCATTTGGCCGGGCGAGAAGAACAAGTACTCCAAAACTTCATACAAAGCAGACCAGATTGTTCCACCACCCTACTGGCTCGGCGCTACCGGTCCCTTTGGCTTCCCAAACGGCTACACCGATGACAACATCTTCGATCCTAGCGAGAATGAACACTTTATGGTGTGGATGCGCATTGCAGGTCTTCCCACCTTCCGCAAGCTCTACAAGCGTAACGACACATCTGCTATGGAACCCGGTCGCTACTTGCTCCAGGTCGTTGACAACTACCCTGTTGCCATGTTCGACGGTACCAAGAGCGTGGTCTTTAGCACCGCATCCTGGGTGGGAGGCAGGAATCCTTTCCTCGGCCTTTCCTTCATTGCCGTCGCTGCATTGGCGGTGTTGCTCGGTCTCATCTTTACTGCGCGTCACTTGATCAAGCCAAGGAAGCTCGGAGACATGAGCTACCTTTCTTGGAACCAGCCAGATTCCTAAGTGATTTGCAACACTTTATCGAAAAGGACGGTTCGGATTCTCTCACTTCTCGATTCTGCTTGCTCTTCCCTTCCATGTACGTTTTACGACTCAGAGATATCTAACTTAATGCCACAAGACTCATTGGACATTGTGAATGTTGTCGTACGAACGATGCAGTACATTAGGAATCGTCGTACAGGTTCGAACTATGTCTTAGACTTGGCGGCACTTGCCTCAGACTTGGCGGCACTTGCCTCAGACTTGGCGGCACTTGCGGGAATAGCTTTGCCTTCGCTCTCGCTCCAGTTGAGCATCAACTCGTTGGAAGGGAGGCCGTAGGGGTGCAAGATCTTCTGAGCCACCTCGTCTCCTGCAATTGGTAGCTTGACACCTTCCTTGAGTGAGCTTTTGATAGGATCCAGCAATCCGAGCTGAACCAGCGCATTTGCTTGATCCCAATAGAGACTTCCATACGCCAATTTATCTCCTCTGAGGTTGACAATGCCGACCATTGGAATGCGGAGTCTTTTACCGGTGGGTGGGACGCCTAGTGGTATGTGTGCATGTGAAGACCATTTCATCGATGATGCGATCTGTTCCGATGGTGCGCGAGATGGGGACAAGTTGGGTGTCTACCGGCGAGACAGATGTGAAGTGATGTTGGTAGAAAGGTGTGAGTTGTACAAAGCCTGCTCCTCCTGTGAGGCATGCGACGTGGTTGACGTAAGGGTGGGCTACCATAGTCGACATGGTCTTGGCAGAGTCTCTGTCGGCAAATTCGAAGTAGGTGTGTTAATCCCACAAATGTTTGAGTGGGAAGCATGGACCATTATGCTGAAGGAAACGATCCAATATGATGATGCGAGTTGACGTAAGCCAATACGAAAGGGATCGGGCAGAGCCGATCTGATCAGAGATCGGATACAACTTAGTCCCGCTCGTTGTCAGACATCGTCATTAAGTAGGAAGCACCCACTTCCGGCATGTGCCACACAGATGTATATATATCGAGCTGATGGTTCTAGGCTCTCACCATGTTCGATCAGTCAATTGAGTATATATGTTTCTGTCCTAAAGCAGCAGTGACATCGTAGTCAGACTCTCCCCGATCGTCAGTTATCGGGACAAAACTTCTTCACATTTCAACACATTGGGTATCAAACTTTAGGGGGTATCAATTTTTGAGTGTTTTTAGAAACACGTGTTTCTCGATTTTGACGTGTTTTTATTTCGCACCAAAACCTTATGTAAGCTCACTCAAAATTGAAAAAACACGCCTCCGGACCTGGTAAAATGGACTCACTTTTTGGTCACTCTCCAAAATGAAGTGCGGATGCGCTTCCGCTTGCTTCACTTCATCACACTGGTGCGTCATGTCCTTCATTACTGTGCATGATTCCCTTCATTACTGTGTGTCAAATGAAGTGCGGATGCGCGGATGCGCAACCGCTTGCTTCCCTCCTTCGTTAGCGACAATGTATTGGATAACATAGGTGTTATATCGAACAAAATGTCATCTTTGTTGCAAAAGTGTTCTTAGAAACACGTGTTTTTTGGGTACTCAAAAATGGGGAAAATACGTCAAAATTGAGCTAAAAACACTCAAAGTTTGACACCCCCTCATTTTTGACTTGAGTAGCGCAAGTGTGCGAGAGTAGCTCATGGCTGCTGCGCTTCGGTGGTTCTCATGCACTCCAAGTGGGCAGTCCGTACCTGCCTCTTGGAAGGCAAAATCCCTGGTATGATGTGTGAATGGGAAAGCGCAAGCCTACACAGAAGCATCGTCATTTGCTTCGATCGAGGCATAGGTGAAGATAGAGACCAACTTTGCCTTGATAGGACCCATGGAAGCTTGGAACTGGTTGAGCTCTGGGTGGAACGGCAGAGCATCTTGGGGAATGTCTCCACCTTTTGCCGCTTCCACGAGCGCTCCCGGCTGCGCTTGGTCAAGTTTTCACCCTCCATGGCGCCGGTGATACATTTCACTTGTCACACATATTAGTTTCTGTATAGCTTTTCTTGTATCTTGTTTTCGCGCGCATTCCGCCTCGCTTCCTCGCGAGGCTCGACCGACCGTGCCCCTTAAGGGCCACCGCAAGCGACTCAACTCGAGTTAGGCAACTTAACATTCTTTTCCTTCATTTCTCGGCTCTTTACCTACGCGTGGTCAAGGGCGATAAGTCAGTGTTGATAGGAAGAGGCATGAGTCGAATGCATTGATGATCATCCCCCTTTCGCGGTGCGACCTGCGGAATCTGTCAGAAGTCTGCGTGCGACTCGACCAATTATGCGTTTCGTGCGCACTGCGCATCGAATGCATGTTCAGGGTCTTCTGCGCAGACCCTGTACCAATGCCCCGGTTCTCTTGCGCAAGACCCTGTAACACCGAGCTGGACCAAGACGTCTCGCAACCTGCTCAGTCGGTTTAGAAGCTTTGTTTTACTCGGCACTGTCGCAACCTGCTCAGCTGCTCAGTAGGTATATATAAGCTTCGTTTTGCTCCGTACTCTTTTTCCAACCTACCACCATCTCCTCTTCTCGCAAGAGTCGCGCAACATCGACCTTGCTAATCGGGCCTGGCAGCGCTTCGTGCCAAGACGGATCGTCCACGTATTCCCAAGGTAGCTCAGCCACCGCAACGCAAGATGATCATCCGCGAGGACTATCGTCTTGAGCGGGCTAAGAGTGGACGTGCTGATGCCGAACACAAGCGTATCTTACGTAGTCCGCCCGACTTCTCGGCACTCCATCGCAGCATTCTCTGTTGGAATTACAACCATGAAGGCGATCGACCTCCAGCACAGCCCGGTAAGGAAGCCGCCTATCGACCCATCCAGCCGCACTTTGCTAATGCCAACGAGTATGGCCTTGTGCTTAAACCTCTTCTGCTGCTCGAATGCTGGGCGCAGTTCCGTCGAGCCAAGGAGGAAGCCGACACCAACAATGAGCCCGGCATCCCTCTCGAAGTGACTCGACGATCTACGGTCGGCATGTTTGTCAATGTCAACTTCTACATTCCACCTGACGTGCTGCCACCGGCGACCAACTACTACTATGCCGAGATTGTACGACTCCAGGAGAGGACGCCAGCCATCTCGGGCAAGGAGGCCAAGATCATCTTGGCCAAAGTGCAGGCGTTCAAGCGACATCCTGGAGGTCATCAGCTGACACTTCGATGCTGTTTGGCAGATGCCCGCCAAGGTGTCAGCGACGCGCTGGGCAAACAATCCAAGTGGCAAGTCAAGAAGCTCTTCTCGCTCACTACGCTGGATCGAGAGTATGGCGCGCTTATGGTCGCTCCGCACTTGGATCTATTTAGCGATATCATCAAGGGACGTGTCGCACCCAAGGCGACGCTTGCAGCTGAAGAGGTGCGCAAGGCGATGCAAGAGTATCAAGTCAACGAGCCGCAAGCGCGAGCCATTCTTGGCTCGTTGGCAACTGAAGGCTTCTCCCTCATCCAGGGTCCTCCAGGTACAGGTAAGACCAAGACCATCTGTGCCCTCATTGGCGCCTTTGTCTCTCGCCAGAAAGGTCCTTCGACGTCCGTGCAGGCTGGACAGGCGCAGGGCAAGGTCGATGCGACGAAGAAGATCTTGTTGTGTGCACCGAGTAATGCAGCCATCGATGAGGTGGCGAAGCGTGCTCGAGCCAGCATCCGCCTACTGGATGGCAAAGTCATTCACCCCAAAGTCGTTCGTGTCGGACGTGAGGAGGCGGTCAATGTCAGTGTCAAGGACATCTCGCTCGAGTACCTCGTCGAGCAGCGGCTGAAGGCAGACGGTGTCTTTGATGGCAATCGTAACATTGTCACTGCAGCCGACCTAAGCGCCTTGCATGCCGAGATCCACCACCTCAAGATGCAACGAAAACAGAAGCAGAACAAGCTGTCTCAGGCTCGAAGATCGGGTGATAAAGCATTGGCGACGCAACTCAAAGCCGAGATCCGCAACTTGTCCGCCAATGTCAAGTCGAAGTTTGATGAGGCCAAGGGTAAGCAGAAGAGCCAGCATCGTCAGCTCGAAGCTCTTCGTAGGCGAGCCAGGCTAGAGATCCTGGGCGAAGCCGATGTGATCTGCACAACTTTGTCGGGTGCGGGTCACAAGATGCTCAGCCGTGTCGCCTTTGACTTTGAGACGGTTGTCATCGACGAAGCAGCACAGGCTGTCGAGTTGAGCACGATCATCCCGCTTCGATACGGATGCAAGCAGTGCATCATGGTCGGTGATCCGAATCAGTTGCCACCCACAGTCATTTCACAGCAAGCCGACAAGCTGGGCTATTCGCAGTCGCTGTTCGCGAGGATGTTCGAGCGTGCACCTCAAGAGGTGCATCTACTCAGCATTCAGTACCGTATGCATCCCGAGATCTCGCTCTTCCCTGCGAAAGCGTTCTACGGCTCGAAGCTGCAAGATGGACCCGATATGGCCGAATCGACACACCAGCCTTGGCATAGATACGAGCTGACGCGACCGTTCAAGTTCTTGTCGACGAAAGCACCCGAGTCGCCTGGTCCCTTCCATTCAATCATCAACAAGGAGGAAGCCAACGTCGCTCTAGCTCTGTACGGGCGACTGCGAACCGACCATGCGCAAGAGAACTTTGACTATCGAATCGGTATCGTCACCATGTACAAGGCGCAAGTGTTTGAGCTCAAACAGACGTTCCAGCAACGCTATGGAAAGGACATTGTCGAGCGCATCGACTTTAACACGGTCGACGGTTTCCAAGGTCAAGAAAAGGACATCATCATCTTGAGTTGTGTCCGTTCACTGCCCAAGCCGAGCAGCATTGGTTTCTTGAGGGATGGTCGACGTCTCAATGTCGCTGTCACCCGTGCCAAGAGCAACCTGTTTATCATCGGTAATGCTGAACATCTGCGTCGAGGCGATGCGATCTGGGAGAGCTTAGTAGCTGCGGCTGAACAGCGTGAAGCGGTGCAACCCATCACGGTAGCATTGCTGCAGAAGGAAAATCGCACTCTGGCCAACAACTTTGTTGCTATCGAGTCGAAGAAGCCAGCTACAGCTGCAAATCCTAGCACGACTCGGTCGACTACAGCAAGACCTCTGTCTCCGCCTCCAAGTGGTCCACTGCCAGCTCTTCCTTCCGGACCTCCTCCAGGTTCACCTCCCGCTCGACCGCCGCCATCGACTGCTAGGCCGCCTGTGCAAAACCCGGGCACTTCGTACACCCCTCCACCGGACAATCAGGGCAATGGCGCCGTGAGGAAGAACATGCAGAGCCCAAATGGCAATATTAGCAAGGTCGATGTTGAGCGACACTTGCGAAAAGAGGATATGGTGGTAGGAGGGAGAGATGAGTGCGAAGCAAAACAAAGCTTATAAATCGACTGAGCAGGTTGCGACACGTGTGGTCCAGCTCAGATGCGCATGCCAAGTCACGTGCAGCAACTGGAGCTGACCTGGCATTGTGGGGTTCGTTCGTCTTGCAGAGTTGAAGTGTCTGTGTGGGTCTGGTTACTCGAGGAAGCTGACGCTCGTGAGAGACACCTAAAAAGCTGTAATGTTGCAGTCTGGGCCACTTCTTATCTAGATAGATGCCGGTGTGTTGCCGCGGCCTTCTTCACACATGATGAGATAACGTTCTTCTCTAAGCAAGCTTTCTTACATCACTACAGCCGGGCGTTTGCGGAAATTTAAGACTCGCTCTATAGCCGAGACTCGAAGGCCAATTCTGAGTTTGATAACCGCGGAAGTGACACGCACGGAGCTGTCCATCCATGATCGAGGTCGCACCACTCACACAGCCGGCTCAGCTTCTCAGTACACAACCAGTCAAAGTCTAAGTTCGCTTGACAGCATACTCTTTTAGGTTACAAGGAGATGGGAACAAGTTCTAGCTAGGCACCAGGAGGTTACTGCGACTCCTTAGCAGCCTCGTCTCGTAACAATCGTCGAAGGATCTTGCCCGAAGGACTGTTTCGTGCAATGCAGAGTAAAGAGAAGGGTCAGTGACTGTGCTTACAATTGGAGCGGTTAGCTGCGTCGAAAAGCGCTATGGCAACATACCTCTTAGGAATCACTTCGAGAATCCTCACACCACCTCGTAGACGCTTGTGGTTGGCAACCTTGGTGGCTGTCCACTCGATGATCTCCTTCGCTACTGCGTCTGGGTTCTCACTCTTAGCTACGTCTTCCTTCAACACGACGTAGGCTCGAGGCAGCTCGGTTGCCTGTTCTTTGTCCTGGATACCGATGACAGCCGCGTCTGCAATCTTGGGGTGGGAGAGCAAGGTTGCTTCGAGCTCGGCAGGGGGAACCTGGAATCCCTTGTACTTGATGAGTTCCTTCTTGCGGTCGACGATCCAGAAGAAGTTGTCCTTCATGATGGCAACATCACCCGTCTTGAACCAGCCGTCGGGTGTGATGCAGTCGTCAGTGGCCTCCTTGTTGTTCAGGTAACCCTTCATGATGGTGGGACCACGAACCCAGAATTCACCGGGCTTGCCGTTCTCTCCCTGCTCGAAACCGACGTCATTGCCATCTTCATCAACCAATCGACCCTCGACACCGGCGAGCAGTCGTCCGCAGCTACCCATGTGGGCGTGGTACTCGTCTGGTCGTGCGAAGGTGGCAGTGGGCGAGGTCTCGCTCAATCCCCAACCCTGCGTGACTTTCAATCCGGGATGCGTCGCTTCCACTTCCAAACTCAGCTCGGCTCCCAGCGGCGCTGCACCCGACATGACCCACTTTAGACTCTTGAGGTTGTACTTCTTTGCGCGAGGGTCCTTGGCCAGCAGCACAAGAATGGGAGGCACGACATAGCTGACGTTGCACTTGAACTTCTCCACCGCCGAGCAGAATATGTCGAGGTCAAACCTGGGCAACACCACCGATTCGGCACCAGTGTAGACACCCTTCATGATACTCTTGACCAAGCCAAAGATGTGAAACATGGGCAGCACAGCGACGTATCGGTCGTTGGGGCCGATCGCGTCGCTAAAGGTGGTGACAATGGCAGTTGTGACGGCAGTGATGTTGCCGTGCACAAGTTGGACACCCTTCGGCTTACCGCTGGTGCCGCTCGAGAAGACAATGAAGGCGTCTTCGGTTCGATCGTCGACCACCTTGTGCGTCTGGAGTCGCTCCTCTCCGAGCAAGATGCGTGCGTCTTGCTCGCCCTTGTCACCTTTCTTGAGGCTGTCGCCGTCATCGAGGATCCAGAGACGGTTCTGGCCATTCTTGGACTTGAGACCTTTCTTGGCCTGCTCAAGACCTTCTCTGGCTGTGCTGAGTGCGCTCTGATGGCAGAAGATGTAATCGACATCGGCTTCGTGAATTGGGTGGACGAGCTCTTCTGGCCCATATGCAGCATTGAGGGGGACCAGAACGACACCAGCGCACAAACCCGCGTGCACGATCAAGGGGTAGACGGTGCTGTTAGGCGAAACTATGGCGATTCTGCAACCGGGCTGGAGGCCGAGTTTGTGACGCAGAGAGTATGCGAGACGGCGGGCGTCATCCTGGAGCTGCTTGCGAGTGATTTTAAAACCGTCGAGACGGTAGAAGGCCGGCTTGTTTTCGTCGACCTTGTTTGGGTTGCTGTAGAGAAAGTCGAAGAGGTTTCCTCTCTGCACGCGCGGCGGTGCCGGCTCGAGCGATCGAAGGATCTGAGGTGCCATGTTGGAAGAGTTTTGCTTGAGCTGTATTCGGGTGAGGTGGATGGATCAAGCGTTGAGCAGAGGGGTCGATGGGAATGTGGGGTGGAAAGAGAAATATGTGCTTATGAATGTGTGCAGCACAGACGCAGCGGGGAAAGGGCACTGAACTGGTGGCGGGTTTAATGGATGCTGGACCAACCGCAAAGGATCAAGCAAGCTGTGCGGGGCAGACTGATCACCGCTCTGGAAATTGTGGAGTGAAACAGCTGCTTGCGCTCACTTGCGTCTTCTCAGTCTGCAATGGAGCCTTGTTGTGGAACGTGCAGCAAATGGCGGTGAAAGCAGGTGTCGATTGCGATAATATGTAAGAACCAAGTACAAGACAATGACTAGAATATATATGTGTCTCCCCAGCAGAGACCTGTGTACGAGGTTGAAACATGTACGGCGCAACTATCTTCTACCTCGTCGGGTATCAGACAGCCGGTATGCCGGTAACCTGTCGCGATAATCGGCCTGGGGCCTCATGCTACGGATCCGAGTGAGCGAAGGTGGCGAAAGTGTGAGATCGAACTCACATACTTTCACTAGCCTGTTCGCATGGCCCAACCAGCGGAGTTGAGTTGCGGAAGATTCTGCAGCCTTGGGACTGCGAAACAGCTTTGGTGTAAGCAGCACAAAAAGTAGCAGCGGCTCACAAAAAGTATTCGCGACTCAAGAGGCCGGCATTCGGCTCTAAACTTAGCCTGAACTGAGTTCCGATTTTACCGGTTCTTGGGCCTGTCTATCCGCGTAGCTATCTCTCCGCAGTAACCTGCTCGTCATCGGCCGGCACACCGCTGATCAGCCGATGCAGCATGGCACCAACTTGACCTACACCGTTGGCCCATGTGAATGACAGTCAAGAAATAGCATGCTCGTCCCAGCACTCGCAGCGGATTGTAATGTTGTAGTGCTGCAGCGACATAGGGTGCTGAAGGGGTTGCGGCGCTTCGCGGCCCGTCTCGGCCAAATAAATGAGAAATATACAAACAAACGCCGTGTCGCAGTCTCTTGCTGAAGGAATAATATTCGCCTGACTTTCGGAGCCGCATTTACTTGCTTCGATTTCCGTTGCAGTTTCGCTGTTTCCTCGGAAGGTCACTTTGAACAGCAGGATCTGAGGACATGTTTAGACTGATTAATTCTCCATATCGGTAGCAACACATCGGCGATCGGAATTTTGCTTGACATGCGCTCATCAGGAAAGATCGGCGATGCCAGGTGCTGCTGTGCGGAGGCCCTTTTCGATGCAAGGGATCCTCGAGATCTTTTTTTTTTTTTTTTTTTTTTTTGGCAACATCTCTCAACACCGACGGGCGACACATCTGTCAAGCCATTGCTCTTGCTTTTCGACGCCACTCTGGGTGCATCGGACCGTTTCTGTGTAACTCAGGTTGCTCGTCGAGCGAGCACACGGATCGAAGCGTGCCTTGAGCATGCTTGTCGCAGTTGTGTCTGTAGACCTGCAAGCGGCACGAAGATGAGAGGGACCGCATCCTTTTTGCTTACTTGCATTCCGAATGAATGATGAGCAATGGCAAATACGAGATGCCAAAAACATGTGCTATTGTTTGCAATCGACGTAGGAAAGATTGAGTTGCGTTGACAATCGCGGGAACCAGCCCGTTGCCAGTCCTGCACTCTACTGTTGCATACTGTCTTGAGGTGATCAACAGCTTGTTGAAGTTTGGTCCCGATAACTAGCGATCGGGTAGAGTCTGAGTACGATGTCACTGCTAGTTTTAGACAGAAACAAATATACTCAATTGACTAAGTGAACATGGCAAGCGCCTAGTGCTGCCAGCATGATATATATACATATGGGTGGCACATGCCGAATGTGGGAGTTGCTATAGTTAATGATCCAGCCTGACAACAAGCGGGACTTGGTTGTACCCAATCTCTAGTGAGATTGGTTATCCTTGATCTCTGATCAAATCGGTCCTCAGACCGGATTGGCCCTGCCTGATCACCGATCAGATCGGCTTCGCGTCGTCCTTTAGCGTCACACTGGATCGTCATCTTCAGCACAGCCACTTCAAACCAAGGTTGGTAAGGATCTCGCAGTTCCGGAGGAGGGAGTCTAAAATTCAACACAAACGCGTACAAAAGACATACGCGACGTGGCTGACCCTCGTGTGTCGCTAGGTGTCAGCTGCGATTGGCTCTCCTCACAAGGTCGCATCCACTTTGCGCACGGCCTGCCGATCATCTTTGCTCTCCATCATCAAAGGTTCGGCTTCCCCACTTCATCTCACCTACTGTACTTACCCACCATCCGAGCATCGGTGTCATGCCTGCCAGTCTACGGCTCACAAGTGATGACTGCAACCGTTGCTCAATACACCTGACGAATGCTCAACGATGGCGATGGCTCTTGGCGCGGGAAAGTGAGACGATTTTGGAACGGCGAAAGGGCGAAATTGCCGAACGGCTTAGGAAGAGCGTGGACGGCAAAGTGCGTGCGACCAACGCTTTCTTCTTTCGAGCCCACACTGTTGCTTTGCCTTGACAAGAAGAGAGCCCTCTTTGCCCTGTATAACGCGTGTCGGGTCAGGGTTCAATTTCAGCTGTCCAAAGTGTTTCTTCCTAAGATTCCAAGGCCTTGCTTGGCAGGCTGGCGTGCATTTCCAGAAGAAAAGAGAAAATGGAAAAAAAAGAAAAAAAAAAAAAAGAAAAAAAAAAAAGAAAAAAAAAAAGAAAAAAAAAAAGAAAAAAAAAAGGCTCCCTTGCATGCATGTGTTTACGTGTGTGTATCTTTCTCTCTTCACGAGCTGGCGTAAGTAACTAGTTCGAGCAAGTCGCGCTCGTGTGTGTGTGTGTGTGCATTTGCTTGCGAGGCAGAGCAAAGGCCCAGCAACATTGGTAGTGAACTTGCTTTGGCGCTGCTGCATCTCGCACACTTTCTGCCTGTGTAGCCGAGCAGCCTTTTTGGCGGGTCCAAGTTTGTTCTTGACAGCAGCTTGCACCCATATTCGTGTTCGGAGTTTGTTGGCGGCGAGACAAGTCTCTGTCTGTGTGTCTGTCACACACACTCTCTCTCCTGAGAGCGAAAAAGTCGATTGGCCAACTCGGTCTTCCTGCACAGTCCTCTTCCTTTCTTATGCTTCACTTTCGCGCTTGGTCGGCGGCGGCGTAAAGTGCATCACACTATTGAGCTCTAAGTTAAGTTAACTCTCTTGTGACCCACACTACACACACACACACAAACGATCACTTGCTCCCTATCGCCACGATCATCACCAATCTTTCCATCGTATCAACAGCCATCTTGCTCTGTATTTTGGCTAACCTATCATTTCGGCAAGCCCGAGCTCACCAGAACAGGAGGCGTGGGAACCGCTCGACCTCTTTCGGATGTGCTCCGAAGTGCAACAAGCACGTACCTCTTGACGGTCATAGGCTGAACCGACTCTTCCGTATCGCCTGCCAGCTCATCATCGGCGCAGTCCGACAGCTTTGTCAGCATGCCACCTCCTTCTCACCAGGCTGGGCAGCACGCTGCTTCATCTCAACAGCAACAGCAACAGTACTATTCGCAACCTCAGCAGCATCAACAACATCAGCTATTATCAGCATCGCAACAACAACAACAACAGCAGCAACAAGATAGATCTCAAACGCAACCCATCGGGCGCAGTCAGTCTGCATTCAATTTCCTCCTCAACAAAGCAAAGGCACCCTTCTCGTCATCCTCAAGCTCGTCGACGCTCACTGCCTCTGCTTCCCTCTCTTCACTATCTGCACACCAGGAGGATCCTTTCGATGACACAACCAATCACATTCAGTATCATCGCCAGTTACAAAAGGATCACACCTTTCCACATGCTCCTCCTGCTCCTGGTCAGGGTCGCAGAGTTCCCAGCGCCAGTGTAGACAAGACCTCGCGCACACAGCAGCAGCAGCAGCAGCAACAACAACAACAACAACAACAACAACAACAACAACAACAACAACAACAACAACAACAACAACAACAACAACAACAACAACAACAACAACAACAACAACAACAACAACAACAACAACAACAACAGCAGCAGCAGCAAACGGATCCCCTGCATCCTGGTAGACCAAGTGGCGCATCCTTCTCTCGTCCAAGCTACTCTGAAGAACCCCAAAATGCTGTCGCGAGTCCTACCAAACGCGGCTTCTTTGGCGGCATCGGTCGCGATCGCAAAGCGTCGACAGCGTCTATCAAGCAGCCAGCTCCTCCCAAGCCCAACTTTTCCTACAGCCCGCTCTCCAAGAGTCATCGTTCCGAGCAATCATCCAGCAACTATGCGCAGTTCAGCAAGAGTCAGTCTGATCTTCATGCTCGTGACTTTAACTCACCAACCCACCCAACTGCCGAGCTTCCCCGCATACCCGCCATCTACCAGCAGACCGCTCCTGCTTCTGCCGAACGCAATCGATATTTGCGCTCGCCGAGCCTCGCCATGAACTTTTCGCGCAGCGTAGACGACCTCAGCTCGGTCGAACAGCCTGTCTCGCCTTTCCCAGCTTCACCGGGATACGACGAGAGCACTTCGACGCTGGCTACCATGGCCACCTCCACCTCCCCAGGCACGTGGGGAGAGCACGGTGTTCCCCTTGCGCAACCAGACTGGCGCCCAAGTGATATGGGGACATTGGCATCGCCTACTCAGCAGCCGAACGCTCCGCACCAGCGCTTCAAGGCCGGACACACTAAACTGGATTCGGTCGCCTCGCAGATTCAACCCTCGACCGGATCTGTCCAGAACCCACCCAATAACTGGACAAGTATGTCGCCCCCACAGTACGGCTATCTTCAGTCGTCCACCGCTCAGCGGACCGATGCTCGACATGCACGTAAAGTTTCCAAGCTCAGTGGAAAGGAATTTTCGAGTCGCAGTGCCGTAGCGTCCAGCCTGGCAGCATCGCTCGGCCTCACCAATCTTGGAGGTTCCTCCGCGGCACCGACCTCCCTCACGGTCCAAACATTTCACGAGCCTGTTCCTCTTCCTCAGGGCGCGGTCTTCCAGGGCTTTGTCAACCGCAACGCCAACATCAGTCTGTCTCTCGCACAGCTCAATGGACACGATCACGGCAAAGGAAAGGAAAAGGACATCTCTAAGGGCTGGAAACCATACCGAGTTGTACTGCAAGAGGGTCGACTCTGCTTCTACAAGCCGCCGAGCAACATCGTAGATGAAGTCAAATCGCTCTTTCCCACAGGCCTTGTTCGCACCCTACCCGACACGCCAGCCTCAGCCACCTCTTCCGCCAGTCTCAATACCGACGCGCTCATGAGGAGCGGTCTCAGCAAGCAAGATCTGCTGAGCGCCACTTCCAGTACCAACGAGATGACTTCACCTTTTCCCTCGCCTAGTCTGCGACCACGCATCCCTGCAGTTCGACAGAATTCCAACAAGTCGGCAACCATCTCGGCCGGCTCCCCAACAACGCCGGTTTTTGCACCTTCAGCATCACAGTTCACTGACGCTGCGCACAGATCCTGGATCAAGCCTGGTAAGCACCCGGAGCTCATCCTTGTCGACGCAATCGAGGCTCCCCAAGGCTGGGCTGAACGTATCCAGAGTGGCAGTCTGGAAGCTCTGGCGCACGAATTTGTCATGGCAACTCAGCTTCCTACAGGAGCTGAGCGATTGTCTGCATCGGCATCGCCGCTTCTCCTTCAGATGGAATCAAGCCAATCGATGGACTCTACCGTCGAGGCATACGCGGCGGCGGTTCTGGTGGCCATCTTTGCGGGCCAGGAGCCACGAGGGGTGCTTGTTGCAACCGTTGTCAAGTTCATCACTGAGGTGCAACATCACGCGCAAGACCTTCTTGCAGCCAAAGAGGACGGCTCGCAAAACGGTGTCGAACCATCAATGCTCAAGTCACGGCTCGCAACCCTTCTGGACGTTTCGGTGCGAGCTGGGATCGCTCAAACGAGCGAGGGCGCCGACGCAATCCGTCGTCTCTCCGCTATCATCCAAGAGGACGGCGACGAGCTGACCGAGAAGCTGCAGAAGTTTGCGGCGTCGGTCTTGTCCGACGAAGCTGTTGAGAAAGAGGCATCCATCGATTGGATCAGTAAAGTAGCAGACCAGAGCTCGATAGAGACTCGCGAAGATCTGCGAGAGCTGCAGAGCTCACTCTCCATCTCAGATGATCTCTTGCTGCGTTTGGAGCCTCTCGAGATTGCCCAGCAGATCCAAATCTTCCACGCTGATGCCCTTCGTCATTTAGTCGGTCGTCGCCTCTCCATGCTCGAGCTGCTCGAAACTGCAAAGAAAGACGACAAGGTCGTATCTGCGCTCAGTTTCGATTCCTTATCTCCCCACCCCCTTACCGTTCTGGCTCTGAAGCATCTCCTCAACTCCAGCGCAGGGGCGTCCGACCCAGCGAGCGTCGATCAGAACGGCGCACGGCACCGTGCTTCAGTGCTTCGCCATTGGATCGCTGTCGCCTCCTATCTGCTCACGCTTGGTGATGTCGCTGGATGGATGGCGGTCTGCACTGCACTGTGTTCCCGTGCTGTGACCCGCTTGGAGCAGACCTGGCGTTACCTGGCCGAAGGTGACCGAGTCTTGGTGGCAGAAGAATGGGCTCCAATCCTGTCGAGCATCTCGTGGACAGAAGGTGTCTCGGTCAATGTGCGGGCCCGCTTTGTAGGGGATAATTCGGAGCCTTTCGTCGTCATGCCAGATGGCAAGAAGGCTGCGGCGGTCCCTTACCTCGGCAACGTCCTCTATCGCACTCTGCGACAATTTGATAGCCCGTCAGCGAGCGCCGGCCATGTCAAGCTTCTAGGTCCAGCAGAAGACGCGTTCTATCTGTTTTCAACTTCCAACGAATGGCGAAGCGTGTGGCAACAAGCGGCTGCCGACCCTGCTCTATGCATTATCGACCATGCGGAGCCTCTGGCTCAGTATCAAGCAACGCTGCATTTGCTTTTCCAAGATGCAGCAGCTCGCAACTCGACATTGCAGTGCGACATGGAACGTTCTTTCCAACTGGAAGCCAAGGCGCTAGGCAACCACGACGCTCGCGAGAGGCATACACTACCACCCAACGCCAACCCGTGCCTCCCGCTCGTGCCTCTTCTGTTCCCTCAGCCGCTCCCGCTCTTGTCTCTGCTGGATGCCACTCAGATCAAGGCTGAGCTCTTCCGCCGAGATGATCAGCGCATGAACGCGAGCAAAGATCCGCATGCGACAATCACCTCGCGTTCTCTCATTCGTCCATCGCTAGCTGGATCGCCGTTGGTCAGATCATCGGCTTTCTCACCTCCACTTGGAAGCCGTACGAGTCGCAGCGCCACCTTCAGCGGTATCATCGAGTGGTCTTCGAATTCACCCACGCCGAGCTGGGAGGACCCTAACAGCACTGTCATCAAGGTCGGCAATGAGCTGATGCTCCGTGCTGTGCAAGAACCCAACTTATCGCTTCCCAGCTCCCCAATGACAGGCAAGCGCTTTTCGCAGGACTTCGGCCGTGCTTCGCGACCTCTTTCGCAGATCTCGAAACGATCCAGCTTGCCTGCGTCTAACCGTAGCTCCGTCGTTGACATTTTAGTGCCGATGCAGGTGGTTGTAAAAGCAGCAACGCTCGACCGCATGATCGATATTCTCGTAATGGGTCTTCAACACGTCAACGTCTCCCCTGCGCCTGCCGCTGGTGATAGCAACGAATCGCAGAACGTGCCGGCGCGCAAGACAAGGCTCGTGATGGATATGGAGACCTACCGAACTACCTTCCTCGCTACATTCCGCAGTCTCTGTTCGCCTCCTGAGCTGTTTGAACAGCTGCAGAAGCGATTCTCAACAGCGATCACGGCGAGTAAGGAGCTGTCCGGTGCTGACGAGTTCCGTACTTCGAGTCAATTCCCGTCGTGGATCTCGGTCATCCCTGTGGGAAGCCAAGCAGAGCCCACCGATTGGGATATGGTCTACCGCATCCGCATGGGTGTCGTGCTGACATTGCGATTGTGGATTGACCGCTTCGCACAGGACTTTGTGGACGACGACGTTCTATACCATATGGCCCTAGGTTTCCTGCGTCAACCTGGCCTCGAAGTGACCCCGGAGGACCTCGATCAGCAGAAGGTCGTGAACGCGCTGGCTCAACTAAGGGGCATGTTTGGTGCAAAAATCATGGGCGCCAATGCGAGGCAAGAAGAGCGCAGCTATGCTACTGACTCGTCTGTTCAGGTTGCTAGCGACCAACATCATGCCGAGTTTGACTTCGACCGAGCTTCAGCAGCCGAGCTGGTCGAGTACCTGGAATCAATTGCGACCGTGTTCTTCGACAAGATCGTCGATCGTGACCTTCTTGTTGTCAGCGAAATCTTTGAGAAGCAGGCTAATCACCCTGCTGCATGGTTCACCGTCAAAACAGGCAGCACTGGGACAGCTGAGGAGGACAAACCCGTCACCAACATGTACACGCTGCTCGATGTTCTCAAGACAAACGACAATGCAGGCAAAGATGCCAGCAAGGACACCAACAAGAACCTGACTCTGCAGCAAAAGCTTCCATCGGCAGTGCGCGGTGCCCTTGCCGCGCAAAGTCTCTTCCGAGGCTGGATCGCCATTCACATCATCGAGTCGGGTATCGGTCTCGAGCGTCGTCAAGAGAGGCTTTCAAAGCTTCTGGACGCTCTATGGATCTGCAGGGCCCGCATGTTGCGGCTGAGAAGGGACGATGTTACGACCACAGTGAATGCCAATAACGGCAATCCCAGCATTATGACAGACATCTCTCAGCCCTTCCGCGAACCCACCATCGGATCCTTTGTCGAGTCTGCCATCGTCAACACGCTCGGCTCTTCCGAATCGCGCATCTTCTTGCGCGCATGGCAAGGTGTGGCGGCATCTCGCGGCGCCAAGGGCGACAGCCTGGAGGACTTGATGCCGCAGCAGGTCGACGCAGCCATGCGGTCCGCCACTGAGCTGTCAGGGACGCCTGACATCGGCTGGGTTCTCGCATGCTTGGCTGAAGCAGCTACCCAGGCACCGAGCATTCAGACTTCGACTGCGGACGTCGAGCTGATCGACTTTGAGAAGCGACGTACAATGTGGGCGCTGATCGATGGTGCTGTCCGTGTCCGACCCGCCTGCAACGTCCCTGACCTTGTCGATCTTGCAGGTGCTCGATTGCGACTAATGCAGAGCGCCCTGACTCGAGTCATTTGGGACCGCCGCGCCTTCCGTGAAGATGCAGCCAAGGAGATGCGCAACGCTCCGCCAGTCCGATCGGATGCCAGGCTGCGTCCGAGCAGCTCCACCAAGGCGCTCCCTGGTCTGTCGAAGCAGCAGCAAGAGAAGCTTCGTCGAGATCGAGCGGCTTTGGAGATGCTCAACTCGCTACCCTTGCGACCATCGATCTCGTCTCGGGTGTCCAGCATGCCGTCGAACGGCACAAGAGGCTCGGCTGCCAGTTCACCTTCTTCTGGTAACATGCCTATGCCATCAGAGAAGTCCGCAATCACGCAAGCACCTCCGCCCGACAAGGCTACCATTCGTGCTCGTCGCATGACTGCACTGTTCAAAGGTGCCGTGCGTCCGCTCATCTCATTGGACAAACCCGATGGACCTGCCAAGTCGGTGTCTGAGCTGATGCGCCTGACTCCACTTCAGAAACCTTCCATCATTGCAGGGCTTGGCGGTGCGCGCATCTCCGTCTGGAACAATTCTCAACGGTCGTTCGTGTTTCATCTCACTTCGCAAGAGGGCGCCAAATATCTCTTGCAAACCTCCAATGCTGCAGAGCTAGCGAAATGGGTTAGTCACGTGGAGCGGACATCGAAGGAGTACGCTGTGCAGAGGCCACTCGACGCACGAAAAGGATCTGTTCCAGCCAAGAGCAAGGCCACGCCCGCGCCACTGTATGGACGGCCTCTGGTGGAGCTTTCGGAACGAGAAGGTCATTCCGTCCCGACGGCGGTCGAGCGCATGTTTGCCGAGATCGAAGCTAGAGGTCTTCGAGAGCAGGGTATTTATCGTATCTCGGGCTCCAAGAGCTCTGTCGAGAATCTGCGAAGAACGTTCGATCAACAGCCTGCAGAGTCGATCGATCTCGCTACAGGCGAGTTCAGTGACATTCACACCATTGCAGGCGCCGTGAAGACCTGGCTGCGAGAGCTACCGGAGCCTTTGATTACCTTTGACTCGTACGACGATCTGATCGCAACCAACGCCATGGAAAACGATGATCGGCTTTATGCTATGCGCGACATCATCTGGAAGATGCCCAAGGTCCACTTTGATGTGCTTCGACGCACAGCAGAGCATCTCGCGCGTGTCGTTGAGGAAGGCGAGGTCAACAAGATGCTGGCACACAATGTCGCGCTTGTCTTTGGAACCTCACTGCTCAACCCGCCCCCTGGTCCGTCGAGTGTCGCTATCGGATTTGGTAACCTTGGCAAAGCCGCCAATGTAGTCAAGACAATCGTGACAATGCACGAGTGGCTCTTTGAGCCCGAACCGGAACCAGAGCCGGAGCTGGAGGTTGAGCCGGAGCTAGAGGCACGAACCGACGATCAGACTGAGGCACAGCCTGATCCCAGCAACGTTGTCGCGGCCGAAGAGGGGTCGGAAAAGATAGCAAACTGGAACACGCCTTCCAAGTCAGACCGCGCACTTGCCTCGTCGCTGTCGTTGCCAAGCGACACAGCGGCAGTCAACTTCAGCGCACCTCTAACTCTAGAGCCGCCCACTGATCACGGGCCCGCCGAGCTCAGAGACGCAGATGGCGAAGATGAGGCGTTATCTGAGCTCCCGGTGCGTTCCCGTCGCGGTGGTCGGGGTAGACCTTTGACCATCGTTGGTCTTGATGGGTTGTCAGCGCTGGGTGGAGAGGATGCTGTAGCCAAATTGCTCGGAAGCGGCCGGGACGCGGAGATGAAGACGGTGGCTGACGAGGATGAGGAGGCCTCAGCACATGAAGCAGGCAAGGCTGCTCAGACAGGGACAGAAGCTGAAGTCTCAGTCGAATCACATACGATTGGCGCGGCTCCTCGCATCGTGCTTTCCGGAGACGGCGACAGCGAGGAGGAAGCAGTGGAGGATGAGGTCTCTGAGAGTGCTGGGGACGACTCGAATGACGTCGACGCGGCTGCTGACGGGGCTGAGGATGCACCCTCGGTCGAACAGAACATACATGGCGATGATGCTGACGCTAGCTTAGGCCTCGCTGTTGCTACCGAGCGCCCACGAAAGGCTCGCAGCACGTATCGAGACAGCGTCTTCACGTCATACTCGATATATGCCGATTGTTTTGACAACATGAAGCTGGAAAGTCAGTCTTCGGCGGCGAGCATGGTCAAGCGTCAATCGATGCAGTTGCTTGGTCAGCCTTCCGCGTCCTCTTCAGAAGCCGGGATCCCAGAGACCAAGCAGGACGCCTGAGCTACACGTAGCTGGGCCCAAATTGTACTCTTAAAATGTGCTCATGTTACTCTACACGCATGCATTTCAATCATACGCAGAGCATCCCTTTTTTTTTTTTTTTTTTTTTTTTTTTTTTTTTTTTTTTTTTTTTTGGTGCTCGTGTTCAACATTCGGTCTTGCTGTGTAGGAAGTGGATGCAAGATGAGTATGGCATTGAAATGAGTACTGTACAGTAGCTATTCGTCTTCGTCGTCGACTGCAAACCTGGGTGGACGATTGGTATCTGATGAATCAAAGTGTGCTTGGCGCGGCTGTTGTGGTGAGGCGGAGCGACCAGCATTCGGCGCTGAGTAGTATCCTGAATCCGAGATGTGGGACTTCCTCGGTGCTCCTGCTCCAGACCCGGCTGCGTTGTAGCTGGACTCGTGAGTGTAGTTGGTGTTCATCGATTCATCTTGAACCGAGTCATATCCTCGCGTGACAGACTCCCGACCTCCGAGATCACCTCCACTGAAGTTATCATCTGCCGCCAGATGCGTCGGTAGTGGAGGCATCAACATCCAACGATTCCTCGAATCTAGTTCACCTTGAATTTTTGCCTCCGCTTCCACTTCGCTTGGAGGCCGCAGAGCTTTAAGATGTGAGAAGGCGGTTGAGAAGAATCCGCGAAGTTCTGCCACCTCATGAGCTGAAATGTTGTGCATTTGGAGATGAACCGAGTTGATCATGGGTACACCCGATAGGATCTTGGATTGTCTTGCTTCGCGGATGTCCTTAAGCAGTGCCCGAACGCGGTTGGAATTGGGAACGTCATCTGCAGCGTTCGCGAGGAGGGTTTGAGAGACGCCGATCCAGTAATGTGGCAGATCGGAGAATCCTGGTTGTGTGGTTTCCTGCTTGAGGGTTTCGGTCAGAGAGTCGAGGGTAAGCCATGTGGGAGGGACAACGACGGCCTTTTTGCGTTTTTTGAGATGGAGAGCGACCCAGAGTGGAACGACGGCGGGGGTGGGAGGTCGAAAGGGCCCGTAGATGCCAGAGAGGAGTCGGACGCGGTCGACGGATGTGAGTGGCACAATGGTCACAGAGGTGGAAGAGAGAGAGGTTGTGGCGAGGTCGAGGTCGGGTGCATTACAGCCTCGGGCGTAGGCTGAGAGGGATAAGCTGGATGAGGAAATGCTGCCTGGCATCGATGATGAGGATGCGAAGGCTGACATTGTGTCGCCGCGGCCTGTAGCAGCAGTCTAGGATCTAGAGAAGCCGGTGCTGTTGATGCTACGTGGAACGATCGAGGCCGCTTGAAGACGAAAGTCTCAAGACAAGAGGTGATCCCCACGAGCGAGCAGTTTCAAGATGGAGTGTAAGTAGTGTATCTCCAACGAGAAGCGCATTCGAGTGTTGGTCTTGTCAGAATTCGGGACGCGGCGCGCGACCACTCAACGCCAACGTTGTGTTGCTCCACCAAAACTATTCGACCCCTTCGATTCTATTTTTTGCACCTCCGTTTGGCGACGGACTTTACGCAATCAGACTCGTTGACGGCAGTTGATTGCGCTGATCACCTTGTATCGGTGTTGCTGGGCCTTGAATGCCTCTTCTGCTGCGTTGCGTTGATTGATACGCTACTCTCGGTGACTGTCTAGTACGTTAGATCGGCAGATTGATTCCCGAAGAATCTCGAATTGAGGCTGTGTGAAGCTGATCTGACGAGCAATTCTGGGTGCAAGCAGCAGTTCATTCCGAATTGCATCTTGCTGGCTGACTGCCAAGCATCTCGTCAACGTCCGCATGAGCACGGAGACAATCTCACCTTTTCATCGTCACCGTCACGCAGCGCTTGCAACCTGTCAACATCATCCCTCGCCGAAACTGGCTCCGTTTCAAACCGGAGCAGACTGCACTTCTGCTTTCGTGCTCCTCACAGAATCGCTGCAAAGTTGTCAAGGTCGTCAGGTCGACTTAAAAAGAAGTTATAGATCCTAGCAACTTCGAGTTTCTCAACTCAGAGTATACAATGTCAGTCATGCCCGGATCTACACCACATAGATCACGATACACACCGTTACGGCGAAATGCTACCTCTACGGACATATCCTCACGCATACGATCCGCCTACTTGTATGGCCGCTCGTATTTCGACCGAATATGGAAAGCTTTCCTCGCCCTTCCGCCGGAGCAGCGGTACATCATCTACCTTGCTGTCGCTATCAAAATGCTCATTCTAGGTGTAGTGGTCTACATCGGTCCAGAAGCCATGTTCGATGCCACAGCGAAGCTTGCGATCTGGTTCGGCTCACAACCTTTCGGCGCGGCACTCATAGTTGCGCTCGTCATCATCGTCAGCTTCCCACCGTTCATTGGATATGGTACATCGATCACCCTTTGCGGTCTCGGCTGGGGTGTTCATGCAGATGCTACATCTGAACATGCCGAACTCAACGGTAATCTTCTCCAAGCATGGCTGCTCGCATCTACCGCCTGCCTTCTTGGCGCTACTGTCTCCTTCACCGTTCTTCGCTTCCTCATCGTTCACCACAGCAAGCGGGTCTCCTGGATCAGTAACACCCTCAATGATCCCAAATATGTTGCTCTATCCACAGCAGTGCGACATAGAGGTCTGTCCATGGCCATCCTCATTCGTTTCTGCCCCTTCCCATTCGCGTACTCCAACCTCTTCTTCGCTAGCCTGGTGGACGCAGTTTCGTTCAAGCACTTTTTCGTCGCCACGGCACTCATCACTCCGAAGCTCTTCTTGCATGTTTGGCTGGGAACACGCATGTTCCAGCTAATGGATCGGGATCAGCGCGCTCAGCTCGATGGCTGGGCGAAAGCGCTCAATGTCATCTACATTTTGGTCGGATCTGCCATTGGTGTTGCTACAGGATGGCTTGTCTGGTCTGAGACGACGAAAGTGCTGCAAGTTATCGAGCGCGAACAGCAACAGTCTTCGTCGCAGGACCGACAAGCGTCTTCCAGCAGCAGTCGCGCCGACCTAACGGAGCAAAGCAACACGGCCGAATCATCGTACCGCGATGCACCGACTCTCAGCAGCAAAAGTGCAGACAACGCTGCTTCGCCGTTCATTTTAGACTTTGACCAAGATGCTGATGAGGTGGAAAATCAGGTCGGGCATAGCTCAAATCGTGACGGTCGAAGGGAGGATCCAAAGCAGAGTCTTCTTCCACAATAGTGTCATGCAATTCACTTGCTCATAGAGAGACATGGTGCAATCACAAGGCGAACAGCCTCTGACAAAATCGCTGTCCGAAGACTCTTCTGAATGCTTTCTTTGCGTGTGTATGTCTAATCGTGTGTATGTTTAATCGCTATCTTCAGCAGAAGGTACTGCCTGATATGTCTCTCTATCAGCCCCTCTTGATCTTCGTCCCGCTTGTCCGAACGCACTATTTACATCGCTTAGACTGACTCCAGCCATCTCTGGCAGCTGCCAATAAGTGAATGCGCAGCTGAACGCCGACACCATGCTAAACAGCCCAAAGCAGCCTTGTGGCGTGATTAGCTTGACCAGATGCAGGAATGTCGCTGAGACCAACAAGTTCGTACTCCAATTGGTCGCTGTGGCTAGTCCTGCACCAACGCCTCTGACTTGACCTGGAAAGATCTCTGACTGAATGAGCCAAGGAACGATACCGAGACCAAGTGCGTAGCTCAGCGTGAACAGCACCATCGAGACCAGTGTCCAGTAGGGCCACGCTGACCGTGAGCTGCTTATCCTTTCAGCATCGGGTGCACCAGACACTGGGCCAAGATCGATCTGACTGAAGCCGATTGCAACAAGCACGAGACAGAACGTCATCGCCGCCGTTGTGTACAGCAGCAACTTTCGCCTTCCCCATCCGTCAATGTATCGCATCGCAACCATGGTCCCCACAAAGTTGGCAACCGCAATTCCAACCGCCGCTGCATTGGGATTGGCAACGAATCCAGCCATGAGCAGCAGTCGAGAACTGAAGTACATTAGAGAGTTGAAGCCTGTCGCCTGCTGGAAGAATTGCAGCGAACATGCGATCAGCAGTGCCAGACGATGAGTGGGATCGTGGAGGAGCATATCGAGCTTGCTCTTCACTTGCGTTGTTCGTTGACGTGCTGTTGAAGTGAGTTGTGCTGGAGCAGCTGCGATTCTACCCAGAGTTGCTTGTATTTCATTCGCTCCATGGTTATCTTCTTCTGCTTGGCGGTCGGTCGAGTGCGCGGCGTCAGGGTCGATGTCCTCGCGCTGAGTTGTACCCTCCATACTGCGTGCTATGCGGTCGATCTCGGTGTCGATCATACGTACACTTGCGTTTGGATAGATCCGCTGCAAAACACGGCGGGCTCGGATGATGCGCCCTTTCGCGACCAGCCAGCGTGGCGATTCGTCCAAATAGATCATGCCCACCAACTGAAAGATGGCTGGGATACCGCCAGCAAGCACCATCCATCTCCAGCCATGTGGAAGATTGTAGAATGCCGCATCGATGAGGTAGGCAATGACTTGACCACCGGTGACGAGAAGACTGTTGATACCGACAATTCTACCGCGCACTTTGGTTGGCGCTACTTCCGCAAGGTATGTGGGCACGACCATGCTCGCCATGCCAACACCCAGCCCTACGAGCACCCGGCCAAGCACTAGCTCCCTAACCACTTGTGATGCTGCTTGCTCCAAAGCGCCGAGGAAGAAGAGGATGCCGGATCCAATCATGACTCTTTTCCGCCCTAACCAGTCCGCCATCCTCCCTGCAACAATGGATCCTAGGATTGCACCGACAGTAGTTGCACTGACAATCAGTTCCTGCTCGCCTTCGCTGAGCTCGTGACCCAAGTCAGCATGAATTGCTACGAGCATACCGCTCGCAATACCCGTGTCCCAGCCGAATTGCAATCCGCCAAGACAAGCTACGCCGGTAAGCCGAGCAAGGTAAGTTGCCGAGCTGAGCTCGGAATCATCCAACGGGCTGAGGTCGTCCTCTTCGTCACCCTCATCATCGTCGTTGCCGTTCGTAGAGCGCATCGGGTTAAATCGATCTAGATCACTGAGTCGGTCCGTCTTCCTCGCTTTCGATCCGCTAGATGGTGCTGCATCAGCTTCGAGCCCGGCGCTTGTCGGATCTGTCATCTTGGCAGCACCTATGCCTGCCTCCCGCGTCGACCCGATTAGCTCCCCTGCCTCTGTCGAAGCCGCCGCGTCGTGCTCGTTTGCAGGTGTTGAGAATGTGTCCAGCTCGAAACTCGAATCGGATGAGGTAGGAGACGAGATGCGGAAGGAGGGCAGCGACGACGGACCTGCCCGTCGCTTATCGTTTGATGTTCCGACAGGAATGGTGGAGAGAGCTTTGATGTGCCAATGCTTCGTCGTCAAGTTGGCATACGCTTTGCAGAAAGGTTTTGTGTCCTCAATCGAGTGTGATTGGGAGTACTCGATGGTGTGACAATCGTAGTTGGCTAGATCAAGCGAAAGGATCTGCCGAGTACCTGTGACGTGTTGGCTGCAGCTTGTCAAGTCGAAGTGTGAGAGGTGTGGACCCTGCCTTCCCATAACTGGAGAAGCAAACCTTCACACCCACACGCAGTTGAGGAATTAGAGACGCTCAGATCCCTTGACCACGCGACCACGATGAAAAGTCGAGTCGTGCGAATGGAACATGCGCTCGTTTCAATGGTGGGAAAAGACACGTGACCTGAGTCGTGTCACTTCATATCGCTCATCACATCTCCCGTCTCTCTCGTTTGCTTCTTCTCCATCATCTTCTCTCCTCTTGCACAAGCTTTCTCCTGGCTACACTTCATCACGTTCACCCTCCCTTCCCTCCCTGACCTTCTCACGCTGGCTTCCTGCTTCTCCTGCTTAGTTTTCCTTTTTGTACCTCGTTCTCACGCACATTCCGCCTCGCTCCCACGTGGCGCTCGACCGGCCGTGCCTCTTACGGCCATGGCTGGGAGCCCGCAAGCGACTCACCTGAGTTAGGCAATTTAACATTTCTGACACAGACTCAGGCACGTGAGATAACTCACCGTTGAACCCTAGACTCCCTTCATTTCTGCGTTCCTGCTTTACGGCACTCCATCTTTGGAACTCCACAAACCACCATATCTCTGCATCCGTCTTCTGCACCATGCCCCAATTTCGGCAATGGGTTACTAATGCATCCGACGATATCAGGCTTAACGGCCTAAGTATATTGCACCGAAACCAAAAAGCAGGCTTATGTACAGAAAATGAAAAGATTTTTTTTTTTGTCTCCTCGGCCAAGAGCGAGCCCCTTAAAGGATACACAATCTGCCGACAGTGGATTCCCATGAAGAGGTGACTTCCCGGTGTTTAGGGGAGAGAGTCGTAAGTCAAAGCAGCAAATCATGATTTTCAAGGTGAAGACCAATGGTCAGGAGACAAGAGAATGGAAAAGAGACAGAGAGAGAGGGGGCTAAACGGGAGAGGATCAGAGCAAAGGACGGAGCAATGTTGGTGAAAATATACTAAGTTGTCCTTGAGTTCGTTGCCGCAGCAGGATTCGTTCTTGCGTTGGTGTTTGTGTTGGACATAAGATGAAAGTGAATCTTGCCCTTGTCCTCTTGAAGAAACATACCGCCATCAATCCATTTCTTTGCAAAGGCAGCTTTCTTGGGCTGAGAGCACTTGTAGTATGCATCTGTGATTGTTTTGCCAACCAAAGCCACATTATCTGACATGAAGTTTGACAGGGTCAGCTGCGGACAATGATTGTTCTGTAGACCTACCCTGATGGCATTGTACCGCAGTTTAGAGAGCATGTGAACGGCCAAGTCCCTCCAGAGCAGGAGCCTAGCATGTAGGGAGGCTGGCATTTCCAGGTCTGGCCAACCTAGTGTCATAGGGTCTGCGCAGAAGATCCGAAATGAGGTATGAGGAGCCTTGTGTGCACGAAATGTGAGATCTACCAGATCATGGGTTTCCGGTCGATTTCGCCAACAACAACTGCATCACATGTTTCTAATTGATTTTGCTGAAATCAATCAGAATACACCCATCTGGTTGATTTCACCAAACACACCACAAGAAGCTCCCATTGGTATGGAACAGGCCAATGGACAATGAGGAAGCAACAGGAGGCTTGGAAGAGAAGGTCCCCATTGTGGAGGGTAAGGATAGGATAACAGGAAAGGTTCACATGCAAGGAGCAGGTCCAAGTTCAGCCAAGAAGAGGATCAAGCTCAGGAGCATGCAGTAGGTTACCACACAGGGGGACATGCTCATGATCACACAGAACCAGTCACAAGGGAGGCTGCATGGATGGAAGTGGGACAATAAGGGTGGTCACATGGTCAGGGGCCACCAGATAGGGGCCAGGAGAATGGTCACTGAAGGAGGGGAGAGGGAGCCGGGCCAAGGGGACAAGCATAGAAACCATGAGGAGGAAGGGCAGCATCAAGAAGATCAAACACTCCTCAGGAGGAGCAGGAGCGGTGTCGCAGGCGACACCCTACAAACACATAAATACTCTCACTTCACTGTCATGGGACCGGATGTGCAGGAAGCAGGAAGATCCGAAGTCATATGAAGAGGAGCACAGGAATTGCAGGATTGGGCTAAGTGAGAGTTTAAGGCAGAGTTCATCGAGATCTGTAGTAGAAAAGGCTCTAAGACAGATTCTGTTCAGATCAGTACAAGCAGGATTTTACAGCAAAGCCCACCAGAATCTGTAGTATCATGATCATATGACAGATCTTGCAGGGGACACCAATCTCACAAATTTTGCAACAAGACAGACATTGAGGGCATTGGGTTTGCCACCCTGATGAAGCAGGGGGCCAACTCGACAATGAACTCAGAAGCAGGAGAATGGGAGAGATGAAGGGGGGTGTGAGTCACCACTCAGATGAAGTGGGAAAGGCCCCTATTGGTAATGAAGCAGCATAAGGACTCTCCATCTGCACGGAGTGAGGGAAGCAGGGTTAAGGAGCAGTGTCACAAAACAGGCAGGACTATTGGGAGGGAGAGCCAAGAGGAGGAGGAGCAGTGCAGGAGGAGACCACATAGGGTATGAGCAGGGTTGCTGGCAACACTGCAAGGACATTGTCACAGGACCGGATGACTGCGCAGGAAGAAGTAAGCTCATATGAAGAGACCATGCACAGGAAGAAGTAAGCTCATATGAAGAGACCATGCGCAACAATCGCAAATCGGGAAAAAAGGAGTCCCAACAGGTTTCAGTGAGATTGGTAGGACTGACAGCTCTATGGCAGAACTCATCAAGATTGGTAAGAGCCAGTCTGCTATTACAGAGTTCAGTGGAAAACAGTAGTAACACACTCGTATGACAGACCTCATGGGCACCAGCCTAAGGACACTGTCATGGGCCTGAATGCTCAAGAAGCAGGAGGGTCACTGGTTCATATGGAAGGAGCACAGGTATCAGAGATCTAGTCGATACCAGTAGAAGAGCATGGTCGTAGTGCAGTCTCCATGGAGACCATGGACTCCTATGGACTCACATGTGAGGAGGGCCAGGCACAGCCACGAAGAGGACCAAGCTCAAGGAGCATGTCATGGGCCTGAATGCTCAGGAAGCAGGAGGGTCATTGGTTCATATGGAAGGAGCACAGGTATTGGAGATCTAGTCGATACCAGTAGAGAGCATGGTCATAGTGCAGTCTCCATGGAGACCATGGACTCCTATGGACTCACATGCAAAGGAGCACTGAGCCATATGCAAGGAGGGCCAGGCACAGCCATGAAGAGGACCAAGCTCAAGGAGCATGCAAATGGTTACCACTCAGGGGCTTGAGAGACAAGAGTCAAAGGAACCATCACCAGTCAAAGGAGAAGGAGCAGTGTATAGGGAACTGGCAAGCAGGTCCTGAGGAGGAGGAGCAGTGTCAAAGGAGTTGTCACCACTCAGGAGGCACAGGGGTGCCAAACAAGCAGGATAGCAAGGAGGAGGAGCAGTGTCAAAGGAGTCAACACAGCTCAAGAGGCACAGGGGTGCCAAGCAAGCAGGAGAGGCCCCCTGAACAGTACTTGATGAAGAAGGTACCCTCTGGAGAGAGAGCAAGAGCAGCATCACTGGCAACACTGTGAAGGGGTATATAACCATACTTTCTCATCATCAAAGGTTGAGTGGATCCTCATCCACTCTACAACCATCATAAACTAGTTATCACTTCAGCATAAGTATATATTAGTTTCAGTCAGCACAGTAGCAATCTATCAAGGTTGCTCCTCATTGTAGTGCATGTGTTGTATCACCACTACCTGACATCTGAAGGCAGTTCATAGCAAACCAGTGGTCTGGATATAGATAGAACCGAAGGCAGTAGTCCACTGTGGTCTGGGGATCACTGTCATGGGCCTGGATGCTCAAGAAGCAGGAGGGTCACTGGTTCATATGGACGGAGCACAGGTATCGAAGACCTAGTCGATACCAGTAGAGAGCATGGTCGTAGTGCAGTCTCCATGGAGACCATGGACTCCTATGGATTCACATGCAAAGGAGCACTGAGCCCATATGCGAGGAGGACCAGGCACAGCCACGAGGAGGACCAAGCTCAAAGAGCAGGCGCAGCCACGAGGAGGACCAAGCTCAGATGGTTACCACTCAGGGGCTCGAGAGACAGGAAGTCGACACAGGTCATGAGGAGGAGGAGCAGTGTCGAAGGAGTCGACACAGGTCATGAGGAGGAGGAGCAGTGTCGAAGGAGTCGACACCACTCAAGAGGCACAGGGGTGCCAAGCAGGAGAGGCCCCTGAGCAGTACTCGATGAAGAAGGTACTCTCTGGAGAGAGAGCAGGAGCAGCATCGCTGGCAATGCTGTGAAGAGGTATATAACCATGCTTTCTCATCATCATAGGTCGAGTGGATCCCCATCCACTCTACTCACCATAACTAGTTATCACTTCAGCATAAGTATACATTAGTTTCAGTCAGCATAGCAGCAATCTATCAAGGTTGCTCCTCATCGTAGTGTGTGTGTTGTATCACCACTACCTGACGTCCGAAGGCGCCCATAGCAGGTTAGCGGTCCGGATATCGATAGAACCGAAGGCAGTAGTCCACTGCGGTCCGGGGATCACTTCAAGCATCAAGTCAACACACTGGACACTCGTGTTGACGCCACCAACCTTATCACCAACACCATCAACCTCATTATCATCGACATCACCAATCTCATCACCAACACCATCAACCTCATCATCATCAACACTCACACCAGACCTTGGTGTCATCATAACATTGATATTGATCGTGCCGAGCTACCCCTGAACGGAGTGTCCACAGAGGTCAGCCGAAACCTACGATAGTATATACAACAAACGCCACCTGCTGTCACTGCACAACTTGATAGTCACCGAGTATCTCGAGACAATAGCTGTCGCACAGTTTGATAGTCACCGAGTATCTCAACAGACCGACCTGGGTTTCAGGCGCGAGACCCCTGACATTAGAGTGGATCATTCAAGCAGCTCCTCACGATCACCATGACAGACCCAGACCTCAACAATAAGCTCGATAGACTACTCACTCTATTGGAAGCTCAGCTAGAGCTTACTAGGCAGGGTCATCGAGAGGAACGACTACAACGAGCTCAGCTGGGTAGGGAGGAGACAATGGACCTCTCTCACTCGGAAGACCAAGCAGGAGGAGGAGATGAGTCTATGATAGGAGACCCACATACTCCTACTCCGGCTCCACGACCAAGACGATCAGTCTCATTCAACCTGGATGAGCAGGAGGACATCAACTATGAGAAGTATGCTTCACCTACTGGGCCAAGATATGTCAAGACTAAGCTGGACCCCTACAGCAGGACTAGGACGGATCCTTACCCCCTGGACCACGAGGAGGATAACAGCATCATGGCAGAGCTTAACCGGTCAAAGCCCATTGCCACCCCCTTTCCAAAGTTCAATCCCCGAGACATGGAGATCTTCATTCTAGAAGCCGAAGCATGGTTTAAGTTCAACCAGGTGTATGAGCAGTCTAGGATGATCAATCACATGGGTGCTCAACTGGAAGGGACAGCAAGAGAGTGGTGGACCTCCAAGCTCCGCATTGATAGAGCTAGAGAAGGAAGGTTGTTCAATGATTGGCACTACTTCACAGAGCGACTGTCAGAGCAGTTCAACCCACGCAATGCTAGGATGGAGGCATACAACAAGCTGTTGGCTCTCAGACTCACAAGTGATGCTCCTGGTGCCGCCACACGTCATGTAGAGCGGTTCAGAGACTTGGAGGGACAGGTCAACCTAGATGACAACGAGCTAGTGATTGATCTCTTCAGAGGAAGTCTCACTCGCAGCATACAGGAGAAGTTTGAGAGGAATCCACCTGGGAAGAGATGGGAGTGGTATCGAGAGGTTGAGGAGATCGATCGACAGAGGATGCTACTACAGCAGTCCTCGGCTAGACACTCACTCCCAAATGCCATGTCACCTCCACTAAGAACTGGGTCTCGGCCAAATCAAAGTTCGATCCCCATCAGACAACCCACTCAACCTTATCCAGCTCGATCACCATCACAAGCAACTACACAAGCAACTATACAAAACCTAAACCGACCCCTTCCTCATCATCCCACCCAACCCTCGAAGCAAGGAAGCCCTGCTCCATCAGGTATCAACACCTGTCATGTATGCAAGGGTATCGGCCATTGGGCCAGAGACTGCCCCAGCAGGAGGGTAAACCCTCTTAGCTCTCGACCCATGGGACCAAAGGTTATGGTCACCACAGCAGACCCCTTCGAGGAGGCCACCGACTCAGGAGATGGCCCCACAGGCAGCACTGAGACGGGTGACCCCGAGGCCATGGACCTCAGCTCATACCAGCAACCCATGGACCCCGATCACGAGGAGGAGCACGATGATGATGACGACGAGGGAAACGTCAGTGGGGTGATGCACTGATGGCATGCATTGCTCTACAAACCTCCTCGCCATCACTCTGTATATATCAAGATTGTCAAGTATGTTTCTCTACCAGTGGAGGCAAAGCAGTACTGGAGCTCTCTGGAATGGTTCAAGACCATCCTGCTCGGATACTAGCTGATACCGGTGCTGGTTTGTCCATAGTCTCAGATTCTTTCATTAGTAAGTACCAAATACCCACAAAACCCATAAAAACAAGATCGATCCATGGTGTCACCGGGCACCAACTCTCCATCAATAGTTCTGCGAGCATGCAGGTATCTATTGGTACACACAATCTGGGTGTGGTCGAAGCTTCAGTGGCCGACACTGCGGACTATGACCTCATCCTGGGGTTCACTGAGCTACGGAGGCTCAAACCCACCATACAATGGGATACGGGCCAGCTGGAGTTCAAGACTCAGGAGCAGGACCGACCCCCTAGGAGACCCCCTGAAGCAGCAAGAGCAGGGGACCTAACCATGAGGAGACCAACCCTTCATGGTAACGAGTTTGTCTCAGCAGAGCGCATACTACGAGCAGCTCTGGAAGATGGACCCATAGGGTTCATGCTGTTAGAGGAGCCACCATCATCACTCCCGGCCTTTGGTTTTGTACCTACAGGCGCAGACAAAGGAGTCGAGATGGAGGTGGAGGTAGATAAGGTGGTGACGGCTGCAGACATACCAAAGCCATACCAACACCTGCGAGATGTGTTTGATGAGGTGGAAGCAGACAAGCTGCCCCATCATACCGAGCATGATCTCCACCTCGAGTTGATAGAAGGAGGTAAGCCACCTCAAGGGCCCCTATACCTTAAGGGACCCAAGGAGATGTCCGAGTTGAGGAGATACTTGGATGAGAACCTCGAGAAGGGGTTCATAAGACCATCGAAGAGCCCGGCACGATCACCAGTGCTCTTCGTACCAAAGAAGGATGGAGGTCTCAGACTCTGTGTGGACTACAGAGGTCTCAACGAGATCACTGTCAAGAACAGGGCACCATTGCCCCTCATCGAGGAGCAGCTGTTCTTACTCAGGAAGGCAAGGATCTATACCAAGCTAGACCTTAGAGCAGCATACAACCTCATCCGGATTGCTAAAGGAGATGAATGGAAGACAGCTTTTGGCACTCAGTTGGGACTCTATGAGTACCTAGTGATGCCCTTTGGCCTAGCCAATGCTCCGGCTCACTTCCAGTCATTCATCAATGACATCTTCCGAGACATCATTGGAGTATATGTAGTGGTATACTTAGATGACTTCCTGATCTTCAGTGACACTGAAGAGGTACATGTGAAGCATGTCACCGAGGTCCTCACTCGCTTAAGGAGCAACAGGCTCTTTGCTAAGCTGTCGAAGTGTGAGTTCCACACCAAGACAGTCGAGTTCCTGGGGTACATCATCAAGCCAACGGGCATAGAGATGGACCCAGAAAAGGTGCGCACTGTCAAGGAGTGGCCAATGCCAGAGTCAATCCATGACATCCAGAGGTTCCTGGGTTTTGCCAACTTCTATCGAAGGTTCATAGCCCACTTTGCTCGCATAGCCAAGCCCTTGACAGCACTGGTAAAGCCTATAGAACGGTTCAAGAAGTTCGAGCTACCAGAGGAGGCCCAACAGGCCTTCCACAAGCTCATCCAGGCCTTCACATCAGCAGGAGTGCTTCAGCACTTCGACTACCACCTTCCAACAAGGTTGGAGACTGATGCAAGTGACTTTGCTATAGCAGGAGTGCTCAAGCAGGAGCATGAAGGACGATGGCATCCAGTGGCCTTCTACTCTAGGAAGATGTCTTCTGCCGAGAAGAACTATGAGATCCATGATAAGGAGCTCCTAGCTGTGGTCACCTGCCTCACTCAGTGGCGACACATGCTAGCTGGACTACCGAACCAACTGGTCATCCTCACTGACCATGAAGCCCTCAAGTACTTCAAGTCACAGAGACGCATCACAGGTCGACAGGCTCGATGGGCCATACTACTAGCAGACTTCGACTTCATATTGCAGTATCGACCGGGAGACAAAGGTGGTGAACCCGATGCTCTCACCAGAAGGACAGACATGCAACCAGCTGGTGAAGAGCAGGATCACAATGTGAGGCAACTACTGCCCCCTCGAGTGTTCAAGGAGACAGCAGACCATGACTCGCTCCTAGTGGCCCCCATGATCTCGATGGAGTCCATAGCATCAAAAGGTCTCAAAGACCTGGTCAAGATCTTCCAGCCCTTAGACCAAGAGCTACAGGAGATACATAGGAAGAAGCCCTTCGAGGTCAGGGATGACCTATGGTACAGTGGAGGAAGGTTGGTTATCCCCAAAGTGATCATGCCAGGGAGGACCAACAACCGACACTCAAGGAGTGCCAAAGAGGTAGATGGACAGTCTCTCTCTGTAGAGCATCTGCGATTCATGGTGATGACCCAATGCCATGATGGTATCACTGCTGGACACGTAGGAAGAGATGCTACCATCAAGGCAGCTCAACGACATTACTGGTGGCCAAACATGACAGCTTGGATTGCAGACTATGTAGCAAGTTGTCCTGTATGTGCTAGGTACAAAGCTCCTCGTCATCGTCCATATGGTTTGCTACAGCCACTAACAACCCCAGACAGGCCCTGGGGCTCCATATCCCTCGACTTCATCGAAGGACTACCAACATCGAAGAAGTATGACTCCAAGACCTATGACTCTATCTTAGTCATTGTCGACAGGCTAACCAAGTTTGCCATACTAGCTCCAACCCATAAGACAGTCACGGCCAAACAGACTGCAGTATTGCTATACGGACACATGGTTAGACTCTTTGGATATCCAGATCACATGGTCTCGGACCGAGGCAGGCAGTTCATATCAGGAGCATGGAAGGCATTTGCAGAGCAAATGGGTGTGAAGCACTCACTTAGCACGGCTTACCATCCTCAAACTGATGGTCAGACAGAGAGAGTCAATCAGGTCATAGAGCAATATCTCAGGATGTACTGCAACTATGAGCAGAATGACTGGGCCAACCTGCTGGACACTGCGGCCTTTGTATACAACAACACGGTCCACAACAGCATTGGTGTCTCACCATTCTTTGCATGCTATGGATGGAACCCCAAAGCTCATCCTGACATCCCTCAACGACTAGGAGTCAATGATCCAGGTCGCTTCGAGTACCTCATGGATGGAAAGGAGCATTGCAAGTACCTCCAGGAGCAGATCAGAGAGGCACAACGTAGATCAGTAGACCAGTATAACAGGAAGCACAAGGACATTGAGTTTAAGGTGGGTGATATGGTCTATATCAACCGCCGAAACTGGAAGACACGGAGACCCACACCCAAGTTGGATACCCGGTTTGCAGGACCCTACCCAGTTCAGGAACGGGTAGGACGCCGAGCTTACCGAATCACATTGCCAGCAAACCTTAGGGTGCATGATGTGTTCCATGTCTCCATGCTCGAGCCAGCAAGAACAAGTTCTCTTCCTCAACGTGCTGAACAGCCCACCATGCCACCACTTCCAGATGAGGACCTCGACTTCGAAGTTGAAGCACTCATCGACAAGCGTTCACACAATGGGACTACAGAGTACAAGGTGTTGTGGAGAGGGTACTCAGAAGAAGCTGCTTCATGGGAACCAGTAGAGAACCTCAACTGTCCCGACCTCATCCAGGAGTATGAGGTGTCGGAGGGGGGACGAGTGAGTAGACAAAGTAGAGAAAGGAGGAGAGAACAGGAGGAGTAGAGAGAGGAGGATGACGTTGAGAGAAGGAGGAAGGATGACGGGGGCGATGTTGTCAAGGAAGAGGAGGAGTCAGCATGAACCAGACCAGAGCATGCCTCGACGGAGCTCGGCTCTTAAGAGGGGGGTAGTGTCATGGGCCTGGATGCTCAAGAAGCAGGAGGGTCACTGGTTCATATGGACGGAGCACAGGTATCGAAGACCTAGTCGATACCAGTAGAGAGCATGGTCGTAGTGCAGTCTCCATGGAGACCATGGACTCCTATGGATTCACATGCAAAGGAGCACTGAGCCCATATGCGAGGAGGACCAGGCACAGCCACGAGGAGGACCAAGCTCAAAGAGCAGGCGCAGCCACGAGGAGGACCAAGCTCAGATGGTTACCACTCAGGGGCTCGAGAGACAGGAAGTCGACACAGGTCATGAGGAGGAGGAGCAGTGTCGAAGGAGTCGACACAGGTCATGAGGAGGAGGAGCAGTGTCGAAGGAGTCGACACCACTCAAGAGGCACAGGGGTGCCAAGCAGGAGAGGCCCCTGAGCAGTACTCGATGAAGAAGGTACTCTCTGGAGAGAGAGCAGGAGCAGCATCGCTGGCAATGCTGTGAAGAGGTATATAACCATGCTTTCTCATCATCATAGGTCGAGTGGATCCCCATCCACTCTACTCACCATAACTAGTTATCACTTCAGCATAAGTATACATTAGTTTCAGTCAGCATAGCAGCAATCTATCAAGGTTGCTCCTCATCGTAGTGTGTGTGTTGTATCACCACTACCTGACGTCCGAAGGCGCCCATAGCAGGTTAGCGGTCCGGATATCGATAGAACCGAAGGCAGTAGTCCACTGCGGTCCGGGGATCACTTCAAGCATCAAGTCAACACACTGGACACTCGTGTTGACGCCACCAACCTTATCACCAACACCATCAACCTCATTATCATCGACATCACCAATCTCATCACCAACACCATCAACCTCATCATCATCAACACTCACACCAGACCTTGGTGTCATCATAACATTGATATTGATCGTGCCGAGCTACCCCTGAATGGAGTGTCCACAGAGGTCAGCCGAAACCTACGATAGTATATACAACAAACGCCACCTGCTGTCACTGCACAACTTGATAGTCACCGAGTATCTCGAGACAATAGCTGTCGCACAGTTTGATAGTCACCGAGTATCTCAACAGACCGACCTGGGTTTCAGGCGCGAGACCCCTGACATTAGAGTGGATCATTCAAGCAGCTCCTCACGATCACCATGACAGACCCAGACCTCAACAATAAGCTCGATAGACTACTCACTCTATTGGAAGCTCAGCTAGAGCTTACTAGGCAGGGTCATCGAGAGGAACGACTACAACGAGCTCAGCTGGGTAGGGAGGAGACAATGGACCTCTCTCACTCGGAAGACCAAGCAGGAGGAGGAGATGAGTCTATGATAGGAGACCCACATACTCCTACTCCGGCTCCACGACCAAGACGATCAGTCTCATTCAACCTGGATGAGCAGGAGGACATCAACTATGAGAAGTATGCTTCACCTACTGGGCCAAGATATGTCAAGACTAAGCTGGACCCCTACAGCAGGACTAGGACGGATCCTTACCCCCTGGACCACGAGGAGGATAACAGCATCATGGCAGAGCTTAACCGGTCAAAGCCCATTGCCACCCCCTTTCCAAAGTTCAATCCCCGAGACATGGAGATCTTCATTCTAGAAGCCGAAGCATGGTTTAAGTTCAACCAGGTGTATGAGCAGTCTAGGATGATCAATCACATGGGTGCTCAACTGGAAGGGACAGCAAGAGAGTGGTGGACCTCCAAGCTCCGCATTGATAGAGCTAGAGAAGGAAGGTTGTTCAATGATTGGCACTACTTCACAGAGCGACTGTCAGAGCAGTTCAACCCACGCAATGCTAGGATGGAGGCATACAACAAGCTGTTGGCTCTCAGACTCACAAGTGATGCTCCTGGTGCCGCCACACGTCATGTAGAGCGGTTCAGAGACTTGGAGGGACAGGTCAACCTAGATGACAACGAGCTAGTGATTGATCTCTTCAGAGGAAGTCTCACTCGCAGCATACAGGAGAAGTTTGAGAGGAATCCACCTGGGAAGAGATGGGAGTGGTATCGAGAGGTTGAGGAGATCGATCGACAGAGGATGCTACTACAGCAGTCCTCGGCTAGACACTCACTCCCAAATGCCATGTCACCTCCACTAAGAACTGGGTCTCGGCCAAATCAAAGTTCGATCCCCATCAGACAACCCACTCAACCTTATCCAGCTCGATCACCATCACAAGCAACTACACAAGCAACTATACAAAACCTAAACCGACCCCTTCCTCATCATCCCACCCAACCCTCGAAGCAAGGAAGCCCTGCTCCATCAGGTATCAACACCTGTCATGTATGCAAGGGTATCGGCCATTGGGCCAGAGACTGCCCCAGCAGGAGGGTAAACCCTCTTAGCTCTCGACCCATGGGACCAAAGGTTATGGTCACCACAGCAGACCCCTTCGAGGAGGCCACCGACTCAGGAGATGGCCCCACAGGCAGCACTGAGACGGGTGACCCCGAGGCCATGGACCTCAGCTCATACCAGCAACCCATGGACCCCGATCACGAGGAGGAGCACGATGATGATGACGACGAGGGAAACGTCAGTGGGGTGATGCACTGATGGCATGCATTGCTCTACAAACCTCCTCGCCATCACTCTGTATATATCAAGATTGTCAAGTATGTTTCTCTACCAGTGGAGGCAAAGCAGTACTGGAGCTCTCTGGAATGGTTCAAGACCATCCTGCTCGGATACTAGCTGATACCGGTGCTGGTTTGTCCATAGTCTCAGATTCTTTCATTAGTAAGTACCAAATACCCACAAAACCCATAAAAACAAGATCGATCCATGGTGTCACCGGGCACCAACTCTCCATCAATAGTTCTGCGAGCATGCAGGTATCTATTGGTACACACAATCTGGGTGTGGTCGAAGCTTCAGTGGCCGACACTGCGGACTATGACCTCATCCTGGGGTTCACTGAGCTACGGAGGCTCAAACCCACCATACAATGGGATACGGGCCAGCTGGAGTTCAAGACTCAGGAGCAGGACCGACCCCCTAGGAGACCCCCTGAAGCAGCAAGAGCAGGGGACCTAACCATGAGGAGACCAACCCTTCATGGTAACGAGTTTGTCTCAGCAGAGCGCATACTACGAGCAGCTCTGGAAGATGGACCCATAGGGTTCATGCTGTTAGAGGAGCCACCATCATCACTCCCGGCCTTTGGTTTTGTACCTACAGGCGCAGACAAAGGAGTCGAGATGGAGGTGGAGGTAGATAAGGTGGTGACGGCTGCAGACATACCAAAGCCATACCAACACCTGCGAGATGTGTTTGATGAGGTGGAAGCAGACAAGCTGCCCCATCATACCGAGCATGATCTCCACCTCGAGTTGATAGAAGGAGGTAAGCCACCTCAAGGGCCCCTATACCTTAAGGGACCCAAGGAGATGTCCGAGTTGAGGAGATACTTGGATGAGAACCTCGAGAAGGGGTTCATAAGACCATCGAAGAGCCCGGCACGATCACCAGTGCTCTTCGTACCAAAGAAGGATGGAGGTCTCAGACTCTGTGTGGACTACAGAGGTCTCAACGAGATCACTGTCAAGAACAGGGCACCATTGCCCCTCATCGAGGAGCAGCTGTTCTTACTCAGGAAGGCAAGGATCTATACCAAGCTAGACCTTAGAGCAGCATACAACCTCATCCGGATTGCTAAAGGAGATGAATGGAAGACAGCTTTTGGCACTCAGTTGGGACTCTATGAGTACCTAGTGATGCCCTTTGGCCTAGCCAATGCTCCGGCTCACTTCCAGTCATTCATCAATGACATCTTCCGAGACATCATTGGAGTATATGTAGTGGTATACTTAGATGACTTCCTGATCTTCAGTGACACTGAAGAGGTACATGTGAAGCATGTCACCGAGGTCCTCACTCGCTTAAGGAGCAACAGGCTCTTTGCTAAGCTGTCGAAGTGTGAGTTCCACACCAAGACAGTCGAGTTCCTGGGGTACATCATCAAGCCAACGGGCATAGAGATGGACCCAGAAAAGGTGCGCACTGTCAAGGAGTGGCCAATGCCAGAGTCAATCCATGACATCCAGAGGTTCCTGGGTTTTGCCAACTTCTATCGAAGGTTCATAGCCCACTTTGCTCGCATAGCCAAGCCCTTGACAGCACTGGTAAAGCCTATAGAACGGTTCAAGAAGTTCGAGCTACCAGAGGAGGCCCAACAGGCCTTCCACAAGCTCATCCAGGCCTTCACATCAGCAGGAGTGCTTCAGCACTTCGACTACCACCTTCCAACAAGGTTGGAGACTGATGCAAGTGACTTTGCTATAGCAGGAGTGCTCAAGCAGGAGCATGAAGGACGATGGCATCCAGTGGCCTTCTACTCTAGGAAGATGTCTTCTGCCGAGAAGAACTATGAGATCCATGATAAGGAGCTCCTAGCTGTGGTCACCTGCCTCACTCAGTGGCGACACATGCTAGCTGGACTACCGAACCAACTGGTCATCCTCACTGACCATGAAGCCCTCAAGTACTTCAAGTCACAGAGACGCATCACAGGTCGACAGGCTCGATGGGCCATACTACTAGCAGACTTCGACTTCATATTGCAGTATCGACCGGGAGACAAAGGTGGTGAACCCGATGCTCTCACCAGAAGGACAGACATGCAACCAGCTGGTGAAGAGCAGGATCACAATGTGAGGCAACTACTGCCCCCTCGAGTGTTCAAGGAGACAGCAGACCATGACTCGCTCCTAGTGGCCCCCATGATCTCGATGGAGTCCATAGCATCAAAAGGTCTCAAAGACCTGGTCAAGATCTTCCAGCCCTTAGACCAAGAGCTACAGGAGATACATAGGAAGAAGCCCTTCGAGGTCAGGGATGACCTATGGTACAGTGGAGGAAGGTTGGTTATCCCCAAAGTGATCATGCCAGGGAGGACCAACAACCGACACTCAAGGAGTGCCAAAGAGGTAGATGGACAGTCTCTCTCTGTAGAGCATCTGCGATTCATGGTGATGACCCAATGCCATGATGGTATCACTGCTGGACACGTAGGAAGAGATGCTACCATCAAGGCAGCTCAACGACATTACTGGTGGCCAAACATGACAGCTTGGATTGCAGACTATGTAGCAAGTTGTCCTGTATGTGCTAGGTACAAAGCTCCTCGTCATCGTCCATATGGTTTGCTACAGCCACTAACAACCCCAGACAGGCCCTGGGGCTCCATATCCCTCGACTTCATCGAAGGACTACCAACATCGAAGAAGTATGACTCCAAGACCTATGACTCTATCTTAGTCATTGTCGACAGGCTAACCAAGTTTGCCATACTAGCTCCAACCCATAAGACAGTCACGGCCAAACAGACTGCAGTATTGCTATACGGACACATGGTTAGACTCTTTGGATATCCAGATCACATGGTCTCGGACCGAGGCAGGCAGTTCATATCAGGAGCATGGAAGGCATTTGCAGAGCAAATGGGTGTGAAGCACTCACTTAGCACGGCTTACCATCCTCAAACTGATGGTCAGACAGAGAGAGTCAATCAGGTCATAGAGCAATATCTCAGGATGTACTGCAACTATGAGCAGAATGACTGGGCCAACCTGCTGGACACTGCGGCCTTTGTATACAACAACACGGTCCACAACAGCATTGGTGTCTCACCATTCTTTGCATGCTATGGATGGAACCCCAAAGCTCATCCTGACATCCCTCAACGACTAGGAGTCAATGATCCAGGTCGCTTCGAGTACCTCATGGATGGAAAGGAGCATTGCAAGTACCTCCAGGAGCAGATCAGAGAGGCACAACGTAGATCAGTAGACCAGTATAACAGGAAGCACAAGGACATTGAGTTTAAGGTGGGTGATATGGTCTATATCAACCGCCGAAACTGGAAGACACGGAGACCCACACCCAAGTTGGATACCCGGTTTGCAGGACCCTACCCAGTTCAGGAACGGGTAGGACGCCGAGCTTACCGAATCACATTGCCAGCAAACCTTAGGGTGCATGATGTGTTCCATGTCTCCATGCTCGAGCCAGCAAGAACAAGTTCTCTTCCTCAACGTGCTGAACAGCCCACCATGCCACCACTTCCAGATGAGGACCTCGACTTCGAAGTTGAAGCACTCATCGACAAGCGTTCACACAATGGGACTACAGAGTACAAGGTGTTGTGGAGAGGGTACTCAGAAGAAGCTGCTTCATGGGAACCAGTAGAGAACCTCAACTGTCCCGACCTCATCCAGGAGTATGAGGTGTCGGAGGGGGGACGAGTGAGTAGACAAAGTAGAGAAAGGAGGAGAGAACAGGAGGAGTAGAGAGAGGAGGATGACGTTGAGAGAAGGAGGAAGGATGACGGGGGCGATGTTGTCAAGGAAGAGGAGGAGTCAGCATGAACCAGACCAGAGCATGCCTCGACGGAGCTCGGCTCTTAAGAGGGGGGTAGTGTCATGGGCCTGGATGCTCAAGAAGCAGGAGGGTCACTGGTTCATATGGACGGAGCACAGGTATCGAAGACCTAGTCGATACCAGTAGAGAGCATGGTCGTAGTGCAGTCTCCATGGAGACCATGGACTCCTATGGATTCACATGCAAAGGAGCACTGAGCCCATATGCGAGGAGGACCAGGCACAGCCACGAGGAGGACCAAGCTCAAAGAGCAGGCGCAGCCACGAGGAGGACCAAGCTCAGATGGTTACCACTCAGGGGCTCGAGAGACAGGAAGTCGACACAGGTCATGAGGAGGAGGAGCAGTGTCGAAGGAGTCGACACAGGTCATGAGGAGGAGGAGCAGTGTCGAAGGAGTCGACACCACTCAAGAGGCACAGGGGTGCCAAGCAGGAGAGGCCCCTGAGCAGTACTCGATGAAGAAGGTACTCTCTGGAGAGAGAGCAGGAGCAGCATCGCTGGCAATGCTGTGAAGAGGTATATAACCATGCTTTCTCATCATCATAGGTCGAGTGGATCCCCATCCACTCTACTCACCATAACTAGTTATCACTTCAGCATAAGTATACATTAGTTTCAGTCAGCATAGCAGCAATCTATCAAGGTTGCTCCTCATCGTAGTGTGTGTGTTGTATCACCACTACCTGACGTCCGAAGGCGCCCATAGCAGGTTAGCGGTCCGGATATCGATAGAACCGAAGGCAGTAGTCCACTGCGGTCCGGGGATCACTTCAAGCATCAAGTCAACACACTGGACACTCGTGTTGACGCCACCAACCTTATCACCAACACCATCAACCTCATTATCATCGACATCACCAATCTCATCACCAACACCATCAACCTCATCATCATCAACACTCACACCAGACCTTGGTGTCATCATAACATTGATATTGATCGTGCCGAGCTACCCCTGAATGGAGTGTCCACAGAGGTCAGCCGAAACCTACGATAGTATATACAACAAACGCCACCTGCTGTCACTGCACAACTTGATAGTCACCGAGTATCTCGAGACAATAGCTGTCGCACAGTTTGATAGTCACCGAGTATCTCGACAGACCGACCTGGGTTTCAGGCGCGAGACCCCTGACAATCACTTCAAGCATCAAGTCAACACACTGGACACTCGTGTTGACATCACCAACTTTATCACCAACACCATCAACCTCATTACCATCAACCCTCACCAACCTTATCACTGACACCATCAACCTCATCATCATCAACACTCACACCAGACCTTGGTGTCATCATAACCTACATATTGATATTGATCATGCTGAGCTACCCCTGAATGGAGTTTCCACAGAGGTCAGCTGAAACCTATGATAGTATATACAACAAATGCCACCTGCTGTCATCATGCAACTTGATAGTCACTGAGCGACTAGCTCGTCAAGACTGATACTGAGACAATAGCTGTTGCACAGTTTGATAATCACTGAGTATCTCGACAGACCGACCTGGGTTTCAGGCGCGAGACCCCTGACAATTGGCACCAGCTCGACCTCTGTGAAGAAGGCCAAGACCGGTGCAGCATCCTATTCCTCCCGAGTGTTCATGAGTGGCAATACTATACATGCATTGGCACAACCTTTCAGTTGTACCTTCACCCTGCCTTCTTTCCAGTGAGCATGAGCTGCATTGTTGGGACAGCAATTGGCTGCATGGCCAAGCTCCCTGCATGCCCAGCAGTTGATAAGGGTGGTGGCTTGCAATGTGATGAGCTCAGATTCCTCTGCCATGTGATGACAACTTGTAGGTATGTTCTCAGCAGCCAGCTCATAGCACTGGCATAAGACATCAGAGATGCTCTCAGCAGTCTGCTCTTTACCATGAACCTTTTTGTGTAGAATGAACACTGAGTTAAATAAAGCATTCTGGTCTGAGGGAAGTGCTTGCTTGAGGGTCCTGTAGCAGTAATCTGGCTTCCAGGGGTCTTGTAGGTACATGTGCAGTTCTGATACATGAGCCTCCCATTTAATGAGGAAGTCATATGCATGGGTGCCCACTTGGTCCCAATGCAAGTCAAGTATCACTGCCTGAAGCTCATATTCTTTGGTGCTAGAATGAGCTTTACACTTATCCATTGCCCAATCAAAGAGATCCACAGTGATCAGTAGTGGCTTGTCACCATGCTCAGCAAAGTATTCAGTACACAGCTTTTTAGAGAAGCTCCACATGATGATTGAACTGAGTATTGAGTCAGCATCTTCAAATGTGGTAATTTTATGATCAAGGACATTCTGTGCAAAAGGGACAATGCATAGCATTGCGAAAATTTTGCATTGCCATGCATGTACAGAAGTCATCCTTGGAACAAGAAGGTCATTCTCATCCCATTGCATCTTTTCATTAAGGCTCGAAAGAGTCTTTAGGTGATGGTTTGTGATTGCATTAAGTTCAGGAGTGGGACCTGGTGTAGCATCACAACCAATCAGGTGATGGTTGGTGACATTTGGAGTGTATGGAACATTTGATTCAAAGATGGGAGTGTTGCTTCTAGCCGATGCTAGGGCTTTGCTCTTGACTGGGTGATTAAACTGTTCTGTATTCCAGATGGATTTGACTGAACCTTCGATCTTGAGGTCAAGTATGTGATTTGCATCCCAACCTTCATTGGCTAGGAAGAGAATCACTCTAGCTCACATTCCTCTACCAAGTTTGATTCTGCTAGCAAATGGGCTGAGACTGTGCATTGCCTTATAAAGGTTACTGGTACACTCAATCAGGATAGATAGTGGTGATATGATTTGCTCCCCATCACTTTCCTCCATGGCATACTTCAGTAGTAGACCATCCTTTGGGGCAGTAGGGTTACCATAGGTTTTGTTTGCAATTTCCTGATTGAACTGGTTTTGGAGGATCTTTGGCAAGCATGGCAGAAGGTCCTGTATGACTTTGACAAAGTTGTCATAGTTTGAATAGTTTAGATTAGACATATCAGTGTCAATACCTCTTGTTGATATCAGATTTTGGTAGTGTATTGGCTATTTTGGGCTCATAACCTGTTAGAAACTTGAGTCATTTCAGTCCCAATACTGGTGATCAGGGAGAGTCTAAGTACAATGTCACTGCTAGTTTATAGACAGAACAAAATATACTCAATTGACTAAAGGAATGTAGCAAGAGCCTAGTGCTCTCTATGCAATATATATACAATTGAGCAGCACATGCCACAAGTGGGAGTATACCAGTTTCATGATTTACCATGACAACAAGTGGGACTTGGTTGTACCCAATCCTTAACAGGATCAGTTACCCCCAATCTCTGATCCCATCGTCTTTGCGTCGCTCCTTAGCTTCGCTGTTGGGTCGTTTATTCCAACAATAACACGTCGGATCTGCGAATCTGCCGAAAATTTAGTCCGTGGGGTCGGGGTTTGAAACATAGCCGGCTGCCTGCAACCGGCTGTCAGCGTCTGCCGATCTGTGAATTGGCGGTGTTGGACATTTGCTGGAAAGTCACAGCGCCATTGACGACTTGCAGGAAGGTTCCACCCTCGAACCAACGCTTCTGGAATTCTGCTCGCTTCGATTCTGACAGGCCATGATAGGCGTTTGTCAGAGTTGCGACAAGGAGTGCCGCATGTTCGCTGAAGAAACCGTCGAGGGACAGTTGAGGTCGATGATCCTTGCTGAGGCCAAGTACGATCGCATCATGTCTCCGACGTGACAGTATGTGGATCGCCAAGTCACGCCAAAGAAGAAGTCGTGCTCGGGCAGCTGACGGCATTCGCAATGTCGGCCACCCGAGAACTATGCTTTCGGCATCGAGTGGTACAGCTCGAGGTGCCAAAAATCGCTTGAGCGTGCCCATGATTTGTTTCCATACACCTTTTTGCACCTCTGGGCATTCGATAAATCCATGCCTCGCAGAGTCCTTCGGTCCGTTGCAGAGCATGCATGCCGCAACGCCAAAGACATGCTCGGTTTCGTAAGAGTCGTTGACTGGTTCGAGTTCCGCCTCCACTTGTGGGTTGTCACGATCTTGATGAAGGCGAAGTCTTGGGGCGAATTCGTCTTCGTTAAGCGTATCGTAATTCGCCAAACGCCGTTCGCCGCGGGGCTTTTGAGCTAGCCACGGTCGGCGATGCAGGAAGAGAAAGATGTCCGATTGTGCTTGCGAGGTTAGGAGAGAATCTTGTGTGTGCCACTGCCAGACTTGTTTCCACTGATCGGTCGATCCAAGATCCCAGTCAGGAACAATAACGCTGCTGGGGGCAAGGAACGTGCGTGCGTGCCGGACAGTGTACTCTTTGAGCGGCTTTCCAGCGAGAGTTGCGATGTGCCAAGGAAAGGGCAGGCCTACCGTATCAATGTCGAACGGCTGGTCGTGCGGCATGGGGTTCTTGATGCTCTTGGACTTGTCTGGATGTTTCCTGAACCACTTCGTTATGTCCAATAACTTCTTTCTGACCGTGGGATGCAGAACCCGCCACATATCGATCCAATGTTTCTTGACCAATCGACCCGCAGCACCGCTGAAGAGCTCGTACGTATCTGGATGGCCTCTTGACGGCACGTAGTTGCTTTTCACCCCCGACGGGGAGGGCGGTACAAGTGGGTAGGAATCTGCGCAGGAGTACGGATGCATTTCCTTACCCTTCTCGTTGTGATTGTACCAGAGCACATCGCCCCAGACTCGGAGGCCGTGTCGTTCCCAGTGTTGGGTGTTGGTCTCGTGAATCTCGGGCCAGGTGTAGCCGAAGAGGTCGCTGTGGAAAGGCAGGGATAATATCTCTTTGACAGAGACATTGTCCCAATCGGGCAGAATCGAGAGGCGGAGCTGGGCCAAAGCATAGACGACCCTGTTCAGGAAAGATCGCTGTGCCAGAAGGACATTGTTCATTGCCAACCAAGGCAAACCACGCCGAAGAAGGAAGTGCGCTGGTATGGCTTTGTACTCGGTCCAGAGACGCTGCTGAAGGGCTGCACGGAACTGATGGCCAAGAGGCTCTGTCGACTGCAAGAGGTTGGCGGCTATTTGGCCGATCAACGCAATGAACATGTGCGTCGTATCGATCACGCCAAGGCCTCCGAGGTGTCTTGGGGCGACAACATACTTGTGTAGAATCCAGTTGCGGCGGCTGAGGAACAAGAAAGGGTTGATGATGGAGTTGATTCGCCGTTGCAAGGTGTGTGCAACAGGACATAAGCGAATCGAGTGCCATAGCTTGGACAGCAGGAATGAGTTGACAATTCGAGCCCGTGCAAGCAGCGTCGTTTTTGTGGACGCGAGGATGTTGACTTTCGCCTGGATTGAGTTGAGACGCTGATCGATCGTGTTCTGCGGGATGCCTCCATCCAATCGGAAGGGGTAGCCAAGGTGGACCACCTCGGCTTGTGGATCCCCCAGGAACGGATACGGAATGTCTTGAGGCTGAAGATCGTTACCATCGTTCGCTCCCCGCACGAAAAAGAAAGCTTGCGACTTCTCTTCGTTCACCTTCGCATTACTGGCCATCTCATATAGGTCGAGAGCATCCATGAACTTGGCCAGGTCGCGCTTGTTGTTGACAACTAGGAGGATGTCGTCCGCAAAGGCTAGGGAAGACACAAACATTTGGTGGTCTGGGTCCCAGTCTAGCAACGTGCCAGCATGGTGTCGGTGCTGTGCATAGTCGAGCATTGGCTGCAGCATGAAGTTGTAGAGCAGGCAGGACATAGGATCGCCTTGAAGGATGCCGCACTGCAAAGGAATCGGTGGAGTGAAATGTCCTTCCGCTGACTGACAGACTGTGGGGTGGCGGTAGTTCTCTCGAATGTAGGTGATGAAACGAGAACCAAAACCATATGCCAAGAGGCAGTCCAGGAGCCATTCGCGGCGAACTCGATTATACGCCTTTTGCTGGTCAAGATTGAGGATCCAGATCGGATCGACATGTCTTCCAGAGGCGACAGCGTAGTGCAGCAGGTAAAGTGTCACAACATTCGAGGCTGAATGACGCCCAAGAATGAAGCCTGTCTGCGTGCTAGCGATGACCTCTTGCGCCGCTGCCTGGAGTCGCGATGAGACGACGCCTCCAAGGATGCGGAAGGCAACAGCGGCAATGGAGAGAGGTCGGTAGTTTTTGAGTTGACTGAGATCGCCTTTCTTTGGAAGCATTACCCCACGCAGGTTTGGCTCGCCGTCTGGTAGAGAATGTCCGCGAAGGAGGGCGTTACCCATAGCACAGAGCCTTTCCAGAGCAGGTTCGCCCAGAGTTCGAAGAAGTGGGTATGTTACGCCATCCATACCAGGAGCAGAATCGTCGACAGAGCGTTTTAGGACGGCTTGTAGCTCTGCCACCGTGAAGGGAGAGTCGCACTTGTGCCTTGTCGCAGAAGAGATCTTTCGACGGACGGAGGACAAAAGGACTGAGGAAGCTTCTTCGCTTGTCTGATTAGCCGATGTCGGAGTGAACAATGTCGTGTAAAACCGACGGATGGCGTCGAGCTTTGCCGCGAGACTTTCATGAGTTCCTTCGCAATCCTTGAGAGCCGGAAGGCTCGCAAAGGCTCTACTCTCCAACTTTGGGATGATCCATGCTGTGGGCACAAACATGTTGAGTTCGTGCAAAGCTCTTCGTTTCTTGACCGTGTCCGCTGCCTCGGTGCGATCTATCAATCGCAGCATCGTCAAGAGCTCTAAGAAGCGACGTCGGTTCTCATCACCATGACGAATATCGATCTGGGACAGCTTGCTGGAGATCTCGTTGCGTTTGCGTGCGCGCTTTTGGGATTGCTGGCGTTGGGAGTTTGCGATGTTTGCCGTTGTTGCTCGGATGCGTTCGACAAAGCTGTACCATGCCTGGATCGGTGGCTGACTCGTAGCTTGCGGGAGTTGCTGCACATATTGGGACAGACGAAGTTCGAAACTGGGCTGTAGGTGGGCTTCCCGATGGAGTCTCCAAATACCAGGACCGAGTTCGGTCCTTTGCTTGCTGCTTTGACGACTGAGCGTAACAACACTGTGGTCTGAAGTAGATGGACTCGTCTGAACGGACTGCGAATATGGGACCAGGCTGTGCGAGGTCCAAATGCTATCAATGCGGCGTGCAGAAACGAGTTGACCGTGGGTGACTTGATGGCGAGTGTAGGCCACGCCGTTTGGGTGTAGAGTCCGGAACGAATCGACAAGGCCGGCTTGAGCGAGTTGTCCCAGAGGCATGAGTCTGCTGTAGGAACGAGTGGGGGGGAAATCATCGATCATGGGGCTGGGTACAGCATTCCAATCTGCACCGATAATCGCCGCTGAGTGCTCACCAGGAGCCGCTGCATCGAGAATGGAGATGTTGGGTACATCTCGACTCCAGAACTCCAACCTAGCATCGTGGATTGGCGGAGCATGAATGCTCCAAATGTGCAAAAGTCGAATGTTGGTCCCAATCGCTGGTTCGTCCACTGGGATGCGAATCTTGGCGTAGGCGAAATAGTCGCCGATCTTGCTGTCTTCCACTTGCCATTTGGTGTTGCGAAATATGATACCACAGTCTCTGCCGAGAATTGCACGGTGAGCTCATGTGGCAAAAGGGTGGTGAAGTCGAGAGAGGGGGTTCTGGGTAGGGAGACTTGCGGGGCTGGCGAGTCTCATCTCCTGGATGAGGACTACGTCGGCTTTACCTGTTGGTGTCGAAGGGTTGTGCAGCGCTGCAATTCGATCCTGCGAATTCAGGGTGGCACAGTTCCAAGTCGATACCGTGAGGGAGGAAGACTGAAGAGTCGTCTTAATCGCTGTAGGTGAGGTCGAGAGCTCCAGCAGCTTCCTCGCGAGCCTGCTGATACACGGCCGCTTGATCGCCTTCGTCAGAATCCTGCTGAATTGCCGTGCAGTTGGCCGAAAGATGTCCAAAGCGTTTGCACTTGTTGCATTGTCTTTTGGGGCATGTTTCGAAGGTGTGGAAGTACTCGGCCTTGGACTTGCAGGTGGTACACCAGTCAAGGCGCCCAGCGAAGGCCAGAGGCAGGTCATCGTCGCGAATCTTGATGTACCCTGGGATGGCGGCGAGAATGGATGGGTCGATGCAGTTGTCTGCGTCTTTCGGAACCGAGACAAGGGCCAAGTAGATGTTTTCGTCTTGAGGTGCTTTACCGTCTGCTGCATAAGATACCTGATGAACCCAGATATCGTGTAGCTGCACATACTGTCGGAGAGCTGCCCAGATAAGCCGTGCTGTACCGGTCCAGGTGGCGGTGTAGGGCAGATTCTGAATTTCGATGACAAAGTAGTTGAAGTCAAGGGCGGGGCCAACGAAGAGTCGCTGCAGTTTGGCCTGGCGGAAGACGAGGATGGCTTCACTGGCAGCGGCGAGGTGCGGCTGCAGAACGGTGATGTCAACCATCCTGTTGCGACCTGTTCCTTTCGGAAAGTTGACCATGCAATTGGCGTCTTTGAACTTCCGAGCATGGAGAAAGTCGCACATCTGCTTGCGGAGGGATCCAAGGACGGGTCCTTCATCGCGGTTTGGAAAGAACTTGCCAGTGAACTGCCATCGAATGGTGCAAGGAGGGAGTTTGGCGCGGTCGGTCTTGGGCAGAGGAAGATCCTCGAAGGGCACCAAGGGCGGAGAGCGGCGGGCAGACCATACATGTCGGCCAGTGTAGATTGGGACAAAGGCGTCAAGGTCTGGTTCGGGCAGGAGTTCTTCATCCTCGATAGGATTAGACTCGGCCTCCATGTCCGATGGCTTGTCAACAGGTGGGGAGGCTTGATCCCCTCCATCTCCCTGGGCCTGAGACGCCTGGGGCTGAGACGTGGGAATGATCGTGGTGAGCGGGCGGCGGTTGGAACGATCGGCTGGCATTGGACGTCAATCGCTGGGGTGAAGTTTGCAGATGGTAGAGAGATTTGGGGGTGAGGCTTGACGAGTTGGAATGGAGTCACAATGGGCTCCTTATAGTCCAAAACGTACGGTTTGTTGGAGGTCCGCCTGACCTCGTATCTGTTGGAGGTCCGCATGACCTCGTATCGACGGCGTCGACGATGGCGCCGAACATCGGACCCCCGGTGTAAGTCACAGTCGTCCCCGTGACCAACGGGACGGCCGACGGCGTTTTCCCACGCCCGATAAGGGTTGTCGGAAAAACTGTCGGATGGTCCCCGACGATCAGATCGATGCATCTGACGGGACTCTCCTCGAGGGCTTTGATGCCCTCCATGCTCCAGGCCTCTCTCTTCTTCCTGTCCGTATCGAAGCATGTATATATAGTGTCCAAGGTCGGTTAGTTCTTGCTGAAATGAATAACGATCTTCCTGTTGTCCGAACCTAAAACCAGCTTGTCCAAACCATAGCTACGCAAGGCGACTCCACTCTCAACACGGTTCACTTTGAGGGACTGCGTGCGGCGGCGGAGGGTTATTGGGGAGGTGCCCAATACGTATTTGGAGGGGCCCGAGTGTCGTCAAGCAAATGAGGCCAGCGACCAGCATAAGGCGACACAAGAGCCTGAAACAGGCAGAAAACCTGAACCCACCAGGATCAAATTTTTTGCAGAGGTCTTGCCAGCGTGTCGCAAGAGCGGTCCGAGCTCCGAGATAGGGCTCGTCGCGATCAGGATGCATCGAGGAACTGGAGGCACCGCTGAAAAGGTCCTCTAAGGAAAGGTGTCGATTTTGTTGTCCAAAGGGGCCAGGAGGACCGCGAGAGGACGGCCAGGCATACCAGAGAGGCATGACTGCGAAAGTGTTCGTGTGTATGTTCAAATTTCAGAGTTGAGTGGACGAGTTGCGTCCCGACCTTGTGAGAGTCTGCCGAAAGTAGGTCGGGCCGTACAAAAGGGGTGTACGGTGTCTGTTTTCGGTCGTTGTTGTGATGACGGCTTGCGCTGAGTGACGAGCTATCGATTGCGATCGGAGTCGGTGTATGTTGTGTTTGCTGCCATCAACTTTAGCTTTGGCGTTGTCTGACAGCCGACGCTGACACCATATCGGAAAAAAAATGATTTTGACCATTACTCGGCCATTTTCTGATGGATCTTGTTCGAAAAAGGTGGAGGGCTTTGCCCTCGTGTTTCCGCGTTCGCTGGTCTAGAGTAAAAGGTTCAAAAAGGTCATTTGTCGTCAAAAAAAGACGTCGGCGGGACTCGAACCCGCAGCCTTAGAGTTGATTTGCCTTTAATGAATTTGGCCATTCATTAACACTATCTTAGAAGCTCTATGCGCTAGCCATTGCGCCACGACGCCATGTCATTCTTCTGCAAGTAACGTTGCATATATATTGCTATTGAAATATCTCCAGCTTTTTTAACATCCTCATCGCCATCTGATCACATTTGTTCTCCTCACAAGGCTGGCTGCACAGACTCGCCCAGCTGGACAGAGAGCAACGACACTGAATTTCGTATAGAACTGTCACGAATAGGGAGATATGGCGAGGCCAAAAAAGTGTGAGGAGAGCGTGCATCAGCTGCGGCCAAACCAACCACCGAGCCAGCCCTTTTTCTTGGCGGCAGCTTCTGCCTCAAGTCGTGCCTCCTCCTCTTCAGCGAGTGCATTACCTGGATCGTAAGCCAAGGAGACGTCGCCTGCTCCGTCTTCTTCTTCGTCTTCCTCCTCTTCATCTTCGAGATGTTCGACCTCGTCCTCCACGTCGGCTTGCTTCTCTTGAACAGCTGGCTTTGAGGCGGCGGGCTGAGCTTTGGGGGCCTCTTTGACGGGCTTAGCCGCAGGCACCGCAGCCGATTTAGCCTTGGCAGCCCTGTGCTGAGGCTTGGAGACAGGGTTGAGCGCAGCCTGCTGTTGTTGCTCGTACTCGACCTTGACATCCTCAGGCACACGCTGAGCTTCCTGAAGCGAGACAGGATCAAAGTCGATATACTTTCGTGCAATGTCCTGCAAAGCTTGGCCAGCGCGGGAGTCGGACATACCTGCCTTGCCCTTTGCCTGAGACTTGCCTTTGCTGGAACCACGCTGGTGATGCTGTTGAGTCTCGAGGAGCAACTTCTGAACGTCTCGCTTCAGACTAGCAAGGGCCTCGTCCGAGTGGTCAAACACAGCATCAGAGCCGCTGCTCGACTTGAGACGGGGCGGGAAGTCGGCATCCTCTTCGTCAACGTCTTCAGCGAGCTCGGCAGCCTGTCGAGCCTGTCGAATGTAGAGCTGGGCTCGAGAAAGGAGAAGAATGGCTTTGGCGTGGGCGCCTGAAAGCGAGAATGCGCGAGCGAGGTGACGCAGGATCTCGCTGCGGAACCAAGCTGCCTTGGCCTCGACAAGGCTCGAAACGTCGGGCTCCGATTCGATGAGCGCAATCGAGCCCATGGCGACCAGACTTGTCTCCGCAGCGTCGAGTAGCCTGGCGAGCGACGGAACAGCTCGAGCGCCGCGACGCTTCGACTTCTGTGCAGCGATAGCACGAGCTCGGTTCTCTCGAGCCAAACCTTGACGGGTTCGAAGCTTCCTGGTACCGCTTCTGGCAGGCTTGCGAGCATGCGAGCGGGCGTTTGAGCCAGAATTTTTGGCGCGTGATCCGGACGACTTCTTACGAGAAGCGGCTTTCTTGGCCACAATCGCTTCGTCGAGCTTCTGTTGCTTGCCCTTGCTACGTTTGCCTCGCTTCTGAGCAGCAGAGCCAGAAGCGATCTTGCCCTTGAGACGAGCTTCGACGCCGGACATGGCACGCTTTTCACGCTTCTCAGCTCGCTGCTCGACCTCGGCGACGAGACGCAAGTTACGCCAGACACGGAGAGCCAGTAGGCGGTAGAAGATAAAGTCGTGAGCAGTCTGAAGATCTTTGCTGGCGGTTTCGTACCTGGCCGAGTGGCTCTTGGAGAGCGCCTCGGCGTTGTCCTCGACGAGCTTGCGTGCGACATCCTCGGCATCGGTGAAGGCGCTAAGGGCTCGGTCGAAGGGATCGAGTTCGGTGCGTCCGGCTTTTCCAAGTCGCACGGTCGACGTGGAAGCGTTGCGGGCACCGTCGGCGGATGACTCTCCCTGGGCGATCTCGCGCTTCTTCGCCTTGCGCTGAGCATGCGACAGTCGAACACGCTTGCCGTCCTTCTGCTCTGCAGCAGCCTTCTTGTTGTTCTTGCGGCTGGTCGAAGCGCCTGTGTTGGCATCTCGGTCGCCCACAGCCTCGACCATGACTGATTCTCGAAGGGCAGCCTCTTCGGACTGAGCGGCCACGATGGTGTCGAGCAGCTCAGGGTTACGCACAGGAATTTGGTGTCCGTGCCAGCTGAGGGAGAGTGTCTGCTTCTGACCAGAGCCAGCCTTGGCCTTGGCGGCTGTCAGCTCTTCGATGAGCTCCGTATACTCGGGCATAATCTTACTGCAAAGCTCGGGTGTGGCGGTAGAAGAAGCAATCTTGTCCATGTCCTGCTCCGAGTTGCCGAGCTGGTAGGCAGAGTAGCGCATCTGAGCCTCGCCAGCATCAACGAAGCTGTTGGCGAGCGCCTCAGCACGGCTCGCGGGGCTGTTAGTGGCGATAGCATTGAGCAAGTTGCGGCCCACGGAAAGCATCTGAAGGGCCTTGTCCCACTGTGAACGATCGAAAGCGGCGGTGGCCTTGATGTTGAGCAGGTAAGCAGCTGTCTCAGCGCGAGAGTAGACATCAAAACGTTTGGACAGAGCTTGAACGAGCTGTTGCAGGGAGCTGGACCACTGTTCGGCACGTCGCAGCCTAGAGATGCCACGCTTGCGGAGCTGAGGGTTGGACTCATCGTCAAAGGCTTCCGATCGAAGCTCCTGCGAGTAAGCCCAGGCTCTTTCGGCTTCGAAAAGGAGAAGTTGAGCGGGTCGTGCATCATTGGCCTGAGCTACGTTGAGCTTCTTGGCAGTGAAGATGTTGCCCTGACCTTTGGCGTTGGCGCTCTGAGCAGCTGCCTGTTGGGCCTTCTTAGGCTTCTTGCCACGAGCTGCCTTTGCGGTCTTGGACTTCTTCGCTTCCTTCTTGTGCAAGCCGTCGGAGTGAGTCAGAGAAAGAAGTTCGCGGAGTCGATGTGTCTTGGAGGCGCAGTATCGTCGGTAACGAGCAAAGTCTTGCTGTCGCATTCCGTGTTCGTTGCGAGCCTCGCTGATGAGCTGAAGCAGAGGAAAGGCGATGAGGTCTCCCCCTGCCTGAGACGCTTGGTCTCGGTTGGACAGATTGATCTCCATGGTGATGCTATGGACCGTCTGATCAACGGAGAGGTGATACGTTAAACAATATTTGGTAGTGATAGAGGTGAAGACGTGAGATGGAGCTTGACAGTATCGATGTTCGTCTTTGGTGTGATGCTCGCCTGACCTTCCACCAATTTCGGAGCCGATCCGTGCCATGTTAGACCTCGCCTTGAAATTTTGGCGTTGGTTCTGACGGCGTAACACCATTTCACCACTCGCCGAGTCTTGGCTCTCCGCAGTGGTATCACGGTTTGCTGTCGGACAGTGGCAAGGTCAGCATGCGCCTCATGCTTACTATATCGTGGGGTCTGGCGGTCCATGTTGTGCTCGCTAGGGAGCAAGCTTTCAGGCCGAAGCTGCCGGTTTTGATGCTCTATCGGCCGTATGAGACTAATCGACTTTCGAGTCCCCGCAACGGTTAGGGAGAAGCATAATCCACCCGAGGCTGGTAGAAAGGCGTCGTTGGTGTGCGGGATAACTTAGTCAGGGTCGCAAGCAGCATGAGCGGACGGCGAATTCTTCAGTAGTGACACGTTCTCATTTCTTCTCAGCACGGGCCAAGAAAGCACATTTAGACAGCCGAGCGAACGTGGGGGTCCTAAAAAGCTGCAAGACGAAAGCCTCCTTGTCACACTCTGCAACCGGTCCTGCCTCTCGAGTATCCGCCGAGTTCGAGCTTCCACTTTAGCAGCCTATCCGGCCTTCCACTGTCCTGTTTCTTGTTCTGAATAGCTGTGTGGCTTGCGTTAGCGTCGCATGTTTTCTTGAAAAGAAAGAGTTAGAAGAGAGCCCGCAACGACAGCGAGTAAGAGCACTTTGAAAGGGCTGACCGGGAAGGACAGGCTCCTTGAACAAGAAGAGTAGCCTTGTCTGCATGATTGTGACAGACAGCAGCTTGTGCAGCCGGTACGTCCATCTTTGCCGACCATGCTTTGCTTGAACTTAGATTCTGCTGCACGTTCTCAGCTCTTGCATGTCGTCTGCTTGCTTTACGCTGCCTCCACCGAGCTTGGTATCCAGCAGCCACATCTAGAGAAAGCTTTGAGTTATTTCAGCCGCTCGAAGCTCTGTGTCGCTTGCGGCTCTTAGACGGAAGAATTCTCGAGTCTTTTCAGACTGAGGGAACGACTTTTGTGATTCCTGAGAGCCTTTCCGTTCTGTTTCCACTGCGTTTGTCCGTTTCGGCTAACGATCCGCCAGCTGTGCGGTTCATCTTTCGCCTTTGTTGGGGCTGGCTAGCGTAGCATTCACACTTTCTCAAGACATACTCACATTTCATCTACTGAGCTTGTTAAAAATCAGAGAATCGCTGGAGCTGTATAAGGTGTGCGCTCTGCCGTCTTGGTCGAAGGCAACACGACGTCGACTCTCAGAACCTTGTCCAGGGCTGACAGAAGGAGAATCGTGAATCAAGCAACAATGTTTCATGTTGCTTCGGCTGGCTTGTGCGTGCAACTTGACTGCGAAGACTGTTTCGTTCTCTGTCTGAGAGACAGCTGCGTCAAACGAGTCCACCTCATGCAGAGTGAAAGTGTCAAACGTTCACAACTGTCTGCGGGAAGACTGCATCCTAGCCCTAACCTGACTGCTGCTTTGCGTGTGTTGCTTTGCAAGCTTCTGTCCAGCGCAGCTCACAGGACCGCCGAGTTCTGTCCCAGGAGGTGTTTCGTCCCGGAACGTTCACAGAGTGCACTGCGAGTCAATACATCCCCACTGACGGACCAAGTCGTGCGTTCGGGCCTGCGTGTGCTATACGGTCCTTGTACAAAGGTGCACACGTAGCGTAACGATGGTGCTCCTCTTAAGAAGGACGTCCAGAAGGTGTCGCTCTTCTGACTTTGATGACCACCATCACCTTCACCGTGTTTGTCCCCTTCCCTGGGCCGTGTTCAACCCAACTTGTCTCCGTCACAGCTCAACGCTGCGATTCCTCCATCCCTCTTCACCCCGCTCGAGCTGCGCTTCGCTTCCCAGCCTGTTCGGAATTGTACCAATCCCTGCTCTCCGCTACGCTTCCACTGTAGCTGAAGCTTGGGTAGTAGTGCAAAGACTCCGTCACGGAATTAGTCACACTCCTTTCTCGTCTATCAGTTCTTTCACCCTCTGCACAGCCCCTCAACGACAATTTTGACAAGATGTCCAGTTTCGCCGAATCGAAACTAGCTGCCACGCCTCTGGCGCAGCTATACTCTTACGTTCCCAGCTCTATTGTCAACCTGACCGTTATGATGACCGTCTTCATGACTCTTGTTGGTCTCGCGGCTGCCGTCAGTCAGAAGGTGCGCGACGTTTTCGTCTTCAGCTACACTTGCTTCCTCCAACCTCTTGGCAAGACCAGCACCCAGGCCGAGCGCCTCGATCGCTTCTACCAAAACCAAGCAACAGGTGAGTTCTACCCTATCCGTGCTCTGCGTTTGAGACCGCGGCGTGTAAGGATTTGAGGATTGCAGCTTGACTGACCTCAACGGCTTCTGTCCCTATGTTTTTTAGTCTACGACTCAACACGCTGCGGCCTTCTCAAGGGTCGCACCACCATGCTCAAGCTCTGTGCAGCACAGCTCCGGGACATGCAGGCCTCCAATCCCGGCAAACCACTTGTTTGGGTCGACATTGGAGGTGGAACTGGCTGGAACATCGAGCAAATGAACAAGTTCTTCCCAATCAAAGAGCTTTCGCAAGTTTATCTCATCGACCTTTGTGAGCCCCTGCTCCAAGTTGCACGCAAGCGCTTCGCCGCCAAGGGCTTCAAGAACGTTCAGGTCCTTTGTCAAGATGCTAGTCAGTTCGCCATGCCTGGTCTCGCTTCCCGCCAGAAAGTGGACCTCTTCACCTGCAGCTACTCGATCTCCATGATTCCGCCTTTCTACGCCGTGCTTGACCGCATCAACGACTTTCTCGACCCTGTCACTGGTGTCTTCGGTGTCGTCGACTTTTATGTCTCCGGCAAGAACGTTCCCACCGAGAAGAGTCCCCTCTTTGGCGGTGACACCCGACGCCAATGCGGTTGGCTCAGCCGTTGGTTCTGGAGCATGTGGTTCTCTCTTGATCACATCGAGCTTCACCCTGCTCGCCGAGACTATCTCGAGCACAAGTTTGGTACGGTCAAGTGCTACAACGGCCGCAACAACTTTATCATTCCCTTCATCGTGCGCATTCCCTACTACATCTGGCTCGGTGTCTCGCGTGAACGCGACACTAACAGGGCGATCCAGGCTTTCGAGGTCGAGTCAGGCAACCGCATTGTCGTACCTCCTTCCTTTCCCGAGCTCGCCTACACGCACGGCGATGACTCTACCGCAAACAACGCCAGCGCTACCAGCACTGGACACGATGCCATCGACCAGTTCGACACGACTCGGAGTCTTCTCCGACGCAGAGTCTCGGAGGCGACTACCGAAAGCGATGCCGACTCTGACAGCCCCCTCAAGCTCGAGCTCGGACCTCACTTCCCTTTGAGCTCTTTCCACTACCAAAAGCGACAGTGGCGTCTCCCCTACGTCGACAACGAGTTCAGCGACATGTTCCGCACCTGGATATATGGTTTCACCTGGGAGGACCCCTACGTTGATATGCAGCACCTTGACCTTGGAAGAGACGACTCGATCCTTTGTATCACATCGGCTGGAGACAACACATTGCACTACGCAGTTGCAGGAAAGCCCCGCAGGATTCATGCCGTCGACATGAACCCTTGCCAGGGCCACCTTCTTGAACTAAAGCTTGCTTGCATTACATCATTGTCGTACGACGAGATGTGGCAGATGTTCGGCGAAGGCCGCATCGACAACTTTCGTGAGCTCCTCGACAGCAAGGTCTCGCCTTACCTCTCCTCGCATGCCTACCAGTTCTGGAGGCTCAACACTCGCGCCTTTGACAAGGCCTTCTACTTCCGTGGCTACTCTGGTCACGCCTTGAGACTGGCAAAGTTCGCTTTCACAGTCACTGGCGTTCGTCGATGGGTCGAGAAAATGTGTCAGGCCAACTCAGTCGAAGAGCAACAGGACGTCTGGAACAAGAAGCTCCGCTCTACCCTCATCAACAAGCCGCTCATCCGGCTGTTCCTCTCCAATCCTGCCTTTTTGTGGAATGCGCTTGGTGTTCCCATGAACCAATACCAAATCTTCTTGAACGAGGGTGTCTCAGCAGAGCAATTCGCCATCGACACTCTTGACTCGATCTCAAGTCGCAGCTTGATCAAGAACGATAACTACCACTATCAGCTTTGCCTCATGCAAAAGTACACCAAGCAGAGCTGTCCGCTCTACCTCAAGCCAGATGGCTTCTCCGCGCTCAAGAAGCAGGCTCTAGAGGAAGGTCTCGACTCTTTCCGTCTCCACACAGATTCCATTGTCAACGTCCTCCGTGGATTCGAGGACGGCGCGCTCACACGAGCTATCACCATGGACCACATGGACTGGTTCGACCCTGTCCCAGCTGAACAACTGGCCCCTACAGTTAAGCAGGCACGTAATGACTCGGACAAGACAGTCTCGGATCTTGACAGAGAGATCTGCGAGCTTTCGCGTGTCGTTCGTGCCGGCGGTTCTGTCTTCTATCGAAGTGCTGCCAAGAAGCCTTGGTACAACCAGAGGTTCGAGAAGATGGGCTTCAAGGTCGAGCCTGTCCACCTTCGTGAGACTGGCAAGCCTATCGACAACGTTAACATGTATGCCAGCTTCTACAAGGCCACAAGATTGTGAACTGGTGGACCTTCCCCAAAGGTGCCTGCGAGCGCTTCACGCTTATATCCTAGATCGTAATTGAGGTCCAACTCGCAAAGTTCCTGTCATCACTGTTTCTCTCCTGTTAATGCATTGGCAGCGTATACCAGCATGTGACCAACAACAGACGATAAAACCATATCGAGGTGAACAGAAGGATATACAAGAATGGAGCACGGCGTTGAGGTAGAGCTTCGGACTGTGACATCGGTTCGATTGTGAGTGACGCAAACTCGGCAGAAGAGCACGTCTTTTTTTGGTGGGAATGTTGCGCTATTTGACTGTTTGAATGTGAAGGTCATGCAGCATGCACGTCCCGCTGACTCGAAGTCCAAAAAGTGCGGGGGAAAGCTGAAAGTCCGTCACTTCCTCGCCGTACGGTCTTTGACATCATACTATAGTTAGTGTCTCGTCGTGTCGATTTGCTACTGGTTTCGACTCTCCGCTCCAGCACGCAAGTAAACGCTAGAGACAATCATCGACTCCGCTCCTTCACGGAACATAAGCTATTCGATAGGAATCCGTCTCCGTCAAGAAGCGGAGCTCGTCAAAGCCAGTCACTCCACTCCGCAACAACGCAGAGACGTCACAACGACACTACTAGGACAGCAGCATTACAAAAACACCTCCTGCGTCTGACCGAACAACCAGCTTCAACATGGCGCCAACAGCATTGCTTTCGACCCCGGCCTCGACCCCCGCTCCGTCGAAGCGAGGACAGCAAGCAAGTGCCTCGACCGAACAACAATCTCTTTCGTCCTTCGCCGACTATCACTTAGACTATACGCTATGGGAACCCAATGGCCCCACTTCAGAGTCTTCTCAGCGCTTTGTCGCATCCCTCTGACTTGCCATGGTAGGCATCGGCTTTTTCTACTTGCATGGCACGCCGCTCGACGCCAAACGCCAAACCATGTTCGACTTCGTCTCACGCTTCTTCCAGCTCCCACTTGAAGAGCGGCTGAAGATCGACATGAACAACAGTCGACACTTCCGCGGCTACTGCAAGTTTGGCGACGAGCGAACACTACAAAGACAGGACTTGAGAGATCAAGTGGACTATGCACCAGAGATGCATCCGATCCAGGACGCAGCTCTTTTGGAGAAGCATCCTTTCCTCAACCTTTATGGGCCAAACCAATTTGTCAGCGACGAAGTCTGCGAGGGGCACAGGAGGATTGTGCTGAACTGGTTTAAGACAGCGAACGAGGTGTCGAATCAGCTTACCCGTGCTATCGAGCTTGCACTCGGAGTCGACGAAGGAGAACTCTCGCAGTTCCTGACCGGCGAAACGAAGAAGGATCAGAGGTCAGTAAATGTCGCAGACCCCGCACTGGAAAAGCTGGGTCCGCTGCCGTATGCTCGCATGAAGACAATCCGCTATCCAACAGGTAACACGGTGGACGGCGTCACACGCTCGGATCCCGCAAGCACTCAAGGTGTTGGAGCACACAAAGACAGCGGCTGGCTCACCCTTCTCGCTCCCTCCGCCCATGTCGGTGGTCTCGAAGGTCAAGACTTTACCGGATCTTGGCTTTCCATCCCTCACGTCGAGGGCTCGATCATTGTCAACTTTGGACAACAAGTCGAGTTCTTAACCAATGGCATCGTTCAGGCTGCGACGCATCGCGTCGTGTCCAACCCATTAGGAACAAAGGACCGCTATTCAGTAGCTTTCTTCAGCTCGCCCGCTCTCAACACCTTCTTGCAACCACTTGACTCGGACAGATTCAGGAAAGAGCTCGTCGAAGCTTGGAAGAAGGCGGAAGCGAAGCGGAGCGATGGGAACATTGTGAGCGACGTGCCGAAAGGTGATCTCTTTGCGAAGGCGAACGAACCATTTGGCAGGATTAATTGGAGAGGTCTGGTGAGGAGCCACCCTGGAGTCGTCAACTTTTTCTACCGTCACATTGTAGATACTTGAGACTCGTTAATCAAAACTTCTGGTCCTCCCTGCAAGCTTGTTGCGAGCGAGCCTGTGGCGTAATAGACATAGCAATAGCGCGGACAAAGCGTGCTATGGAGCCGAGCTCCGTACTAGAGACGAACACACTTCGTCCATCGCTGTGTCATAGTGACAGCGTGAACAGTGATGAGCTGTCATTGTACAAAAGTGACACAATCAGTTCGACACACAAACGCATTGATGATACAAAGGTTTCTACTGGTTCCATGCTGGTCCGATGTCTTGATGGTACAGAGGTATCTACTTGTTCGATGCCTTGGTGAAGAATTGTTCCGATAACGAACTGCGTTCCAGCGAATTGCTGTGCAGATTCCATCCTTATGGTCCTACCGATCTGGCTGGTCTGATTGGTAAGACCAGTCACTGACAGTTGGTGCACTAGCATGTGCCAACAAGTCACAGAGTGATAGTGCACCATTTTTATTTCGAACAACTCTTGCAAAGCAGCAAGGCAAGCAGCTTGTGATGTGACCCGCTGTTACGTTATTACGTGTGCAAGCTGTATGCGCGGTGTAATGGTGTAACTAGATGGATTGCAGGAAGAAGGAGATCTAGATGGAAGCTAGTTTAAGTACTAGCTTTCTTACAAGCAAGGAAGTATGAGCAAAGATTTGCAAGATAGTATCGAACTTTCCTGTGCGACGTGTATTCGCGCGAGAAGATATCGATCGAGCATTCTCGTGCGGCTAGTATTCGCACGAGAGAGTACCCAAGCGTGACACCCACTCTAATGCTCTCCTGCGACCTATAACGTAGTTCACGTACATGTCAAAAAACCCGCGTTTTTAAAAACGCAAAAACTTTGATACCCTCTTAAGAGAACGTGGTGAGAGCCTAGTGCTCTCAGCTTGATATACAGTACACATGTGAACTGTCCCAAGATTTTACATGTCACCATACATCACTCTAATGCTCAATAGCTATAAGTTGTATTGCCACACTGTCTGATATTGTCTGAAAGCACTGCTTCTTCTCTCCAAGACTGTGGAATTGATATTGACATTGACTAAAAAAATTGTGCTATGAAGAAGAGCCGATTTTTTTTTATTGTGGGACAGTTTATGGAGCATGCTCCCAAATAGCAACACCACTCCATTCCTGACCTTGTGGGCTTTTGACTACAATGAAACTTGTAATGTAACTTGGTGGGCACCTTCATACACATTGAAAGTAGTGACATGGAAAGTTTCAGCTCAATCAGATGACTGTGAGCAATCCAGTAGCACTTCCAGTCTGACACCATCATATCTATACCATCATGACAAAAACCACTCCCAAGAAGCACTGATCGGCACTCTTTCACCTCCAAAATGGAGAATCTACCTGTTCAGTTGCTGAGAAACTCAGTCTGAGCAAGTCTACAGTGTCTTGCATCAGCAAAAGTGCCTCTGCTGATGCTCCAAAGTCAAAGGGGGGCTGGCTGAGAAAACTCCAGCCTTGTCATGTTCACTTCCTGGACCACTATTTCAAGCTCAATTCAACCTCCACAGTCAGGAAAGCATGTCATGCACTGCAGGAGATGTTTCACATCAAAGCATGCCCAATGACAGTAAGAAAAGCACTTCATTACTGTTGTTACAAAGCATGAAGGTTAGTGAATAAACCGAAGCTACTCAAGAGGCATTACAAAGCATGTTGTCATGGGCCTGGATGCGCAGGAAGTAGGAGGGTCCATTGGTTCATATGAAGGGAGCGCAGGGATCAGGGGATCGGGCAGATCGTGGGGTTTGTGGCAGAGTTCACTGAGATCTGCCATAGAATCAGCTCTATAACAGATCTCACTGAGATCAGTATGAATAAAGGAGGTACCACGAATTCCGCCAGGATCCATGGTAGTTATGATTGTATGATGGATTCCACAGAGATCAGTGGCAAGGATGATAGTGTGGCGAAGCTTCACATGCAAGTAGTAGGACCAAGTGCCGCCAAGAGGAGGACCAAGCTCAGGAACATGCAGTTGGTTACCACTCAGGGGGGCCACATGACTAAGGCCCGTAGCGCCATCGCTGGTCGAAGGGCAAAGAGCAGTGTCAAGCACTGGCAAGCAAGTCAGGAGGAGGAGGAGCAGTGTCAAAGAGGTTGACACTTAATCCAGGGTGGACAGGAGCAAGCAGAGGCTCATGGAGAAGGAGGCACCTTTGTCGGGGCCTCTGAACCAGTACTCGGCGAAGCAGGTACTCTCTGGAGAGAGAGCCGGAGCAGTGTCGCTGGCGACATTGCAAAGATGTATATAACCATGCCTCCTCGCCATAAGTGGCCGAGTGGATCCCCATCCACTCTACACACACCATAACAACTAGTATTACTTCAAGCATATAAGTATCATTAGTTCACAGTCAGCATAGTAGTAATCAATAGATTGCTCCTCATCGAAGTGTGTGTGTTGTATCACTGTTTCCTGATGTCCGAAGGTGGTTCTTAGCAAACCAGCAGTCCGGATAATGATAGAACTGAAGGCAGTTGTCCACTGCAGTCCGGGGATCACCTCAAGCATTAGTCGACACACTGGACACTCATGTCAATGCCACCAATCCATACTCACACCAGACCTTTGGTGTCATCAGCAAGTTCACATTGTTATTGATCGTGCCGAGCTACCTCTGGACAGAGTGTCCAACAGTGGTCAGTCGAAATCTGCAATAGCATTATCACAACTACAGATTTGAGCGAGAAAAGTGATAGAGATGGCTCTATTGCATATCTTGTAAAAGAATCGCAATACCACAAGCACTGTTGCATAACTCGACAGAATCGGTAATAGTATTGATACTACTACCGATCTCAGGTTTCAGGTGTGCGACCCCTGACACATGTCTCAAATTTGCAAATGAGCACAAGGACATGACTGTTGAGGATTGGAAGAATGTGGTATGGTCCAACGAGACAAAGATCAACTTCTTTGGACTGGATGGGAAGCAGTTCTGTTGGATTAAGAATGCTGGCTTCAACAGCAAGCTTGTCAGGCTGACAGTCAAGTTCGGCAGTGGTGTCATGGGCCTGGATGCTCAAGAAGCAGGAGGGCCACTGGTTCATATGGAAGGAGCACAGGTATCGAAGATCTAGTCGATACCAGTAGAGAGCATGGTCGTAGTGCAGTCTCCATGGAGACCATGGACTCCTACAGACTCACATGCAAAGGAGGACCGAGCCATATGCGAGGAGGGCCAGGCACAGCCACGAGGAGGACCAAGCTCAAGGAGCAGGCACAGCCACAAAGAGGACCAAGCTCAAGGAGCATGCAGATGGTTACCACTCAGGGGCTCGAGAGACAAGAGTCGAAGGAGTCGACACCAGGTCTTGAGGAGGAGGAGCAGTGTCGAAGGAGTCGACACCACTCAAGAGACACAGGGGTGCCAAGCAGGAGAGGCCCCTGAGCAGTACTCGATGAAGAAGGTACTCTCTGGAGAGAGAGCAGGAGCAGCATCGCTGGTGATGCTGTGAAGAGGTATATAACCATGCTTTCTCATCATCAAAGGTTGAGTGGATCCTCATCCACTCTACACATCATCATAACTAGTTATCACTTCAGCATAAGTATATATTAGTTTCAGTCAGCATAGCAGCAATCTATCAAGGTTGCTCCTCATCATAGTGCATGTGTTGTATCACCACTACCTGACGTCTGAGGGCGCCCATAGCAGGTTAGTGGTCTGGATATAGATAGAACCAAAGGCAGTAGTCCACTGTGGTCCGGGGATCACCTCAAGCATCAGTCAACACACTGGACACTTGTGTTGATGCCACCAACCTTATCACCAACACCATCAACCTCATCATCATCAACACTCACACCAGACCTTGGTGTCATCACAACCTACAGATTGATATTGATCGTGCTGAGCTACCCCTGAATGGAGTGTCCACAGAGGTCAGCCGAAACCTATGATAGTATATACCCGAATGCCACCCATTGCGCAACTTGATAGTTGCCAAGCAACTAGCTCGTCAAGACAGATACCGAGACAATAGCTGTTGCACAGTTTGATAGTCACCGAGTATCTTGACAGACCGACCTGGGTTTCAGGCGCGAGACCCCTGACAAGTGGCTCCATCATGATCTGGGGCTGTATGATGTGGGAAGGGGTCAGAGGTATATGCTTGGTGCTGGGATCAATGAATTCAGACCAATACATTGATATCCTGAATGACAAGCTTTTGAAAACAATCTCAGATTTGCAGCTTCAGCATGCATACACTGATGTCATGTTTCAGCAAGACAATGACCCAAAACACATGTTGAAGAAGACAAAAATGTGGTTGGAAGGCAATAGCATTAAGGTTATGCAATGGCCAGGGCAGTTGCTGGACTTGAACCCAATTGAACACCTCTGGCACCATCTCAAAATGCAACTTTCACAGTATAGTATGATCACAAAGTCCAGGGATGAACTGCTCAAGAGATGTGAAGCTGAATGGAAAGTGATCACTCCAGAGACATGTAGGATACTAATAGAGAGCATGCCAGACCACATCAAGGTGGTTCTGAAGGCCAAAGGAGGGAATACAAAGTACTAAGGTGTTCTTGAGGAGCACTCCATAAACTGTCCCACAATAAAAAAAAAAATTTGGCTCTTCTTCATAGCACAATTTTTTTAGCCAATGTCAATATCAATTCCACAGTCTTGGAGAGAAGAAGCAGTGCTTTCAGACAATATCAGACAGTGTGGCAATACAACTTATAGCTATTGAGCATTAGAGTGATGTATGGTGACATGTAAAATCTTGGGACAGTTTACACACATACTGTATATACATTGTCATGGCACGTGCCGAGTGTGGGAGCTGTTGTACTTAATGATCTAGCCTGACAACAAGCGGGACTGTGTTGTACCCGATCTCTGGTGAGATCGGTCATCTAACCGTATCGGCTCTGCCTGATCTCCGATCAGATCGGCTCTGCGTCTTCCTTTAGCGTCTCACTGGATCGTAATCTTTAGCAATACATGGTTACAACAACGGAGAATGTGGACACTTGATGACGCGGGATCTGAAGACAGAAGACTACTTAGGCTCGCCCTGTACAGAACCCTTCCAGAACCTAGGCAAGCACGAGTAGCCTTCACGGTCGAACGACTGCTTGGGATCGCAGTTGCACCTGCCTGTGTCGTGGTACTTCTTACGATTGGCAGGGCAGTGGTTCCACGGGTTGTGGAAATAGCCAATGTCCTCGAAATGATGCATTCTGCTCCTGTCAAGCAACAAACCCGCAGCGATTGAATGCACGGGAGCGTCACCCCATCGCTCGTAGAAGAAACCACCAGCTTTGTCGAGGAAATCAAAGTAGTCTAGATACTGTTTCGAGCGCCAAAAGCGGAGGTCCCCCACTTCATAATTTGACCACATATGGCAGCCACAGAACTGACTTTCGGCGAAGTTATTCGTCTGATCGGTCAAGAAGTAGAGGCTGTTGTCCTTGGCAAGGTAGTCTGGGTGAGCGGCGAAGAAGTTTTTGGTGGTTTCCCAAAGAGTCGGAATGGTTTCTTGATATTCGTAGAGGGCCATGGTGAAACCGTAGGTCTTGTTGTTCATCTGCATAAAGACGAAGGGATCATAGTCGAGATCGCAGTAGAGCTTGATGCCGGGTTCAACACGCCAGTAGTAGTCAAGGTCAAGGGTAAGAGGGTGGCGGAAAAAAAAGCCTGACTGGTATCGACACATGTGACGGTAGCTTTCGGAGGAGCCGTAGATGATGTCCTTCATCTTGACACGAGTCTCTGCAGCCTTCTCTTGGCTGATATAGTCGGGGTAGCCCCAGTGTTCCTTAGGGATTAGACCGAAGCGGCACTCGCTACGGGTCATTTGCTGTACGCCACGCTTAAATTCTTCACTGAAAGGTTCGTTGTTGAGGAAGATCCAAGGATAGCCGTACTTGCGATTGAACTTTTCCTCTACGTCACGCATGGACTCGCGCATACCCTGAAGCTCTGAATTACGAACGAGAACGATGAAGCCAGCTTTGGCTCGAGGTGCTTGGTTGGCCATCTGAGGGATGAAGGTCGGTGGATAGAGGTTGCCATCATCGCCGACCTGGGCCCACTTAGAGAGCTCTTCGATGGTGGAGGGAGTGCCGGGATTGTGTGTGTACATGTCGGCAACCGACTTTGGTGGCGGATAGGAGGAAGCGCCATTAGCTGAGTTTTGCCACGGGTTGGAGAAGGCGGGGAGCGAGTTCCAACTGTTGCGAACATTCCGAACGCCATTGCTGGAGAAGGACAAGTAGGTGGAGAAGGTAAGGACGAAGAGGAAGATGGTGACCAGCACGATCAGCCTTTGCGGGCGACGAAAGAGAGCGTCGAGAAAGCCGGACGCCATGATGTCTGTTCTGTCACGAGCAGTGCTACTCGTACCACCAGGTCACCGGTATTACCGAAAGGCGTGTCTTCTTGCGGCGCTGTGTGTCGTGGCCGCCGGATCTGAAGTTGTTATATGAAGACCCGAATGCAACAAGATGAAGTGGGTCTTGATGTGTGGAAAGGATGATCGACACGAGTTACCTCGCCACCAGCGCCCTGCGTGTGATTGTCGAGAAACGAAATTCAAAATGCTTGATAGATTGAAGGCGAATGCAGTCGTTGTCCCCGAGATCAACCTTGGGCGAACAATCGAACGAAGAATGAGGTGGTGGAGGAGGAGGAAGGGGAGAGAAGGACTTATCGTGCGAATGGATACATGCGCATTTTTTTCAATGGTGAGCAAAGGAGCACGTGACCAACACGCAGCTACTCCTCACCCGAGTTAGAAAACTTAACATTCCTTTTCCCTCAATTTCTCAGTCTCCTTTTCCAACAATTTTCACGCGTTTTCAAGGGCGATAACTCACCTTGAGAAGACGTGCACACGCCTGGCAGCTGCTAAGGAAGACGTTGGCCCCTCCGCGGCTTGGCGGCCAAATGTCCAACTCACAGACTTGAGAAGAAATCATTATTTTAGATTTTTGGTTTCAGGACAGCACAGCATTCGCGCAGGCACACCGAAGCGACACGTCGAGTTTGTTCTGTTCAAGCCGAAATCCATGGGAAACATGAGCCTCTCACTCGTTGTGCCGACATCCTTGTACCTCGCGGTTGCCCTCTCTCTATTCTTCAGACAAGGGACCGGCGCAGAGATTCTTAAAGCGAGAAATAGGGTCTCCTGTATCAATCACGCTTGACCACACCTCATCACGCCAACAGAACACGCGCTTTCTGAAAAGCCTGTCCATATCACCAACACTAGCTACATTACTTGGTTCCATACCGAATGTCTCTCTTTCATTAGCCATCTGAATTTGGCCGCTCCGAGCCTTGACCCTTCCCAGGAGCCCGACATGGCTTCGAAGGCAGAAGAGCTGTCATGAAACGTCGACGAACAGCGCCCGAAAGCTCAATGCCTTCCGTCGTCGTCTTGATACCCAAGACCGAACCTAATGCGGCAAATACTCGTACTGCTTCCGCTTCGCCAAAGAGGGCGCCCTTTGCTTCTTTGCAGTCACATCCCCGATCGTCCTCAGCTTCAGCATTGACCTCGATATCAAGGTCATCGTCCCCGCCCTCTCGCCCTTCCACGTTGGCACTACACTCATCGAGAGCATCTCCTTCGAAACTTCGTCGTTCTCTTTTGACCTCCTCGTCCTCGTCATCAGCATCAGCATCAGCATCGATACCCTCACACTTCTTAGCGCGGCATCATTCCGGCTCCTCGTCTTCCTCTTCTAATGCCTCTTCGTTTTCGAGCAAACCTCGCCACAGCATCCGCTCTAGCCAATATGCTGCACCTATCGATCCGACAGATCCTTTTGGGCCAGACGATGCGTATATGTCTTTCAAGCGTTCCCCAGGCGATGGTCACGGCCTTTACGTCTGTCAATGGCGCCTGCGTGACAAGAAGGACCTTCTTGACGCAAAAGGTCACAAGTACTGCCGTTGCGAACTCACGACGGCTGATCTACTTGCGAAGCATGTCCTGTCTACGCATATGGTTACCGACATGCAATCTAGACAGGTATCCAAGCAAAAGACGGCATGCAAATGGGGCACCTGCCTCAACCGACACTACGACCCGGCAGGCTTGGCTGCTCACGTCGTCCGCGATCATATGACGTACCAGCTCGGCTTAAAGTATGCGTGTATCGTCAAGACATGCACGACCAAGGCCATCTTGACATCGCTGGACGCTTTGGACAGTCACCATGCGCGATATCACGCCAGCTCGATGGGCAAAGAGCCTCTCCGCCCGATATGGCAGCCATTGCCAACTTCCAAAGGCGAACGGAGAGCCAGCCAGTTGTTGGCAACGCTGCGAAAGCTTGACGCAACTGGCAGTCCATCTTTTAGGATTTCCGTCTCTGCTCGTGCGAATCCCAGGGTCATCCCGGTAAGCGAGCGCGCCCGCAGTATTCGAGAGATCAAGTTCAAGAAGAGATACCTTGATCCGATCGATGTGCGACCAGGAGAAGGCCAAGATGGTCAGCCGTGGCTTCGTCTACACAAGCGCTTGCAGCGAAGCACTGAGTACTGGAATAGCGCGAAAGCAGCCGATGAGGCGCTCTTCCGAGCTGTTGACTACAATCTGGCTGACCTGGAAGAACTGCATCGAGAACCAACAGCTTGCATCGAGCTGGAAGGCGACCCAACCCTTCGCGCGATTGAAGAGGGTGTACGGCAGACGCAGATCTATGCAACTAGTAGGGAAAGGCAAATCGGCATTTTCACCTTGACACTGCCTCCAAGTGACCACTGTCAAGTCGTTGTCAACGAGCGCTCGCCACAGGACTGGGTCGAAAGCATAGGACCCCTTTCACTTGCCTCCATAGAGCGCGAGATGAATTTCGACGCTTCTCTCTCGAAGCAACGTCGCTGGATGGACAGGCTGCGAAAGCGGTCTTCGATTGCTTCCTCCAGCAATGCTCTTCCCTCTTGCGAAGATGAAGGCGGATCCGACGTGCAGGATTCGGCAGCCGATTGGGCACCGCCTTTGCGACTCAATCCCTACCACCCGTCGTCCAGAAATCGATTCATCTCCGCCATCGAAGATCACTCTGCGTTTCTCGAGAAGCCATTGGCACTTAGACGGCGAATCGACGCCCAACGCCAAAGCTGAGGCGGCCCTGTCAGAATGCTATCCCCCACCCTCGTCGACCAGTCCATCGACACGCGAAAGTACGCCAGAGACGCTTGTGGACGGTCCTTTGACCATCCAGCCTCTCCACTTCTCTGACAGCACGACTCAAGGAGAGGAGAGGTCCGCGTGAAGAGGGAGAGGGAAGAAGACGTCCTTCCGCTTTCGGATGGACATAACGCAGACGAGTGTCCGCCAACGACCAAGCTCGAACTTGAGGAAAGCCACGGGGAGCTCTTTGAAGTACGGCCCACACGCAGCGTCGCACGACAAGCCTATGCGCCAACGGACGAACTGCGCTCCTTCACACCGACTAATTTCTTCATCGAGATCGCGCCGCACAATCTAGTCGAGACAAGTCCAACTCTGAGCCGGGCGAGCGGTGTCAAAGGTGAGCTGGGTCCGCTTAGCAGATCTGGATGACGTTCGCTTTCGCGCTGATAGATCAGCATTCCTCTCATCTAGGCATTAAACCAACTTTCTCATCAACGAGTCTAATTTGCTTTTTCTATACCAAGCGCTGCGCACAGCACAATAGAGCTTCCACCTAGCCTCGTTCACAGTGCTTGCAGAGCATTCTTCATCTACGGAGCTATCAAGTGCTCCAAGAGGTCTTGTACAACGGCTTCATCCAGTCACAAGCACTTCAATCACAAGCAAACCAAAACATAGCATCCCTTGAGAATTGGACTACAGCGACGGCGAGATGCAAGTCCGAATCTACACAGATATACGCCTGAATGAGGCGGAAGCACACGAACGCGGTGATGTGAAGAATCAAGCAACGCGAAGCTTCCTCTTTCTGGCAGCGTTGGCTTCGATCTTGGCCTTGACCTTGTCCTCGTCCACATCGAGACCTTCCCGCTCGTAGATCTCAGAAGTCTTCTTGGCAACATGCTGAGCTTTGATGAACTTGAGTGCTGCAAGGTTGAATCCGATGGTGGCCTTCTGATGTGCCAGTGTTTGGCGGAGGTGCGATTTGAGGTCGAGCAGGGTGGGACGCATAACACGGTTAGCGACGATCTGATTGTGGTGCGTTCGGAGAAGGAAGAAAAGAACACGCGAGACGAGTGGAATGTTCCACTCCTTCCTGGCCCAGTAGTCGAGATACTTGAATAGTGAGAGGACCTTGTCGAACGGCAATACGAGTAGAGCGTCATCGAGTTGAGCGGGAAGGATCTTTTCCACCACGCGCAAGACGTACTTTTGAGCACTGATGTCTTCGTCGACAGGTGAGCGGCCGAAAGAGCCTCGAGAGCCAGAGCCGTCGAACTCAGCGACAATGAGAGCGTGGAAAGCGGGTTCGGACTGACCAGCTGCTCGTGCAGCGTCGCGTGTTTCAACGTCGGCATCGGCTGTCTCGAGCGCTTCAACAAGTCGTTCTCCCGCCATCATGGTCTCGGATGTGCTCTTAGAGACTGATGTAGCTTCAGGTCCTGCCGCGACTGCTCGCTCGGCGTCGGGGTTAGCGCCATCAGCCAAGGAGCCAATGGCAAGCTCTTCATCCTGCCTGGTCTGACCTGCGCTTTCGAAGGCACGCTCCATCTCCCTCTCACGTTCTTCCTCCAGGAAGAGTGGCTCGTCCGTCTTCTCCCATGTCCTGATCGACCTGTCAGCACCTGCTGTCACGACTACTTTTCCGCTGTGGCCTGGCGCCACCGCCCACACCTCGCCATGATGACCTTCCAGCTGCTGAATGAGCTGAAAGCGGTCTCCATCCCAGTGCTTGAGCAGGCCGTCCTTGCCAACGGTCCAGAAGTGGTGCGAATCACCCTGACGACCACCCATGAGACCACCACCTTGCTGTCCGCGCTCGAAGCAAACGCCCATGATGCTCTCGTTGTGTGCAAAGATCGACTTGTGGCAGTCTCCAAAGTCGAGACCCCAGATCTTGACGTTCTTGTCCGCAGAAACAGTGACACAGAGCTTGCTGTCGGTTGAAATGTCAAGCGAGAGGACAGGCAGCTTGTGACCGTAAAGAGAGAGGAAGAATTTGAGCGAGTCGGCAAAGAAGACCTTGACGGTGTTGTCGAGGAGCGAAAGCGCAAGCAGCTTGCCATTGGGAGAGAAGCGAGCGCAGAGAACGTCGTCGGTCATCTTGAGCGTTCGGACATGGACCAGAGCGAGCTGCGGTGGTGCTTGTGGCTTGCTCGCGCCGTTCTGACCATTGGCTGCTCCGCTGTCTTCTGCCTCGTTGCTATCGCTGTCATCCTCGGGCGTCTGCATCTCGAACTCCCAAAACTTAACTTCCTTATCAGCGCTGACAGAGACACAGCCGAGACCGTCGGGCTGAATGGCTACGCTCCAGAGTGGACCTTGATGCGCATCGATCGTCTCTACAGCAATACCTGCCCGAACGTCGAAGCTTCGAAGCGTTCCATCCTTGCATCCGACCAAAACGTGCTGGTCTCCTGGCAACCATGCAACTGAGAGTGCGTAGCCGCACGGAAGTGTTCGAACGCATCGACCAGTCTTGACGTTCCAGATCTTTAGTTGACCTGCTCCACATGCTGAAGCCAGGAGGTTGTCGTCGGAAGACAGAGCCACAGTACGAATGTCGGATCGATGACCGGCGGATTCGAGCGCACTTGCAAGGACGGGCTCGATGGGGTTGGCTTTCTCCGCCTTTGAGCGGGGCGGTGCTGGCACACTGTAGACCTCTAGAGCATTGGTAGAAAGAGCACAGAGGATACTGAGGCCGAACTTGTTAGATGCTGCTGAGTTGGTCCGTGGTGTAACGAGAGAAAAGCTCTTGAGCTTGCCAGCCAAGGGTCGGACGTTGGTGTATGCTTCGATGCGATCTGCCCACTGCACTTGATCAGGTACTGCATCCACAACAACATCGACTGCGGTCGAATTACCACCTTCCTTGGCGCGTTTCTTCTCAGCCTTTTCCTTGTTACGTTTCCTCCTTCGCTCCATCTTCTTGGCCATCTCCTGAGTCGAACGAAGTCGGAACACCTGGACGGCTTTGTCGGTGCTGGAGACTGCAATGAAGCCCTGCCCGTGAGCTGGTGCTGCTGTGGAGGCTGTACGCTGGCGCTTTGGAACGCCACAGAACTCGATCTGCGTGACGCGGTGCTTGCCTGATAACGGAACTGAACCTCTTGGCAGAAGGAACTTTTCGGATGCGCCATTAGCAGCGGCATCGGCGCCGTCGACGGTCTGCAGTCCTCGTGATAGTGACTCTGCCGAAATTTCCCACACTTTCATGTCACCATCGGCACTTCCGGTAAGTACCAAAGCACCACTATCGGCGATGGCGTTGCGATCTGCTGCTTCATCGTCATCCTCATCTGGCTGTTTGCCCTTTGTCGAGACCTGCATAGCTAGAGGTACATCCTGCGATACTGCCAAGCTCCAAATTTCGCCAGAGCCATGAACTACAGTCTCTACGCAGTGCTGCAAGGAGAGATCCCAGAGCTTAAGGAGACCGTCTTTGGAAGTACTGAGAAGGTAGCCGGCTGCGTCGGACTGGCTGTGGACGGCAGCGGACGAGGAGGGGCCGTCGGGATTGATCAAGGTCGAAGGAAGCTGAACAAAGGCGATGGCAGTGACGGCATCACGGTGGCCGCGGAGACGGTAGAGACCAGTCTCAGCAACAAGGTCCCAAAGAATGATGTCGGTGTCGAGACTGGCGCTGGCGATTCGTAGGCCCTGGGTGTCGAAGGCAAGGGCGATGACAGCTTTCTTGTGGCCGTTAAAGGTGACTGAGGTAGAGTTGGTCTCGGCAGACCAGAGTCGGATACTGCCGTCTTCGTAACCCACGGCGAATGTGTCGGGATCGGAGGGAGACCTTGCCAGTGCAGTCACTTTAGATCGATGACCGATCTCGTGCCATGTAGCAAGCAGCGTGCCTCTTCGCACATCCCACACGAGGACATCTTCGAGTGCTGGTACAAAAGCGGTTTTGGTGTCGGGATCAAGTATCGAGTTGGACGAGGCCGAACAAATCAGGCCAAACGCCGACGTTGGCTCATGACGCAGGTAGGAGCGCACCATCTTGTATCCACTCAACCCTTTCTCGTACAAGGACCGAGACAATGTGATAGAGGTTGCTGGCGAACAAGATGGTGAAGAAACGAGCTTTCGGTGTGGCCCTCAGTTCAACAGGCTCAGTCAAAGCTCACTGCTGGAAGGGAATCTTTTAAAATTTTTGGAAAAGCTGAATCAAAGGCCAAAAAACTTCAGGGTCCTCTTTTCGGCTCCGAGAGAAAAGTCCACCGTTCACTCCACCCAGACTTTTTGAAGTTGTCAGAGGTAACGGTGTAACATTTTTGTGCCCTGCCTCCGTCGTTGACGGCACGGCACCATCGTCTTGGTTGGTTCCTGCGTCGGATGAGCCTGTCTGACACTTCATACATTGAATAGAACGGAGGACAACGACAATGATAAGTGCAAAGGTGGCTTCGTTTGTGGTTACGGAGGAGCGCCATAACGCCAGGGCCGTTTTGATTCTTCTTTCATCAAATCAAGCACATGTGCTGTGCGATCTTAAGGTGTCTACGCCACTGTGACGGTGACGCTGCTGTGCCGCTTGGAATGAGTTGCATTATTTTTACGCTCACACTCGCTCGTGTGGGTTTGGCTTCCCTTGCTCATGTGGCGGCTGATTGTCTAGAGGTCTATCACTGTTCCCGAAAATCAAGAGTGTGGAATTGCGCGAGCGGTACAAGACCAGAGCTACAGTTGGAGAGAGAGAGAGAGAGAGAGAGAGAGAGAAAAAAAAAAAAAAACACATAGGCAGGACGAAGCGCGTCGGACTCACCGATTTCGTCGCCAATTTTCCAGGGTCCATGGTCCATCATCGGCATCGCTGTTTCATCGCTGTAGTTAGTTGTTCGATCTCTTAATTCATTCCCATCTCCTCCACACCTCACAAACAATCACCTTCGTCACCGCACTACACCATTGTGGTCACACAGCTGCTTTCGACTCACTCTACCTGCTCTCTCTGCATCAGCACATTCTTGCTTGATCAACCTCGAGATCGCGTCACGATCGACATTCACTGCCGCGCGCTTCACTTCACACATCGCTTGCAGCAACATTGATCGACCCGGATAGGACTTTAGGACGTGCAAGACCTTACAGCGAATAAACCTTGTCAGGACTGCTCATGGATTCGTCGCCCTAGCTCGCTGTATTCTGATACCGCCTTCTCCTTCGGTGGCTCCCCAAATCCGACTCGGCCTACCTCTTTAGCTGCGACGACCAAGGGCATGATATGGCGACCGAAGACGGTCCCAGCTCACACACTCAGGGAGATCCACCTTCCCTGCCCGAGATTGATGCTCAATCGTCTTTGCATCATGGTGTAGCTGACGTGTCCACGGAGGATGTGCTCGAACCTGCGGACGCCTCTTCAACACAGCCTTCCACAACAGAGCATCCATCCACAAGCTCTGACAACATGGCAGCGAATCTCGACACAAATCTTGCGCCGTCTTCAATATCTGTCCCATCTTTGCCGGCTGATGCCAAGATGCCTTCGATCACTGCAGAACCGGCACAACACGCGTTTGCCTCGTCTAATCTTTCCGACATTCCTGATGAGGTCCTGGCATTACCGAGCGATCAGTACTCCACCGTTGCAGCACCAATAGACAATCAAGATCCACCAAATGAGGTTAGCATCGATCCAGAACACGCCATGGACGACTACCGCGCCGTCATCAATGCACCTCTGCCGTCCATGCTCAACAGCAACGCCATCCCACTCGAGGAGGATGCTTCTGGTGATCTCTCGGCTTCGTCCAATGAAGCGCTCACGCTCACATCCACCGTCTCCAGAGGTAACTACCATCAGTGTGGCTCAGCGCGGCGTGTCAAAGTCTACGAGCTCAAAGGCGAGACGTGGTTCGATCGAGGCACCGGATACTGCGCTGGCGTCTACGACGAGACAGTCGACGAAGCCCTCTTGGTGGCTCGCAGAGAGGAAAAGTGTCAGTTCCTCGAGGGCATCGATGTACCCGCCGAAGCTGATGTCGACGAGACTGGACCAGTGTTGACAAATGGCAACGGTGAGCAAGGCGCCACAAATCCAGCATCCACACCGCCGCAGCCATGTCAATTTGTAGTGGTTGTCAGCGAGAATCTAGGGTCTGAGGACATTCTTCTTGCCAGTAAGGTGGTCAAAGAGGAAGTCTACCAACGGCAGCAGGACACGCTAGTAGTGTGGACAGAACCGACTGGGGTCGACATGGCACTCAGCTTTCAAGAAGCAGAAGGCTGCAACGAGGTCTGGGAGTTCCTTACAGAGGTGCAGAAGCACTTTATGGGCCTGGCCGAAGAAGCACTCACCGACTCACCGCCAACAACACCAAATCCACATTCACCGACCGGCGTGCTCGGCATGTCAGCTTCCGGCTCTGGCCTCGAGCCGCTTCTCAATATCATGGGCGACTACAAAGGTCTGCCAGAACCCAGTCTTGCCAGCCTGGAAAAGATCGATGCCATGCTCAAAGAGACCACTGCACGAGGGCCCATGATGCGCGAAAAGCTCACCACATGGCTCATGGAAGCTCATTACATCCGCAAACTCGTCCCCTTTTTCCACAGCGTTGAAGAACATGAGGCACTTCCAGCCTTGCACATGCTCTGCACCATCATGCAAACGCTCTTGCTCCTCAACGACAGCTTCCTCTTCGAATACATCTTGCAAGATGACGTCTTCCTCGGCGTCGTAGGCATGCTCGAGTACGATCCAGAGTTTCCAAGCTTGAAGGCCAATTACCGCGACCATTTGACGCAGCGTGCGCGTTTCAAGCAAGTCATTGACATTGGTGACCCCATGATCGTTGCCAAGGTCCATCAGACCTATCGGCTCCTCTATCTCCGCGATGTAATTCTGGCCCGTGTCGTTGACGATCCCACTGTCTCGATCCTCAACTCGTTCATCTTCTTCTACCAAAACGACATCGTCAATTACTGCTCCCACGATCTCTTCCTCAGTGAGCTCTTCCGTATGCTCATGAATCCGGAGGAGCCCAAGGAAAGACGTTCAGAGGGCGTTCTCTTCCTGCAACAGCTTTGTGCGATGGGCAAGCTCATTCAGCTTCCCGTGCGCATTTCGCTCTACCGCACACTTACAGAATGGGGTCTCTTCAACGTCTTGCAATACGCGCTCGAGAATCTGGGTCAGACTGCACGAAATGCCGCTGCAGAGATTCTCATGACCATCATCGAATACGACGCCAACAGCATGCGCGCTCAGGTCGTATCGCAAGTAGAGCAGAACACGAAGCCACTGGTAAGCATGATGATTGACATGCTGCATAACGAGCGCGATCCAGGCCTCAAGACACAGATCGCTGAGGCGATGCGCATCATCTTCGACGTCGCTTCGGATGGTGGACCGATGGCAACACAAGCGCAGGTGCTTTCAGTGCAGGGTCTCAATAAAGCAAAAGCAGATCCCGACCGCTTCTTGACGTGGATTTACGAATCCGAGATCGCTCGCCTTTGCTCGCCGTTCAATTCGCTACCAGACTTCCGAGTACTGTCCAAAGGTGAAAAGCTTCCAACACAGCCTCGTCATCGATCCGCACTCTACGGTCACCTTTGCGACTTGTTGTGTCACATGATTGCGCATCACTCGTTCAGGAGCCAGTACTTTGTGCTCACCTCCGAGATCTCGAAGAAGGTCGGTTCGTTGCTCCATGCACGCGAAAAGTACCTCCGACTCTCAGCATTACGCTTCTTTAAGTACTGCCTGGCGAGCAACAACCAGTTCACCAATCGTCACTTTATCAAGATCGAGCTCTTCTCCACCATTCTGGGTCTCGTCGAGGCGGAAGGCGACCGCAACAATTTGGTTTCCTCCGCCTGTTTGGACTTCTTCGAGCACATGAGGAGGGAGAATTTCAAGACGTTGATAAGCCACTGCATGGATCGCCATGGATCTCGGATGCGACTTCTCGCAGAACAGTCTCACACTGCGCCCTGCTTCTCGTTGCTTGTCAGTCAGTGGGAAAAGAACCAGGAGCCGCTGTCACAGCAAGAGGCCGCCGAGCCCCTGCACCGCGCAGGCGAGGTGGATGAAAAGTCTCAGCAGCGACCCGAGGCAGCTCGTGGCCAGATTGCAATTGCAGCAGCTGATCCCGACGAGGAGAACTACTTCCAAGAAGAAGACGAAGTCGTCCAGGATGTCGAGGCGCGTGCCACTGGCTCTGCCATTGGTCTTGTTCCTTACGGTGACGACGAGGACGAAGACGGCGCCAATAATGGGCAATCCATCGCACAAGAAAGCGGCAACAAGACAGCAGCGACTGGGCCGTCGGAAGGCACTTTGTCACTTTCGTCTCTTACAAAGGTCCCGGAGAAGCGTCGCAGGATGGAGGAAGATGATGATGCAGATGACCAGCTCTCTCGGCTGTCGAGACGCAAGTCAGGTCGAGTGTCGAAGAACAAGAACAAGGCTGACTCCGACTCAAAGTCTCCAACTGAAGATGAAGACGCCTCCAACTCGCAATCGTCGGGCGCTTTGTTCCTTCGAAACATGGCAACTACGATCAGCAACACATTTGGAGGCGGAAGTGACAAGCGCGAAAGATCTCGGTCGCCCTCCCCCAAAAGATCGAAGGGCAGTCAGAGTCCGTCTAGTTGTACAGAGGACTTGTCAGCTTCACCGAAGCAGGGAGCCGACAGCAGCCCTGCGACTTCCGCCTCACCCGGCAGCAAGCCTGGCAATACCAACGCCAGCAAGAATGGAGCCAGCGGTGTCGGAGGACTCGGTATCAAGAGGATCTCACTAGGCTTGACAGGCTCGTCCAAGAAGATGGCAGCACAGTCAGACGTTCGTTCGACAGATAAGCCCGAAGACGAAGAGTCATGAGCATCCTTTTCCTTTTGTTTCTGTTTCTCTACGTACCTTTCTTACCTTTTCCTCGAAATTCGAGCTTGCCTAGGGAAGGCAGGCCTTTGATTCCAGTTCTTTGTAACTTGTACTACTACTGTAGAACACAGCTAAATCTTTATCTACAACACGACAATCATTGATGCGTCCTCCTTCGTAATCGAGGCCTTGTGGTATGACAATAGATCAAGTATGAATTCGCACACGAAGCCCTATTATTACCGGCGAATTTGTCGGACAAAACAAAAAACAAGAAAAAAACAAAAACACAAAAAACATGAGGTGCATACCCGAGATCTGGTCACCAACAAACTATCAAGCAACCGTGGCTGTTAGTTATCTTCCTCTCTTTCAACACCACAACGATCAGGGACGGACCTTCAGACAGCAAAGATGTCTGCAACCTCTTCTCACCACGTCGCCGTCCTAGGATGTGGAGTGATTGGTCTTTCTACTGCGCTTGCAATCCTCGAAGGTCAGCAGAAGAACCCAAGAGATCGCAGAACTCTGGTTACGATCGTTTCGAAGGAAGTTCCTGATCTCGGCCACGGAACTCAGCATTCAGCTGTGTATGCTAGTGTGTGGGCGGTAAGTCTGAGCTCGATGCTGAGGCAGCAGTCAGAGGTGCAGGGGATGCTGATGTTGCTTTTTGGTCTTGCAGGGCGGTCATCATGTGAGCGATGCTAAAAGTGAGCGAGAGCTTCGTGAGTACAGAACTCAAATGCAACAGATCGATTTTCAAAGCGTCTCTGACATCTCATCTTTGATGCTCCCCATGGCAGGTCACGACAAGATCACTTTCGAGCGGATGAGCAACCTCACTCGAGAACGTCCCTGGGCCCGCCCGGCATCTTCCTCACAAACTTGTAACCCCAAGCCGGTCCTTCCGATCACCGACAAGTCCTCGGGTTTTAGCTCGCATGGAAGTCAAAGGGAGCCAGAGCCGCTTGTATGGGTCCACCAGACTGAGCTGTTCGAGACGGCCAGTAGCTCACAAGCTTTCCCGCGGTCTCCTTACGAAGGCGTCTTGGACTGGTATCCTGACGTAAGTGTTCCAACGTTCTCGGACAGCTTTTTGCATCCATCAATTGACTCAATGATTGCATTTCTCTTCCTACCTTCCAGTTCAAGCCGCTCCCATCGTCCAGCCTCACAGACGGGATCGGACATGGCTGCACTTTCTCAACGATCGACATCAACGTCCCTGTTTACCACCGGTGGCTGCTGCGTCGCGTCATCGATCTCGGAGGCCGACTGATCGTTGCCGAAGCCAAGTCGCTGCGACAAGCCGTTTCCATTGCTTCCTCATCTACTGCTCCTACAATGCTCTGTAAAAACCCTTCGCAGTGGAGGAATGTCGGAAAGGTTGGTGTTCTAGTCGCGAGCCCAGGTCTTGGAGCACGTACTATCGGAGGCCTCGAAGACAAAGCTGTGCACCCGCAGCGAGGTCAAGTCGTTGTCGTCAACGCTCCCTGGCTCTCCACAAGCACTTCATTGTCCTCCTATGCTCAGAAGCCGCGACACAAGATTCCTGGCTTCTCAGTGATACGACCGCAAGGCGGGAGGGAGGTGTACGTGATTCCGCGTGGAGACGGAACAGTCGTTTGTGGAGGCACTCGCATAGTGGACGATTGGGACCCGAAACCAAGACCAGAGACGACAAAGAGGATCCTGGAAAGATGCATTGCACTTGTGCCGCAGCTCGTCGATCCAAATAAGACTACGGGATTGACAAAGCCAAGAGTTGAAGACATTGATGTTGTAGGCGTCAATGTTGGACTTCGGCCAGCGAGAAGGGGCGGCGCCCGGTTGGAGAGGGCACTTCAGGACATCGATGAGGTCAAGGTGATCTACAACTATGGGTGAGTCTCATTAGCTCACAGGCTGCCATTGCCAAGACTGAAATTACATACTAACAAACCAAACATTGATGGCGTTCACTGTGTGAACAGATACGGCGGCGCAGGATACCAAGCGTCTTGGGGTGCAGCGTTGGACACTAAGCAGGTATGTAGTATGCTCACCCATAGACTCAATGCTGGCTCATTTTCCTGACGCTTGCCTCTTTCTTTCTTTTCTCTTCGCAGCTCGTCGAGGAAGCACTTGGAAAAGGCGATTCAAGATCATCAACACTCGTTCGGCCTTCCAAACTGTGATCTCCTCGAGTGTGCAATATACATTTCTTCTTCATGGTACTGCAGAGACTATACGCTCGCTTGTGAGTGATAGTCTGACTCCTTCGCATGTGCTGAGAATGTTCAGCTTTGAGACTGTTGGCACGGGTGAAGTACAACCATTGCTCTAAAGCTTGACAAGAAGGTCGACTTCGTGTCGGTGAATTATGGTAGAGCCAAGCCTCCACTCAAACTTTTTGCGGAAGCCGCGAAAAGCGCCGCATGGGCTGCTTGGACCCTGTCTACTCTTTACTGCCATCCTTGCACACGTCAACACCTACAATCCCTATTCGAAGACAGCCAGAATGTCGACAACAAGACCGGATCCGGTGACGCCGTTCGCGCTCAACACGCCTTTATTCAACAAGCTCGCTGGCAAGCGCGTCGTTCTTGCAAGCTCAAGTCCGCGACGAAGGGAGATTCTGGCTACTGTCGTATGTGATCCTACTCAACCGGCGAAGATAGAGATCGTGCGAAATGTTTACTGACAATGATGATACTCGTGTTGTGTTCAACAAGGGTCTGGTACCGGAAATTGTTCCAAGCACATTCGAGGAGAACCTGCCGAAGAGCGAGTTCACTGGTGAAGGAGTGTATGAATATCCCGTCCAGACAGGGTATAAGAAGGTGAGTGCTATCCAGGGCGCTGATACATCATGACTCTGATCAGAAGAATGCTGATGTGGAACCCTCACTCTGTCCTTCTCTATGCGGCTGCAGGCGCTCGAAGTGTACGAAAGGCTTGTAGTAAGTCTTGATTGCTCCGACCGGGAGGGTATGGCTTATCCCTGAAGGCGCTTCATGCTCACATACCGATCGGTCGCTCGACGACAACAGAGAGAGAACCCAGAAGATCCACCAGACTTTGTCATCTCTGCAGACACGGTCGTAGTCAAGGACGAGGTCATTATGGAGAAGCCCGTAGACCAACAGGACAATTTGCGCATGCTAGCTGATCTCAACGGAAACAAGGTATGTCACTCGCCATTATGCTCCCATTCTTTACTTCAATGGCTGATTTCTCTTTGCTATGTCTACTCAGTGTGAGGTGGTGACTGGCGTGACGGTGATCTGGCCCGTGATTGAGGCACCAGGTTTCCAGATGAGGTACGTACTCCCTACAGGCTTGCCGCTCTGAACGAAGCTCCAAAAGAGTCAGAACTGAACAACGTTCTCCACCTTCATGAAACGCAGGTCGCTATGCGAGAAAACGTTCGTACGATTTGCAGACAATCCCTACTCATTGCTCAAAGCTTACGTCGACTCAAAAGAGGGCATCGACCGCGCTGGTGGTTTCGCTATACAGGTGAGTCTCTAGGTTCCGACTCTTGAAAGTTCCAGTACGCTTTGGGTCAACTCACTGACGTACTCTCTCACCGGATCGATTCTTCTCTCCGCAGGGCCGAGGCGCTTTGCTGGTACGAGCGATTGAAGGCGACTACAACAACGTGGTCGGTTTCCCTCTGTACAGCTTCAGTGCTTGGTTACACGACCTGATCGAGAACGAAGAGCTGGATATCGTTGAAGATGTCTGATGTCGAGACCTCAATATCCCCGCCGTTGACTCTGCAGGCCTCCTCTTAGAACATGCAGAACTTTACCAGGAAACCTACAATCAAAACAAAGTCCTGAACACTCGCTCCTGTCTTTAGTCCGAGAGCCTGAACCTCTGCATTTGTTCTTCCGTCTCCTTCCGGTCTCCTCCTGAGATGCTATTGCCAACTCTGTGTAGATGGCGGTAAATCAATCTGAGAAGAACTCCTTTTGCGTTTCGATCTGGGAAGAATGGCAGCGACTTATATTGGAGAAGTAGTTGCGAAAGTAACACTAGTCACATGGAAGCGATTGTTGACTCCACGCGGTTCCTCGCTGGTTTGAGCCGCACAATGTCTCGGATTTGTGCACGAGATGTGCGTATTTATGCCTGAGGACGCTTCTTGCCCTGTTGAGACAAAGTGACGAAGAAAGGCGAGTTTAGAAGAGGCAAGGGTCAGTACTGCATGTAGATACGAAATGGTTTCATGGCGAGAAGTTTTGACGGAGAGATACGTACGACAGCCATGTTGTAGAAGCCGACGGTGGTACCGTACATACCGACACCGAAGAGGGTCATGAAAAGACCCATGTAGAGCCTCGAGCGCGGGAGACGCTGGAAGACGGGACGGGAGTCGGCCTGGAGGGCACGCTGACGCTCAGGGACAGTGTTCCTTTAAGAGATCGAAACACAAAGCAAAAAAAAGCTGTCAGTTCTCATCTCCTTTATCCAAAGTATTATGGCCGTGCGGGGGTCCTAGTCTCGTGAAAGCAGCGGAGCATACGATTCGTTCATGATTGCGAATCGCGAGATCGTGCTGCTATGCGAGCTGCGTGAGGGCTGGGCGACGGAGATGCTCACTTGCGATAAACGAGGGCGTCCATTGTGATGATGTATCAGAATGTGGTGATGACAACGATGGAGAATTGTTGGTTACCGTGTTTGATGGTGTCCACGACGTTGCAAGCAGCTCCAAAACTGCCAAACCCGTTTATCGCAGAAGCGTTCGCTTCCGAGCGCTGTGTGGGTTGAGCCGGAAGATCCTAGCTCTGACAAATTCAGGTTGAAAATCTCGCGCGCTCAAACCCATTCGTGCGAAAGTGATCTGAATACAATAGAGTTGTTGAATATCCCTGGCCTAACATTTACGAAAAATTGTTTGGACCCTTCGTAAGCCGACGGAAGTCGTCGGAGTTGAGGTTTCATGTCTCGCAAGACCTTCTTCCAAAACACACTCACATCCGCCAACGCTTCGAGAGTTCATTTGCTTCGAAGTGAAGCAAGTGCGATAACTAATTGAATCGCACTTGACGCTGGCTCATCCGCTTATGGAAGCCTATTGGAGGTAACAAGTGTGCCGACGTTGATGTTTGAGGTGAGAGACTGGCCGGACCCTCGTCTGGTCAGCCAAGCTTTTGCGGCGAGATTGACGGTCCAAGTGTTTGGCGCTGTTCTGCACCATAGAACGCATACTGACGACTATGCAACATCGTTTTCGCGACCGGAAAGACAGATCGACGAAGCGGCCAGTGCTCTGATCCGATATTGTTTGGAGAACCGGACAATGGGAACAGTCAATGCTGATTTGGAGAAAGCATGCGAAGATTCATACGATTGGTCTGACTCAACCATGGGCGAAGCTAATTTGGTGACCTGTGTTGTAGCAGACTGAGAAAACTGTGTCGCATGATGAGCTCAGAGTGCGCTGGCCTCGGTTTTCCGTTCAAGCAAGGACCCTGAAAATTCTGGGAGGGCACGCAAACCCGTCCTCAAGTGTGCAGCCAGCAACTATATATCAGCCAAAGTGTAAAGAGATGTTCTGTGGAGAAACAAGGCCTCACCCACACAGACGCCACAGTTAATCACGACGGGACCCATACTTAATGTTGTGCTTCGTTCGACAGTCTAGGAACGGGAATGCACAGGTGAAAGTATAACTGTGGTTGCGGCGGTGCGGTTAAGTAAACAAGATCCGACCGTTTGCGCGTGTGCAGATCGTGACAGCTGCAAAACCACGGCTTTGCAGAACAAAAGAACATCATGAAAATCCTTGCCGTGGGAGCCGTGTTGGAAGTTGGAATTTGGGCTGTGCTTGGCATCCAATTTCCCCCGCGCCCCTTTCCAGACAGCTGAGAAACAAGTTCGTTGTACAAGCGAGCTGTCCAAGATTCATGCTGAAACACATACACACACACACACACAAAAGAGAAGGCGCTCCCTTGTGACCATCCGCTGACCACTTTTGTCGGATCCCCCTCCGAACACAGGTTGCCCGAGGCACTAGCTCTGTGTTTGCTTGCCCGTACTGAGCTAGAGGTCTGAGACGGTTGCACAAAGCCATTGTCTTCGCCCCAAAACACTGGTCTCTTTTTCCATTTGGAAGCAGCAAAGGTTCAACGTTAGGCGGAGTTGGTCGCACAGTTCGAGGTTCTGTTGTTCTCAATCGAACAGCCGATGACCCTGCTCTGTTGAAGTTTTCGAGTCTCAGTCGATCGTCGCTGTGCTACTCTGCAGTGCGGCTCTGCTGCTGCTTATTGCAGATGGAAAGCCGCCCACCCCCTCAGAGGCGCTGTCCTCCCTTGTTCTCTCAGCGTAGGTTCACAGCGCTTCCTGACCGCTGCTGTATGACAGAATGTCGGCAAACCCACCACAGCAATCTGTTGATTATCATTTCGTGCCTCCTTGGGCGTAGAGCGGCTCATCGAGTTGCTGCGACAACCTATATACTGAGCCCCCCTCAAAGCCACCAACTGCCTTCCTCGAACTTTGTCCCCTCTCATCAACATCCTCCTTCGCCGTTTCAGCCCCTCCTGCCTCCACGATCGCATAGACTCAATAGGTGTACACCGAGACCTCGAATAGAACACTCACCTATCACGTTTCTCTTGCGTTCTTGTTCACCACATCTACGGCATATATGGGCTCGTTAGAACGCATAGACAAGGCATCATATTCGACACAATGACACGAAAGCGCAATGCTGTCGCAGCAGCAGCTGCCACTCTCGCTGCAACAGTCGCATCCTCAATGGCAGCGACACCAGGGGGCAGTGAGATCGTTGGCTCCTCTGCCGTGTCCGGCATGATGCTCTTCAACAGCGCACCTGGCAAAGTCGTGATCCTAGACAAGACCGAGGGCAATGCAGCTCAGATCAATGGCCACCCAGCATGGGGAGAGGAATGGGACACCAACAGCCGCACCGGTCGTCTCATGAATGTGATCACCAACACCTTCTGCGCAGGTGGCATGTCGCTCGGCAACGGCACTTGGGCTGTCTTTGGAGGTAACGAGAATGTCGGTCCAGGTGGTAACTCGACCACACCTCGTTTCAACGCCACTGCACCTTACTATGACGGAGACGGAGGCGCTGCTGCTCGCTTCTACACGGCCAACTCGCAAGGCAACGCGGACTGGGATGATGGCAACCACTACATGAAGAGGCGTAGGTGGTATCCTACCGTTGAAGCGCTTGCTGACGGTACATTGTGGGTTGGTGGTGGTGAAGACTACGGTGGATATGTAGCGGATGCTGGACAGAACCAACCCAACTTTGAGTACTGGCCACCAAGAGGCGATGCTATCAACATGGACTTCCTCACCCAGACTCTCCCCATGAACCTGTACCCCTTGGCATGGCTCATGTCTTCAGGTCGACTTTTCGTCCAGGCCGGACAAGATGCGATCCTGTATGACCTCGGCAACAACTCGGTCGTCAAGAACTTGCCATCGACTACAGGACCCATGAAGGTTTACCCGGCTTCCGCCGGTGTCGCTATGTTGCCACTGACGCCAGCCAACAACTACACGCAAGAGGTGCTGTTCTGCGGTGGTGTGCAGAGACCACTCAATGAGTGGGGCAACGGTGCTGGACCTGCCTACAACCCACTAAACATGCCGGCAAGCAAGGTTTGCGAGCGCATTACCCCAGAGGCAGACAACCCGACATGGGAGCAGGACGACGACTTGATCAACGGTCGATCCATGGGTACTTTTGTCTACTTGCCCGACGGCAAGTTGTGGTTCGGGCAGGGCGTGCGTATGGGCACGGGAGGCTACTCGGGACAGGACTACAATAAGAACCTCGGCATCTCGCTTGGTGACCATCCCGACTTCCAGCCTATGATTTACGATCCAACAGCATCCAAGGGGTCGCGCTTCTCAACCGATGGCTTGGCTCGCATGCAGGTTCAGAGGATGTACCACTCAACTGCCATCTTGCTCGAGGATGGTTCCGTGCTAACCGCCGGCTCCAATCCTAATGCCGATGTGAGCTTCGACAACCCGGCCAACTACACCAACACCGAGTACCGTCTGGAGCAGTGGTACCCGCTGTGGTACAACGAGGCCAGGCCAACCCAGCCCAATGTCACGCAGATCGCCTACGGTGGTGGCTCCTTTGATGTCTCTCTCTCGAGCTCGGATCTCTCGAATAACATCACCAACATCAAGACTGCCAAGATGGTCATCATTCGCTCTGGTTTCGCTACGCACGGTGTCAACTTCGGCCAGCGATACCTCGAGCTTAATTCGACCTACACTGCGAACCAGGACGGCAGCGTTGGTGGTACGCTTCACGTCTCCATGATGCCTCCAAACGCGAACATCTTCCAGCCGGGACCTGCAATGGCTTTCCTTGTGGTCAACGGCATTCCTTCGCGTGGTCAACACGTCATGATCGGTACTGGACAGCTTGGCGACCAGCGCGTCACTGCTGGCACTTCCCTTCCCGCATCGCAGGACCCGCCGGCACCCAAGACCAGCAGCAACAACGGCAAAGAACCAGGCTCCGGATCCAACACGGGTTCGCTGTCAGGACGGCCCAGCAGCAGTAGCACGCTGTCTGCAAGTATTGGTGCTTCGTTTGCCTTGGCAGCTGTCTTGTCTGCTGTGGGATCATTTGCTTGATCTCTTCACAGCGACTTTTATCTGGATATAAGGAAGGAAAATGGAAAAACGCCTAATGTTGCACCATAAACTGTACAGTCCCTGTGTGTAAGTTTGAGGACAATCGGGTAATTTCCTAATTTAGCCGGATACCCCTCATTCGCGTCGTTGTCGTCATTAGGGGGTTTCAGTTTTTTTTAGTTGAAGTTTTTCGTATGATTGATGATGATGATAATAGTGAGAGAGAGAGAGCGAGGAGAGAGAAGGAGTCTATATATACAAAAGAAGAGCAGCAGAGAGCCGCATCGACTGCGGAGCATAACAAAGCATTTGTCTTGAGTAGGTTGTGACACATGTGGTCTGTGCTCAGATGCTCAAGCCTTTTACTCAGCTGTAAGCACTGCCTTCACCATCTTTATGCTTTGTGTAGCTTTTATCTACTTCAACTCCCCCCCTCAACAGCATATGTACCCCATTCATTATGCTGTTGTTTCAAGGTATATCCTCCATTCTTTAACATCATCGCATAGCTCAGGGACTCCATTTCATATGCCACTGCCAGTATTTGTAGGTGTAGCCCAGATCTTGCTTGCTGCATTGCCTGTCTCCTGATTGGCTTGGTGAGTACATCTGCCAAATTCCTTGTGGTGTCCACATACTTGATTTGCACCCTTCCCTCTTGAATGTTGTTATGGATGAAGTGATACTTGGTGTCAATGTGCTTAAGCTTCCAGTGCTGTGCTGGGTCTTTACTAACCTGTATGCAACCAGTGTTGTCTGAGTAGACCATTGGGGTGCCTGTGGCAATGCCAATCAAGCATAGCAGCTGCTTGAGGAAGAGCACCTCACATGTTGCTTCCATGGCTGCAATGAACTCTGCCTCGACAGCAGACAATGATATGCATTTTTGTGTTGCTGACTTCCAGGCTACCAGGTTCCCATACACTAATGCCACTGACCCCAATGTACTCCTTCTCTGAATGGTGGCATCACTCACCCAGTTTGCATCACTATGCACAATCAGTGGCTCTTGCAACATATTTCCCCTATAAACTAATCCAACATTCTGTCATGGGCCTGGATGCTCAAGAAGCAGGAGAGTCACTGGTTCATATGGAAGGAGCACAGGTATCGAAGATCTAGTCGATACCAGTAGAGAGCATGGTCGTAGTGCAGTCTCCATGGAGACCATGGACTCCTATGGACTCACATGCAAAGGAGAACTGAGCCACATGCGAGGAGGGCCAGGCACAGCCACGAGGAGGACCAAGCTCAAGGAGCAGGCACAGCCACGAAGAGGACCAAGCTCAGATGGTTACCACTCAGGGGCTCGAGAGACAAGTGTATAGGACACTAGCAGGCAGGTCCTGAGGAAGAGGAGCAGTGTCGAAGGAGTCGACACCAGGTCATGAGGAGGAGGAGCAGTGTCGAAGGAGGCGACACCACTCAAGAGGCACAGGGGTGCCAAGCAGGAGAGGCCCCTGAGCAGTACTCGATGAAGAAGGTACTCTCTGGAGAGAGAGCAGGAGCAGCATTGCTGGCGATGCTGTGAAGAGGTATATAACCATGCTTTCTCATCATCATAGGTCAAGTGGATCTTCATCCACTCTACTCACCATAACTAGTTATCACTTCAGCATAAGTATAAATTAGTTTCAGTCAGCATAGCAGCAATCTATCAAGGTTGCTCCTCATCATAGTGTGTGTGTTGTATCACCACTACCTGATGTCCGAAGGCGCCCATAGCAGGTTAGTGGTCCAGATCAAGATAGAACCAAAGGCAGTAGTCCACTGCAGTCCAGGGATCACTTCAAGCATCAAGTCAACACACTGGACACTCATGTTGACGCCACCAACCTTATCACCAACACCATCAACCTCATTATCATCAACACCCACCAACCTTATCACCAACGTCATCAACCTCATCATCATCAACACTCACACCAGACCTTGGTGTCATCATAGCATTGATATTGATCGTGCCGAGCTACCCCTGAATGGAGTGTCCACAGAGGTCAGCCGAAACCTATGATAGTATATACAACAAACACCACCTGCTGTCACTGCGCAACTTGATAGTCACCGATACCGAGACAATAGCTGTCGCACAGTTTGATAGTCACCAAGTATCTCAACAGACCGACCTGGGTTTCAGGCACGAGACCCCTGACATTAGAGTGGATCGTTCAAGCAGCTCCTCATGATCACCATGACGGACCCAGACCTCAACAATAAGCTCGATAGACTACTCACTCTATTGGAAGCACAGCTAGAGCTTACCAGACAGGGTCATCGAGAGGAACGATTACAACGAGCTCAACTGAGCAGGGAGGAGACAATGGACCTCTCTCACTCAGAAGACCAAGCAGGAGGAGGAGATGAGTCTATGATAGGAGACCCACATACTCCTACTCTGGCTCCATGACCAAGATGATCAGTCTCATTCAACCTGGATGAGCAGGAGGATGTCAACTACAAGAAGTATGCTTCACCCATGGGACCAAGATATGTCAAGTCCAGGGTGGATCCATATAACAAGAGCAGGACAGATCACTATGCTCTTGATCAGGAGGAGGACTCTAGCATCATGGCAGAGCTTAACTGGTCAAAGCCCATCGCCACCCCCTTTCCAAAGTTCAATCCAGGAGACATGGAGATCTTCATTCTAGAAGCCGAAGCATGGTTTAAGTTCAACCAGGTGTATGAGCAGACTGTCAGGGGTCTCGCGCCTAAAACCCAGGTTGGTCTGTCGAGATACTCGGTGACTATCAAACTGTGCGACAGCTATTGTTTCGGTATCGGTGACTATCAAGTTGTGCAGTGACAGCAGGTGGCGTTCGTTGTATATACTATCGTAGGTTTCGGCTGACCTCTGTGGACACTCCATTCAGGGGTAGCTTGGCACGATCAATATCAATGTTATGATGACACCAAGGTCTGGTGTGAGTGTTGATGATGATGAGGTTGATGGTGTTGGTGATGAGAATGGTGATGTCGATGATAATGAGGTTGATGGTGTTGGTGATAAGGTTGGTGGCGTCAACATGAGTGTCCAGTGTGTTGACTTGATGCTTGAAGTGATCCCCAGACCGCAGTGGACTACTGCCTTCGGTTCTATCTTGATCCAGACTGCTAACCTGCTATGGGCGCCTTCGGACATCAGGTAGTGGTGATACAACACACACACTACGATGAGGAGCAACCTTGATAGATTGCTGCTATGCTGACTGAAACTAATGTATACTTATGCTGAAGCGATAACTAGTTATATGGTGAGTAGAGTGGATGAGGATCCACTCGACCTATGATGATGAGAAAGCATGGTTATATACCTCTACTCAGCATCACCAGCGATGCTGCTCCTGCTCTCTCTCTCCAGAGAGTACCTTCTTCATCGAGTACTGCTCAGGGGCCTCTCCTGCTTGGCACCCCTGTGCCTCTTGAGCTGTGTCAACTCCTTCGACACTGCTCCTCCTCCTCATGACCTGGTGTCGACTCCTTTGACACTGCTCCTCCTCCTCATGACCTGGTGTCGACTCCTTCGACACTGCTCCTCTTCCTCATGACCTGGTGTCGACTCCTTCGACACTGCTCCTCTTCCTCAGGACCTGCCTGCTAGTGTCCTATACACTTGTCTCTCGAGCCCCTGAGTGGTAACCATCTGAGCTTGGTCCTCTTCATGGCTGTGCCTGCTCCTTGAGCTTGGTCCTCCTCGTGGCTGTGCCTGGCCCTCCTCGCATGTGGCTTGGTTCTCCTTTGCATGTGAGTCCATAGGAGTCCATGGTCTCCATGGAGACTGCACTACGACCATGCTCTCTACTGGTATCGACTAAGTCTTCGATACCTGTGCTCCTTCCATATGAACCCATGACCCTCCTGCTTCTTGAGCATCCAGGCCCATGACACAGACTAGGATGATCAACCACATGGGTGCTCAACTAGAAGGGACAGCAAGAGAGTGGTGGACCTCCAAGCTCCATATTGATAGAGCTAGAGAAGGAAGGTTGTTCAATGATTGGCACTACTTCACAGAGTGACTGTCAGAGCAGTTCAACCCACACAATGCTAGGATGGAGGCATACAACAAGCTGTTGGCTCTCAGACTCACAAGTGATGCTCCTGGTGCTGCCACACGTCATGTAGAGCAGTTCAGAGACTTGGAGGGACAGGTCAACCTAGATGACAACGAGCTAGTGATTGATCTCTTCAGAGGAAGTCTCACTCGCAGCATACAGGAGAAGTTTGAGAGGAATCCACCTGGGAAGAGATGGGAGTGGTATCGAGAGGTCAAGGAGATCAATCAACAGAGGATGCTACTACAGCAGTCCTCAGCTAGACACTCACTCCCAAATGCCATGTCACCTCCACTAAGAACTGGGTCTCAGCCAAATCAAAGTTCGATCCCCATCTGTCAACCCACTCAACCTTATCCAGCTTGATCACCAGCACAAGTAACTACACAAGCAACTACACAAAACCTAAACCAACCCCTTCCTCATCAACCCACCCAAACCTCGAAGCAAGGAAGCCCTGCTCCATCAGGTATCAACACCTGTCATGTATGCAAGGGTATCGGCCATTGGGCCAGAGACTGCCCCAGCAGGAGGGTAGACCCTCTTAGCTCTCGACCCATGGGACCAAAGGTTATGGTCACCACAGCAGACCCCTTCGAGGAGGCCACTGACTCAGGAGATGGCCACACAGGCAGCACTGAGATGGGTGACCCCAAGGCCATGGACCTCAGCTCATACCAGCAACCCATGGACCCTGATCATGAGGAGGAGCATGATGATGACGATGATGAGGGAAACGTCAGTGGGGTGATGCACTGATGGCATGCATTGCTCTACAAACCTCCTCGCCATCACTCTGTATATATCAAGATTGTCAAGTATGTTTCTCTACCAGTGGAGGCAAAGCAGTACTGGAGCTCTCTGGAATGGTTCAAGACCATCCTGCTCAGATACTAGCTGATACCAGTGCTGGTTTGTCCATAGTCTCAGATTCTTTCATTAGTAAGTACCAAATACCCACAAAACCTATAAAAACAAGATCGATCCATGGTGTCACCAGACACCAACTCTCCATCAATAGTTCTGCGAGCATGCAGGTATCTATTGGTACACACAATCTGGGTGTGGTTGAAGCTTCAGTGGCCGACACTGCTGACTATGACCTCATCCTGGGGTTCACCAAGCTACGGAGGCTCAAACCCACCATACAATGGGATACAGGCCAGCTGGAGTTCAAGACTCAGGAGCAGGACTGACCCCCAAGGAGACCCCCTGAAGCAGCAAGAGCAGGGGACCTAACCATGAGGAGACCAACCCTTCATGGTAACAAGTTTGTCTCAGCAGAGCACATACTACAAGCAGCTCTGGAAGATGGACCCATAGGGTTCATGCTGTTGGAGGAGCCACCATCATCACTCCTGGCCTTTGGTTTTGTACCTACAGGCGCAGACAAAGGAGTTGAGATGGAGGTGGAGGTAGACAAGGTGGTGACGGCTGCAGACATACCAAAGCCATACCAACACCTACAAGATGTGTTTGATGAGGTGGAAGCAGACAAGCTGCCTCATCATACCAAGCATGATCTCCACCTTGAGTTGATAGAAGGAGGTAAGCCACCTCAAGGGCCCCTATACCTTAAGGGACCCAAGGAGATGTCCAAGTTGAGGAGGTACTTGGATGAGAACCTCGAGAAGGGGTTCATAAGACCATCAAAGAGCCCAGCATGATCACCAGTGCTCTTCATACCAAAGAAGGATGGAGGTCTCAGACTCTGTGTGGACTACAGAGGTCTCAACGAGATCACTGTCAAGAACAGGGCACCATTGCCACTCATCGAGGAGCAGCTGTTCTTACTCAGGAAGGCAAGGATCTATACCAAGCTAGACCTTAGAGCAGCATACAACCTCATCCGGATTGCTAAAGTAGATGAATGGAAGACAGCTTTTGGCACTCAGTTGGGACTCTATGAGTACCTAGTGATGCCCTTTGGCCTAGCCAATGCTCCAGCTCACTTCCAGTCATTCATCAACAACATCTTCCAAGACATCATTGGAGTATATGTAGTGGTATACCTAGATGACTTCCTGATCTTCAGTGACACTGAGGAGGTACATGTGAAGCATGTCACCGAGGTCCTCACTCACTTAAGGAGCAACAGGCTCTTTGCTAAGCTGTCGAAGTGTGAGTTCCACACCAAGACAGTCAAGTTCCTGGGGTACATCATCAAGCCAACAGGCATAGAGATGGACCCAGAAAAGGTGCGCACTGTCAAGGAGTGGCCAATGCCAGAGTCAATCCATGACATCCAAAGGTTCCTGGGTTTTGCCAACTTCTATTGAAGGTTCATAGCCCACTTTGCTCGCATAGCCAAGCCATTGACATCGCTGGTAAAGCCTATAGAACGGTTCAAGAAGTTTGAGCTACCAGAGGAGGCCCAACAGGCCTTCCACAAGCTCATCCAGGCCTTCACATCAGCAGGAGTGCTTCAGCACTTCAACTACCACCTTCCAACAAGGTTGGAAACTGATGCAAGTGACTTTGCTATAGCAGGAGTACTCAAGCAGGAGCATGAAGGATGATGGCATCCAGTGGCCTTCTACTCTAGGAAGATGTCTTCTGCCAAGAAGAACTATGAGATCCATGACAAGGAGCTCCTAGCTGTGGTTGCCTGCCTCACTCAGTGGTGACACATGCTAGCTGGACTACTGAGCCAACTGGTCATCCTCACCGACCATGAAGCCCTCAAGTACTTCAAGTCACAGAGACGCATCACAGGTCGACAGGCTCGATGGGCAATACTACTAGCAGACTTCGACTTCATATTGCAGTATCGACCAGGAGACAAAGGTGGTGAACCTGATGCTCTCACCAGAAGGATGGACATGCAACCAGCTAGTGAAGAGCAGGATCACAATGTGAGGCAACTACTGCCTCCTCGAGTGTTCAAGGAGACAGCAGACCATGACTCGACCCTAGTGGCCCCTATGCTCTCGATGGAGTCCATAGCATCAAAAGGTCTCAGAGACCTGGTCAAGATCTTCCAGCCCTTAGACAAAGAGCTACAGGAGATACATAGGAAGAAGCCCTTCGAGGTCAAGGACGACCTATGGTACAGTGGAGGAAGGTTGGTTATCCCCAAAGTGATCATGCCAGGGAGGACCAACAACCGACACTCAAGGAGTGCCAAAGAGGTAGATGGACAGTCTCTCTCTGTAGAGCATCTGCGATTCATGGTGATGACCCAATGCCATGATGGTATTACTGCTGGACATGTAGGAAGAGATGCTACCATCAAGGCAGCTCAACGACATTACTGGTGGCCAAACATGACAGCTTGGATTGCAGACTATGTAGCAAGTTGTCCTGTATGTGCTAGGTACAAAGCTCCTCGTCACCATCCATATGGTTTGCTACAGCCACTAGCAACACCAGACAGGCCCTGGGGCTCCATATCCCTCGACTTCATCGAAGGACTACCACCATCAAGGAACTATGACTCCATCCTCATCATTGTCAACAGGTTGACCAAGTTTGCCATACTAGCTCCAACCCATAAGACAGTCATGGCCAAACAGACTGCAGTGTTGCTATACGGACACATGGTTAGACTTTTCGGATACCCAGATCACAAGGTCTCGGACCGAGGCAGGCAGTTCATATCAGGAGCATGGAAGGCATTTGCAGAACAAATGGGTGTGAAGCACTCACTTAGCATGGCCTACCATCCTCAAACTGATGGTCAGACAGAGAGGGTCAATCAGGTCATCGAGCAGTACCTAAGGTTGTACTGCAACTATGAGCAGAATGACTGGGCCGACCTGCTGGACACTGCAGCCTTTGTATACAACCACACGGTCCACAACAGCATTGGTGTCTCACCATTCTTTGCATGCTATGGATGGAACCCCAAAGCTCATCCTGACATCCCTCAACAACTAGGAGTCAATGATCCAGGTCGCTTCAAGTACCTCATGGATGGAAAGGAGCATTGCAAGTACCTCCAGGAGCAGATCAGAGAGGCACAATGTAGATCAGTAGACCAGTATAACAGGAAGCACAAGGACATCGAGTTTAAGGTGGGTGATATGGTCTATATCAACCATTGAAACTGGAAGACAAGGAGACCCACACCCAAGTTAGATACCCAGTTTGCAGGACCCTACCCAGTTCAGGAATGGGTAGGATGCTGAGCTTATCAAATCACGTTGCCAGCAAACCTTAGGGTGCATGATGTGTTCCATGTCTCCATGCTCAAGCCAGCAAGAACAAGTTCTCTTCCTCAACATGCTGAACAGCCCACCATACCATCACTTCCAGATGAGGACCTCGACTTCGAAGTTGAAGCACTCATCAACAAGCATTCACACAATGGGACTACAGAGTACAAAGTGTTGTGGAGAGGGTACTCAGAAGAAGCTGCTTCATGGGAACCAGTAGAGAACCTCAACTGCCCCGACCTCATCCAGGAGTATGAGGTGTCAGAGGGGGGATGAGCGAGTAGACAAAGTAGAGAAAGGAGGAGAGAGCAGGAGGAATAGAGAGGGAAGGAGGAAGGAGGATGACGTTGAGAGAAGGAGGAAGGATGATGTTGGCGAAGTTGTCGAGGAGGAGGAGGAGGAGGAGGAGGAGTCAGCATGAACCAGACCAGAGCATGCCTCGATGGAGCTCGGCTCTTAAGAGGGAGGTAGTGTCATGGGCCTGGATGCTCAAGAAGCAGGAGGGTCACTGGTTCATATGGAAGGAGCACAGGTATCGAAGATCTAGTCGATACCAGTAGAGAGCATGGTCGTAGTGCAGTCTCCATGGAGACCATGGACTCCTATGGACTCACATGCAAAGGAGGACACGAGCCACATGCAAGGAGGGCCAGGCACAGCCACGAGGAGGACCAAGCTCAGATGGTTACCACTCAGGGGCTCGAGAGACAAGAGTCAAAGGAACTGTCACCAGTCAAAGGAGAAGGAGCAGTGTATAGGACACTAGCAGGCAGGTCCTGAGGAAGAGGAGCAGTGTCGAAGGAGTTGACACCAGGTCATGAGGAGGAGGAGCAGTGTCGAAGGAGTCGACACCACTCAAGAGGCACAGGGGTGCCAAGCAGGAGAGGCCCCTGAGCAGTACTCGATGAAGAAGGTACTCTCTGGAGAGAGAGAGGAGCAGCATCGCTGGCGATGCTGTGAAGAGGTATATAACCATGCTTTCTCATCATCATAGGTTGAGTGGATCCTCATCCACTCTACTCACCATACAACTAGTCAATACTTTAGAAACATAAGTACTCATTAGTTACAGTCAGCATAGCAGCAATCTATCAAGGTTGCTCCTCATCATAGTGTGTGTGTTGTATCACCACTACCTGACATCCATAGGCACCCCATAGCAGGTTAGCGGTCCAGATATAGATAGAACCGAAGGCAGTAGTCCACTGCAGTCCGGGGATCACTTCAAGCATCAAAGTCAACACACTGGACACTTGTGTTGACACCACCAACCTTATCACCAACACCATCAACCTCATTATCATCAACACTCACCAACCTTATCACCAACATCATCAACCTCATCATCATCAACACTCACACCAGACCTTGGTGTCATCATAACCGAAGCATTGCTATTGATTGTGCCAAGCTACCCCTGAACGGAGTGTCCACAGAGGTCAGCCGAAACCTACGATAGTATATACAATGAATGCCACCTGCTGTCACTGCACAACTTGATAGTCACCGATACTGAGACAATAGCTGTCACACAGTTTGATAGTCACCGAGTATCTTGACAGACCGACCTGGGTTTCAGGCGCGAGACCCCTGACAGGCTCTTTGATGGGCATATGAACCCCTTAGCCAGGTTCTCGTCCAGGTACTTCCTTAGTTTGGTCATTTCTTTTGGTCCCTTGAGATACAGTGGCCCCTGAGGTGGTCTACTGCCCTCCACCAACTCCAGGTGGAGGTCTTGCTCTGTGTGCTGGGGCAATTTGTTGGCTTCAACCTCATTGAAGACTTCTTGCAACTGCTGATAGGGTATGGGGATGTCATCTACCATCACTGCTTTGTTGGCCTCAACTTCCATTTTGATGCCCTTGTCAGCTCCTGTGGGCACAAATCCAAAGGCTGGTAGCGAAGATGGTGCTACATCCAGTAACAAGAACCCAATGGGTCCATCTTTGAGAGCTGCCTGGATCAACTGTTTGGCTGTTACAAACTCATTGCCATGTACCTTGAGGTATGCTTGATTCTGGTTGGGGGTGCTTATTTCAGCCAGTTTTGCAGATCCTGTCTCACCAATGGTGGCTCTGGCCAGTTTCGCTGAATTTGGTTGGGGGCTTCCTTCTCCAGCGACTTTTCATAGCCATGTGGTTGCCCTACTCCTGCCCCTCCGCTCTGTCTGTGGTTCCCAGACTTCAAACTCAAGTTGTCCGGTTTCCCATTGTATGGCCAGCTCACTGTCCAACCATTCTTGGTGAGATTGGTCAGAGCCCCTGGGTCTCAACCAGTTCCGCTTCTGGTGCACCGAGCTCATTTCGGCGGCTGCGCAGCACGGCTGCTTATGATCTCTGCGCTGGCCCTGTGACAGTTTATAGACAGAACAAATATACTCAATTGACTAAAGGAATATGGCGAGAGCCTAGTGCTCTCTGTGAGATATATATACAAGTGAGCAGCACATGCCAAATGTGGGAGTTGCTATGCTTAATGATCCAGCCTGACAATGAGCAGGACTTTGTTGTCCCTGATCTCTGGCAAGATTGGTTATCCTTGATCTCCAGTCAAATCTGCCTCCTCATTAGATTGGCTCTGTCTGATCTCCAATCTGGTTGACATTGCATTGCTCTTCAGCATTGTCATTGGATTGCCAATTTCAGCACCCCCTCTTGATCCAGTGGGCTCCTTTGATGCTGTCAGACCGAATAGCTCCCATATGTGCACAAGTGTCAGCATCGCAAGCAGCTTTGTCAATATATCAGTGATGTTCTTGCAACTCTGGACTGGAGCAATTGTAAGTTGCCAACTTGCAACTTCATCTCACAGGAAGAAGTGAGCGATATCAATGTGCTTCATCCTCTTGAAGTGTTGAGGGTCACTAGCAATGGTGCACACTCCTGATGAATCACTGTATAGGACCAGAATGTCTCGATTGAAGGCTAGCTCACCATCTCATGAGTGGATAATTGTAGTCCCAGCACTTATGTGGATTCTGGCCATCTGTGGTGCTTGCTGTTGTAGCTCCTGTAAAAACATTGATGTCCATAGTAATTCTCTAGCAGCTCCTGCTAGAGCTACGTATTCAGCTTCTACTGAGCTGTTCACTACTGTTGGTTGGAGGCGCAAAGACCAACTGCACACTGATCCATTGATAACAAAGGCATACCCTGATGTCAACCTTCTGCAACTGTGTGATCCTGCCCAGTCACTATCAGCCCATCCAGCAAGTGTTCACCCACTGGTGTGTGTCCCTGCTGAGAGACTGATTCCTATCATTCCCTTGAGGTATTGTAGTATGCACTTAGCAGTGGTGAGGTGCTCACCGGAAGGGTTCATGATGAACCTGGCACAGTGGCCAATGGCAAATGCAATATCAGGTCAGCTTTCTTGAGCAATCCACAATAATGATCCCACAAGTGATGCATAGTGACAGATTTCTTTGGTACTAGCTGAGTTGCCTTCTCATGGTCCGAGAGTATTGATGGCCTCAGTGGCCAGAGTTGATGCTGCCCAGGCTCTGTCCATTCCAAACTTCATTAGTATTCCCTCAATATATCTGCTCTGATTTATTGATAGTGTGTGGGCCTCTCTATTGTAATCCACATTCAAACCAATGATGTGTGACACATTGCCTTGGTCTGTGATACTGAAGGCACTTGCAAGCTGCTGCCTTATGGATTTGACACATGATTCAGTCACCCCAACAACTAGGAGGTCGTCAATGTAGACTGTGAGCAGTACCATTTCATTGTCTAATCCATGTGTGTATACACATGGCTCAGCCCAGCAGCACTTGAAACCAAATGCTTGAAGTTGCTCATCAAGCACTGTGTGCCACAATCTTCCAGCCTGTTTGAGCCCATAGAGAGCCTTCTTCAGCCTGTAGCACTTGTTCTCAGTCTCTTCTGTTTCGAATGTTGGTGGGATGTGTATGTACACATCCTTGTTGATCTTTCCATTCAAGAATGCCATACTGATGTCAAGTTGAATGGCATGCAGCCTGTATTGACAAGCAACAGTGAGTAGAATTCATACCATCTGTAGGTGATGACTGGACTGAAAGTCTGGTTATAGTCTAGCCCCTGGTGCTGAGCATATCCCTGTGCAACCAAGTGTGCTTTGTATCATGTGGTGCAGCATTGGGCATCAAGCTTGAGTTTATATACCCAGTGAACACTGATGAGTCTGCTGTCTTCCAGTATGTCCACCAGGTCAAAAATGTTCATCTTATGCATGCTATCCATCTTGCTCACAATTGCCACTTGCCATTTCAGCCAATCATTGCATGCTTTAGCTTCATTGAGGGACAATGGTTCCAGCAGGATGCCATCAGCACTTCGAAGTTGTTGACCACTAGCAATCAATGCTGTACCACCCATTACTGTAGCTGCAAATGCCATGCAATCCAAATGGTGGCTACTGACCACAGGCATCTGGGTGTCAGGGTTCAGTGTGAGTGAGCATGTTATAGTGAAAGCCATGTATCCGAGAGCATTTGATGGGTCCGGCAACTCCATGTGGGTGACATCGAGCACAGAGATGCCATCGTACATGTCTGCTGTCACATCGCTCTGCGGTGTGTCGAGCAGGGACATGTTCTCATGAGTCTCGGTGTCAGGGGTCTCGCGCCTGAAACCCAGGTCGGTCTGTTGAGATACTCGGTGACTATCAAACTGTGCGACAGCTATTGTCTTGGTATCGGTCTCGACGAGCTAGTCACTCGGTGACTATCAAGTTGTGCAGTGACAGCAGGTGGCATTCGTTGTATATACTGTCATAGGTTTCAGCTGACCTCTGTGGATGCTCCATTCAGGGGTAGCTCAGCACGATCAATATCAATACATAGGTTAGGATGACACCAAGGTCTGGTGTGAGTGTTGATGATGATGAGGTTGATGGTGTTGGTGATAAGGTTGGTGGCATCAACACGAGTGTCCAGTGTGTTGACTTGATGCTTGAAGTGATCCCCAGACCACAGTGGACTACTGCCTTCAGTTCTATCTATATCTGGACTGCTGGTTTGCTATGAACTGCCTTTGGACATCAGGTAGTGGTGATACAACACATGCACTACAATGAGGAGCAACCTTGATAGATTGCTACTATGCTGACTGAAACTAATATATACTTATGCTGAAGTGATAACTAGTTATGATGGGTGTAGAGTGGATGAGGATCCACTCAACCTTTGATGATGAGAAAGTATGGTTATATACCTCTTCACAGCATCGCCAGCGACGCTGCTCCTGCTCTCTCTCCAGAGAGTACCTTCTTCATCGAGTACTGTGTCA